CTGAAGAATTAATTATTGAAAGAATTTTAATTAGAAATTTATCATTGGATAAACTTGAACAATTTACAAATCAAATTAGAAGAAAGAATGAATTATCTTCTTTTAGACAAATTTCATCATCAACAACAAATTATTCAAATAGTGTTGATAATTTATCATCTACTTCTAATTCTTTTAAAAATAATAGTAGTAGATCTAATAATAATAATAATAGTAATAATAGTATAATGAATATAATGAATATAAGAAATAAGAAAGAACAACAACAACAACATTCAAGACAATATAATAGTATGAATAATCATACAAGTAGTATTTTAAATGGATTATCATCTAATAAATCTAATAGTGGTAATTTATGGAATAATTCATCACCATCATCATCATCCACTACTACTAATAATACTACTAATAATAATAATAATAATAATATAAATGGAAGTAATGTTCTTAATAATATAAATGGAGAATTAAAAGATATACAAGAAATTGAAACTATATATAGAGAATATCTAAAAAGGGCAGTTACTTCTAAATATACAAGTATTCAACAAATTGCTTTAAGAATTTTAATTAAAAATGAAACAAGTTATTTTAATAATAATGATTTAAATTCAAATACATTTATAGAAATTTTAAGTGATTTTTTAAAAAATAAGAAAATTTCTGAAGATTTAATTATAAATTTAGAAAAAAAGAAAACAAAATCTATTTTTAGAAGGTCAATTACACCTTCTTTAAAATTATCACAACCAATTAATTTAAGTGAATTTAATGATTCTGATTTTTTTAATATTACAAATTTTAATATTTCTAATTATGTACATACTTGTTTTGGAATTACTAAATTAATTGAACATTGCCAATTAAATTATTTATTTGAACAAATGAGTAATTTATTATTAAATATTTATAATACAACACCATTTTTATTATTAATTATTTTAAATTCAAATATAGAAATTATACAAAATAGACAAATTTTAAATGTTTATATGAAATTACTAAAAAAGTCAATTAATGATTTATTAATTTTAATTAATAATTATAAAAATGATGAAGGAATTATAATTTTATTTAATTTAATTTTAACTTTAATTAATATAATTCAAAATATAAATCCAGATGAATTTATTTCTCCAAATTTGGAATCTAAAACAAGTTATGATAGTTATAAAATTGTTTATCAATTATATAATTTTTTATTTAAAAATTATAAAAATAATGAAAAAATTAATTGTTCTAATTTTTTATTACAATTATTAAATTTAAATTTAATTATTGATAATTTAATTTTAGATAAAATTATGGATGATTTTAAAAAATTAATTAATTTTAATTTTTTAGGTAAAATTTATAATAATTCAATTGAATTTAACAAATTATTTTATGATCATTTAATTAAATTTATTGATATTTTTGAACAAGATGAATCTTACATGAGTAAATTAATTTCCATTTATGTACCTTTTAATTTTACTATAAATAGTAATTCTAAAACAAGTATTTTATCAATTATTGATAATTGTATTTTAAATTCTTTAGATTTAAATTTTGTAAAATTAATTGAAACTATTTCTACTAATAAGGAAATTCATTTATTAATAATTATGGAAAGAATTTTAAATAATCAAAATAATTTATTTAATAATATTAATAATAATCAATATATTTTACAAATTGAAAATGATCAATATTTAAAAAGGGAATATATTTTAATTAAAAAAAATTATTTAATTCCAAGATTTTTAAATTTAGCAAAATCAATTACAATTTTATTAACAAATATAGTAAATTCAGAAGATGAAGATGATATTTCAGATGATATTTCAGATTCATCATCATCATCTTGTTCTTCTTCTCATTCTGATAAAAATGGTAATAATAATACAGAAATGGAAATTTCACATAAAAATTTATTAAATCAATTTGAATTTTTAGAATTAAATTCAAATGGTAAAATTTCACATATTTTAAAATTATGTATTTCATATTTATTACCAAATTTATTAGATAATAATGAACAAAAAGGAATTGCTTCAATACCTACAAATATAGAATTATATTATTTTGATCAAAATTTTAATTTAGAACAACATTTATCATGTCTATATATAGTAACTAAATTACTACCTATATATGGAAATTATACAATTACATGTAAAGGAGTTCCAATTATTATAGAAAGAATATTTTGTGATTTATTATCAATTTTATTTAAATCTTTAATTAGAATTTCACAACAACCTTTATCTGAATTTAAACAAACAATTTTACTTTTACTTGTTTATAAACATTATTTAAAAATTATGAAAGAATATTTAATTAATTACTATAAATATAATGATAATACTATAAATAGTAATATTACTACTAAAAATGGAAATATTAAAAATAATTTACATGAACAATTATTAAATAATTTATCAATGTTATTATTATTATTTATTCATGATGATAATAGAAATAATTATGAAATTAATAATGAATTAATTATTAAAACTTTTAAAGTTTTATCAATTTTACCAATTTCATCTGAAAGAGTTATAAAAAGATTTATGGATTTAATTCAAAATGGAAATCAACCTTTTATAATTAGATTTTATGCTTGTTTTTATTTAAATGAAATTTTTAGAAAAGATCAAAATTTATCAAATGTTAATACTTTATCTTTATTTAGTAATACTATTATTGAAAGACAATTAATTGATGGAATTTCTTCTTTTATTTTAAATTCAAATACTCAAAAATTATTAAATCACATTTTTCATTTCATTAAATTTGGAACTAATCAACAACAAAAAGAAGAATTTGAACAAACAATTTTAAAAAGATTAATTGCAACAACTTCACAATCTTTTAATGGTGGTTCAAGTAATAATAATAATAATATTAATAATACTGGTAATAATAATATTAATACTGGTAATAATAATAATATTGGTAATATAGGTGGTGGTAGTAATAATAATTCAAGTAATAATAATATAGGTGGTATAGGTGGAAGTTTTGGTAATGTTAGTAGTGTTGGTGGAATGAATAATAGTGGTGTGAATATTAGTGAGTGGACAGTTCAACTTTCTCACTTGTTATATCCTCCTACTTCTAATACTACAAGCAATAGCAATAATAATAGTGGTACATTTATGGGTGGTGGAGTTGGAGGAGGAATGAATTCACCAACAAGTGCCATGTTTCCAAATTATTCAATTTATAATAATATTAATTCTCAAGATTCTCAACAACAGACAAATAATAGTGGCAATGCTGGTAATTATAATACTATTGGATCATCTGGACAATCTAACAATAGACGTAAATCAACCTTAACAAGTTTATTTGGAAATATTAGTGCTGCATCTTCATTAATTGTTGATTCTTTAAATTTTGGATATTCTAATGTTACAACTCATATTTCATATTTTCCTAATCAAGTATTGAAAGGTTTAATACAACCATGTATGGAACATCAAATTGTTCGTTTAGGATTAGAAACAATAACAAGTAGATTTAATGTTCTAAATGATATTACTGCATTGAAGAATGAATCCATTAATCATTCTTATAATTATGAAACTTCTCTGATTCAAAATTCCAATAACAATAGTAATGGAACTATAAGCTCGTTGAGTTTAAATTCTGTTGCCTCTGATGAAATTTTGAAAGGAATGAGAATTTTTATTGATTTGATGGAACATGAACATTTAAAACCTTTCATTATTGAACAATTATTTGAAATTATCAATCAATGTAGAGATTTATTGATAACGATCAAATTAGATGAAGAGATGGTACGAAAACTCAAATTATATTGTCCAATTGAATACTTTTTCATGATTCACGAATTGTATCACATTTAACATCTAGGTATTTTTTATTTACAACAATTCAGATGTTAAAGAAAGGTTAAATGGAAGTCTGTCCAACTTGGATAAGAAACCAATCACCTTTTCTCTAATGTTGGAATTTCTTATCAATGAATCAGCTTCATAATAATTATTAATTAAATCACTTTCTCTCAAAATAGATTGAATAAAGTATGATAATTGATTATCATTCAATGAGTAACAAACAAAGATTCTAAACTTGAGATCTTCAATGTTTGATAATTGTTTGGTGTTTAAAGATAATCTCTCTTCAACAATCTTGTTAACAGTTTCAACAGCCGATGGAATACCAATACCACCAATATCAACAGCAGATGACTTTTTCAGTCTTGCAGCTTCTTCAATCACATTCCAAACATGGTAGGTCTTGAATATTGAGAAACTCTTAAATCCTTTCAAGAAAATATCCATCAATGAATAACAAAGCTTCTTTCTTATAAGAACATCAATTTCTCTACTCTTTGAATCATCACCAATATCATATAAATCCATCTTTTCATCATTCTTCTTCATATAGAAGAACTGAACAATTGATTTGATTGACTGTTTCAATTGAAGTAAAGGTGAAAGTGAAATCATGTCCAAAGTACTTGAAGTTAATTGTAAACTTAAACTTGGTTGAGCTGTTTGCGTGATTGATACGCCAGATTGTGTTGATGCAAGTGGATCTATATTAGCAGAAGCAACATCCTTTGCGTCAACTTCCTTGGTAAATCCAAAACGGAAATCAAATTGATTGAGCAATGAGAATACACCCAAAATTTCATCTTTGAGTTGTTTGTTAAATAAAATAGCAGTCTTATCGTAACATTCTTGCAAGTACATTTCATCAATTGCCAATTGATTGATTGCATAAACAAAGAAGTCACAATCAAGTAAATATTGAACCAGAAGAAGAGAAGCAGTCTTTCCAAAGTTATCACTTGGTAAATGTTGAACTTGATCCAAGGCTTCAAATTCTCTAATTACATCTTGTACAGCACTAACCTGAAGATTTTTAAAAATGTCATATGGTGTTCTTTCTTTAATCCAATAAATTTTCTAATGAATGATAAGATTTCAAAGTTAGTAAATTTTCTACTTACTCTTGTTCCATTATATAAAATTGATGTAATATTCTTAACAATGATATCACCAAGAGGGAATAAGTGAACAACATATCTTCCTGATGTTGGATCAATAGAGTCTGCATCACAAGTACTAAGCAAGTTCATAATATTACTATGGAGAGATGAAACCATTGTGTTGAATGAAAATGGTTTTGTCTTCTTTTGAAGTTCCTCTTTTGATGATTCAGTGGCAGTTGCAGGTGTTGCACTTGGCAATGATAACTCTTCCATAACTTCTGTTGCTCTTTGTGCTTCTTCTTTTGTAAGTAACTGCTTATTCTTATTGATAAATTTAGCCAGAGCAACAATATCCTTCTTTTCTAACAATTCTTCAAAATCTAATTTGACTTCAACACTCTTTTCAACACTTCCTAAGGACATATGAGCACTCTTTAGGAAGGCTTCGAATTTTCCAGTTGAGGTATTTTCCTTCTTTTCAACCTTTTCTGTTAAAGCTGGTACCACCACGATATTTTCCTTAACGTGTGTATGAAGATATAATTCACTTAACATTTCTTTAGCAATTTGAACCTCTGTTGCCAATTCAGGATAAAATGGTCCTTCTTCAAGAACAGTCTCAAGATCATCTATATCTCTTTCCTTAATACCTTGAGCAAGTCTATATTTGATTGAGAGAATTTTTCTTTCCTTTCTCTTTGCTTCCATTCTCTTCTTTTGAATGAGATTTTTAGCAGAATCTACCAAGTCTCCCAATTCAACAAACATTTCTGCTTCAACAATAATTTGCATCAACTTGATTTCATTATCAGGTGTTGTTTCATGGTCATATAGTACAATCAGAGAATCAAGAGTTTCTTCCAGCTTGTAAATAGCTGCCAATTGTTCTTGTTCTCTATCAGTATTGATGTGATCTAGACATTCATATGCTTTTGTTAAATCCAACCTATCATCAAGTTTGTTGCTCTCAATAATTTCATCAATTGCTGATTTGTCTCTTTTCATGATGGCTTCATCTATCTTTTCAATAATAGAAAATCGTTGTTGGATTCTATCACATTCCTTATTACAAAAATCAATAGTATTCGAGAGTGAAATAGAAGGATTGGTAGAAACAAAGGCCTTTGCATCCTTAATCAATTCCCTCAACTTTTCAATATTCCCTATGTCGTTAGCGTCGTCAACACCCTTATTTAATCTTCTTTTGATTTTAGTTTCTTCTTTGAATAACAAAACTGAATTTTTAGCTTCTTGGAAAATTTTCTCATTTTCCACGCCTAGACTTTTAGCATCAATAAGAATAAGACGAAGAGCGTCTCCATCCCTATTAGCTAAATGTTGAGAAACCAGATCTCTCAAATATTCCTTTTGTACATCTGCATCATAATCTCGCTTGTATTTTTCAACATCACCTGCCAAGCCAGCTCTAAGAGCTTTGGAAAATATATCCTTCATCATTCTAAAGTCCTTCTTACTGATAGCTTCTTCCATTTTCTTTTTGAATAACCTAGTGTTAACAAGTTCAGTATACTTAGGAGTCATCACATGAATCAATTGGGTGAGATGTGGACGTAATGATTCAGCCTTCTTTAAAAGCTCTCTCATTTTCTTAAGATGACAATTTTTATAGGCATCTTCCATCTCCTCTTGTACCATCGATGATGTCTTGATCTTTTGTATTTGTTGAAGGCACAAGATATACAGCTTATCGTTTGTTAATCCATATATTCTTGCGCTACAAATTGCTTTTTCAAGCTCACTAACATCCTTTGATTTAATTGCGTGTGTCATTAGATCTTTAATTCTCTTTGGATCCTTCATCTTTTTCATTTTTTGTCTGTAATCTCCAGTTTTCTTTAATTGACCTTTTTCCTTAATGTTTACTGATTGAATAAGTTTAAAGTCTACCTTTAACTTTTCCAAAGCTTCTTGTAAAGATGAAACAGCTTCATTTCTCTTTGCTGTTGAAATAAATATGTCATACTCCGAAGGTACTTTGATTAGAAGGTTTTCTTTGGCAGCATTGTCAATCCAAATCTCTGATATATCAACAAGTTCTATTCTTCTTTTTACTTTAGCGTCTGTTGTTTTGATTAATGCCAAGTTTGTTATCAAAATAGCATGTTTTGTGTTATTAACTAACATTTCCTCGCTAAAATAGATATGTCTGTCTCCGTATTGTTTGAGAAGATATCTCCAATCTGCTGATACAATAAAGTTTGCATAATCGTGATCTGTTGAAGTTACGATATCTTCCTTGGAAATAGGTTGAGGTATTGGCTTTCTCTCAGCTCTATTTGTTCTTGTATATAATGTCACGTCATCAACAAGATGGACAATTAATTCCTTAAGCATTTTTTGCTCAAACGCATTCTTGATATGAGCAAGAAACTTTTCTCTATTATCGTTGAATGCAAGTAACATATCATGTCCATTGTTGATTGCAGGGTTTGTGATCAAAATTGATAAGAAGTCTTTCTCTTCTGTTTCGTATGCATTAATAAGAAGAGAAGAAATATCCCTGAATGTAACTCGGGCTTTGAATTCAAGTCCTTTTGATTTTGCAGTTAAAAGATAAAGTGCTGATTTCGTGACAACCAAACTTCTTTCGTCAAACTTGTTTACCTTTCCTCTTACCACCTTTCTTACAGAACCACTCCATAAGATTTCAGATTCTCCATGTTCTGTCATTCTTTCAATGAAATGCTTGTAAGATCCTATATTAAGATTATCTTCACTTAACAAGGACACCTGTTTGTGATCTGAACTTTTTGTTTCTCTTCTTGTTTTTTCTTCGTCTTCCAGTAATTCGTCAACATCCTTTTCAGGGAAAAGAAGTTTCGATTGGATTTCAATTTGGGAACTAATAATTACTTCCTCCTCAGTAGAGTTTGTTGGTTCTTCTTGTCTTGAAGTTTGAAGAGTCTCATCATCACTATAATCGCTATAATCGCTCCAATCTTCCTTAATTTTTAATTCTTGTGACGGAGGAGTTTGGTTGAGATGCTTCTTATCATCTTTTGTAGATGGCATAAAACTTTCATCACCACTCGAGAAATTATTGCTATCATCACTATTTACAGACCCAAAAGGAGTTTCTCTTACCAAGTAATCAGGAATTAGAGGGTTTTTGATCATCCTGCTATCATCTGTTTTTATATCTATATGGGATTTAACTTCCAATTCTTCATCACCATCGTCCATTAATCCTTCATCTTCTTTACCTTCGTGTTCTTCATTATCCTTATCAAAATTATCTATTTCCAAATCATCAAAACCTTCTTCCGAACTATCATCAAAAGTAGGCATATCTTCATCATCATCAATATCGTCATCTTGTTTTTCTTCATGATGTATGACGGTAGAAGGAATTAATTTTGTAACAACTTCCTTAAACCTTTGTCTAGTAACAACATCCTCAAAACAAATTTTATATGTTCTACTTTCAGTAACAAGAGATAATCCATAATTTTTAAATTGATTTGGACCATGAAAACCATCTTCAAGTCTAATCATATCTAATGTTTTTACATCACCCTTAATCTTTTTATCTTTAGGACCAACCATGTATTCTATCCGATCAGAATACACTTTAAACCATCTTCTTTTATATGAGGCTCCGGTAGCACCTTGTCCTTGTTTGTGGAAATAGCCTTCAAGTAGTGATGATCCCTCAGAAGACATGTTGGTGAATGAAAGTGTGCGTTTTTTTAAGATGAAGCGACCTTTGTTAGCGCCCTTGTTACAGCCTTCTTTCCGTTTATATTGTTTTAATAAAAAATGAATTGTAAGGAACCTTCATCAACTCTCGCAAGTACAATACTGTTGTTCAATAGTAATATTGATTCTTAGTTGAAATATTAATATTGTTATCATTGCCAATAAAATCAAACTGTTTTTTGGCGCCTTTTTCTTTCTCGAGTCCGTTAAATTTTTAAACAATCAAAAAAATGAGTCAACAACACATCACAGATACATCAACAAGGAGACAAACCTCTTCTTTCTCCTCATCACTTCTGTCCGATCATTCCATGATTGATGATAGTGTTACCGATGAAATGGAAGTCACTCTATCGTGTTTAAATTATGGTGTAACTACAACTCTATTACAAGAAAATTCCGATATTGAATCAACAAGACAATTTTTAATGTCGGAAGTGATAGATGATCCTAATGTTGATAGGAGTAAATTTGTGATTGTTTTTCACGATATTAAAACAAACAAGGACATTAAAATTACCTCTAATACTCAATATAGACTGCTGTGGAAGAAACTCTTATTACTACCACCAGAACAAAGAGAAATCGATCTTATGGATCGAGATCAATATATTACATCTGTTAATCAAACAAGAGAATACTTTTTCAGTCCAACAACCTCTAGAAGCTTTTCAACACCAATGAGAAATATGCCAGTCGAAAGCTCATTATCACAAAGTCCATACAGCAATAGTCAACATTCAATTCCAATGATGCCTCCATCAATTTCACCTCTTTCCCCTCCTCAAACTCATCTAGTTAGACAATCTCCAATTCAAGAAACTAGTTCATCACAACAATCCAATTCGAATACTACTACCAACAACATTCAATCCCCTGTAATTCATGCATCTGTTAAAACTAGAACAAAGAAGAGGCAAGCCCGACCTACTATTAGCATCACTCCAGAAACGAAAGACGAAACAGTACCTCCAACAGTAGCCGAAGATTCACAAGAAATTGTTTCACCCTCAACTAGTGTGCCTATTGTTAATGAGATACAGCAACAACCACAAGAAGAAGTATTAGAACCTGTTCCTGTTAAATCTAGGCAAGGACGCAGACAAAAAGTCAAAATTGAACCAGTTGAGGATTCACAAGATTTGGTTGTGAAAACTGAAGAACCATTACTATCTGAAGACGAGATTGAAATAGTTCCAAAAAAACAAAGACAAGCAAGAAGAAAGACAATTGCTAAGCTTCCAGTCACAGAAAGAGAAGAAGAACAAGAGAAACATCCTTTTGAATCTTCTCTAAAGAAACAAAAATCATCACCAAAAATCTTTAATCAAAACGTTGAAGTATTCTCAAGAAAGCAGGAATGTGATACAATAATTAACTTTATCCAAAACTGTTATGAAGATTTTAATCCCCAAAAGAATGTGCTTTTTATTTACGGAACTAATGGTCAAGGAAAAACAATGGTAACAACTTCAGTATTTGATGCATCTTGTTTGGAAAAGTATCAATTGAATTTAGCTGGTTCAGAAAAAGCATCTGATTTGATATATAGGCTCTATGAAAAAGTTTACACTCGATCAACAGATTCAACAAAGAAGCAAGAGAGAATCACCAAGTTATTGGAGTATTTCAATAAGAAGCACACACCAGCACTCATCTTACTTGATGAATTTTCATATAGCAAGCATAACAAATATCTGGAACAAATTCGAGTGGCTAAAGTAATAATATTGGCCATCACCAACGATCCACCAAAGAATCCAGGTATTAACTTTTTGGCATTTAATCAGTATGAACAGGATGATATTACCTCAATCCTTGTTCATGAATACAAGCACAAGATTTCAGCAGATATGATTCAGAAAATGATGGGTCTCTTAAAGAACAAACATGATATGAGACAAATTAAATCATTTGTGGAAACTCACTTGATTCCAATTGCTCATACCTTGGATACAAGTAAGCTGATAAAACTTGTAAATACACAATTTAGCAGAAAATTGGATATACTAAAAGGATTAGGTCAGACAACAATTGAAGTACTTGTCATACTTTGCTGTGTTGCATCTGAGAAGGAAAAGTTTAATGGAGAAATAACCTCTGAGGAATTTAGAAGAAAATATGAAGAGATACTTGATGACGATTTCAGAAGTAACTTTACTGAAATTGCAGATAGTACTGAAAAATTAGCGCAAGAGAATTATATTGTAAAACAAGGAATTACTGGTGATATTGTTCTGAACATTGCTCCTGATCTCGTTTTGAGTTCAGATAACAAAACTGTAAAGAAAATCCTATCAAATAGAAAATAAATAATTTATTAGTTCACTACAGTAATGACATTCTACTTTCTCACAATAAGTTGCTCTTTCAAGAACGAAGCAATTACATCATAAATTCTTTCATTAGATTTCCAATCCAAATGATCAAAATCATCTCTCAAAGTGTGCCAAACAGACGGGAATGGTTCACTAATCAAGTGAATAATTGGCACACCCTTCTCCATAAATGGTCTGTGGTCATCATCAATTCCAGAATATGAGATACCATCATTGAAAAACTTTGCAGATCCATATTTAGTTTTTTCGATGGTGGTCATTCTTGAAAATAGAGAACTTGTTCCTCCACTCTTGTGAATATAGAAATTCTTAAATTTGACATCAGCAGTTCCAATTAAATCTAAGAGCATTAAATATTTAATGGATGATAATTTGTTTTGAGAGGACCATAAATTAGCCAAATGTCTAGCTCCATATAAGGAATCATCATTACTCCAATTTTCAAAAGCTTCCTCTCCATCAAATAAAACAACTATTGAAATATAAATCCAAAATTCCAAATAATACTGCTACTCACTTTGTAAATCATAATTCAACTTATTTCCTGAATTAATTGTTTCATTATAATAATGTTCAAATTCAACCATAAAATTTAAAATCATGGCCAATGGAACTACAGAATCAGTTGCTCCAACAAAAGTATTTCCTTTGAAATATTTACTTTCATAATGACAAGCAAGAACAATTCTCTTTCTATTTTCACTTTCCAAATCAGAAGAAGGAGTAAAATCAAAAATAATATTTGACATTTTCAAATCTCCAAATATTGGTGTTGTAGCAGTAAAATTATCAAAACTGATCGTATAATATTTTGTATAATTTTCAATTGTAGATTTAATATATTCTTGTGTTTGATAATATCCAGTAGAAACACTTGGTATTCTATTTCCATAATCACAAACTGTCTTGGTTAATTGTTTAATATTTCCGATAGAATCTGTAACATTAAATGTTATTGAATTGGAGGTTCCGATTGGTTTAGAATGATAAAAAACACTAAAACTAAAAACAACCATGAAAATGATCATTAAAAAATACGTTAATTGATTCAACTCCATTTTTTTTAAAAGTTTAGAGAATTTACTTATTCTTCTTAGTTTCCTTTTTCTTATTGGAAGATTTATCAGCTGATGATGGTTGTTCAACACTTGTTGTGGTAACAGTAGCAACAGATGTCTTCTTTACAACCTTTGGAGCCTTTTGGAAGAATGGATGTGAAATATAATAAATAATGATAAAGTGCAAAACAAAGTATGCCTTAACAAGTTGTTCAGGTGTGAATGCAATGACTTGTCCAGAAATTTCCTTAACTGGAATAGAAGACAATGGAATTTCAATAACATCCAATTTGAGAATAAACTTGGTGACATAGAGGAAAGCACTTATCAAAATTGGAGCCTTAAGAGTGAAATTTGGTGAGCTCAAAACACTTCCTTCAACACTTTCACCAACATAGAGATTGACAAAGAATGGTCTCAAAATAGCACCTCCAACACAAGCAATAGAACCAAGAATAATTGGTGCAAAGTGTGATTGTGGATATTCAGCAGCACCTCTATTAACTCCACCAATACAAAATCCACCAACAAAGAATCCTTCAGCAGCAAAAGTAAAAAGTTGAACTAGGGCATTACCCAAAAGGATATCAACAAGGTTAAATGGTGCATAAATTGTAATGATCCAAGCACTTATTTTGTTTGTAAATAATCACAATCATCAACCTACCAAATTAAATATAAATTAATAATATCATTATCAAAGAAGATTTGTGTTTTTCCTAAGAGGAGAGAAGTTAAAATAGCTCCACCAGTACCAACAGCAAAGCACAACAACATTCCGGCAACAAAAGGAATTTCCTTGACTTTTCCTTTAGCGATCAAGCCTTCAAAACATCTCTTGACCATCAAGGCAACAATAAAAGCATGACTTAAAAAGAATAAGTTAAATACAAGAGTAGCATCCAAAGATTGATATGTATCAAAAGCGTTCTTTAAAACAGAGTGACCCGACTTGACGAGTGGGTGATTGATCACCTCCAATAAACTCATTTTTTTTAATAATTAAATTATCCAAAATTATCTATTATTAATTTCTTATTACATTTATTTACATTGTTGTTAATAATTGTTAATAGATAATTGAGGTCCATATTTGGTAATCAAATTTAAATAATACATATATTATACAATAATCACTGATTGTTTTCTTTGAATAGTAAATACAGCATACCAATTTTGAAAAACATCAGTTTCAATAAGTCTACTTTGAGTATCAGACATGTTAGTAAGTAAATCATTGTAAATAATTGTGTATAAATCTGATACTTTTGTAGTATTAGCATATTCAATTAATTCTGCACTTGATGAATCTGGTTTTTCATAATTTTCAAATAAGGCATAAAAGAGTTTTCTAGTTCTGGATGGTATATTCAATTCATAGGGAGAGTCTTGTTTAAAGAATTGGTTTTCAACTTGTTGAAGAGTTTCATGTGGAATAAAACCATTCATTCCATATTTTGATACCAATTCTCTCAACTTTTCATAAAACATAAAATTTTCAAGTGATAATTCCTTTGTGCTATACTCTTTGAATAATTGTCTGAATGAATGATTTTCTAAAAGCTTTTCTAATTCTGATTTTGGACTTCTATCCTTTCGTATGGCTATCACTAGCTCCTTAATAAAAGTACTACCACCACAAATTAATGTGAAAACAAGATACGACAACCAAAGCAAAACTTTGATGGAATGATTGTAAACATCTAATGCAAACAGAATCACAATGGATATCACCAAAACCAATAAAATTGACATTAACATTAAATCTATCCGAATATTATACACATCATCCCAAAGTAGAAACTTTTTAACCCCATTTTCTCTAATTTGTTTCCAATTCATTTTAATGTCTACAATTATTGCAAACAAACCAATCAAAGCACCAATTATTGGATAAATTGGAAAACTAATATTTGTAATTAAGAATCTTGTTTTGTATCCAATGTCAAAAAATAAGGCTACACATTGTAGGGTTAGCAAAAATGATAGAATAAATGAAACTAAAGGGATAGCAACTAGAGCAAACTTCTTAGTAGTTAACAATTTCATTCGTTTAATTCTGTTTTCGTCTATACTTTCGTTGTTATACATAATAGAATAGATGTTCCTGAGATAGTATATTCTTACCACAGTAAATCCATATGAAAAACAAACAAAACAGAAAATAAAACTTCTCAAATATCCAATCCACTCTGAACAATAATAGAATATATAGTTAGAGCCTCCTATCTCCTGAATAAATATCAAAATAGGAAAATATGGTATAATTAATCTAATTTTCATCGATGGTTTCAAGAACAGTCTTGAAATAAATAGAAATAGAAAGTATAATATGATTAATACTATGCAGGGAATATGCCAGTAATCCATGTCTACAAAATATGGACTTAAATAGTAAGTTTTGAGGTTATCAAAGTAGTCACTTGATGTTGGCTTAATGTTTTCAAGATCAATATGGTACAGATTACTAGCATTATCAATCATTGATTTAAAGCTGTTATAGTCCACAACAACATTCTCAACTCCAGAGTAAAATTTGATAAAAGAAATATCATCTGCAGATAAATTTCCATATCTAAAGTACATGTAAATATTTGTGCTCATAAAATCCGTCTGTTTGTCAAATGATATTGCATATGCAAACGATGCTGGAAAGGCTTCTTGAGATCTTAAGGAGAGAGGGATTGCTCTAATTGGTAGAAATTTAAACAAATGTTCAGAGCCATAGAAATGTGCTGCAAAGAATACTTCCCTATTTGTGAAGATAATGTCATATTCGTTGAAAGGGTTATTTGGAGCACAGAATGAATTATAGTATTCAAAAGTTTTCCAATTGATCGAAGCTACTGAATAAAATTTAAGCACTTCCTCCCAATATGGGACCATCTCACTTGCAACTCCAATTGTTTGGTTGTAGTTGTATGTGATAAAATCCTTGAATGTAGTAATCTTAAGATGAAGAAAGGTTTCCTCTCTAACCAATAAAAAAGAAAAGGAATACCCATATGATAGTACATCTCCTTCTTTAATGTTAGCTATATCGATCTCTTTCCCCTTCGCAAATGACGGTATTGTAAAGTTCTTTGAATAAATAAAATCTAAACTATATGAAGGTGAGCATGTTGATACATGAACATGGTTGATTAGAATAATATATGAAACGACCAACCAGATTTGCAGTAACATAGGTTTCATTGTTTTTTTGTGTTGTTGTGTCTTTTTGAAACGTGATCACAATTTAGAAGTCCTGTGAAAACCCAATTGTGTGCATAACTTGTTCAACGGGCTCTGGTTCTTTACAAACGCGCTGGACGTGTCAGATTTCAGCATAGATGAATGACCATGCGTCTGTACAAAAGCAAAAAAATGGAATTTTCTTTGTGGATCTGTAAAATAAGGCAACATTGAATTATTGAGCCAAGTTACAACCTGAGAAGGCAACAAGTCATCACTAACACCTTCTGATAATCCATCCACCAACCTAAAGAACATATCTTCATTGAAATGCACACGATTTCCAGCAAATGGAACAAATACTGAACTCTGTCTATCTTCTGGTAAAGCAATAACACCTTCTATTGTGAATCCATCAATAATGTGATAATGAGGAATATTTTGCTTCAAATTCTGAAATTGTTCCTTTTGAATATCATACATTCTTTTTATACATCCACTAAGAGATTCAATAAAATCCTCAATAGAAATAGGATTCAATTTGTGGGTAATTATTAGAAATTTGGGAAGGAGTGAGCCATCACTATTTTCCGAGGAAGCAATTTCTCTTGTAGATTCTTCCCTATTATTGATTGTCTCCTTATAGTTGCCAGTCACTAGAGGGTTTGTTTGCAAATATTGTAGTGAAGGAAGAACAGGTTCCTTGTTTGTTCCTTTAGAATCACCACTATTAATACTTGTCATCATTTCTTGTTTTACTTTCCCACCAAGTTGAAGAATGGATGAAAATACTGTATTCCTATTTACCATAGTATTACTATTTCCTCCATTCTCGTAACTAATAGAGTGTACAACAAAGTCTGGATCGAATACTTTTCCTAAAATCATCACGATGATGCAATATATCGAAACCAAACTATTAAAATTCTTCTCTCAAAAGCTTCAATGCAGAGTAGCTATATATCTTCTTCCGCCAATCACATAAATTATTATTGACTACTATTAATCAAGATGAAAATCAAGCTTCCTTCCTCAAGTTAGCAATAGGCTTGAAGTGGCTTTTCAGAGGAGCAGCAAGACAGATATGACAAACGTTAGGTTTTTTTACAATCCGTTTTTTTTTAAAAAATATTTTATCTAATAATAAATATAAAAAAAAATATGATTGATACACCCTCACCCTATCACCACCAAGATGACTATAACGGCTCTCATCACGACGCAATAATAGATGATCATCATCATGATGGTTCCTACACAAATACATCCTCAGCATATGGTGGTATAAAACACAAGAAAGAATTACCAGAAATTGAATTGTGGTTATGTTCCAAGCTGAATACAGACTGGAGTTCGGATCGTATCGCATCCCAAATCAATGAAGAAACACTAGAGTTGTTCTTGACAGACTCTACTCATCATAACTATGAAAATTTTTATAATTTGGGTGTTTCAAACTCTCCACTGATAAAACTTCGATTCATAATGTGTTGCCTTTCTGTAAAGAAGAAGCAAATGTCTCCTACATTGGCATCTCACTTTTGTACATTATTCAAGGTAAGTTTTGAAAGCAAACCGAATGCAATTAACCTTCATACCAAACTAACTACTTTTTGAACCCTTCTATTATTTTTTTTGGGTGTTGGCTTGCTTATTTTACGAAATGCATTTTACTCCCATCACTCCCTTCAAACCATCACACTACAAAACCAACAACTTTCGTTATTATCATTATTGCACAAATACAGAATATTATCGAGAGTACCCATGGAGAAGATGATTGGGTTAGAATGATGGCAGAAATACTGTACTTATTCCCAGAACATTCATGTATTAGAACTGATATTCAAACTAGTATCCTGAATGAATTGGCTATTAGTGCCCCTATTGAGCAAGAAGATTCTCCTCAACGATATTTCCAACAAGCTATCAAGTATTTCCGTAATTTATCACTAAAGGATGAAGATAATGATGCTCATATGATGAACGATGATTCTAAAAACTCCCAATCTCCTTTTGCTACTCTTAAACCAAACGTTTTCAAATATTTGAACGTTTCCTCTGAGGGCAATGAACAACTCACAAAAGAATTCAACGAAAAGAAACACTACTTGGAAGAGATGGCTAATGGCCGATCCTTGTACAGTTCTCACTCATGTAGTTTAGTTTCTAACAAACATTTCAACCTAAGACCATCTGCTTGTAAAAATTTAATTGAACCGCTTTCTGTTCTTGATGAATTGGAGAGTGAGTCTGCTAAGAAGAATGTTGGAGTTAAACTTTCTCCTCTTAAAAAACTTACTCCAACTAGACCACAAACATACAATTCTAATACCCACACACCAACAAGTGCAACTATGTTAAATAAGAACAAACTCACTGGTATCAAGAAAATTAACAATCTACCTTCCACACCTAAGACAACCCTTATCAAAAATCCTCCTACTCATGGTACACAACTCATTTCTACTCCTGTTTCGTCAGCTTCCACATCGAGATCAGTTTTTCTAGATGACTCTGTTGCTCTTCAAAGAATGAAAGAACAACAATTAAATGAAAAGAAGAGAACCTCCACCAAACAAATGACAGATGAACAAAAGGTTCAAGAAAAAGAAAGAAAGAAGATTGAAAAGATTGAGATGAAGGAAAAGAAGGAAAAAGAAAAAATCGAGAAGAAGAAAGCAAAGGAAGAAGCTAAGAAGAAACAGGCCGAAGAAAGAAAGGTTGCTGCACAACAAGCTCAATTAGCAAATGGTGCAGGTCCTGGTAGAAAGAGAAGAAAGAACAATCCTGCTAATGCTCAACAAGGTATGCCACAAGGTGCTGATAATATGATGCCACAAGCTCAAGATCCTAATATTAATCAACCAATGCATGCCAATCCTACTAACCCTCATCAACAAGCATTATTCAGTACAACACTCATGAATCATACTGCACCTTATCTTACTCCAATGTTTAATCCTGGTACTCCTGGAGGATTTTCACACTTCCCTCAAAATCAATATTCCAACATGTCTGGCTTGTTGACAAATCCATTCTTTGCCAATCAACAAAATCCTTCTCAACCCACAAGTCAACAACCTGGATTAATGGCTCCTCCAGGAGTATTACCTGGTGGTATTGGAAAGGGACAAGAAAGCTTTACTCAATTACTAGGTATTAATTCTTCTCAACCATCTAATGCTCGACCTCCAACCAACAATTTATTACCTTCCATTGGTAACCCTGCATTCCCTAACATGATGGGATTCCACCAACAACCTGATAATAACACTATGAATGGATTGAATAATCAAATGATGATGATGAGTAGGCCTCAAGCTAATCCAAATCAAATGAGACAACCACAATATCCACCAAATTATCAACAACCATTCGAAAATACTCAAGTACAACAACAGCCACAACCAACTCAACAACCTCCACAACAACCTCAAGCAAATGATGAAGAAAGAAGACAAAGAGTTGAACTTTATTTGAACACAAATATTTTGAAAGATTGTAATCGTGTGACTGAGGAAACTAGAACTAAGATTTTCCAATTTCTTACTGGTCGTGTTCCTGATGATGGCCTTCTTGAAGACAAAGTTCTTATTCACGAAGAATATGGCAATGACGAAAAGAGACAAATATTCTTCCATATGGATCACACAAACAGAAAATGGAAAAAGATTATGCAAAAGCAAAGTAACCAACCAACACTTGGTATGGAGTAAAATAAGCTGTTTAGGACCTAATTTATTGACCTTACTTGTAATATCAAACTTTATTTTTTATCATAAACTTGCACAAACTCAGTCTTACTTCTTCCAAAGCATTCAGGAGAGTACATTTCTTCGATATAAGCTGGAGGAGAAACAAATGATCCAATCGTAGTAGCTCTGCATATATAACTGTAAACGTGGGAGCCTTCATATAAGATTCTGCTGAATGCTTCAACTCTTTCATCTCTAATGTTTTGATTTTCGAACCATTTGTAATAGTATTTGTTTGCTAAATCTTCTTCATTGCCACTATTTCCAAAATCAGTAAATTGTGTATCGAGTTCTGGATTGACAGCTTCGAAACCTGCTGGCATCTTGTCAACCATGGCTACATTGTATCTTCTGGTTGGATTGCAAATCGTAACTGTTACTCTGACTAATTCTCCTGATTTTACCTTCCATGTTTTTGTTGACTTGTCAAACTTGACATCATCTGGGTTGGTAATTGCTTCGTAAACTCTGGAAACTGAAAATCCTTTATCAAGAGCTTTGAGAACCAATTCTTCAGGAGTGTATGAAAGAGCAATTCTATAGTAAAGCCTTCCAGCTCCATTCTTTGTCAACAAGAATGACTTTTTGGAATCACTTTCATTTGGATTAACAACTTCCTTTTCAATATCACTTCGTGGAACAAAGGCAACAAGTGGTAATGATGTAGTTTTCTTTTCTCTACTTCTTCCCTTCCAAGATTGATTACCCATGAATACAGTTTCCTCTGGTCTAGTACTATCTACTAGCCAAGTATTGACATTCATATCTGGAATTTCCTTCTCAAATATCTTGAAATAATCAGTGAGTGACATGAGACAGATGGAATTTTCTTGAGTATTATACCAACGACCATATCTGTTTGCATTTCTGGCAGCCAACAAACTTCTCACCAATTTTTGAATAATATCACTACTGTCTTCTCTATCAATTTCCATCAAACAACCCAAAACAACAGCATCAGTTCTGGTATTTGAATGCAACATAACCATTTGAGCGAGTTCATTATCTTCATAACGAGTAATAAAGTGAGCATAAATTCCAGAGTCAATTGTTACATTTTCCTTAAAGTATGATTTGATAGCATCCAACCATTGATGAATAGTTATCTTTTCTTTAGTAAATTTAGCAAAGAAGCCCTTCTTTTCTTCTGTTACTGGTTCCTTCTTACATTTATGAATGGCCATAGCAAGGTAGGCAGCAGTCTCTGGGGATAATTCTTGTGTCAATTCAGTAATGCTATTATAATGATCAAGAATTCCTTCACACAGAGAAATTACCTGTCCCTTATCAGATTCACTTTCAGCTAACAATGATAAAATATAATAGGCATATGATTTGATTGTATCCTTAATACATCTTGGCCAAAGGAATCCAAAGAAGAATAAACTTGAAATATTCTTCAAAATGGATTTGGTTCTTGATAATATTTGATCTGGGATTTTGTAACCTTCAGATTTACATTTTGCAAAACAGAGAGCTACATGACATGTTAAGAATGGGTCTCCAATTAACTTGCTATCCCAATATGAGAATGCTCCGTCATATCTTTGACGATCAAATAATCTAGCAAGGTTGGAATTAATGAATGTGTTAACTTCTTCCTCTCCAGAAATTTCCATCAATCTTTGAAGCTCTTCAGGTGTGTAGAATTGTAAGATCATTTCCTTCATACAAACTATACCTAAAATCTTTGATGCAATTTGCTCATTACACTCATATGGATAAGAATAGAGATAAATGAGAGAATCAGTCAATGTAGATAGAGCTGTTGTTGAAGTACTAACAGTGAATTCACCAAAGTGTGCCAATAGATTCTTGGATGGAAGTGAAATTGGTTGTACAATAGTTTCACTTTCTGCACTAACATCTCCATACGTTGCAAAAGCTTCATTGGTTACTGGAGTAAAAACTTTGAAATCATTCTTGACAGCATCTGACCATCCAACCATTCCATCGGCAAGTTCTTGCTTTTCAGGATTCTTGGCTATGGCTCTAACCACTCTAACTCCAAGATTGATAAGAGCCTTACCACATTTGAGTACTTGAACAGGAATTCTAATTTCTTTTCTTCCCATTGCTGGTATCACAACAGTATATCCCTTCTTACGTTGATTTTTATCCTTTCCATTGAATATTCTGAGATTTGATACATTACATACTAGAGAAAGAGTCAAATCAGAATCTGTTTGATTTTGTAAAACATAGGTCAAATCACATAAATCTCCATAATTCAAAAATCTTGGAAGTGATGGTCTAACTGCAATAGGTAAATTGGTAGTAATTGCAGAATTACCAATACCAAACATGTCTTGTTTAGCATTTACAACAGCTGTAACTTTGAATTTTGTGAGAGCGTCAGTCAATTTGAAATCAAGCTTTGCAAATCCATTTTCATCAGTTTGAGCAAATCCAATAAAAGCAGCATCTGGTTTAAAGTTGGAACGAATTTCAAATACACCATTTCTATCATCCATAGATGGCATCTGGGATCGTGAGCCATCATATGAATCCTTACTATTTTTACAACACCTTCTAGAAAAACATGCAAGGCCACATGACTTCTTGCAACACTTTTCACGTTTGCATTCCTTTTGAGCCATATCGTCACATTCGCCACATTGTTCACAGCATTTACGCGAACGGCCTCCACTGCAACCAGCTAAATCACATGCACACAAATTTGAAGAAGGGAGTGCCTGTTGTCTTATTGCTAAGATTTCTTCATCTCTTTGATTTTTTCTTGGATATAACCAATATCTTACTCGATCTCTTATCGAAGAGAAATCAACAGAGCATGAATTGTTAGAAACAAAGGTAAACATTGGATTGGTAACTGAATAATTGGCCATATCTAAAACAGCTTGATCAGCAACAATTAAACAAACCTCACAATTTGGTACATTGTTTCCTTGCTTATCTTTTACGAGAATGCTGACATCAGTTTCTTTTCCTGGACTCAAGATTGGGTCCTTTGGAGTGACAGTTACAGTGAGTTCATGCTCGGTTTTGGAAATATTGAGGGTTAGAGATCCAGTAGCATGAGCTGGATTAACTCTTGGCTTGTCATCAACATCAATATAATTTTCAGTACCAAATAATTGAACTCTTACTTGGATATTAGGTCTGTATTCCTTCTTGATTGGAATGGTCAATTCATGGATACCGTTAGTAATGTCAAATCTCTCCTCTTTGATTAATCCATTGCATAAAACCCAGGCAAATCCAGAGCACTCACCATTGAATGGAGAGACAATATAAACTTTGGCTTCTTCACCTGGCTCGTATTCATCAGTTTCAAACTTATTAGAAATTAACTCAAGTGAATTGGTGCTGAGTGAAGTGTATCCCTTTGATGTCAAGTGTTCTTTAAATCCAAATTTACGAATTGGAATACTACATCTGTTAATGCCTGATCTAAATTTTGGTCTTTCACTCTCTTTTACCTCACACAAAATTGCATACTCTCCATAGGCAGTATCATTTGTGTTTTCATTGAGGGTAAATGTATGAAGAAGTGGTTGACTTTGAGAGGTTAGATTAATTTCCTTGATTGGTTTAGTGGTTTCCCATCTTTCATAACCCCTAGAATCATAACCAAACTTGACCAATTTTACAGATATTGGAATATCCTTTACAATTTTACCTCTAATATCTGTAACAATGAAAAAGCAGTCAATATTTTCATCAGATTTCATAACAACTCTCTTTGTACAGCGAATACCAACATAGTATTTACAAGAGTGGAGAATAACCTCACTAGATGTTCCTTGTGTTTGTCTATTAATATCTTGAACATTTGCTTTACAATTAATGCTTATTGGACCAGTTACTATTTTTTCTGGATCCCACAACTGCATAAAGGCATGATCATCTCCGCTTGGGTCAGTTGCACTGTTAAAGCTTTGATATACTTGATATTTGGATTTCATATTTTCAATAAGAGTATTGAGCTTGTAATTATTTCTGAGATCTGTATCTTGAAAGACATAATTACTCCATCCTTCTGGATTAAAGGTTGCAGGTTCTGTGTTGAACTGGTAGTTAACTTGGGAATTGGACAAGCCACCTCCACTATAATACTTTGCGCTGACCTTATTTACCAATTTGTCACCAATAAACAAATCCACCTTATCAGATGAAGGAATAATGCTGCTAGAAACTGTATACTCTTTTGTTCTAAATTCTTGAACATTGAAAGTGTGGTTAAATTTTCTAGATCCATAGCAAATTGTCAAGGAATGAGAACCCAAATTAGCATTATCAGGAACAGTTAAATCCAATACAAAGGATCCACTTGGACTCAATTCAATCTTTCCATCCAAATATTTGACACCTCGAGAATCCTGAACTTCATAGGTAGCTTTAGTTTCAGTGGATGGTTCTCTAATAGAATAGGTGCCATAGTTCTCAGAACCCTTTTCATAATTGTACTTGATATCTCTAAGGAAACCTTTGATATGTACATTTTCATTTGGCTTGTAAAGACCACGATCATTAAATATATGAGCAGAAATTGTGTCGGTTCGGATTGAATGAGAGTAAATTGTTGGATTTGTGTACACAACTTGATCTTGATCTTTTGAAATGATCAAAACAGTGTGATAATTACGACTGTAGGAAAAGAAGGCCATTCCATTTTCATTTGTTGTTTCACTTGTTGAGATAATATTCAAGTCTTCATCTTTCGTTGGTGTATTATTGGTAGAATAGGATAAAGTTACTGTGGCATTTGGAACTGGTTTTCCAGTTGAGAAATCAGTAACAAAAACTGCTGCCTTCTCTCCTGTGATACTAATAATATCAGCACACAAATTTGAAACTTGAATCCACTTGGTTTCGTATCCATTAAATAAGTTGTATAAAATAGATCTCTTTGGTTTGATGTGAACAAGTAGAGATCCAGTCTTTCCATTTTGGAGATATTGAGATAACATAATCTTGGTTGAAACTGTTCTATCTTTTACAAAGTTATCAGGTTTTACCTTTTGATCAAAAACTTCCTTTCCAATCTTGTGAGGTTTACGAGGATACCAATCAAAGTAATCATAATTATCATATGAATTAAATACTGTTTTTGCAGCTAACTTGGGAAAAGAGCTTTCCTTGTACATTTCTACAGGATCAACTTGATTAATAATAACATGAGTTTCTTGAATATTTACAGAATCAAAGTAAAGAAAAGGATCTTGTGAATCAAACAAGCAAGGTGGCATAATTGTTGAGTTTGAAAGAGTCATGTTGAATTCTCTATCTTCTCCGCTCACTTCAAAAGTTGCTTCATATTCATTTTCCAAGCTTTGATTATAAATATCAGGGACACCTTTCAATATTTTCACACGATACTTTTCTCTAGCAAGTGTATCACCAGATATTACAATACTATTACCATTACAAGTTACCTTATAATTTTTAATGGCTGGTTCAACTTGGACAAATGTTTCAATACTTTCTATCTTGTCCAAATCAATTGGATTGTTGAAACTGAAAGTAAATGAACATCCTGGATAAATATCATTATAAAATAAATGTTTCTTTGGGTAATGATAGTTGACTGCCATTTTGGAATAACCATAAATACCTGTCGAGTATTCATGAGCTGACGGTATTGGTCCTTCCAAACTCTTATACCCCTTTTTCAATAAAATACTCAAATATTCTCCTAATCCAATTTTTGGATAATCCTTTCCAGCATGTAAAGTTTCATTGGCAATATGCAACTTCAGCCACATACACCTCTTTGGGTCATATGTGCCTTGAAGGCATCTATTGTATGATCCAAAAACATATGGAAACTTTTTAGCATAATCCAAATCTTCCAACATTTTGGAAATAATTGATGTTTCTTCTAATACTTCTACACCAATAGATTTAGAAGAAACTGTTATTGACAAATGTGCAAGAACACTTTGCTTATCCATATCTTGATCAAATTGAAGGAAAATGAAAGGAAGTTCGGAAATTGGGAAACTTGTTGACGAAGGAATAACTGAGAGAGTGCGTGATGTTGGCGTTTTGAAAGTGACCACCAAATCTTCTTCAATCGTGTTACCAAACACAGATTTGGTCTTTTCTTTCAGAATCTTGTAAGTGAATTCATTAGATCTATCAAATCTGAATCTTGGTTGAAATACTAAAGATTTAGTTCCAATCCATTTCCATTTTCCTTCCTTAACATTTTCAGTGACTGGACTAATTTCAACAAAATCAATTTCTTCAAATGATTTTGGTTCTCCATCAAATTCTTCAATCATATCATGACTAAATGTAATGGAAATAAATGGTACTGAACTTATTTCCGAATTTTGCTTTCCAGTTGGAACAGATCTAATGATTTTAAAGTTTGTTTCTTGTTTCTTGTTTTCTGTTGCCTTTTCTGCCAGATAATTTCCTACAGAATTTATGGCAGTTTCTAATTGATCTAATTTAGGAGGAAATTCAACTTGTTGTTTAATTTCAACAGTACCAGGTTCTGGAGGTTTTAGTGATTGTTCTCTCATTAGATAATTTTGTTGAATTGACACTTCTTGATCATCTTGATCTTTTAATAATTCTGCTAATAATTTTTCTAAACTCTCCTCATCTAATTCTTCAATTCGGAATGTAGATTCATCAACAGTCTTGGAAAAAGCCTCCTCCACATTATTTTGAATATCTTCGGAAGAGGATGATTGACTTGAACTTTCATTCTCTCTGATCAATGCCGAGACAACATCCTTACTTTCACCCTTTTTTACATACAATGTCAAGTTTCTATAATTCAACAATGTTGGATCAATTTCTTCCTCCTGTTGTTGTTGTTGTTGTTGGGACATGATGACGACGTTATAGAAGAAGAATTGGCAATGTAAATTCTTTTTTTTTGATTAAAAGTTCATAGCTTCCTATCGATGATTTATGAAAAGACTCTTGAACAATGAACAGATCTTGAAATGTGATGTGGTAAAAAGGAAGTAATATTAAGGAACCAATAGGAAGATTATTACAGTACCTATTGAGTTCGTTATTTATGATATTATATTTATCAAGTATTCAGATTGAATACAGTCAATCCTTAAATCAAATTCTTCAGTTATTTACATTAAAAGAAACTAGATAAGGCATGAAAATTCATTTCATTATCCAATAACGCTTCAATTTAATAAAACAGTATCAAGACATCACCCAGAGCACTTTAGAAACAACAAACTCCCAATTCAACTAATTCACAATACTCAAACCCACACCCAACTACTACCAACAAAAGAACCTGTTGTGATAACATTAAAAATAGAGCTTGGGTTGTCTGTTGGTTATTCTCTTGTCAAATATATATCTCATAAAAAGTGTGGCAACATTAAACCTTGTTACCCACACTGCTCATGTTGTTTATATCTCTCTCAGAATCTATTATTAAAGTTACTTAGTAACGTTTTATTGCAATCATTACTTCTGAACATTCTTTTCATCATCTTTTCAATATATATTAAATCACTTCTTATCAAATTACTAACTGTTCTCATCCAATAGCCAAAATGAATTTTATGAATTTCAAAACAAGTCACATAAATAGCAAGACAAATAATCAAGAGAAACATTTCTCCTATTCGGCCGACCACGGATCTTCAAGCAATAGTGTTGTTATTGTGGACATTATTGAGGATGCAGAAGAAAATAATTATACGAAAGGTAAATTTATTGGAATGTCTTCTCAGCAGCTGCATGATTCGTTGCCAGACTCTCACAACCAAATTAATAAGAAAATGCAAACAAACCCATTCAACAACATGCAGAAGAAACAAGGCGATTCAACTTGTCAAGAAAAAGCATTAGAAACTAAAGATAATATTATTGGAGAGAATATTGAAATGCTGAATGCAAGTACAATTGATTTGTCTAAGATTTCTCCATCAATTATTTCCTCTCTTTGTGAAAAAAACAATCATCAGCAACAACCAGATATTACACCTCCATCAGGATGTGATAATCAACATTATGAGAAATCAATAATTGGTAAATTGGAGGAAACATTGGTTGAACCTATTCACATGGAAGCATTTTCTATTCAACCTTCTTATTCAAGAAATGTAATGAATTCATCATCATCACATCATGAAGAACAAGACAACAACAATGAAATTATATTAGAACCTCCCCAAAGAAAGTATCACCATGCACTTTCCTATAGTAATTCAAGTCATAGTAGCACTTCAACAACAAGTGAAGAAGGAGAGACCTTCTCAATCTATACATTGGATGGTTCTCTTACTAATCTCCATCATCAAGAACAACCCAACTCTTCAAACAATCTCAAACAATTGTCAACCTCAACAGCAGTAGATAACAACAATAGCACACTCGATCTTCTTCAATCGATCAGAGATGAACACTCGAAAATTAATTCCCTTCTACATAACCTTCAGCATGATGATAACAAGGATGAACATTCACAATTCCATCATGAAATTCTCCACAGGAGTAATAAGACCATCGTCAACAACAATAAGAAGCACCAACAGAATATTACAACAACAATCAAACAAGAACACGAAGAATCAAACAAAACAAGAGAAAAAAATTCCAAAATTCCTTCCTCTTCCATTCTTGTTCTCGTTGGGAATCATCAGCAGAAGAACTCTACTCTGATAATGATGAGAGGGTTAAATATTGCTGCTTTTGCATTGTTGGATATTTCGTTTGTGATTGGAGCAGCATTGTTCGTGGCTGGATGTGGTTTATTGATTGCTAATAATGTAACCTTCTTCTTCTCGGGAATATTATTGTTTATTATAGGATCAGTTTTATTCCTTGTTGGACCATTGGGAAAGGCTTTGGTTGATGTCATTAATTTAATTAGACATTTCAGATGGGAGAAGAAAGTGAAGGAAATTACAAATTTACAAAATGAAAGTTCTAAAAGGTTAAAAGATCAAATGCATGAATTACATCAAGATATTAGTTCATATAGACCTCCTGATTTACCTCCATTGAAAATGATTATTTTGGAAATGGTGAATGATTTCTTTTTAATTTTGGGAGGATTAACTTTTACAATTGGATCTTCGTTATACATGTTGAATCCACCTATTTTAATTGTAATTATTGCAGAGGTCAATTGGTCTGTTGGAGCTATTTCATATTTAATTGTTTCAATAATTCAATATATTGTAAAACAAGTGGATATCATTAAATCTGCTAGGAATGGAATGGATATCAATGTAAAATGTTTTACATTCATGTCAATTGATTTATCTGCTTATTTATTGAATATTACAAGTAGTTTATTATTCACAATTGGTTCAGGTTGCTTTTTAGTTAATGAAAGATCTTTGGAAATTACAGGAGAAGTAATTTGGTCTTTGGGATGTATTGCCATGATAATTGCTGTTATTTGTAATAGAATAATTTGGATTAAGAGTACATGGTTTGAAAGAAAAGACACTACCAATAGTTTGCTTCCTTAGCTTATCCTATTTCTAGAATCTAAGGGTCTAAGTGGTAATGGTTCACTTGTTAAATAATCCATATTTCAATTGGAAAATGTTGGAAAGGTGAAAATGTACAAGGCGTATATGGAGATTGTTGAATTATCTTCAAGGGATTCTTGTGTTGTAGACTTTAGTCTCCTATTGGCGAAGTGAACGTAAATTTACGCAAATTTTTGATATTTGCAAATATTTTGCAACCAAAAGTAAAAAATATTAATTTCAATAAATTTTCTAATAGATCACTGGATGAATGATTTGGTAGCAATCATACTGCAAACCGAACTCTCTTCCCAAGAATGCCTCGAGCTGCAGGTTAGGGTCATGGAAGGTGATTGCTGTAAAAAACCCGGAAGTGACCTCTGCAGTTTTATACTTCTCAATTTTTACCTGATTACTCAACTATTCCATTAGAGATTTTGATGATTCATTTTTTATTATGGCTGTTTCTTCAATATCTTTTGTACAAAAGTTATTGGAGAAAGTGAGGCAATTATTGTCCTAAATTTTGAAGATTAAACATCTCCAGTTTATACAATTGGATCTTAAATGTTAGTACTAGTCAAATGATAGGTCGACATAGACTGGACAATGATCTGAGGCCTTTGGTTCATTTTGGCCAACACCCTTAATTCTTTTTCCAGTGAAAGAATGGGCTCTTTTTGGGAGACCCTTTCTGAAGATAACTGGTTTAGCTCTTGGGTTTCTAAGAAGTAAATGTTTTGAAATAAACATGTAATCAAGTTGATTGTAAGCATTACCTCTATTGTAATAGTGAGTCCATTGTTCATCAGATGGCAATCTTTGTGAAATAATGTCAGCCATGTGGTCATGTTTCAATAATTTTCCTAAACTTGTTTCAGAATCATTATAGTCATTCATATCACCCAAAACAATGAAATTTCCCTTATAATTCTTATCTTTCCAAGATTTTTCAATTCTATCACAAATATAATCAACTTGTACAAGTCTTCTATCTTTTGATTCTTCTCTTCCCTTACTCATAGATGTCAAATGAGTTGCATAAATTGTCAAATTATTATTTCCTGGAAATTCAATATCCAATTCAAGTAAATCTCTTGAGAAAATGTATCTGGTCTTTTCACCTGGATAGGTAGCATGTCTATTTGAACGAATATTTACAATTGGATATCTTGATAAAACTCCAACATCAATACTACGAGGATCTCTTCCATCTATTAAAATTGAATAGGCATAATTCATTGATTGTAAATATTTTTCATTGAACGAGTCCAATACTTGCAAAGATTCCACCTCCATCAAACAAATCACATCTGCATTCACTTGTTTTATTGCTTCAGCTGTAATTCTTTTACTATCTTCATCAGCAATAGTTAAATTAGTTTGTACATCATTGACACCAAATTCAAGACTTCCTTTGCGTCCCAAACATTGCTTGGATATCTTTGCCATTTGTGCCTTGTTAAAGCAATATCTACCATACAAGTTTTCTACATTGAAAGAGGCAATTCTGAATGTGTGTCTCTCTTCGACTTCTCGAATACTTAATTTTCGTTGTTTTGTTTTCGGAACATTTTCATCATTGTGGTGATGTTGTTGTTGTTGATTTTGCTCTGAAGATGACGGATCTTGTTGAATCATTTTTATTTGAATATGTTTTTATTATCCTATCAATAAATGTCAAATTTTGATGTATTACAATCAATCAATTGGTGATTATGTATGGATGAAAAGATCTTTTGGTCCATTATGCATAATATTTTGGATTCTTTTCAGTTTTATAGAGTTTATTTACAATTTTAAAGAGTGACCTTTTCAGTGACGAGAGAATCATCAGAAGAATAAATAATGACAACATCCAATTTCTTACCAGATTGCTTCTTCTTGAGGCCAATCTTCTTCAAGACTGGTTTGAGTTCTTCTGGAACTTCAACATCCTTCTTCTTTTCATCATAGACAGTAGATAATTGTTCCTTCAATTCCTCATAATCTTCTTGAATTTCATCAAAGTCAGCTGCCAATTTTTCGTGTTCCTTCAACAACTTTTCATAGAGAATACGATAATCCTCAACATCAGCATTAATTTCCTTTGGAAGATTAGGTTGTTGGATGAAAACACTGTTAGTTCTCTTCTTTTGTGGCTTTTCTTCAGCAACTGGCTTGACTTCAGGTTCCTTTGTTTCAGTAACAGGAGATGGAGTGAATTTACCACCAGCTTCTTGAAGACCTTGCATAATGGCCTTTCTTCTAGCATGGGCATATTCGTTATCCTTGAAGAGACCTGCCTTGTACATTCTTTCAATGGCCTTAACACGTCCTTTAGTCTTTTCATCAAAATCTTCTTCCTTCAAACTATCAATATCAACACCATCAAATGATGGTTCAGCAGTTGGTGGAGGAGTGGAAGGAGCAGAATTTTGCTTTTCTTGTTCTTGTTGATAGAGCTTAGTGATCGATTTATCAAATTCTTCTTCAGTAATGACACCCTTGTTGAGGAGAGTCTTCAAATTATTCAACTTTTTGGTATCTTGAATCTTTTCAATGAGTGGATTTGGTTGTTTGGTGACAACTGGAGATTCTTGTTGTGAGCTTGTACTTGGTTGAGACTTGTTGACCTTATCAATTAAATTATTCAATGATTTTTGATATTCAGCTTCTCCTAATAAACCACTTTGAAGCATCTTGGTCAATTTTTCATATTGCTTCAATTGTTCTGGAGAGAATTTTGATGTATCAACTGAAGATGAAGATGATGATTGTTCAGTTGTTTGTTGTGGTTTGACTTCACTTGTAGTAACTGGAGCTGATTTAGCCTTCAATTTTTCAACTGCCTTCTTATATTCTTCTTCAGATAAAGTACCCTTTTCATAGAGTTTTTGCAAGTTGGCAAGAGCCTTTTGTGTCTTATCTTCACTTGTTGTTTGTTGAGAAGATGATGAATTGGATGAAGTTTCGGAATTTGAAGAATGATCACTTCTAGCACTCAATTGGGCTTGTTGTTCCTTAATCTTTTCCATAATCTTTTGTTTACTCTTTTCATAGGATTCTTCGTTAAGTAAACCCTTTTGGTACATCTTTTCAAGATTTTCCAATTGTTTTTCAACTGGTACATCTTTTCTAGGAGAGGCAGCAGGTGGTGTTGAATCAGACTTTCCGGTAGCCTTTAATTGTGGAACCTTAGCTGATGATGGTGGAGGTGTTTGATCACCACCAGAAGGCTTCTTCTTTCCACCACCATTAATTAAATCATCAATGGAAGCAGCGAAAGAACCAGTTGGTCTATCAATGGTAGCCTCTGATCCACCATCATCCTCCTGGAAGAAACGAATCATTCCAGAGAGATAGGTTATTACAACCTTTGGATCTGGTTTTTGTTCATCAACATCTTCTGGGTCCAACAATCTTGGAATGCCAATTTCATCAGCCTTTCCGAAAGCCCATTCTAATCTTTCATTTCTGCTAAAATCATTAACCAAGTCGCTCCATTCCAATCCAGATTCCTTAAGAAGATCAGGACGTTGCTACACAGAGTAAAAAATTAAAAAACAATTATCACCATCATCACAAGAATTTGAAAATATTAAAATTGAAAAATTCAAATCATCAAATTGATTAAAATTTTAAAAACCTAGAATTAGAATTTTGTGAAAGAAACAACTTACACTGTCCAAGAGAGCACAGAATGCCAAACCACTGGCAAATGATGAATCAAAATTATCAATTTCTACACCATCATAACCATAAGAGTTACGTTGGCACCATCTAAGAATTGCGTCTCTTCCCTTGCTCATTGTGAAATTTGATACTGCTTTGTTGAAACGGTAACCGAGTGTTCTTTAGTGCTTTTAATGAGTTATTAACACAACTGTATGCTCAGGATTGTGTGTAATTTTTTTTTATCTGGTAACAGGAGTGTCAGACAGAGGGACACATCAATCAAGCATCATCAATCGTACTTTACAATCATTGATGTTCTGGGCAATTTTCCGTCATCATGACTTGAAGGAACATTTTTGCTGGTCTATTCAATTTTTCAAAAACAAGTAATTTACTGGTATCGTGAAAGAATTTTCGTCCCCTCACTCTATGTTTATTCCAATTCCTTTGAAGGATGCAGGAATGTTTACAGTTGCAAATGATAACAATAGAAGATTGCCTGATTTTTTCCAATCCACAAAGAGTTATGTTGAAAATGAGAATTCTGTTCCATGTATTTTCTGTTACACTCATATCTATTCGATATATTAGTAAGAACTCAATAATCTGTGTCTAGTGATGATAATCTAGCATCAGAGAAGTTACTCTAAATGCATACTTTCGAATATGTTGTCAAGTTCCTCATCTCCCTTATAACTAGAAATAAAAGGTATCTCATGAACAGCCTCAACAATATCTGGAAACGTTCCATCATTTCTTTCAGTCAAATCCCATTCGTGGAAACATTTCACGCCCTTCCTCGACTGAGTTTGCTGTTCAACAATAAAATATTTTCAATATGAATGTAAGGGGATGTAGCTCACATGGTAGAGCGCTTCTTTAGCATGGAAGAGGTACGGGGATCGATACCCCGCATCTCCACTTAACCTTTTGCCTCCTTAAATTAGATGAACTTTATGGCTTTTATTAATATTAAAAAAAACAAGAAAAAAGGTCATCAAATGTTCTTTGTAGTTGGTCTTACAGCCACAGTAGCAACCCTCTTAATAATCGGCAAGAGAGTTTATAAGAGGAGTTTAATGGCGATGATTTCCTACTCTATCTATAATTATTTCTATTGGTTGGAGTGTTCTGATATTTCAATTCGTAAACCAAACCATCCTCAGCTTATTCAAGAGTTGTCGAGTAAGGAAAATTTAAATGATAAAGAGAAGGCAGAATTATATAGAGCCATTGTACTGCAAGGATTGGATTGTAGAGAATTGGCCACCATTAGAGTAGCTGACTCTGTTTTTGGTCCATTAAAGTATAATTTAAAAGCTCTTCCGAAGGATTTGAAACCATATACAAAAGAACAAATTGCTGAAAACTTGGCCAAAATGAAGAAGAAATCAAGTAATGCTATATTTGCTTTGAATGCAGGACCTTTTAATCAACCTGATGAATTCCCTGATTTTACCTTAAAGGGAAGTTCTGTAAAGAGTTTTTTCTTTAATTTTGCAAGGAATGAAAGCAGAAAGGTCGCCATCTTACATTTCCATGGTGGCGCCTATGTGACAGGTGTTGGAGAATTATGTTACATTCATGAACGATGGTGCTCAGAGCATAAGTTCGACTTATTAGGATTGGAATACACAACTTTTCCATTGGGAGAAATTGAAGGAATAATTGAGGAAGCATTAAGATCTTTGAAATGGCTAGTGGAAGAAAAGGGTCATTCTGAAATTTATGTCATTGGCGAGAGTGCTGGGGCTAATTTGTGTTGGTTACTGGCAGATAAACTGTCTCAATTGGATTCATCAACGGAAGGGAAATACATGACAGCCCTAAAAGGTGCTATCTTGTTGAGTCCTTGGTGTGATTTACAAATGGCAACACCAGAATTATCAGATTTATTTCATCAGGATAGACTTGTGAGAAATACTGATTTGAGAGAGTGGAAACTAAATGGTATTCCATGTGGTCTTGGTGAAGAGGAAAGAGTCAAACAATTCTCTCCATATCTGTGGACAGCAGATCAATGGCAAAGAGTTTCATCTGTTCTGCCAAAGGGAATGTTTATTTCATACTCTGGCAGAGAGAGATTTAGTCATGAAATTGAAACTGTTATTGATAATTTGAAAGCAACCAGTTCCAGTGTCAGTATTCAGAGAGAAAATATTCCACTTCATAGTTTCCACTTGTTTATTGACTTTTTACCTGATCATTACATGAGAACCGTTACTGGAATTGTAAATTTGATAAACAAATTATAAAGTTAGATTAGATAAGGATGTTTGAAAGGGCAGTTAATTGTAGTTTCATGATTGAAGCTTGGATCAAATGTACTATCAATAGTTGTTAAATGTTTAGCCCAAAAAACTCTATCATATGATTTCAAAAGTTCCCAATCCAAGGATCTATACATTGCTATCGTATTATTGCTTGACTTGGATAAATTGTTCACATACTCATCGAGTTGTGCATGAGTTTCAAATACAACTTCTTCATTCTTGTCAGTAATCCAAACCATTGGAGATGAACCGTTATTCTTAATGTTAGAAAATAAGAGTTGTAAAGAAGGATTATCAGATAGGTTCAATCTAATTCCAAGATTACTCAATATTTCCATCACAAAGTCATAGGAACTGCCAGATGTCATATTTAATTTAGAAACCTCTTTAAGATAGTCAGGCATTTCTGAATTGTTCTTACTGTAAAATTTCTTTGTATTCCACTCAATGATTGTAGTGGATAATTCCTGACATAGTTGTTCTAAACTTGAGGATAAATCCAAAGTTCCCAAGTCAAATAGTATATTTTCGAGTGGTGGAATAATCTTTGAAGGAATAACTAATCCAACATCTTCATGATAAGTTAATAACCAAGGTCCAACCACTAGTCCCAATTCATACCCTTTAGTTTTACTGTTGGAGAATTCTAATGTTTCCTTCACAGGAGAAAGCATTCGAATAATAGATTGTTTGCATGAACAGTCAATGACCAATAATTTGATACCTATCAATTGATTTGATAAATCTCTCTGATGTGATATAATATCGAGCTTTTCCTTAATATAAGAAGGCAGCTCATCGTTTTTAGAAAAGAGTCGTTTCATATCAATTTCATTCTTAACAACATCTTCTCTACCTGAACAAACTCGTTTAGCCAATAGATCATCTATTGCTTTGGCATGCTCAAAATTTTCATGTTCCATAAATTCATGGTCGTTGAAACACAAATTGTGAGTGTGATATTGTTCTCTCTTTTGTTTTCTCTCTTCAATGTACTGAGATTTGAGCGCCTTAAATTTATCATCAAAATCATGTTCTGTATTTGCTAAAATTCTGTCAACATCTGGAACTGTGGTAATTGTTGATGTTACTTCATCAGCAAAAGGATCCACTAGAGGTGTGTTCGAAACAGAATTATTCTGGCTGAGGTTATTTCCAGATTTTGTCTTTTTGAAAGAACCCAACTTTTTAAGAAGTCCAATCTTTGTACCCTTATCTTGTTCACTTGTTTGGTGATGTTCACTATTATCTTGTTGATGTGAATTATGTGATGATTGATTGAGTGATTTAGTGTCAACGAGAATACTTCTCATTGATGCTCTCTTATCCAATGTTTCTAAATTGGATGTACTTGCAGAGGAAGTTATTGAAAGAGCAGAGCTACTGTGATTATCTTTTGGTGAACTGACACTGTTAGCACGGGATGATTTTGGAGATTTCGAAAAGGAAAGTTCAGGAAGCTTAAGTTTTGGTACTTTTTTCAAGTTAGAAAGAGTTCTCTTCAATTTGCTTGCAGTAGAATCATTCTTATCATCGGCTTCATCTTTTGGTGATTTTGGTGAAGAAACTTTTCTAGATTGTTCAGTAAATGATGAACTGGCAGCTGTCTTTTTAATTTCAGATGATTTTCCACTTTGTAAATTATCTTGAATTTCATTTAAATTAAGTTGTGATATTCCACTAAATGATTGACTTTTTCGTTTGGATGAAAGGTCAAGTTTCTTATCTGTAGTTGGAGATGAAACATTTCCAGCTGTAGAAACACTTTCTGCGGCTCCACCACTACTGATAACACTTTCAGATTCTACAGTATTACTCACATTATGAGATATGCTCTGTAGTGATTGCTGTTGATGCTCTGAAACAGAATGACCAGTCGGAGGTGAAATTGAGGAAGAAATGGTTGGAGGACTTGTAGATTCATCAACCAAACTATTATTCAAACTATTACCTCCAGCAATGGAAGTATTAGCATTTGATGATGCATTACTTATTGTACTAGTATTTAAATCAAAAGTATTCAATGAATTGGCATGAGCAGTTGCCAAATGTGCTCTCATCACACTCAACAGTTTTTTATAATCCTTCTCTTCTTTACAGTGATGACTATTGTGAACATATTTAAAACACATAAATTCATAAATTTCAACCATTCTTGATGTAATTTTCCAATCAGAATTTAAGTAGGAACCTTTTAATTCATTTTCAACTGAAAGTGGTTCAATGATGAAATTTAAAACATGATCAGGAACTTGATTTTCTTGTCCTTTTACTTGTAGATAGTGTAATAGCTTTGATTTTACAATGTTTATATTCTCCAAATCTTGTTTAGAATATTCTATATTAGAAAGTGATGAGGATGTGAGGCTTTGTTGATGCGGAGGTAAATCTGATGCATAATTCGAAGGAAGAGTTATGAATGTAGTATCATTCATTGATGAAACATCCACCGATGATGTATTGCCCATCTTTCAAAGCCTTCTTTTTTGATTACTTTCCACTCAAGCAACAGGGAGATATATTGACTTGGTTGTTTTTTTTTAAAGTTTTGAGTTGCTTGAAAAATATTTAGCGAAGAGTGGACGAGTGAACTTTTATGGTGGTAATCTATCTAATTGTCCAAAATATTAATTTTTTGTATCTGTCATGAATATATTGGGGTTTGAGTTGTTATTGGAATGAGAATTTATTGTAAAGAGAGAATTTTTTGAATGAAGGAAATCATGATCTTCTCAATAAAAATCTCTTTGAAAGAAATAACAATAGTGGCAATACTAATAAAAGTAAAAGTAAATGCACAATATCAATTGTTTCAATAAAATAAAGTTGTTTCTCAGTTGATCTTAAATGTTCGTCACCATTTTCAATAATATTTTCAATTACATTGGCGGCCATTAATAAATTTGGTGAAATTTGATTGTGTTGAGCGAGTTGAGTGAAATGTTGAGTGTGAAATTGATTAATTTTGTCCCACTTTTTCAAATTTGTTTTGATTTTTGTATTTTCCATCAATTCATTGTATAGTTTTGTAAATTCAACTGAATTGGCTGGATCATAAATTGCTCTTCCAAAACCTAAATCTTCTGCTCGAATGTTGTTCAGGAATTGTTCAGCAAATTGAGGGAATAACATGATTGGAACTTGATTTTCAATGGATTCGAATAGGGAATGAGCTCCTCCATGTGAAATGAAAATTTTAACTTTCGGATTACTCAATACCTTAGCTTGATTTAACCAAGGTCTAACTAAAACTTGGTTTTTCCATTCTGGAAGAATTCCTCTACATTTTTCAAAATCACTCCAAGTGTTAATTCTTTCAGAAATCAAAATATTATAAGTTGAATTAATTGATAGAATATTTCTAATAAAATCACAAGTGTGATTGATAGATAATCTTGCCTTTGTACCAAATGAAAGATAAATTATTTGATTCGCATTGCTTCTTTCCATCCAACCATCAACAATTTCATCCCTTTCGTTTAGTTTAGTATTATCAACAATGGTATTAGTAAATCCAACAAGATGATAATTTACAGGAAGAGGTGTGGCATAATCGAATCCAGGAAGTGAAAAATAAATAGAAGCTCTATCAGAACTATCAACAAATGGTCCCATAACAGATTCATATCCCAAATTTTTTCTCACTTCATTCAATCTATTCGATAATGAAATAACATTCCTCAAAAAATCAAAGAATCTCAACAATTTTTCTTCAATTCTATTCATAAAGAATTTCAAAATTCCTTCATTTTCCAAAATTTCTCTTCCTCTTCTCAAACTAGTTCTTTCATAAATCATTCGTGGGAAAATATTTGGTTTATATTGATGTGGAATGAGAATGAGAGTGTTTGCCAATGTAATATGTCTGATTCCTCTTTTCCTTGACCATTCAATTGCTGGTGAGTAGATGCCATCAATGACAAAGAAGAGTTTTGATGGATCTATAGTAGAAAGTTGAGGATGAGTTTCGAATAATTCATCCAATCCTCTAATTGTTGGTTCGTAAATATCAAAATAATATCCAACCATTGCTTGATATCTATCTGTCATTTGAGAATCACTAACCAATGCTCTTACTCTCTCAATTAAATTTCCTTTGATTGCATTGTGATATGGAGAATAATCCTTGATATTAATCATTGAATAATTTTGATTATTTTGATCGACAACTTGTCTCTCATCACTAGTATTGATAATAAATAAATGATCAGGTTGACTAGTAATATTCATAATGGAAATGGCTCTAGCAATCTGTTTACTATCTACAATATGTGATACATCAGGAAATGGCATTAAAATTATGTAATTATCATGTGATAATGTCACTTGTCCAAAGAAAATAATCACCGCCACAAGAACCCACAAAATGCACCCCTGTGGTTTCATTAAAATCATTTTTTAATTGTGTGATTTCATAATTTAATAGTCCTTAAATGGATCATGTAACAAAAGACTTTTAATATATTTACGTTTGATAAAACATTCTCCGAATCATATTAATTAAATAATAAAATTCATCATAAAAAATGTCTTTTCGTGATGATGAAGAATTTTCATCTCTGACCACAACTTCGGGAAGTGCCTACACCCAACCATTAACAATGAGAAATCGACCAACAAAGTTGGCTTCTCCTATTGATGAAAATCCAATCTCCCATTCAACATCCTATAGTTATGGCAATAGTAAATATTCTTCGTATGGAGGAGGACAATACAAACAATCTGCTTCATCATCTAAACCAAATCGATGGATTTTAGTGGCAATTATTGCTATACCACTTATAATATTGTTGATTTTTTCATTACAATTTAGTAGAACGGAAACATTTGAATGGGAGAACGTTAAAGAGGAAATACCTAATCTTCCAACAGGTGATGATGTTTTTAAAAAGAGTAAATTGGGTATTATTTCATATGTTGAAACAGTTTCACAGATGGATTGGATTGAGAAGGAATATTTGGATAAATTAGATAAATTAAGAGAAAGTCAAATTATAGTGACGATATCAATGTGTGAAGATTTAAAAAAGGATTTACACATGTCAAAATATTCCAATCCCGAACTTTATGACGTGTTTAGAGTCTTTACAGCCAAGAAATGCCAAGCTCCTGCATTGATTTCTAATGGATTAAAATCGACAAGCAGATTGGCAGAATATGTTTTGATTTTGGAGCCAGGATTTTCGATATTTGTTAATCAAGATAATAAGAGAGTAGATTATTTATTGAAAGAAACATCAGATAGAAAATCATTGTTTGGTGAGCATGTTGACTATGGTCTTTTGGCATTCAATGTAATGAACTCTGAAAAGAATACTCCATACTTTACCAATGTTGAAAATGTTCTTTCTAAATCCTCGAGGACAATTAACAGGAAATTACAAACCAAGTGGGTATCTTCCAGCAAATTAGAACCTTTAACTGAGAAGGAAGTGCCTGAATTATTGTGGTTTGTGTTTGCTACTTCCTCTCCTGAAGATAATCAATTCAAGGTGAAAAATTCCAAAATTATTGAACTTGTCAGAGATGAATTAGAAAAGAAATCTTTAGAGTCAAGCTATCAAAGCAGCTTTTCCATTGTAGATATAAGAAGAATGATAACCAAGTCTTTCATCTCAAACATATTGGAATCCTATAACAATGTTAAGGATGAAATCCCATCACCTCCAATTTATTTTGTTCCCTCACCTTACTCCATTGAATGGACACCTTCTCACGATTTTGAAAAACGTTCAACAGAATTGCTTGAAAACGGTCTTACATTTGCTACCTACTGCACTATTTCTCAGATACCTCTTATTAACGATTTTATCAAGAGACTCTCTGAAGGTGATAACTTGGTAGTTTCCATAGCTTCTAAATCACAAAGTGACTGTTCCTCAGAAAAGTTAACTCAACTTGTTGTATCCTCTAAGAAAGTCAAATTTGATTACAAGTGTATTGTGATTCCAACTTTCGATGAACACAAACTTCCTATTAATTTGCTAAGAAATGAAGCAATTCTTATGACAAGAACCAAATGGATTGCTCTAGTAGATGCCAGTAGCGTCATTTCCAAGTATTTGAACAGAGACTTTTTGAAATTATTCGTACATGACAAATCCTCCAAGCCACTCGACAAGTTGGAACCAATCTCCGCCAAAATTGAGACCAGATTATGGAAATCTCCACAAAATTTAATGGAATCGTATCCTTCCCTCTCTCAATATTTAGAAAAGGAAAAGATTGTATTTGTTGTCCCATCTTTCATTAGTCAATCAGATGATGAAAATACTGACATTCCACAAGAATTTACCACTCTGAAAAAGTCCCTATTCAAAAGTAATGAATACGCTCCAGTTGATTCAGACAATGCATTTATTGACACTGCAAGATATGTCAGTGTTTCTTCACAAGGTCAAAAAGCCTATCAAATCAAAGCAAGTTATCCATTCGAGCCAGTAATAATTGGCCAAGTATCTCACTTGCCTCTCTACACACAAGATAGTACCAACGATAAGATTATTTACCACGCCAATTTGATTCTACAAAAATTCCAATACTTTGTCTTGCCAAGACATTTCATAATTCAACAAGTTCCAAAAACATCAAGAAAAAGACAAAGAAGATTGGACGTTATTCTCAAAAAGCTTTCTCTTCACTATCCACAACAATTAATATCCTCCTACAGAAAGGAAGCCAAATCGATCTATTAACCCTCAATAAAACCTTCTAAGGTACCTCCGAATTATCTTTGTAATTTCTCTAATGTCTCCAGTTTTTAATGTCTTTTGTAAGTGCATAAAATCACATAAATTGAGAGATTTGTCGTTCTCTCCGAACAAAAAAAATTCATCATCGCTCCTTTTATTTTTTGGTATGTTTCAACGTGCCATCAACACAATTTTTAACAATCTAATAATAATATTTTTATCAAATAACATTCTGATAAATAGAAAATATGAAGAATTTATTTTTCCTTGTCGTTTTGTGTTGTGTAGTTGCCACCACTGCTACACTTGTCAGTGCCCAGTCAACAGCTGCCAAAACATTGAACAAGGCTGTTTATGATTTCCTTGCTGATACAACAACTAGTATTGGGTTCAATGCTATCCATCAATCTTACTTTGGTGACAATATTCTCCATGCCCCAACAAGTAAATGTACAAATTATACTACTTGGCCAGCTGCTTCCGACCTTCAAGCTGATTCTACTATGGCCAGTATTCTCGCACGTAAATATATTCTCTTTGGTGCTAACAGTGTTGCGAATGTTCCAAAAAGATTTAATTACACTGCTGTAGGTTCAAATTATGGTAAATGCACTGGTTTCGAAGCTGGTAAGTTTAAATAGTGCTGTATTAATGTGTTCTAATTGAATTTTAAAGATATTGCTGCCTCTATTGCTTATAGAATTGGTATGAATTATGCAGGTGTTCCTTTCCAAGCTTACTTTACCAATGATACCACTGTTTTTGGTAATCTCATTACTGATATGGGTAATCTCAGATTTGATTTTATTTTGAGTGGTATGTCAGTTGAAGGTACAGTAACTCTCCCTTCAGGTCAAACTGTTCCAAGAACTGATTTGATTGATTTTACTTGTCCATATATTAAGGATGGTAATGGTGTTGTCAAAGGCAATCTTGGCTCTGCTATTTCATCTTTGAGTGATCTTAATCAAAAGACAGTCAATTTGTGTGTTCAATCTGGTACTTCAATGGAAACTCTTGCTAAAAGCAATTTCCCAAATGCCAACATTACCTCTTTTTCTTTGGGTGCTGATCCATATACCAAGACCTTAAATGCTGATTTCTGTCATGCCTACCTTGCTCCTATTATTAATGCTCTCTATCAAGTCAAGTTAGATGCCACCAAGCTCAGTTATGTGGGTGATGTTGGTGCAACTAGTAATGTTGCCGTTGGTGTCAGAAAATCCTCAACTCCTACTGCAGCAAGCAGTAAGAAATCCAATGCCTCAGTTGCTGCCCTTCAATTAATTGTTGCCCTCCTCTCATTGATTTCATTCATGTTACTCTAAGCTCAAATCTAGAAGAAAATTAAATTATTATTATTACAACATTTCAAAAATTTGTACATTGTAATTGGAAATAGGAGGATATTCATTGTGTCTATTGATCGTTCAACAACAGTTTTATGAACAAAGTTTTATCTAATACTTTATGATGAATGACTCAGGAGGATAATTAGATGATTTCTCAGTCAAGTTCTTGAACACTGCAGGTAATCAATGGTCACACAACAACTCATCAATGCATTTAAAGGTTGCCCACATCACCATCATCATAACACCAATCCCTCCTATCATCACAAAAAAAATAATCTACGATATTGTTCTTTCGCCGCCATCAACAACAAGTTTTTTAAAAGAGACGAAGAAGGTGCCGATCTTGAATTATTAAAATCACAACATATAACAACAACAACATCGGATATAACAACAACAAATAGTAGTAAAAATGTCTAGTAAGAACAAACAATTCGTGGTTAAAGTTGGTATGCTTGGTGACGTACAAGTTGGTAAAACAAGTTTGATGGTGAAATATGTTAATGGTAAATTTGATGAGGATTATATTATGACTCTTGGAGTTAACTTTTTGGAAAAGAAGGTCCAAATCAAGAATACGGAAGTAAATCTAATGATTTGGGATTTAGGAGGTCAAAAAGAGTTTATGAGCATGCTTGACCTTGTCTGTAATGATTCCTTAGCTTTGTTCTTTATGTTTGATCTCACAAGGAAACAAACACTTCGTTCCGTTAAAGATTGGTTCCTTCACTCACGAAAATATAACAAACGAGCTCTGCCTTTTTTGATTGGTACAAAGTATGATAAGTTTGTTGATCTCCCAAAGGAAGATCAAGAAGATATAACAGCACAAGCCAGAAAATATGCTGAAAAGATGAAGTGTCCTCTCATCTATTGTAGCGCTGCTGCTGGTATTAACATCAAAAAGCTTTTCAAACTTGTATTGGCCAAAGTATTCGATTTCCCTCCAAGTATTGATAAGATTACTGCTATAGGAGAACCAATTTTGGAATATGAATAATTCTTCAAAAATCTTTCCTAAAAACTTAAACTTTCCACATCCCAAGTGCCGCCAAAATGTATATTTAATTAATAACTGTGAATAATTTGATATTGATTATTATCAAATTATTCAATCAAATATTTGTAAACAATAATACAGCATCAGTAAACTATTTATTCTTTTTATTTAAGGTTTATTTTGTTTTTGAAAAAGGAAGAGAACTTGCTCCACCTTATTTAGAATGCTGAGGATTCAACAATACTCTTCCATTCTGAAACAATGATTACAATTTTCATTAATTTTCAAAATAATTTATTAATACAATCTCTTTAAACACATTATTAATACCCTTAAAATGTCAGAAGAAATTTAAACAAAGAGCTTTGGGAATTTGATAGTAAGTTCAGGCAAAACAATCTTTTGCTTCAACAAAGTCAAACGTTGGAAAATAGAATTGGCCAACTTGTCTCTGATTTCACGATCTTCCCAATGCTTGTCACGCAATTCGACATATTCAGCAGTAATATCTAAAATCATATCCTTATCTTCATCTGGATAAGAATAAGTGTTTCTGTACTTCATACCCAAAGTAGCTAAAATTGAAGAAATATTTTCAGCGTGCAATGCAACATTCCACAACAATGTAGCTCTATTCATGATAGGATCAAGAATTTGCTTATCTTCAGCAGTCAATTTAGAAGAGTCTCTTTCGTATTGTTTTTGACAACATTCCCATTCTTCAACCTGTAAGATTATTATTTTTGATGTGAACAATAAAATTCCAATCACTTCCGTTATCAATACTTACGAATTCAACATCATGAGAACACATGTTATCCCAAGCAACATTTTTAATGAAGGTTAAGATTGGAGTAACTCTAGTGTACAAATCCAAACCTAATTTAGAAAGTTGAGCAGGAGCATCACGTGGAATGACTTGATTATGGCAACGTCTTTGACCAATGTGAGCAACATCAGGAACAAAATTAACCATTCCCATATAATTTTCCAAATTGTTTGCTCTATATTCAATAAATTTATTTCTAGCAGCTTGAGAAGGTGAAATCTTGAATTGAGATTTAGCAACGTCCTCAGAGTAACATCTGCTTTGAATTGTACAAATAATTGATGATGACTTGTTGTTCTTGTTGAGTCTGTTGATGGTGGTGACGATGGACTTCATTTTTTAATAAATAAATTTTTTATTTTAATAAATCTGCGAAGCTTTTTCTTCAAGCAGCGGGAGAATACACTTGGTAAGTTGAAGAAAAATTGAGGAGAATAATCAACTCTTAAATGATCAAAGTATAATTCCCATCAATAGCCACTCAAGTATTCTCAAATTAAAAACTGTCAGAGTGGCAAGGCTTGTTTTGATTTTCGAATTAAATTTAAGAATATTTTTAAATAAAAAAAAAATGTCTAACCCAACGGACTTTTTAGCTGAGTTTGATGACGGATTGGATAGTGTGGTTGGTAATGATAATATGAATGGTAGTTCATCTGTAGCATCATCATCAGGACTTAAGAGAGATTTAACAGAGTCTGGTGTTGCTCTTCATCATGATGAAGACGGATCATCACAATTTAAGAAAACAAAATTATCTACAACAATACCCGTTCATAGTAATTGGTTTAACCTTGAAGGAATCCATCAGAATGAAATTAATGGTCTTCCAGAATTCTTTAGTGAGGGGAAAAAAGCAGAAGTATACGTGAATATTAGAAACAATATAATTACACAATTTAGAAGAAACCCTGATGTATATTTAACAACATCCGATTGTAGAAAGATAATCAATGCCGATATAACTTCAATAATTAGAGTATATTCATTCTTAGAACATTGGGGTTTGATTAACTATGGTTTAGATCCAAGAAATCGACCAATTAAATTAAATCAACCTTTGGAAGATGGAAGTGATGTACAAGTACATAATTATACAAATGATGGTCAATCATTAACTGAAAAATTCTATTGTTTCCAAAGTAATAATCAAGAACCAAAGAGAGAACCTAAGCCTACTCCACCAATCTCAAATTGGACAGATCACGAAATTTTGAAACTTTTAGAAGGTGTCGAAAAATTCAAAGATGATTGGGAAAGTATTGCTAGACATGTTCAAACTAGATCTAAAGAAGAATGTGTTCTTCAATTCTTACAATTACCAATTGAAGATGAATTCCTTTTAGAACATGATGGTCTTGAAAATTCTCAATATCAAGATTTGCCACTTCCATTTGCTGATGCCAGTAATCCAATAATGCACACAGTTGCCTTCCTTTCCTCAACTGTCAGTCCTTCTGTTGCTGCAGCAGCAGCTGAAGCAGCCCTCAACAAAATTAAAGAACAATCAGGAATTACTGAAGAAGTCAAAACAAATCCACAATTTGATATTTCAAAACTAGATGTACAAACAGCCTCAAATGCTGCTATAGGTGCTGCAGCTGCTAGAGCAAAAGAAATCGCCACTAGAGAAGAAAGAGAATTACAAAGACTTGTTGCTTTTGTAATTGAACAACAATTGAAGAAATTAGAAAAGAAGATTAAATATTTTGAAAAGTTAGAAAAAGCCATGCAACAAGAACGAGAGGAATTAGAAAAGGCCAGAAAACAATTGCACGATGAAAAGATGCAATTTGCTTCTGGATCTAGCTCAAACCAACAATAAATTATTGAATAACAACTACTTGTACTTTATCTAATTGTTCTTCTATTCTTTGGCATTGAATGCCAATCCAAAAATTAAATCGAAAGCCTTATCTCTTTCTTCTGTATTCTTAAACTCTGAAAATTCAATCTTTTCATTTTGTTTAGATTTACCAGTTACGTGTAAAATAATGCCACAGTCATGCAAAAGACTGTGTGACTTGCTCATTTGTTGAATATTATCAATTTGGATCACTAACGTTCTTTCTTCCTTTGATCCCATTATTACAATAGATTCAAAAGCTAAATATTTTGTATAAATGTGTAACATTCCTCTCAAAAGAGTTGGGTGTGTACATGGGATGTTGTAAGATTCATTCTGGTCATCCTTATCAATATCAGCAAACCTCTCATGAATGTTATCAATGGAATAATTCGATTTAAAGTTTTCTTCAATAGAAGAGTGGAATTTCTGTACATCAAGATCAAGTTGATTCAGACTCTCGTTCAATTTTTGAATATCAGAAATGAGAGTGGATTTCTCATTTTCTAAATCTTTCACTTGTTTTCTCAAGTCATCTCTATCAGTTCTTATGATTTGATAGAGTGCCTTCAATTCGTTTCTCTCCACAAATGATGAAAGGTTTGAAACTTTTTGATTAATATTTATGAATGCAATCAAGCAAGTCCTCAAATCCAACAATTCATTTCTATCATTTTTAATTCTATCAGTTGCTTTTTCTCTTTGATACACTAAATGTTTTAATTTTTTAACTTCTTCAGCTCGTTGCAATGATTTACAAATAGGTAAATTTTGCATATAGGTTGGATATTTATGATTTTTGTAAAAACTAGTTGGTTTGCTCAAGGATTGCCCAGATAAATCAAACGCACTCGTAGACTTTGTCATACGAGATGTCGTAGTATTTGTTGCTGTTGAAGTTAAATCCGATTCCGAATCTGATCTGTACATTTTCACTCCAATATTTTACACTATTTACAAAAACTAAAATAAATTATTTCCAAAATATTTTCACTTCAACAATATAAACCTCAAAAAATTCAACTTCAACAAGAGAGAATGGGGCAATAGCTTTTGAATATTTTTTTTAAATATAATTAATTGAATAATTTTTAAAACATCCGACTTGCAAATTAGAATGAAGTTGCAAATAAAAATCCAATTCCTTAACAATAACAACGAATACAACGACTACTTTCTCTGTTCCACATCGAAACTGTCATCTGTTCCAAATGATAACATCTGAATCAACAAGGCTAAAATGCAGGGAACTTGTCATTGGGCACGAAATTCTTCCGAACACCTAAAAAAATGCAAGATAATGAAGGAGTGACGATGAGGAGGCTTCGAATGTTTTTATTTGATTGCAATCATGATAGTGTTGATGCTCTTCATGACAAGACTTTGAATTTATCAGAGAAGAATTGTATAGGAGAGAGGAGGATAATGATGGTGAATGAATTAAAGTCTCGGAACGAAATGTTGTTGTTGATGGAAGGAGGAGGAGACCAAGTTGTAAATAATAGTAGTAATTTATTGAATGTATATAAGAGGAGGTGGATGGCATATATTGTAATTGTATTATTTGCTTGTACTTTGATTAATTTTGTATCTAGTCAACCTTATGCAAATAGTATAATGTTTTCAAAAGTTGTTCATCATAAACCATCACAACAAAAAGATCCACTCATGATTGTTGTTGGTGAAGTTACAGATACCTCTGCTAGGATATTGTATGAATGGGCACCTCCATATGTGATCAGAGATTTACAGAATCCACAAGATATTAGTTTATTTGTGGATGTAAAGAAGAGAATTGAAACTATTTTTGCTTCTAAATCGAATATTAAAATGTACAAGCAGAATAAGGATGATTTTGAATTTATTTATTTAATGATGACAGAACAAGAAAGACTTGAATGGACTAAACAGCATACATCTCAATATAAGATTGTTTTGAGAAGAACTGATACGAGAACAGTTGTTAATGGAAAGGATATTCATGGACAAGTTGTGGAAGTGAAAGATAGAGAAGGACCTAAAGTTTTACAATTTACTTCATTAATTCCAAACACTTGTTATACTGTTGAATTTATTAGATTAGAGAGCGTGAATGAAGATGAGGATTATGCTACTTTTTGTACAATTTCTACAGACCCATTTTCACTGACATCAAATGTTAGGATTGCAGCTATGAGTTGTGACAGGCTTTTTGAGGATGAAGATATCACTACCTTTGATGAGTTTTACATTGAACACCAAAATAATTTATGGGATTATGTTATCCATTTGGGAGATCAGGTTGTAAGTAGTGGATTCTAATTTGAAAATATTGAACTTTAATAGTATGCTGATTGGGTTTATCATGAATATGTAAAAAAGATTAATCCTGATGCCACTTTTGATGATTTAGTGAATGCTTTCAGATATGTTTATAGAAATACATGGAAATATAATGCTGTACAGAGGATTTTAAGACACGGTTCACACTTGATGATTCCAGACGATCATGATATTATCAATAACTTGGATAGATGGATGATGGAACAAGACTCAAATCAACAATTTAAGAGAATGATATTGGCAGGAAAGGAGGTATTTTTTGAATATCAATACCAATTGATCAAGGATTCTCTTGTTGCAGGTTCTAGACAAGAATTGGTGAGTAATGAACCTATTTATTATTTCAGAGACATTGGTATCGCTTGCATAGCACTGATGGATCTGAGATTTGAAAGAACGTTCAATGGAGACTCTACTCATCCATTATTTGGAAGTAAGCAACTTAAAGAGCTTCAATCATTCTTGAGTACATGCATGAATAATGAAAATAGATCGATCAAGATTAAGAGGGCACTTATTTTCACTTCAATACCAATCCTTTTCTTTGGAGATACTTTTTCTAGTGTTGTTTATGCTGCAGAGAAGGAAAGATATACCACTCACCCAGATTTCAAACAAGATGTCATTAATTTCCTTGATTATTTATCTAATACATACGGTACCTATAGAATAGTATTTGTTGGAGGAGATATTCATCAATTTTTAAAGTCAAGAATTTGTAAATCACCAGATCAATGTTTCGAACAGTTGATAACAAGTGGAATGACCATAGCTTCTACAGTTTCAAGTGAATTCAAGATTATTGTGGCCAATTTGATAGATTTCTTCTTCTTTGCTAATCCAACACTCGATCATTGGTATCTGGTCAGAAAAACTAATGATGAAGATGAGCCACTTTTGCAACATTCTATTCGAAGAAATTATGGTATTATTGAGATGAAACCCGATGGAAATATTGCCCAACTTAAAGGATCTGAATCCAGATATTACAACAGAAGAGATTATTTGGTACAATTGCTATTCGACAAGGGTTCAGGATACATGTTAGGAACACTTATTTTCCTTTCTGGATTTGTATTTCCAATATCTGTAGTTGTCTATACTTTTAGATTTTTAAGATTTTTATATAATTATTTCAGTCAGGGAAAGAAAAAAGAACATTCCAATTAATTATAGTGAACTGCCAACCAAATACAAGGATCATCCTTAGAGGTTTCTTTCACTTGATGTCTAACATGTTTTGGAATATTAATATAATCACCATTTTTCAATTTGACTTCTTTCAATTCGACACCATTTTCTACCTTATTTTCAATCAGCAAAGTTGCTTCTCCTTTCAACAAGACAACATATTCATCTCTTTCCTGATCATACCACTCATCGGATGGTGTGAATTGGCCTGTTGAAATTATTCTTTCAATGTGTGTGGAATTTGTTTTGTAAAGACTTTGGAAAAGTTCAATATTTTCACCTCTACTCTTATTTAAATCTTCAGCTGACAAATCATAAATATTTCCCAAAGAAATTTGAGAAGGTTGTTCACTCATTTTTTTTGTAATTTTTATTTAACATTTTACAATGAATTTGTATCACAATGCAATCAATCAACAGTACAAAATATCAGAGCTGTTGCTTCAGTGGTGTACCAGTTACCATAATTAGACAATTTACATTTTTCAATAATTAAAAAAATGAATCAACACCACCATTACAACTTTTTCCATCCAAAGCTTTACAAACAAGTTGGAATTTTCCTTGCCTCTTCAATCTTTTCAATTGGAGTTTACAAACTTGTTGGTACCATGCCTAAAACCAATGTATTCTCCACTGATGAATCAAGAGATGAATTAATTCGTTATCGTCAACAATCAATTCTTCCAGGCGAAAACTCCTTGATGGAAGTTCTTAATTATGCACCAGTTGTCTATGATAAAGTTCCTAAATTTGATAAAAGAGATGAAGTAAATGAAAATCCATTTTACAATTATCAAAAACATTGAGAATTACTACAAATATCATGTAAATAATGTAAATATATATTAAATAAAAATGAAATTACAAATCCTCATTATCAAAAACAATATCATCCTTTTCTGTAATAAGCACAGATGAATCATTTGTTTGAAGTGGATTAGTTGACTCTTGCTCAACCACAACATTAACTTGAACAGGAGTGTTTGGAGTTGTGGTGGCAGCTAATGGATTACTACTTCCTGAAACTGTGAATCCTCCAATAACTGGTGATGAGTTAATATTTGATGTTGGGCTATTGGTATTCACATTTCCTGCAATGATAGTGGTATTGTTTTGGTGTCTACTCTTGAATGAAATTTGCTTATGTGTTGGAGAAGAGGATTGATGTTCAATTGACTGATTGAAGAATGCATCACCATTTTCAGGAGTAATTTTAGTAATGTCAATTGGACTATCTTCATCATCGTCACTCAAATCCAAACTAGTTGTCTTGATTAAAACGCTTTTTCCATTATGAGTACTTTCATTTCTCAAATTTTGATAGTCAACCCAATCTTTCAAATAATTGAATTGGAAAACGAGTGCAAGAATTGGACCAAAGACAACACCGAATGGAACAACCAAATACAATTGTTTCAACATTAACATTCCATAAAGCATATTACTCAAACTAATAAAGTTAGGATTTGAATCTCCAATTAAAGAATCAATTGAAACATTTGAATCTTTTTGAATACTAATAAATAATGTGAATGCACTTGAAATGATAACACTGGAAAACAATGCACATGCCATAAAGTAAACATAATTACACGTTGGTCTTCTATACCATAAAAAGGAAAAACATTTACATTGGAATATTCCCGTAGTAATTATTTCAGCACATGAATAAATAATTAAAAAGAAAATTGAAATTCCAATTAAAAAAGTCCACAAAACTTTCCACTGAGCTCCAGTTTTTCCTAATTTAGATTTAGTTTGAGTTGTATAATTTTCTTGACGAATGACAATAATTGATTTGGCATTTTCTGTCCAATCAGTTCCATACAAGAAAACACACAACAATCCACAAAATATGCATAAACCAAAAATGATAAATGCAACTAATTTTCTAGTTGCAGATGCTTCATCATACTAAAAGATCATGACAGTTAGTTAATTATTGGTGGATATTTGGTTATTTTACTTACTGGTGTCACTGCAACGTTTAGAATAAAAATAGTAGAAACCAAAATCATCAACAATCCGAAAAGCTATTAGAAATTATTAGAAATCATGATCACCAATGATAATTACTTACAACAGCAAATAATTTGTAGAATAAAAGTTGAATTAGAATTGTTCCCATTAGAAATGTTAAACAAACTCCTAAAAATACACCAATGATACCTGTCACAATTTGATTTAATCGTGTCAAACCAGGAACTGAGAAAATATCGGAAAGGAATGGATTTTTGTTTAGCACATTTTGTGTGTTTGATAATTCAGAGTATTTAAAGGTATCATCTCCCGAAACAACTGTTTTTTTTAAAATGTTGGCAAAAAGTCCAACCTTTGATTGTGAAAGACTTTGAAACATTTTTTTTAAATTTGAAATTGAATTGACAGCAAACATCTGCAGCACTTCACACGTTAGATTATAATCATTTGGTTTTTATGGAATACTTTACAATAGTTTCATTATCAGTGGTATTATTGAATTAACAATTACATGAAGAGGATGATGATGATGTCTTTTTCGATTTTGTTTTAACTTTTTCTTCTTCACTACTATTGTCATCACCTAGTCCATGTTCTGATAATAATATTTCCTCTTTGATATGTGCATTGTACAGTGGTTGCTTAATTTCCTTTTCCTCTGTTTGAATACAGTTTATATTTCACATTCCATTCAATTTGAAAAATTGTAATTGTCATGAATTTCAATTAAAATTTCAATGAAATGTTTCAATTATCTATAAACTATTTAACATTGTTAATTGAAACTTACTCACAACAGATAAGAATGCACTCTCCACATTCGTTCCATCAAATGCACTCTAATTCATGATTAAAAACAATTCACAAAGTTAATGATGATAACATACAGTCTCGTAGAATGTAATTCCATATTCATCGGCTAACTTTTTACCTTCTTCATAGGAAACTCTTCTAGCATCCTTTTGATCACACTTATTTCCCAATAAAACTTTCTTAATATTACCATCTGTGTAATTGTACAAATCCTTCAGCCATCCTCTCACATGATTGAATGTATCTATTGAGGTTACATCATAAACTACAATGGCTGAATCAGCTCCTCTATAGTAACTTTGTGTCTATCATTGCGTTCATCCATTATCAGTATTGGCCTTGTTTTTCAATTTTACTTACTATACTCCTAAATCGTTCTTGTCCAGCACTTTAAATTCCTTGCTATAAACTGAATTTATATTTCAATCTACATACGTATCAAAGACAGTCACCTTAACTTTCTTATCATTCAAACTGATTGTTTTATGGCCCATTTCCATTCCGATGGTATATACAAAATTAGGATTAAATTTATCATAACAAAACCTCTATGTGATGAAATTAATCCTTATTATTCAACAAGACTCCTTACATTCATCAATGATGATTTTCCTAATTAAATCATAAATAATTGTAATATCATCAATTTTTAATTGAATACTTAATAACAAACTCTTCTTATCATCACTTACCTGTTGCACTATCTCCTATAATAATCACTATTTCAATCATAAAAGATAATGATAACACTAAGCAAAATAACAATCTTTAAACTCACCCTTATTTGCATAATCAAAATCTCTGTGCATCATTTTTTGATAATGAAAAATTTCAAGACCAAATAGGAGTTCTCTAAAGATAATAATAATAGAATTATTAATTAATAAGTAATAATTGGAAGATGCAATTAGAAGAATTGAGAATTATATATAATGTACATTGAATTTAACAAAAACTCTGTTCCAATTTATCTTGTTTTTATGAAGAACATTCAATAAACATGAGGTCCATTAAAATGATAATACGAGCCGTAATAACTGTAACATTACAAGGAAGAACCTTAGGCCTTAGGGCTATTAGTGGCCAGAGCTTATTATTGAGCTGTATTATTAACAACTGTTTATGATGGCTGGTGCAAGAAGTTAAATGGTTGGTCTCTTATTGTTTATTAGAGTAGAGCGAAACTAACATGTTTTATTTAAAAGAGTTTATCTATAGGTTAGTTTGTACTTTGATCCCTCATCTGACATGGTGGCAACAATTGCCTTTTTTCTCAGTTCCATGTTTGAGGTTGAGTGAGAAATTACAAATACTTTATCAATCTTGGTGGAAATCATCTCAATGACTTGCTGTACTTGTGCTTGCCCATTTACATCCAAGGCATCAAATACTTCATCCAACATTAGGAAATTGCTTCTGAATCTAGATCTCTGCCTAACCAATTCGAACAATGCAAAATGAATCATCAAGTGATTTCTTTTACGTTGTCCAGAAGAACGTTTACCATAATCCTCTTTGATCATTAAATCAGAGTCAAATGTAATCTTTAACATATCACTTCCAACAAGTTTAGAATATTCATCCAAAATATTATTGAGATCTTCAATAGATTTGTTCAATAAGAATGATCTCATTGTTTCAAAATCATCTTTGGTTGATTTCTTTGACTTTTTATCAAAAGCCTTTTCCCAAAATTCAAGAGCAGAAAAATCTTGCTCATAATCCTTGTAGCTTGTAGAAATAGTTTCATAATCTATCTTGAGATTTTCCAAAGAATCTTCACTAGATTTTATGTCTCGTTCAAGTTCTAATTTTCTCTTCTTTGAGAATTTAATGTTGGCATCCAATTCGTACTTTTTTTGCATTGCCTTTCTTTCTTGGGATACCAAGCTATTAAGAGTAGCCTCAACGTCCTCAGATTCATTAGATAAACTTTGCAATTCCTTTTCTGAAGAATCAATAGATGATCTAATATTGACCAGATCATTTTCAAGATTTGCCTTCTCCTTCTGGTTTAGGATAATTGTATTTTCAAGTTTGGTAAGAGATTGCATTGTGGATTTTTTAGAGCGTTCCAAATCATCCATTTCCTCTTGCAAATCTGCAATAGTAAAATTAATATGCTCAATATTTTGTGTCAACTCTTCAACCCTAGCTTCAATGGTTCTTTTTTCTTCAAGAATTTTCTCGTGAGTGTGTTCCTTGATAGGTTGCTCACAATATGGGCATTCATTGTTTTCAGAAAGGTCCATCAACTTTTCTAATTTCTCTTTAGAAACATTTAATTCTACATTGCTCTCCATCAAAGTTTGTGAAAATCTCTTCAAATTAGATCTGATTTCATTAATATTCTCCTCAAAATATCTCTCCAATTGTTTAACATCTGTGATATCGTCAGTAAAGAATGACCCCTTTTCCTCTGCTAATTTTTCTAGATTCTTTTCGAGGGTATTAATTCTGACTTCTAATTGATCATTTTTCTTCAAGAGATTGTTGTAATTTTGCCTGGCAATATTGAGTTTCTGGAATTGTTTCCAATTATTCTCTGCTGATTTCTTTTTAGCCACTAATTCATTACACAATTCTACTGATTCGGCATAATCGTTTTCTTTTTCAGAAATAGCAGAATCAATTTGTGATAATTGCTCTTTCCACTTTTTCAGAGATTCTTCCAAGGAAACAATGGTAGACTCTGTTTTTTCCTGTTCTGATTTCATGGAATATACTTTTTCAATAAGACTCTTTTTTCTTTCCCTTGCCTTAGATAAATAGCTATCAAAAAGATACAACCCCAATAAATCTTCAATTAAATCTCTTCTTTGTTTTGCATCAGAGGTTAAGAAATTTACAGCATTGTCTCCCACAACAATAGCTTTGGTGAACATATCAAAATTAATTCCGGTAAGAGACTCAATAGAAGTCTGGGAATCTCTTGTTGAACCCTTTTCAAAATCGCTGAGATATGTTCCTTGATTAAAAACTCTAACACCTGTTCCTTTTCTTTCTGGAGCAGATTTGCTAATTAATTCATCTGGTAATTCCTTTTCTCCAGTCTTTGTATACTTTCTGAATCTTTCAATAGAATAACCTGATTCAAAATCTACTCTGACCAAACAATCCTTTTTGACTTGGTCATTGACAACAAAATCTGCCTTCATATCAGATCTTAAAAACTTATCAAAAAGACACCATGTTAGTGCCTCTAAAATTGTACTTTTACCAGCACCATTTGATCCCTCCAAAAACCAAATTCCATTTTGCATATTCTTGATTTCAAAGGTAATACATCCTTGAACACCCAAGAAATTTTGGATTGTGATACTCTTGATATTAGCTTTGAACGTATCACCAACATTTAGATTATTGTTATCTTCCTTTGTTGATTCTGAAATAATTTCCTTTCCAATTTTGATTATATTATCACTGAATTGAGAATCATATCCCATAGATGATAGATTAGCATACTGTTTTACATATTTTACAACGAAATCCTCAAACATTTGACCAGTGAACGCCTTCTCGTCATCCTTTTGACGATCATCACTAGATAATGCTGATTGAACCTTTCTCACTACCACAGAGTGTTTTTTCACAGAACTTGCTCCAGCCTTCAATAACTTTTCTTGTATAACTTGGGGAACTAAATCGAAACTTTCATAAATAACAGATACGTGCTTTCCCTTATATTCTGTGATTTCTCCAAGGTCTTCCTCCTTACTCAATCGTAGTATTCTGAATTTATCCCACTCAGGATTTTGAACGAATTGTATTTCATCAGTTTCAGTGTCATAAATTACTACTCCTCTAGATGCATCACCTGAATCTCCAAAGTGATGTTGCATAGGTGCACCAACGTATGCTACCTTCTTATCACAAAAGTGATGATGGTGAAAGTGACCTGAAAACACTCTTTGAAATTGAGTTAAAAATTTTGGTACTTTGGATCCTTCCTCAGGCAAATCCATATCGCTTCCTGTATCCTTTTTCTTGTCTCCTTTTTTCTTTTCAACCAAAATATTCTTTCCAGAATGGTCATCATAACTCCTAGAATAAACATTTTCCTTACTATCTTTTTGATATCGTTGAATTGCTCCATTAATCGCCATATGGCAGAACCCAATCGAATTATCAAGTGGTTCTTTTGTGATTTTTTTAACAACCCAATCCCTGATTATTGAAGTATCCTCATAATATGGAATTAATACTACTTTCTTTCCATCAAACTCTGTTTCTGTAATATGCTTATGAAGATAAATTCTATTAGATGATACACTTGACATACCAAGTGCATCCAAGGAGCTCACTTTTGTATCATACTTTAAATTCAAGTCATGATTACCACAAATAATGTGAATTTCTTTCGGTATCTTTTGAGACAATTTATCAAAAAATTGGAGAGCTGAACTCTGTGCTTTAATACTAACAGTCTCTCGAGTATTTAACACATCACCCATACACACAATATAATCCACCTTTTGATTTTCAAACTCTTTTGTAATCCACTCTCCAGTCTCAACCACTCTCTCCAAACCAACATCTTGAAAGTGAATATCTCCAAATAATCCAATTTTTGCTTGATTTTTAAAAGAGGTATGATAGTTTCCTCTCTGACTATTACCGACATCATGATCCCGAACCGTCATCAACAAGCCTTTCTTCTGCACACTACCATTCCTCGTTGCAACTGCTGATGAAGAATTGTTGCTACAAATCCGAAAAAGTTGTTTACTCATTTTTTTAATGATGATTTTGATTTAAATTGATGAAGAAATCATTAGAAATAATACTACATGTTATCAAACAATCAATATAATTGATAAATTGATATAAATTTTGATACATTCAATTATTTTGTAATGATATTATTTGCATCATGTTCAATAAAATTGAATTAATATTATTTTAATCAAATACAAAAAAAATGGAACACCGAGTGGAATTAAAGGCAGGAGAAGAGTTGAGATTTGAAGTAGGCTTTGATGAAAGTATTAAAATAAAATTAGTGGAAGGAAAAGCTGAATTTTTTGGTTCCGAATTGGCTTTGAATAGAGATTATAATTTTATTGGTGGAAGAAATGGAGCAATATTTACATATCATGGAGCAACAATCGAAATGGAGAGTTCTAAAGGAAAGGATAATATTTCTAACTATGTCGGATCAGAAACACCAATGAAGGAATATTTGGAATTTCATGATAAAATTAATATGGAGAGAGGACCTGTTAATAATCCTCCAAGAGTTCTTGTTGTTGGTCCTGCTGATACAGGAAAATCATCAGTTGCTAAAATTTTAGTTAATTATGCTGTTAGAGTTGGTAAAAAAGTGATATTTGTTGATTTAGATTGTGGTCAGAATGATATTACATTCCCTGGAACCATCAGTATGGTTGCTAAGAATGCATATGAACCAATTGATATTGAGGATGAATTCTCATTATGTTCTCCTTTAACTTATTTCTATGGTGAAACAACTCCTGATAAAAATGTTGATCATTTCAAAAAGATTGTGGAACAAACTAAAAAGATGATTGATAGGAAATGTTCTGTTGATCAATTCTATGAGGAAGGAGGATTTATTGTTAATACAGGAAGTTGGGTTGACAGCTCTGGCATTCAATTGTTATTATATATTGTAAAAACTATGCAAATTAACCACGTAATTGTTATGGATGATGACAGACTTACAAATAATTTAAAGAAAGATTTGAAAGATACAAAAGCTGTTGTCACTCGTTTGAAGAAAAATCCTGGTGTAATTAATAGATCAAAAGAGCAAAGAACCACTGCAAATCAACTTAAAACTAAGCAGTATTTCTATGGAATGCATAAATCTTTGAGTCCTCACTCCATAGTTGTAAGATTTGAGGATTTCACCCTTTGCAGAATTGGTGGTGAATGGCAGGCTCCATTGAGTGCTTTACCAATTGGTGCTAAATCCAGTTATAATCCAGTTGAAGTTAAACAAGTTGACCATAGTGAAATCACCAAGTTCAGTATCTTGGCTGTTTCTCTTGCAGATAAATTGGAAGATGTTTTAACAAGAAATATTTATGGAGTAATCCATGTAACAAAGATTGACCATGAAAATAAGACAATGACAATTCTTTCTCCATCCCCTGGTAAAGGACTTCCAGGCAAATTTGTAATTGCTGGCCACGTTTCTTGGCTTGATACGTAAAAAGAATAAAGCTTAATTTTAAATAATTTATACAATATTTACTTTGCAATAAATTTATTGCTTGGCTTCTTCTGGCTTTTCAGTTGGTGTGTTATCTTCTGGCTTTTGAGCAGGGAAGAGAATAACTTCCTTGATATTGTAGTTATTGGAGAGAATCATAGTCAAACGATCCAAACCAATACCCCAACCACCAGTTGGTGGCAAACCATATTCAAGTGATTTACAGAAATCTTCGTCCATGAATTGAGCTTCATTGTCACCAGCATCCTTTTGGGCAACTTGATCTTCGAATCTTTCACGTTGGATGAAAGGTTGGTTCAATTCAGTGTAAGCATTACAGACTTCCTTACCGATGATCATCAATTCGAATCTTTCAGTGAGGACCTTGTTATCTCTATGCCACTTAGCGAGTGGTGACATGATTTGTGGATGTTCAGTAATGAAAGTTGGGTTAATACATTCTGGTTCAAGATATTCACCAACCAACTTATCCAACATTCTGGCAGTGGTCATTGGTGGAGAACAATCAACCTTATTCTTCTTGAGGAGATCAACAAGGAAAAGTCTGGTTTCTTCAGTATCCAATTGAGTTGGGATCTTGACGTTAAGTCTTTCTTCAATACTTGAAATCATTGGAAGTCTCTTGAATGGTGGTCTGAAGTTGACAACAACATCCTTATTAGTGTGTGGCATAGTGAAAGTTCTATGATACCATTCATCTGGAACAACTGATGGCAAGTTCTTTGGATCCTTTCCATTGGCAACGAGAGCCATTTCACTCAACAATTCTTCAGTAATCTTCATCAAATCATTGTAATCAGCATAGGCCATATAGAATTCGCAAGCAGTGAATTCAGGATTGTGAGTCAAATCAATACCTTCATTTCTGAAGTTCTTACCAATTTCGTAAACTCTTTCCAAACCACCGACAACCAATTGCTTCAAGTACAATTCAGGAGAAATACGCATATACAAAAGCATTTCCAAATCATTGTGATAAGTAGTGAATGGTCTAGCATTAGCACCACCTGGAATCATGTTCATCATTGGAGTTTCAACTTCAAGGAAACCTCTTTCATTCAAGAAAGTTCTCAAGTGAGCAATAATCTTACTACGAGTGACAAAGATATCTCTTGACTTCTTATTCATGATCAAATCCAAATAACGTTGTCTATATCTGGTATCTTGGTTGGTCAAACCGTAATGTTCCTTTGGCAACATGTGGAAACATGGTGTCAACAAAGTAATCTTGGTTGGAATGATGGACAATTCTCCCTTCTTACTCTTACCAGCAAAACCGTTAATACCGATAATATCACCTCTACGGAGAACAGAGTGAACCTTCTTGAAAGCATCTTCACCTTCAGCATAATCACTGATACCACTCATAACTTGGAGATCTTCACCTTCAGCTCTAATGTGATAGAAAACTAATTTACCAGTTGGTCTACTAGTAATAATTCTACCAGCAAGGGCAACAGTTTCTTCTTGAACACGTTGTTCAGCAGCCAAGTGAGAGTACTTCTTGATGAATTCTGGAACAGTAGTGTCAACATTGAATTTGTGTGGGAAAGCATCAAAACCTTCCTTTTCCAATTCCAAAATATTCTTCTTTCTGATTTCATAGTACTTGCTTGGATCCAAGCTGTCTTCATCGATCTTTTCATCACCTTGAGCCTTTTGCTTTTCCAACTTCTTTTCCAACTTCTTTTGCATGGAAGAAATTCTCTTTTCGAGCTTCTTCTTAGCATTCTTGGATTGTGGTCTGATTGAATTGAACTTCTTGATAGCAGCAGCGACTTCTTCGTTGAATTCACCAACTCTCAAGCCTTGGTTAACAATTTCAGCTTCGTCCATGTTAATACCAGCTTCAGTAGCGGCTTTAGCAATAATTTCATCTCCTCTCCTTTCTTGAGCAGCTTCTTCCAAAGTCTTCAAGGTTTCTTGTTCAGCTTCTAAAGCCAAATTAATGGCAGAGTAGAGACCGAGAACTTGTTGTGGTGTGAGTTCAGCCATGATGTTGTTTTATTTTTTTAAACGCGAAAAATAATTTTGAATTTTATTTGTTTTTATTTTCTGCGAGAGACAGCAGAAGTAATAGAAGGGACCAAGCATTAGCAAGCGAAGGAGTTGATATCAACTTTACAAAACTTTTAATAGACCTTTGTTAGATATTTGAAATTGAGGGATTTTAAATAGGTTACTGTAAGATCATTTATATAAGGAAAAGTGGGTTATGATTGGAAATTTTTCCCAATTAATTTGAGTGGATTTTCGAGGTTTACAATTTTTATAATTGTAAAAGCAACAAGCATATAATAAATAATAATTACAGAGTAATGTAATTATGTGAAAGTTATTAATTCATCAGCACACATGAATTCACCATTCAATAAAACAATAATTAGTAATTTTTCTATAACTTTAAAAAAAATTAACAAGAATGAAAAAATCATGCAACAACAATTTGCTGATAATGTTGGAAGGAGGCAACAATTTGATTAAACACAAAATCTCCGAATCATCATCACTCTTTAAAATTACCAATAATATTCAAAAGAGAGGATTAGGACTTGTGCTTGTTGGAAGTCTTGCTGTTTCATCATTGCCATTGTGGAAGGCTTGGAAACAAGTGAGTGAAACAAGACAAATTTTGAAGAAGGCTGATGAATCGAATCATTGGCCTTTTGCCCAAGGAGTTATTCAATCAGTAGAATTAGAGGAAGGTAAAATTCTATTCGGATTAACAAATGCTTGTAGATTGAATATTAAATATGAATATAAATTAGGAACTAGTCAATACTATCAAAAACATCCAACAGGGTCGGGCTATAGAAAAATTGATTTAACACCAAAAAAGTTGTTTTTGGATGAAAAGGATAGTAATGTATTTATTCCTCTCATGCCTACTTCTATTGATCCAGAGGAGCCATTAGTGATAACAAGTGGAAAGCCAAGAATATTTAATAATGATAGAGTATTTTGGACAGTTCCATACTGGTTTGTTGGAAGTGGAGAAGAAATGAAAAATAATTTATTGGGATTGGTTGAAGAATTCAAAAAGGACGAGGTTATTCTTGTGAGAATTAATCCTATAGATCCAAAAGATTCAGTATTAATAGCTGGAAAGCAAACATTTGATCAATCTTGGAGATTCACATTTGTTTATTTATCTATTATGGCGTTGTTATCACTCATAACATTTGCAACAACGTACTATTCTCTTATTTCAACTATTGGGGAATTTGAAATCAATACTAGGTCTAAAGAGACACCTCCAAAGGAAGAAAAATCGTCAAATTGGCTTTCTACAATGGTTTGGTATGTGAATGAATATTACAGATTCTTTTCATCTGTAGTTCTTAATAGACACAAAACCGAAGCTCTCCCACCACCAAACCAAAATCAAAAGCCAAAATTTATTGATGTGAACGAATTAAAGGAGGAGAAGAATTGATTTTTATTTACATTCCTGTTGACATCATTTGGATGTATGGTGAAACTTTTAGTTCAGGGTTATTGTGGAAAGTGAAGGAAATTAAATTGGAAAGATTGACAACATCTGCAGGAATAGTTTTCAATCTGTTACTATCAAGGCATAATCTCTTCAATTTGGTAAGATTACCAATTGTTGAAGGAAGCGAGGAGAGCTTGTTATTGAATAAATCCAATTCTGTCAAGTTTGTTAAATTTCCTAATTCTGGTAAAAGTTCAGCAATTTCATTATTTTGAAGATATAGCGTATCAATATTGATCAAGTTGTACAATCCTTTTGGTAATTGTTGAATAGTATTGTTGAAAAACGTAACTTCTCTGAGAGAAATAGAGTTTGAAATTTCTTCAGGAATGGTTGATATTTGATTTTGATGGGCTGAAAAAACTTTTAAGGAATCAGAGAAAACAGCCTTAATGCTGTCAATACTCTTGATTTGATTGGAATGAAGGTAGATCTTTTCAATTTTGTTATTGGTTTGGATGTCTATATCTTGAATTTTGTTGAATGGTAAAGAAATGACTTTGAGATTTGGTAATGAGGAAAACCATGAATTATCTACTTGCTCAATTTGATTTTCATCCAAATAAATTTCTTCAAGTGATTGATTGACCGAGTTCACATTTTTCAAAGTACCAGAGACTTTGTTATTCTTCACATAGAGGTGTTTGAGGTTTGTAAGATTTCCACCAAATAAAATATTATTCAAAGAATCATTATCAACAAGGTTGTTTGATAAATCGAGCCTTATAAGAGAAGAAAGTAATGAGGTCTCTGTTGAGTTGATGAGTGAACAGATGGAATTATTGGCCAATATCAAATATTCCAATTTAGGCAACCATGTAGCATCCATTTTGGAAGAAATAAATTCTACAAGGCAATTATTGGATAAATTAAAGTAAGTGATGGATGCATTGAATAAAAAACTCCAAAATGCATGAGACATGTTCTTGAAATTATTATGACTTGCATCCAATATTTTACACTTCTTTGAAAGAGGAGACATGTCAACTTTTTCACTGGCTTGTTCTTCACTCAATTCATTATATGAAATTATAAATCTCTCAATGTTATAAAGAAAAGGCTTCACCAATTCAATATTATCCATAAACTCATCAAACTTTAAATTAACTTCCACAGTATTTTCTTCATTAAACTCTATTGATGATGTTGTTGAGTTGGTAGTATTGGCTTGCTTCCTTTCTTGTTCGGAACCAATCTCTCGCACAAGATTGTTCATGCGATCAAAATTGTAATTCTTCAGAGGATCAAACATGTTTGTAGCAAATTGATGAGGTGAATGTAAATGGCGGAAATGCACTCGACAATACCTCCTTAAGTGGTTGATGTGAAGGAATTTTTTATGAATTTTCCGAAGCCTTTCCTATGCAGAAAAACAATGGTTTGTTCCTCAACATGCAAACCAACTCATTGCCATGAAACACAATAGGTTGAAAACCATGGAATGTTGTTTTGTTTGAGAATTTTCAATGTTTTTAAGATTGAGGAGTGGATTTTATTTGAGTGAAAAGGGTCATTGCTTTCTATTTTGTGTGGTTGCGCAAAAGCTAATTAAACCCAAACCGAACTTGTGAACTGAACAGTCTTAATGTAAAACTTAAATGGATTAATTGGAAATAAAATACCTTCATGCTCAGGCTTTTCACAGTTTTTTAAAATTAATTAATTTTTTCAACCACAATTATTTTAAACAAGTTTTCCAAGCAAGGAAGAGGACAGTTCAACACTTACCAAAAGGTTATCAGCTAAATTTGCTATTCAGTTAACTAAACATGTTTTGTCAAATACATGTGCGGTCATCAAGGCAAGTGAAATTATAAGTGAAAGGTTTCTGCTGGCAATGCTAATTAAACTAGTGGGTCAGTCCTAATATCAACACAACCACGACATCTCTATAATTTTGTTGTTTATTTACATTTATGCATGCTCGTTTGTGTCAAGTTTTCAAATTCCAATGGTTTGACGAGATTAATTTGATTTTTTCAAATCTTGTTGTAATAATTTGTGTAATTCTTCCTTTGTGGGAGTACCAACACCGAACATTAATTTCATTTGTTCTTCTCTTCTGATTCTTTCAATATCTGCTGTTGGATTTGCAATTCGAATTGGAGTATGTAATTTTTCTTGACTTTCATCAATAATTGTTATGGCAAAATCGTCATCCTCATCATTGGACATTGATGGTCTATCCACTAAAAACTCTAGAGCTAGAGTTTTTCTATTATCATAGTCTTTCTTTTGTTGATAACCAACTCCGAGAGTGATTGCTCCTCCAACAATAGCCTATTAAATATTATCCAAATATTATATTGTGATTTAAAATAATGTAAAGTTTGTGATGATAGTGCGCTCTGTCAAGCAATCCTGATTATTATAGAGGTATTAAACATACTTTCTTTCCTAACCGAATAATCATGGCTATTTTTTAAAATAATAAAAATCGAATTTTGATTGTATTATTAATGATACACTTTAATGGTTTGTCAATTTGTCAAAAGTTTCAGAGAGTGAGTTATATTTCTTAATCCAAGGATGATTTGGTGAAGAAGATTGCAATTGAGAAATAAATCTGGAAGCGTCTTTCTTCAAATGTAAACTACAAGCAATAAGATTAACAAAAGTTTCTGGATCATTTGTTGAAATACCTAAAGCATTCATCAAGATCTTTTCAGCATCCTCAAATTCAAAATCAAACATTAAACATAAAGCTAAACCGTTGGCAAGAGCAACAGATTGTCCAAACTTTTCAGATAATTCTTTAAATGTCAGTTCAGCTTCAGAAACTCTTTCCTTTGTTCCTTTAGCCAAGGAAACAAAAGCACCAGTAAATTGAGTTAATGTAGCATCTTCATATTGTTCGGACATCTTTTTAAATGTATGCTCTGCTAAATCAGCACGATTCATTCTAATAAGTGTTCTAACACGAAGAGCAAAGGCTTCCAATGATGAAATATCGTGAAGAGTCTTTAAACAAGCAATATCATTTCCTTCATGAGCATAAATAGTAGCAGAAACAACAGCAAAAGTATTGTCAGTAGAATATGATGGATCTTGTTGGAGAGAGTCGATTTTTTCAATAATAGAATCATTTGGTGATCCTCTTTTGGCAGCTTGGAAATATTCAGCCAATAATCGGACTGATTTAAGAGGAATAGCAAGACTATCACTTTCCTTGATTTGTTGTAATACAAGATCATGTTGTCCCAATCCGATGTGTGCTCTATATGAAAGAACATCTCTTTCCAATTTCATATCCACATTATTTTCATTGATCGATGTTTGGGCAATTTTGCTCAAACACACAGTGTGATTGCCAAGGAAGAGAGCATTTCTCACTGAAAGTAATTCTGGGAAGCCGTCCAATGTTTTAGACATTTTTTTATATAATTTTTTTATTATTTGATGACGAAGTTTACACGTAGAGTGTATTACGATTTTATAATTTAAATTTAATTATTATTTGATGGATTCTAACTAGTACTTATTTTCAACAAATATTGTTGTGTTTATTTTGTTATTTAGCACCAATAATGTTCCCGCCTAAAATTTAATTCAAAAAAACCCACCAAAAAAATGGACCAATCTTTAGAAAGCACTCCTTGCACACCACAAAGAGGAGGAAACGATATCTTGGATGATGATCATTCATTCCTTACCACTGGAGGTAATTCTGATGCTAAGGTTTGGCGATATCGTAGACAAACCTATTTGGAAGCTCAAGCTAATGTTTCCAACTTTATTGTTAAACCATTCTTTGTTGCTTTCTCTGCTGCTATCGGATTTTCTGTTGGTTATGCAGTTTTTGACTTTTTCATGGCTTTCTTCAAGAGAAGAAGACAATAAGCACAATTTTGTCTCTGCTCCTAGATTTTTAAATGTGTCGATGAGTAATCTTCACATTCCTAGATTTTCACATATCAATAAAAACAATTCTTTCGATTTTGTTGGTCAATTCGCCTTCTATCATCCACACCAGCATTGTTGATGACATCACAAAAAAATGGCTAAAAAGAAGAAGTCAAAGAATACCACCTCAACAACAACAAATGAACCACAAGAAACAACATCAACAACAACCGAAACAAGTTCAACCTCTGAGAATGTGGAATCACAACAAGTAGTAGTTGAACCTACTACAGAAACTTCCAGTCACTCTTCCGAGGTAAATGTTGATCAACAAGAATCGGAGCAACAAGAACCAGAAATTGTGGCAGCTTCATCATCGGAACAAGAGTCGAATCAAGTACCGTCATCGACAATTGAAGAAGTATCGTCAGTTGTAGTTGATTCCCCTCCTGCATCAGAACAAGAAGAAACAAATATCAGTGTAAATAATAATACTCCATCATCAGCAACAACCACAGAATCTACTGACAGTCACCAAGTTACATCATCAAGTAATAATGAAGAATTATTGAAATCACTCACTGATACTATTCAAAACCATTGCAATTTAATGTCTGATGAATTTACCTCCTTCACTGACAAGTTTTCACAAAAAGTACAAACTTGTGAAAATAGTATTACTAAATCAAAGGAAAATAGTGGAAGATTATCGAGTTCTATTGCCCAACAAAAGAAGGAGGACTCTCAGAAAGGAACACTTTTGGATCCAACTGTACAACAAATGATTATGGGATTCATGACACAAATTGATCAATTATACGAGCAACGTGATATGGCAATCACAGAAAAGATGAGTAAAATGGGAACTAATTTACAAAAGATTTCCAAAACAGTTAAAGTTTATGAAAATGTAAAGAAGAAGGAAAAGGATCCAGAAGATCAAAAGGCTGAAACAACAAATGAGGAAGTTTCATCAAATGCTCAACCAAGTGACAAGGTTGAATCTTCTTCAAATGCAGATGCAAATGTTTCTGAGGAAGATATCAGGAAAAAGTGTGCAGAATTTGAGAAATTGTACAAAGAGAAGGAGAACGAATTGAACACTTTTAAAACAAAGGTCACGGATTGGAAAGAAAAAGTGAAAGTAATCAGTAATAAGGATATGAAGAAAATTGAAGAGCTCAAAAAGCAAGTTTCTACTTTGGAAAAAACCATTGAAGAATTAAATAAGAAAACAGAGGAGGGAAACAAATCTGCCGAGTTCAATTCATCTCTTCAACAAGAATTGAAAACAAAGGATGAATCAATTGAGAAGCTGAACAAACAAATCGAGGAGCTGAAACTTCAAATATCACAAAACGACAAACAACTCAAGGAGAGTGACGAAAAAATCTCCGATCAAAAGAAGACCATTGAGGAAAAGGACAAGCTTTATACTGATCTTTGTGAAACTGTAAAGAATACGCCACCAGTTGTCTCAGAGCCTGTTAAAAAGAGTTATAAGGATATCAAGATTCTCAAAAAGATTCTAATAGATGGAGTTTTGTGGTTCTATTTCCAATACACAGACGAAGAAAAAACAAATCTTGAATGGATGCAGCACGATTTACTGAAGGAAGTTTATTCTCAGCAAAGTCAAACAGAATCGTTTGATACATTGGTACCAGGCAAATCAATTATTGAGGAATTGGAAGAAAACTTCCAAACAAAATTATCCGAATTAACTAATAAGTATGATGAGCAGGTTAAGTTATTGAATGATAAGGATGAAGAACTCAAAACCTATAAGACTAGAGCACACGCTGCCTTGAAAAAGAAAACAGACGCTCTTAATCAAGCTAAGGTTGATTATGAAACTCAAATCACTCAACTAAATGAAGCTGTCACCAAGAAGCAAGAGGAACATGAGGAATCAACAAAACTAGTTCAAGATTTGCAAGATCAAGTTCAAAGTTTACTTGAAATTCAAGAAAAGGCTGTAAAGCTTGGAGGAGAACTTGATCGTGTAAACTCAGAAAAAGATGATTTAGAGGACAGAATCAGATCTTTGGAAAAGAAGATTGAGAGAAGTAAGGAGGAGTTCAATCAAGAGAAGGCAAATATAATTCAAGAATATGAGGCTTCCATGAAGACTCTTGAAAATAAGAATGATGAGTTGGATGATCAATTCAGAAAAGAGTTGAGAATTTCAAGAGAAAGAAGTAGAAGAATCTTGGATGATAAGGAAAGAGAAATTACCAAGCTCCAAATGAAGATTTCCGAATCCAAACAACAATTCGAAGAGGCTGAATCCCTTAAAGAGAAGAATGTTTCTTTAGAAAATGAAATTACCATTTTGAAAGACGAAAATCAATCTCTTAGAAATCAAATTACTGATCTAATGAATAATGCTCTTGATTCACCATCAAGCTCTAGAACTCCAAGAAAGATTGATCAAAGTCAAATTTTAGAGAATGCTCTTTCAGGTGAGGAACCTTCCACTCCTTCAAAGGAAGAGCAGAGCCCTACCACTTCCACGCCAGCTCTGGAAAGAGATTTCAATCAATTGGTAGAACTGGCCAATATTCAAGCAGGTAGAGATAATGAAGTTAATCACTATAAGGAAACTATTAACAAGCTTAAGGAAATAATTAAAGACAGAGAAAGTAGTGAAAAATCATTTAGAGAATTGGAAAAGCAATTGAAAGAAGAAATTGAACATTTACACAGACTTCAAAAACGAGGTGATCCTAACCTAGAATACTTGAAGAATATTTTATATTCATTCTTGACCTCAGATGAGAAGATTGTTAGAGAAAAACTTCTCAAGGTTATTGGGCAATTACTTGATCTCAAAGAAGAAGAAATGGACAAGATTGCACAAAAAGTTTTTGTTGAAACTAGTCCCTCAATTTGGGGAATTGTAAGTAGTTGAATATTTAATTATTTTAACACATATTTCTCAACAGTTTGGAAATAAGAAATAACTTAATTTATTAAACGACTGTAATTTATATTGTGAAATTTCCTTAAATTCTAATTATTACCGTATCCCATTGTATGTGAATGAATAACTTGGGGCAATTTCTCTAATCCATACTTGCCTTTCATAGATTCCATATTCTTCACGAATGTTTCAATTATTTCATCAAATAATTCTTTCGATTCTTGATCTGTTGCCTTTGCATACAAATCTCTTGCATGTCTCTTAAACTTTTTACTGATATTAGATCCAAATTGTCTCCTCAAAATGTTAGCCAACGTTCCACTTCCCAATGACATTGGCTTGTATCGAATGAAGGCAACATCTCTTGAGGTATTCTTTGTCATCATTTCATCACGTGCTGTATGATTCAAAAATCCCTTCCTACAGTCAAATCTCTTATCCACTCGAAAATCATCATTTTTCAAATCACAAACAATCATTAATTTGAAACTCGTTTTAGTTTCGGAAATCAATTTTTGTGCAAATTTTTGTGTTAATTCGTCAGCGCCTTTTGCTCCCCCCACATAGATTTGTTCATTGTTGGAAATACTTTCTTCCAGATGTGATAGATAGTATTGTTTGAATTCCTCCTCTGTTAGATCAATATGACCACTGAATTGAACAGCATAAAGTGTTGTTGTTGATGATGATGGAGGTATTTGAGACATTTTTTTATGTGTTAAATTTGTTTATTTTCAAATTCGACATTGAAAGTTGCAGAAGTATTGTAAAGATTTTAAGTGTTGAATAAGTTTCTAAGCTAATTAAAATCTTGTTCTTCCTAACTATTACTATTGAATAAATTTACAGTTTTCAAATTCTGGTTGTCTAAATAATCTGAAACCTCCTTGTCTTGATAGTCTAATGTTCTCTTCAGCATAGAGTTTCATTTCCTTCTCATAAATTCTAAGGGATTCCTTGTTAATTCCATTCTTGACAAGACAGTCGCATAGAATTGCAGCATCTTTCATAGCTAGGTTTGCTCCCAATCCAATTGGAGTCATGGCATGAATGGAATCTCCAACAAAGGTCAATCTTTCAGTTTTCCACTCTGGAATATTTGGTGAAAAAGATGAGATTCTAATAAAAGAGCTTTCACTTTCTTGAGAAAGTTCAATTAATGATCTAACACTGCCATTCCAATTTTCTGTCAATTGAAGAGCATATTTCTTCAATTCTTCCTTTGATAATTGAAATAGTTCCTTATCTTGTAACTCTAAATTGACTCTATTCAAAACAAGAACCCAATAAACATAGTTGTGAGGTTTAGGGATTTTTCCTCCTGAAATCATTTCATGATCATGAGTGAAGGAAACTGGTTCGAGAAATAAATTAACCAGTGGTTCAGATTGAGTGATCATGGTTGTGTTCTGAAGACCTTCCTTTGGAAATTTGGATTCTAGTTCATTAGTAAGAAGAGTTTTACCAAATATGGCTCTACCTTCAGTGTCCAAAAGTTTGTGATCAGGAATTTCTGCCACTCTAACTTTGGAATTGGCACCATCAGCTGCTACCAAAATATTACCTTCAATTGTTTGACCATTCTTAAAGAAAACCCTAACACCATCATTGGTCAACTGATGTTCTTGATATTCCCATCCAAATTTAACATCATCTTCCAAACCAAACATCAACAATGCACGAAGAACATGTCTATCAGCAGTATTTGGCTTATTTGGATCAGCATGATTCGGTGGAGATCTCTCCATTGGAACAACTTTTCCCTCCAATGCATCAATATTTGTAAACTTTAACTTGTTTGTAATAATGACCTTATTGAATAATTCCCAAACATTTGTTGGTAGCAACTTCTCAAGAGCATCATGTCCTTCTGAACTAATACGTAATCTATATCCTTGAGGTCTATAATCTCTTGACAGGTCCCTTTCACATATTATGAAAGAAATTCCAGCTTTTTTCAAACCTTGTCCAAGAGCCAATCCACCAATTCCACCACCAATAATTATAACTTGGGTTTGCATTTTGTTTTTGATTTTCAAAGAATGACCAAAATGTGAGCTTGTTAAATAATTCCACAAACCATTCGAAACACGTGTAAATGTACGACTATTAAATGTTGGTGGACATTTCACAAACGTGTTTAACTATTATCCGACACTGCTTATTCAGTATAGACTATTTGTCCCATCTAACAATAACTGTTTTCTCAATTCCATCTTCTATTCAAAACAATTTTGTAATGATCAACTCATTAATGTTATTCTTATTGGTGGAATTTTATTTATTTAAAGATCAAAAAAAATGAGTCAACGAAATCGATCCGCACAAAAGCAACCACAACAACACTATTGTCCAATTATTTTTCACGGAGAGGATGCTCATAGTTGTGGTTATTGTAAGACATTAGATGAGTCGGGTAAGAATGTGAGAACTCCCGATACCTCTGTGAGTGTTGGATTTCACGTTTATCAACTTCCTGCCAATATTTATGAAAAGATGATGTATCATAATATGAGAAGATCGGGAGTGTATTATTATCAACCACAGAATGATAAGACATGTTGTCCACAATATGCTATTAGGTTAAATTGTTTGGAGTTTAAAATGAATAAGAATCAGAAAAAGGTGATGAAAAAGATGGATAAATATTTGGAAACGGGTACCTTTCATCATGAAGAATCGAAGGAAAATAATAACAGCTCTACAAGTGAAAAAGATCCAAAAAAGAGAAAATTCGAGGATGAAAATTCAATTGTAGAAACTATTACCAATAATTTTAGAAAATTATTGAAGGAAAATATGCAAAAAATTGTTGATTTATTTGAGGGCTGTAACAATACAGAAAAATTGAAAGAGCAATTAGAACAAGTTTTTGAAAAACAAAGAATTCAAACCAATCAGAAGAATCCAAACTTATTGTCAACACCAATAGCATTTTCAATCTTTGGATTGCAAAAGAAATTTGGTTGCAAGGAAATTGAAAAGAAAGAATTGGCTGAAAAAATTGTTTCACTTCTTAATGAACATTCATGGGAAGAAACGTATCACATTTCTATCAAGATTGAAGAAAACGGATATATTAATATTGAACTTTTGGACAAACAGTTAAAGAAAAATTTTGAACAATCCAAGCAAAAAGAGTCGACTCAAAAAGAGGCGATTCATCCTAGACTACATGAAATCAAGACAGTTCTAATGGATTCTGAATATAGAGAAGAGGAATACAAACTCTATCAAAAGTATCAAAAGATCGTCCACAAAGAAGATGATAGCACTCCAAAAGGATACCAGAGATTCCTCTGTGACTCTAGCTTGTTGAACGTGGATACAGATTCCACATCAGACAAGAAACCATTGAAAGGATATGGTACATTCCATCTCCAATACAGATTGGACAACAAATTGATTGCTGTGAGCGTTCTAGATGTTCTTCCAACTGGATTGAGCTCTGTCTATTTCTTTTACGATGCTGACTACTCGGATTTATCACTTGGTATTTACTCTGCACTTACAGAAATTGAAATGATCAAGAAGGAAAGTGAGAAGTTCCCAAATTTTAAATATTACTATCTTGGATTTTATATTCACAGTTGCCAAAAGATGAAATACAAGGGTCAATACAGCCCAAGTGAAATTCTTTGTTTTGATACCTATACATGGGTACCTTTGAACGATGAATTAAAGAGCAAGTTGGAAGAAAACAAATACTTTACATTCAATGAACAGGCTGAAAAGAAACGAGGATTGGAATTTGAAGAGAATGATGGATTATCAATCTTCTTCAATAGAGAAATTATTCCAAGCCAATTACTCAACATGTTACCATTATCTACTGATGCAAGAAAAAGAATTGCAGAATTCAAAAAGGTATTTGGTAAAGATTTACTGAAAGGAAGTGGATTTGCTTTCTATATTGATGAAGAAGATCTTGATACCTGCGAATAAACAACTATTAAGAAATAGTTTATTCCATTGGGGGAGGATTGAGATAACTCTGGCCTAGTTCTAGTATTTCTTCTCCATATTCTTGGGATGCAAATTGGGAAATTTCAGGATCATTTCTCAATTCTTGTGAAGCGGAGTAGAGAGCCAAACCAAATAATTCTATTTGCATTTCGGCACTGTCTCTACATTCTTCTAATAATTGTTTCCAAGCTTTGGCATCTTGTTTGATGGCTTCCAAAACAATTTCTCTATCATTTGTAAAGTCTTCGTGTGCTGCTTGAATAGCAAGGCCATTTTCTTTAACTGCTTCCAATGTAATTTCTCTGTCTTTCTTCAATTCCTCTGGAATATGAGAAAGCACAAAACCTCTAACTTTCACAGCTTGAAGGATGAACTCTCTATCATTCCTAAATGATTCTGAAACATATTCCAAGATATTTTCATTGTTCTTGATAATCTGTAAGATGAACTCTCTATCATTAACCAGTCCAGTATCAGCAAATTCGAGCATTTGTGGTGTTTGCTTAACTGCCTCAAAAACAATCTCTCTGTCCTTCTTGAATTCTTCTGGAACCTCTTGAAACGCCCAACCACTTTGCCTGACAGCCTCTAAAACAGTATTCCTATCTTTCCTCAACTCTTCTGATACATTCTTTATGGCCATTCCATTTTTCTTTACTGCTTGCTCAACTATTTCTCTATCGTTCCGTAACTCTGTAGGTACCAAATGTAAAATATCTCCACCTTGTTTCACAGCTTGCAAAATCATTTCCTTGTCCTCTTTAAACTGTGTTGGTGCATATGTAAGTGCATAAGCAGTATTATTGACAGCTGTGGAAACAATTTCTCTATCATTCTTAAGATAGCTGGAAACATAACGAAGTAATGTTCCATCATTATTGACTGCCTCCATACAGAAATCTCTATTTTCCCAAAACCTTAACTTGTCCAGAATTATTGTAAACGAATTAAAACTAAATAGCACAATGCCCAATACACGAATGATTATAAAAAACCTATCTCTAATTGAATCAATGATAAAATCAGAAACATGATTACCATCTTCGTCATAATAGAAATCTAGACTAGTACATTGCAGTAATTCTAAATGTTGATTAAGAGACAAAATGTCAACATCCTACTCACCCTGCAGTATACTACTGTTTTCATTCTCAATTAATGAAGCAATCTTAAAGCATGAAGAGTTCACTAACTTTGTAATATCCAAATAGTTGGCAGATAATGCAATATCAATCAATAGAGCCGAATCCAATTCTAAAAACTATCTCACATTATTTCATTAAAATTTACTTTCCAATTACTAACCTGATTGTCCCAATCACTGATTTCTTCCTTCCTTGTCCCCATCATTGGAAACTTTCTTTCAACTCTTTCAGGTAGAGAATAATACTCACAATATTCAATAACTTTTTGTAAAGTCAAGTGATTAATATTCGGAAGGTGAATACTAACAATTTCCTCACCATCCGAATCCTTTAGCTTTTCCCACATTCTACTCATCACGATTACATCCTCAAGCGTGTGCGCGACATTATCTTTCGTTATCAAGTGAACAACTTGTTGCGCCATTTTTTTTATAAGTTCAAGTTCCATAAATGTTTAAGGTAGCAAACAATGTTTCAACTAATGGTATTATTGGATGGATTCTTATTTAACATTATTTATTTTGTGGAATGAGTTTTCCAAATTTAATCATAGAGAGAGGAATTTGAGTTTCCAACACGTTTGAAAATTCTCATGGAACCTCTCTTTGATAATGCAGAAGAATCTGTTGTTGAGGTTGTTGTGGAGTCGGAAGTATTGGAAGTTGTTGCACTAGTAGTAGCAGTTGTATCAGTTGATGAAGATGCAGTTGATGTGGTTGGGTTGACTATGATTCCAGCTCTCCTTTCTCTTTTTCTGTCCCATTCAGTTCCACCAATCTTTTTCACATTCTTTGTGAGACGTCCTACATCGTTTACAGAGACAGATGGTGAACGATTCTTATAAGTAATTCCTCGAGGAGTGGTTGGTTGTTGTTTATCAGTTGTTGTGAGTGGAGAAGTGGAAGGAGAGGCACATTTTGGTTTTGGTGAGGAAACAGTGTGTGGAGAGTGAGATTTGGTAGTGGGTGAGTTTATCGTCTTAGAAGGCGATGGATTTTGAGTTGAAATACTGAGATTGGGCCTGCTACTCCCAGCACTACCGCCAGTAGTATTGGATGAAGTGGATTTAGTTGAAGGTCTCACCAGGGCATTTGGATCATCTTGTGAAAGTTGTTTGATTTTCTTATCGAGACCTGCTTTAGAGATGAGTGCCAAACGATTGGCAAACTTGTGGAATGTGGCCTCAGTAATGATATCATTTTCGAAATTGTAATACTTTTTGGTAAATGCTTCACCAAAGTGGTGAGCAATAAATTCCAAACTTTGTAATTTGATGAGATCAGGAACTATTTCCTTAGTTTCTCTGACATATTTCTTTGGTTCTTCTGACATACTTCTCAAGAAATCCTTCACACTGTCAATTTGAGCACCAGTATAGGCCTCAACTCTCTTCATGAATTTTTCCTTCTTACTTTCACTAGTTCTAATTTGATTGGCAATATTTTGGAGAATCTTTGTCAATAATGTTAATGTACGTTGAACATTCTTTGGTGGTGAATCCTTAATTAAACCAAAAAGTTGTGGAGTAACAAGGGCAGGACAGAAGAATCTCAAAAACAGCAAACCACCAACACACAATTCACCACTTGCTGCATACTTTTGCTCAGATTCTTCAAAAGTATGAGCTAGGACTTCTCTGATTTGAGGTGGACATTCATACTTTGAATTGATAATCAAATTTAACACTTCATCACAAATTCCCTTCAATAATTCAGCATTCTTATCAGCAATATCTGATGCAACCTTTTCGTCATCAATTTCATAACTCTTATTTTCCTTGATGAGTTTCATGAGGAATGGTTTAATAGTTTTGGTGAGATAACGCAAACCAAAAACTTTAAAGAATAAGGTTACCAATTTGGATGATAAACTGTTTCTTCTGAAAAGGGTACCAGCAGATTCTGCACTGTCAACTTCGACAGAGATGGCACTTTTGACAAATTCCACACTTGTCTTTGGTGAATCAGAGGCATCAAAGAGTGTTAACAGAGGAGCAACCATCTTTTCAGAAACATTGAGTTGGAAGGAATTGAAACATCTGACAACTTCTTGAAGTGGTGTTTCAGTTGTTAATAATTCGAAAAAGTCCAGATATGGGAAAATCTTGGAGTGAATTTCTTCTTCAGGATCTCTCAAATCAGTTCTCTTTTCTTCGAGTAAGATGTGTTCACAGATAGCAGTTATCCATTCCTTTCTAGCTTCTTCAGAATCAGTAATGAATTGATGCTCTCTCAAATTATGTTCCTTTCCGTTACTGAAACTAGTTTGACATTGAAGGGAAAACTTGAAACCTTTTGGATTTACCAAATTTAAGAATTTTTCCAATTTTCTCTCTTCCTTTGTGTGAGATTTAATAGTGACTGATTCACCAGACTCTTCCTTTTCAATTGATTCAATGATTTCATCAATGATGAGTGTTCTATCTCTTTCACTTTCACTAGAAGCAAGTAAATAATAAGGATATAATTCATCCAAATCAAGCATTGGACCTCTTCTTTCCAATTCTCTACGTTTTCTTCTAATAATGTTGATGGTTTGTTGTTCGTCAGCTTCCAAATCGTCAATACTCTCAAAACTGTTCTGTGCATCATCTTCATCCAATAGAGCCTGATTGTAATAGACAAATTCCTTTGATTTTTCAATATTCTTTTGTTTTTGTAATTCCTTTTCCATGGCTTCATCTCGTGGCACATAAACCATTGCATCACTGTCAATAACAACAATACCTAGAGGTTCTTTCCTATCTTCCTCTGAATCAGATGCATAATATTTCAATAAGAGTGTATCATCCAATTCAATATAACGACGAGCCCACTTGGCAAAATTACCCTGTCCTCTTTTTAACATGAATCCAGATTTGAGTATTTTTGGTTGTCTTGTTGAGATTTCTTCCTCTTCCTTCTCTGGATCGTAATCATCATCATCTTCTTCTGGATTATTAATTCTAGAAAGTGCATTTTCACCATATTGCTTCATTTTCAAAAGAAGTGAATAGATACTTCTTTCCATTGCTTTATAATGTCCCTTATTGGCAAGTGGAGCTCTCATAAATCTAAATTGTACTTGAACATCATCACTTAAATTGAGTGAAAATTCAACTGGATGATTCATATCGAATACCTAATATTTTCCAATTTTAATTTTGTAAAATATTTTAATAATAATTTATTATTATTTTACAAATTAGTCAAAGCATCAATAAATATGAATTCATTCAAAAAAACAAAAACTTACATTAATTTTGATTGGTTCAGTCTTTCCCAATCTTTTATCTATTTGTACTTTGGCTTCACCTGTCTGTGTTTCGAATACTTCAATTGATAACTTTCCACTTTGTAAAGCACTAATTCCATACGGAATAATAACTCTTTTACCTAATTTAATATTCCAAGGATTTGTATTACTGTAAAATGTTTTAACACCTGTTATTCTAACTTGATTGTCAAAATTGACTCGAACATAAACACCTGCTTGATCATTTGTTGAATTATTAGAAGAAGCAACTGTTGATGATCCGTAGATTTCTGAATTTTTATAATTGTCAATGGAATCAACAATAACTATTAATTTTTCTTTCGAATTGAAAATATCAACAATATTCGAAACATTGGATGATGAAGAAGATGTTGTGGCGAAAGAACCTCCCGAGGATCTTGGAGTGCTCACATCAAGTGTTGGATACTCCCCTGCCAAGTCATTTACGCCCCCTACTTGCGAACCAAACATTGTTGATTTTTTTTTTGAACAGTTGACGTTTGAAGTGTTAATCAATTTCTTCAGGTATTGTCGGATTTGGATGAATTCATTGGGCAAATTATCCAATGGAAATTGTAACGTTGCAGAAAAATATTACACATCAGCATGTGATTCGGTTGATTTCTGATAAAACTATTCCTCAAACATTTTACAATATTTATTATAATAATATTAACATGTATTATTACAATTTGTTTCCAAGAATTACAGTTGTCAAGATCAGATCTATTGATCTTCTTGGTCGAAACGACTTTCAATCTCCAATCATCATGATCATTACAATCGTAATCTTATTCGAAACTATTGAACCCAGCCAATTAGAATAAAATGCAGATTGTATATAAATTACCAATTTCAATTTATACATAAAAAGATTCAGCTTCAACTGTTTGAGAAATTTCATTACTAGGCCATATTTTCAATGACCAAATTACTTCTCTGAAAAGAAAAACACAAACTTCTAAAAGAACTTGTTTTATGAACTCTAAATCCGCAATCCTTAATTCTTCTTCCATTTCAATTTGGAAGAGTTGACCAACGTTGAGTGTATTACTGTCGCATTTATTGAGTTCCAAGTTTAGAATTCCTATAAAACCAAAAGATATCGAGTTTTAATTGAACAAACAAATTAAAATACAATAACATGTTTAATATGAAAATGTGCTCAAAACAATTAATTCTCTTCATTGTTACATTCTTGCTATGTTTGACATTTGCTTTCGCTCAAGAAACTCAACAAGATTCGAATAAGCAAAGACCTCCAAGACCAAATGGATCAATGCCACCTAGACCAATGCCTTCTGGTGGAATGCCTCCAAAGCCACAAGATTCTCATATGCCACCAAGACCTACTCCTCAACAATCTGGTCAATTGCCACCAAGACCAAAACCTCAACATTCTTCCAAGCCACCTAAGAAACAACAAGACGAATCCCAACAATCAAACACTGAATCTGCTCAAGATGATAACAATTCCAATTTGGATAACAATGAAAGAGAATCTCGTCAAAATGAACGTGGATTTCCATTTGGAATGATTTTGGCAATAATTGGAGGAATTGTCTTGACTTGTTCTACTTGTTTAATTTGTGGAGCTTCTATTACATTTTGCATTTTGAAGAAGAAGGGTTATTCTATTTCATTACAAAAGAAAGAATCTCATCAACCATTAAGAGAGGAAGAAGAAATGCCATCTCAATTTATGGCTCAAGTTCCAGTTGTGTATAGCCAAACTCCAATTGTTCATTATCCAATTATTCAACAACAACAACATGTTTAATTGCAAGTGCATTCACTTATATTTAAATGGAGCCAAAATTGTAAATATTCGATTTGTAAATAAACTTTCCATTTTTAATTTATTGGCAATGCATATTTATTGTAGTAATAGGAGAATGAAGCAAAAAGATTCAAGAGATTTCACGGGGATTAGATAAATAAAAGTCAACTACGGGCCCAAAATTAATGTCTATTGAAAGAGATGATGAAAATTGAGTGCAAATATTGAGAAAAGTCCTTAGACGATTCTTAATTTACCTCAAAAGGAATATATCTCTTTCTGTCACTGCCGCTCTATCCCTACTAATTAACTTCAATGTCACTTATCACAACAGAGGTCAAAAAACATCAATTAATAAAAAACCTCAAAAGAAAATACAATGGTGGTCAACAAGTCCTCAAATGCAATTCATCCCAATGATGTTGATGAAGAAAGTGCTGTTTTTTCTTCAGCTTCTCACTCTGAAAAAGTTTTAGAAAAAACAAATTTCGATGAATCAAGAAAACCATTCGCTTCAATCAAGTTCTGTATTATTATTCTAATTTCAGTAATAGTATTGATTAGTGTTCTTTTTCTATCGGCTATTTGGATGAGCTCTTTACTTCCTTCTAATTTCAATTTGAGTTTAACTGAAAGAGATTCAGAGTTTAATGAAATAGTCAATTCGGTCAAGAAGATTTTGCTTGATGTTACTCATGGGGCTGACACCATGCGAGCTCAAATTAGATTCCTGTTGGATTTTGAAAACTATGATCAGATAGAAAAGATTGTCTATCAGACCTATTTATCAGAACAGAGAGCAAACTCTGACCTTGTTGTAACAATTTATGTTGGAAAGAATTCTGGAACTAATCTTGGAATTTACAATTCAGGAACAGATGTTTCAATTCTCAATTGTACACAAGACCATCAGATATTTTACAAATGTGATCCAGATTTAGAAAAGTATGAAACATGTCAGAGAGGAAATGTTCCAGATATAATTCAAGACCCATTAGATGTTGACTATATTATAGAGACTTGTAATGAACATCCTGAAAAACTGACCTTTACAAGAGGATTTGTGGATGTTACCACTGAAAATTTGGATACCTTCTATTCATTAGTTTATTGTTTCTCTTTCACTGCTAGATCAGCTCAGGATACCATTAAATTTGATTATTTTCAAGGATTTGATATTACAGTGGCTAGTGCATCTGATTTCTTGATTAATAAGACGAAAATCATCGATGGGTCCAAGAGTTTTATATTTGAAGTTGCCCAAAATTATCTAGTTGCTAGTAAGTATTTTTTTTATTGAACACCAAGTTGACCATTGATAAAGTTGATAACAGGGATACCAAAACTGCCGTTCTAGATGATAATGGAAACGTTGCCAGAAAGACGGCTTCCAATATTGAGGACACAAGAATCAATAGTATCTACAATGTAATTGTTGATTTTGCTAAAGGAGATATTAAATCGAACATTGCCTGCAACACTCCTAAAACATTTGACCACATGACTGATTATGTTTCGATATATAGATTGTGTCTAAATACCAACATTGATTGGATGTTTGTTCTGAGTATTCCAAAGTGGAACTATATGGGATCAGTAATTATTGGAATTGTTTCGTCACTTTTGGGCGCCTTAATTATTGTTTCAGTCTCTATCTCACTCTCTGTTCTCGTTTCCATAAAAATTGTAAAACCATTCAACAATCTCATCGAACAATTCGAAGCAGTTTCTCACATGGACTTGGAAAATGTCAATGTTCAACCAAGTACTTTTTCAGAAGTTAGAACTTTACAAAAACACTTTTTAGAAATGACCAACACTATCAAAATGTATAGAGCTTTCCTTCCACCTCATTTGCTTGCTCAATTGGATCAGAAGGGTATGGGCTCCTCTGAAGAGAATGGAACTAAGCCAAATGAGTTACAATCAATTTCGAGCTCATTCAAAAGCAATTCTCAAGTGAAGGAATCATTTAGAACTAATCATACAGAGAATTCTTCAAAAGGTTCCAAATATTCAAGTATCAAGGCTGATATGTTCTCTCTATTCTTAGAAAAGAAGAAAGTTTCCATTAGTAACATCATGATAGATAATTTTTCAAAAGTATTGAACTCAATTCATTCTCCACATGATACAATTCATATGTTGACTGATTTCTTCGATCAAATCACAACTATATGCAGAACACATGGAGGATTACTTGGTTCATTTGAGAATGATTCCATTACAATTTCATTCAATACAACTTCTGCCCAGAGTAAACATCAGGAAAAGGCAGTGGTAGCAACAAGAATGATTCTGGAAAAACTTTCGTCAATTAAGGAGAAGAAATGGCTTTCTTCTAATAACAGATTTGCAAAGAAAATTGACAAGCATTTGATTGATGATTTGGAAATTAGAGCTGCCATCTGTCTTCAAGAATGTGTTTGTGGTAATGTTGGAACAAATGATAGTAAGAATTACACGCTTATTTCAAATGCCAAAAGTAATTTGGAAACCATGTTGAGAAGGGCAAGAGAATTCGATTTGAAATTAGTTTCTTCCCATTCCATTCAAAAAGCAATTGAATCTCAATATCACACAAGATTTGTTGGATATGTGAAAATGATTGAAGATCAAAATTACTCATCAGTTGTGGAATATTCAGAAAGCCTTCACATTAATGGAATAGAGGACCATTCCAAAATGGAAAAGATCTTTGAAATTGGAGATTCCACTCAAGGAAATGCAGATGGTAAGTAGTTCAATTGAATTATTTGAAAATTGATTATCTCTCTTTTAGAATGGATGTACGAATTGGAAGAACAAGAAAAGAAACAAAAGTGGAAAACCTACAATAATGCATGTCTCATGTACTTTGAATCTGACTATTCGAATGCACTACTGCTCTTCCAGCAATATTTCGATCACCAATTGCTTAATGGACGTAATGATAAATTGGCAGCAAACATGATTGAATTGTGCCAATCAAAGTGTGATATCTCCTTAGAAGATCAATAAATACCAATGTCCGATCCAATAATACCGAAATATTTAAATAACACATTGTAAAACATATTTCAACTCAATCAATTTTAAATCATCATTAAAAAATGCCATCACTTAAAAGGCTTGTTGTCCCTGCTGGTAATAGTACTAGGAAAAAGATAACATCACTACTGCTGTTATCATCAAGCCTATCATCAAATAAGAAGAATTATAAAATTGTGGAAAATAGTGCAACAAGGAATTTTTCATTCCGAACAAAGACGATCACCCGAGATGAGCAGCAAGATCTTGGAGAAATCAAGTTGAAAGTAGCTAGTGAATTTAGAGCATCACCTGAGGATGCTAGTGATGCTTTTGTGGAGTATGCTCATCAGAAAAATAGATTCTATGGACCAAGAAGTTGGTACAAACCAGATGTGTATCCTGAACAAGTTTATGTTCCATTGTGGGTTTTTCAATATGGTGATGCTTGTGGATATAAAGTAAAAACAAGGATTACTATCGATCCAAGGAAACAAAGAGAATTATTGACCAATTTGTTCGGAGAAATTGAGGAAGTTATTCCTGAAAAGGATCCTCTCATATTGACCGCTAATCCTGAGGATTTTTCACAAAGAGATGTACATCAAAAGCAAAAGAATCAAAAGAAAATTTTGAAAGAGTTAAAATTGGAAGATGAAAGCAGATTGAAAGAACTTGCTGATATTATGAAAACAATTCTGAAAAATCAATTTCAAATTCAAGACCATACCTTCAAAATTGAAACTCTTACAAGCTCAGAAATAACTATTAGCTGTATTATAGATCATATCAAATTGGACGAACATGTCGAGCCAACTAAATTATTGGGTACTGAAACGATGGTTGATGATTATGCCACAATATATGCATCAACTTCTTTTGAGAGAAGGTATATCAATAGAATTGCATATAAAATAGATAAGAAATACCTCACAGACCCTACCTATATTTCAAAAATTAATTACAAATTGAAATGGTATCAAAATTTGTGGGATGATATCAAATCATGGTTCAAGAGATCATCATTTAAAAGAGATTATTCTGTCGATTATTATACTGTCGATTGGGAAACATCTTGGTCATTGGCTTTGGATAATACAGTACCTCACAAACTCCAAGAAAGCATGAAACAAATTATCTCCAAAACTATAACCTCCACAGAAGAACGAACTTTATTCGATTCTCCAACTATTCAACTTTCTAATTTTAATATTGAAAAAACTGATTTCAAATTACACAAAAAGGAAATGATTTATATTCCTGTCTATGTCAAACAGGATGTTCTCAATTTTCCACATACCCTTAAACTTTTCAGTCCATTCCATATTAGACATAAGGTTAGAAACTTGTCTCATGGTGAACATACGTTCCACTCATTTACAAACGGCATTGATACAAGCTATGTGACAGGATATGTACCATACAGTTTCCCTAAATTATTTTTATCATACTTTACAGGAGTTTACTCTGGTTGGGGTATTATTTCCTCATTATTCCCATTTATTGACATCTATAGCTCATTAATTTATGGATTTTTCTTTTCTTTATTTGCTGCATTTGGAGCTAGCACAGAGACATACTACAAACCTTTATTACATAAGGAGCACCATAAGAAGTTTGCTGTCCACGTTCACAACAAGTATATTTCCAACAAGCCATTACAAAAAATTTACTCGAATGCCTGGAAGTATTGTGCTAACCCATCAGATGGTAATACTGCCCTTGCCATTGAAATCAGTAAGGGTTGTGATTTATACTCTCTTTTAGAACTTGATGCCCAAAAGTTTAGCTTGTATACTCAAGAAGAAATTCGATCTCAATATAAGAAGGCAAGTATTTTAAATTCACTCAACCTAACTGTCTCAGCTTGCTATGATTTACCATCCTGATTTGTTCAATTCCAGTAAAAGAAAATCTGTTCTCTCATCATCTGAAATCTCAGGCGAACCAGAACAAGAAGAATCATCTACAACACAAACCAAAACAAACGATGAGGAATGGACCACAGAAGAAATTATTGAAAGATTCAAACAAATCAACTATGCCTTCTCCATTTTGGGAGATCCATACAAACGAGAACTTTACCACAAACATGGAGCTACCTATTTCCAGTATTCAATGTAAACAAAAACTGAAATATTAACACTGTATAGTTAATTTATTGTTCTTGTTGACTGTAAGGGAAACCCTCATCGACTGGATCAATAAACCATTCCAAAAGTCTTGAAATACTTGTAGGTAAAATCTTTCTCATGCAGAATAGTACAGACATGACTATCAAACAATCGAACAATCTGAACAAGAAAACTTCCCAAGCATTAGTTCCAAACCATTCTTTGAATTCTTCCCATATTTCGCTCAATCTCGAATATTTATGAATTTTTGGCTTTGCTTTGGCCAATCTAAATAATTTATCCAATTTTTTCGTAATTGCTGGAATAATGTCAGAGTGAATATAATCCTGTTTATCCTTCAAAGCTATAGCAATTACTCCTGTATTTCCAATAACTGATATTTCAAAAGGTGGTTCATCTCCTTCTTCTGTTTCCTCTGTTGTTGCATGATGATCGGAATTATTGGTTGTTGCTGTTGATTGTTGAAGTAAATTTGGTATTTGTGAAGTGTTCATACTACGACTTGTTGAAATGTCTTCAATAGATTCAACTGATGTTATCAGAGAGTCAACATTTGTAGAAGATGCACCATTACCCTCCCTATCTTCGGAGGATGAGAGTACAGTCATGGATGAAGTTGGTTGTTGAGTGGAAGAAATCATTTTTTTCAATTTTGAATATTCAAATATTATTGATTTGAGAATACCACAACCTTATCAAGACCTTTTCTATCCGCTCAATAGAATAGCTACTGCTGTGTGTTGAATGTAAATGCATTGCTTCAAAAACTTCCTTACATGTATCTTGATATTATCATTTTAATGGGAGAGTAATATAGAAAATAGGATTTATCTTATTACAAGGATTCATTAAATAAAGTTCATAGAGCAATGGCCAACATTTTATTCACAACACCACTCGAAAATGTGTTAAGATTGTATTGTGTCGTATTGTTCGTCACATACAAGAAAGCAATTTTCTCAAAGTTAATTTTTAAAAAATAAAAAACACAAGCAATAACGCATCATCACATTTTGGCTTGTAAAAATGATGATCACTAAAACCACGCTATCTGTGTTTTTAATTGTTTGCCTTTTGGCTGTTTTTACTCAAGCTAAATCCAACGTTTATTCGGATATTGAAATCTTGTCGATAGATAGAAGTATTGATACCACACAAAATGTTGTTGTTAGACATGAAGTGAAATTAACTATTCAAAATGTTGGATCATCCGATGCTAAATTCTTCTATTTGGCTTTCCCAAAGGAACTCGCTTTAAATAATGTTGCCTATGTTTCTGCTCGCCAACAATCTACAACATTGAATGTTCCAAAGCATAAATTCAATGATGAATTGAACAAGTAAGTATTAGTTTTATTAGCTTGGGATTTTTAATAATGTCATCATGATTAATATTTTGATCATAATTATAGGGATGCTTTGTTCTATGAAATTGAACTCGCTTCACCATTGTCTCCAAAGCAAAAGGTTGATTTGGTTGTCAATATTGCCCTCACCAATGTTATTTCTCCATTCCCAAAGGAAATCAAACAAGATGAACACCAAAAGGTTGTTTATGAGGATAATGCCTACTTCTTCACACCATACAAGGTTAAATCACAAATTACCCTTGTCAAACTCGGAACATCAGCTGTTGAATCATACACTAACACTGTTAAGCCTGTTGAAAACAAAGGAAATGGTATTCAATATGGTCCTTTCCGTGATGTTGTTCCATTCACTACTGCTGGTGTTAGATTGCACTATGTTAACGATAGACCATGTTTTGTTGTTTCCTCAGTTGAAAGAACTGTTGAAATTTCTCACTGGGGTAATTTGGCTGTCGAAGAACACTACGAAATTAAGCACACTGGTGCCAAGTTAGTTGGTCCATTCTCTAGATTTGAATACTCTAAGAATCCTGGACAAACTTCACCAGCTTCTTTCAGAAAGATTACTGCTACTTTGCCACTCTTGGCTAATGATATTTACTTTAGAGATAGAATTGGTAACATTTCATCTTCGGATATTCGTGTTTCTGGAAAGAATCTTGAAGTTGATTTCCATCCAAGATTCCCACTTTTTGGAGGTTGGAAGATTCGTTTCTATATTGGATACAATTTACCAATCAATGATTACCTTACTGTTGCCATGAATAATCCAGAAAAGCACAAATTGAGATACAAATTCTCAGTTCCATTCGATGCTCCAGTTGAGGATCTCACTCTTAGAGTTGTTGTTCCAGAAGGTGCTGATGATGTTGAATTCAAAACTTCATTCCCAATTGACTCTGAATCAAAGGAAAATTTGAAGACCTATCTCGATGTTTCTGGTAGAACTGTTTCTGTTATTAATAAGAAGAATGTTGTCCCAGAACACAATGAAAACTTCCTCCTTTCCTACACTTTTCCAGCTTCTGCTGTTTACTTTGAACCATTGTTGGTCATTTCTGCTCTTTTTGGTTTCTGCTTGTTCGTCATGGTTTATGTCAGAATGGATCTTTCAATTTCCAAGTCTGATGAGGAACTTGAAAATGAACGTGAAACTACTGCACATGAATTGACTGAACTCTATGTTGAAAAATTCATTGAAAGAGATAACTGGTATCAAGAAGTCGAACAAGCTGTTGCCTCCAATAATCAATCAACTATCGAATCTATTGATAAGAAGAGACAAGAATTGAGCGAAATGATCAAGAAGGATATTGTTACTGAATTAACAAACTTGAATGCCAAGTCAATTGTCCACATTAATAAGATTGAAAAGAGAGAAGCTGAAAAGTTCGACATTATTAAGACACTTTCTCAATTGAAGAAGAAGGAAGGTGAAGAATGGAAGAAACTTCAAGACAATTATGATAGAATTACCGACGAAATTTATGCCACAGTCGATATTTTGAGAGAATAAATTATTAAAAAACTTTTATAATTTATTTATTATTTTGTGAAGACTCAAGTTCACAATTTACTCTTCTCCTTATTAATTCATATTTTGTTCGAGCCATAAGCTGTTAATTGAAATATCGAAAAAGAGTTCTTATAATCGAGCAGTATCCTTGATATAATAAGGAACCTCCCAGCTAAATAATGTTGTCAAAAAAAAAAGCTTTAAAAACCCTTAAAAAAACAAATCCAATTCAGGTTTCTGTTTTAATATTTAATTAATTTTTAATATTAATTAATTTATTTTTATATTTTGAAGGTAAAGCATGACATTGAATTTCAAGAATAACAAATTCATTCTAGATATGAAATAAGAATAGATTGCATGATGATCTCCAACAAGCTTGAAGACGACAAAATCTCCTTTACAACAATTGGGTCATCACCTGAATTTTTGAATTGAAAAAAATATTCTTTCATCATCGCGTCATTATGAGTGAATCGGCACACGAAGATAGAACCATTGAACAATGGAGAATAAAGAAGTTGATTAAAAACTTGTCTGAAGCCAGAGGTAACGGTACCTCCATGATTTCTTTGATTATTCCTCCAAAGGATCAAATTGCCAGAGTAACTAAAATGTTGCAAGAAGAATATGGTACCGCTTCAAACATTAAAAGTAGAGTCAACAGAATTTCTGTTCAAGATGCTATTACTTCTACAATTCAACGTTTGAAATTAATTACCAGAGTTCCTGAAAATGGTTTGGTTGTTTATTCCGGTACTGTTCTTACTGAAGACGGTAAGGAAAAGAGAGTTACTTATGATATGGAACCATTCAAGCCAATTAATACTTCATTGTATTTGTGTGATAACAAATTCCATGTTGAACCATTGCAAGAATTACTTGAAAGTGACGAAAAGTTTGGTTTTATTATTATGGATGGTAACGGTTGTTTATATGGTACTTTATCAGGAAACACTAGTGTTGTTCTTCAAAAGATTACTGTCGATTTGCCAAAGAAGCACGGTCGTGGTGGTCAATCTGCTTTGCGTTTTGCTAGATTGCGTTTGGAAAAGAGACACAACTATGTCAGAAGATGTGCTGAATTGTCTGTTCAACACTTTATTACCAACGATAGACCAAACGTTTCCGGTCTTATTCTTGCTGGTTCTGCTGACTTTAAGAGTGATTTGACAAAGACTGATTTGCTCGATCAACGTCTTCAAGCTATTATTTTGAAGGTTGTCGATATTGCTTATGGTGGTGAAATTGGTTTCCAACAAGCTATTGAATTGTCTCAAGATTGTTTGAAGGAAGTCAACTTTATTCGTGAAAAGAAAATTATTGATGAATTCTTCACTGAAATTTCTAAGGATACTAACAAGTTCGTATTTGGTGTCAGAGAAACTATTTCAGCTATGGATATGGGTGCTATTAAGACTTTGATTGTTTGGGAAAATCTTCCACATCTCAGAGTTAGCGTCAAGCAAACTAATGGAGAATTTGTTGTCAAATACTTGATGCCAGAAGATCTCAAGACTGGTAAACATACTTGTGATGAAAATGGTCTTCCTTTGGAATTTGAACAAATTACTCTCCTTGAATGGTTGGTTGAAAACTATAAGGCTAAGGGTTGTACTTTGGAAATTATTACTAACAGTACTCCTGAAGGTTCTCAATTCTGTAGAGGTTTCGGTGGTATGGGTGGTATCTTGACCTATCCAATGAATATGGATGAAGTTGCTTATTATGAAAATGATGAGCACTTGGCTGAAGACCAATTCAACGAAGATGACTTCATTTAAGACCTGGCGGAATTTAGCAGTGGTTAGAGGAGAGTTACTGCTTATTCCGTTCGGTCAAAGTTTGTCGCAGTCATCTTTTTTTCACACATTTTATCATTCTATTTTCTCAATTCATTTTGGAATGATATGTGTCGATTTTGTGGCGTGCTTGATCTGGAACTAGAACTTCAAGATGAATCGGCACACTTTGATTGACACTTAGAGTTTTAAAAACTCTTGTACAAATGGTGTATACTCCTCAGTCACCTCAATAAATATTTAAAAAAACAATACTCAACTCTATTTATTTACAAAACTAACTAAATTTAAAATTTAAATATATTCTTTTACAATTGTTTTATTCCTTCTTTGTTGGCATGAAATCATAAACAATTACAGAGAATAATTCAGTCATATCCAAATATTTAACCAATTCTTTGGCAAAGAAGAAATTCCAATCAGAAACTCTGTCATCATTGAAATTTAATTTAGAAATTAAATCTCCAATTTCAACTTACTCTTTCATTTCCAAGAAAACTTCTCCATTAATTCCCATCTTTACCATACATTGTTTCAAATCATTTGTGACAGAATCAATTTGTTGAGCTGAGATTGGAGTTCTATATTTCCTCAGAGCATACTTCCACAATAAAACAATCAAGTCACCAACTAGAAACAATTCATATAGTCCATAGCATAGAACCATATACATATTTCCATAACAAACTTACCTTCCTCTGGTGTTCTCATTAAAATATTTTCACGTGAAAACATGAATGGATCATCAATAAAATTAGATGAAGCAAATGATGCTGTAGAATTCATTGAGAGAGCTGACTTTTTCTTTGTCTTTTTCTTCTTTTCTTGTCTCAATTTCTCATATTTTACAAAATCATCATTATATGTCAATAAATTTTCTCTAATTCTCTCAACTTGAAAAAGTAATGTCTTTAATTCTCCAAGAGGTAAAAATTCATGATTAAAAGCTTCATCCATTGTTTCTAAATCTCCAGCGCATTGATTGAAGAGAGCAACCAAGTCAGTTCTATTTGTTCCGAGTAGTTCCGAAAGTGATTGTTTCGAATAAACACAATGGAAACTGTTAATTTAATCGGAAAGTGTGATATTTACCCAGTGTATTTCTTTGCTAATTTCTTATTATTTTTTGAAAGACCAATCTCACCAGCCCATTCTTCACAATCCTATTTTTCATAAATATTTCAATATTTCAATAACATTTTACAAATTGTTACAAAAATTTTAAATACCTTTGTAGACCATTTCTCAATAGCTAATGAAAGAAAAATACCATATTAAATACACCGATAACAACCCAATACTACTCACATTTGTTCTTCATTTTTTTAAAATGTCAATCGCCAGTTGCTCTGCTGTCATCCATCAAATTTGAAAAAATGTCTCGTATGAATGACTTTGTACTCCAGCAGTTGGTCCAAGAAAACGAAAGACTGCGAAAAGAATTAGAAGCATGCCAAAAAGCAATCCCAGTCTCCGAAGCAGCTAAATCACTTATTGAATATTGTGATACTCAACCTGACATGTTAATTAAACCAGAAACAAATGTGAAGAATAGATTCCATGGAAGTTCAGGAGGAGGTGGTGGTTTGTGTGGTGGTGGAAGTTCGGATTAATATTGCCAACCTAACTCGAGTAGTATATTCGTTTTTATAAATGTCTCTATAAATTTGTATCAAATAATTTATTGAAATTTCAATGCTTTTTTGATTTTAAATTGAAAAAAAATAAATAGCCTGATTTGGAAGTGGGTAATGAGAAGATTAGAATTTTTGAGATGTGTATATAAAGCCGTCATAGCTCAGTTGGATAGAGCACAGGACTTCTAATCCTGGGGTCGTGGGTTCGAGCCCCATTGTCGGTAAAATCTTTTTACATGTTTTCAAATCTTGTTGATCAACAATTTTAAAAGCAATGTAATGATTGTCAGGTTCTTAAAAAATTGTGGCATTTACAGTTATCTAGATCTTGTGTTATCTTGTTGCATTGTATTACAACAACTAAAAATAACAATTTCCTGATTTTTTACAACATAAAAAAATGCCACAAAGTGAATACCCTGTTGAAGGTCTTAATCCAAAGAGTGAAGTTCAAGGCCTTGAATTTTTAAAACTTTATCCAAACTACGATGGTAGAGGAGTAAGAGTTGCAATATTTGACACTGGAATTGATATCGGAGCTCCAGGTTTAAATGGCTTGACAACGGATGGTAAAAGAAAAATCATTGATGTTGTTGATTGTACAGGATCCGGTGATGTAGATACCAAAACTATTGTCAACCCTGATGCAAATGGAATTGTTATTGGAAAGACAGGAAGGAAATTAAAAATTGATGCAAAATGGAAGGAATTAAATAGTTCCAATGAGTATCACGTTGGTATAAAGAGTGTTTTCGAATTGTATCCCAAACCATTGATTGATAGAGTTAAGGAAGAAAGAAAAAAACAATTCCAAAAGAAACAAACAGAGAAAGTGAATGAAATTAAGGAAAAATCTAATTTATTGAAAAATTCTACCGATGAAAAATCAAAGAAGGAACTTTCAGAATTAGAAAAACAACTCGATTTATTGAACGATTTAATGAAGAATTATGAAGACTCTGGTCCACTTTTGGATTGTATTGTATTTTTAGACGAGAAGGCCAACGTGTATAGAGCTGTGGTTGTTCATGATAGTTATGATGCTGAGAAGAATATTTTTGAAACCTCTAGTTTTGATGAACAAGTTGTCGATTTGAGTAATGAAAAGTTGATGAGTGACTATAGCCTGAATTACGAATATTCCACCTTCACAGAACTTGATTTATTGAACTATTCTTTCAAGATTTATGATAATGGTAACTTGCTTTCTATTGTTACTACCTCAGGATCTCACGGCTCACACGTTGCAGGAATTGTTGGCGCTCACTTCCCAGATAAACCAGAATTGAACGGTGCAGCACCTGGTTGCCAAATTGTTTCATGCAAAATTGGTGATAATAGATTGGGTTCTATGGAAACTGGAACAGCTCTCAATAGAGGCTTAATTTCCTGCTATGAAAATAAGTGTTCCATTATTAATATGTCATACGGCGAGCCAAGCTCTCTTGCTAACACTGGTATCTTTAGAGAAAAGTTGGAAGAATTGGTTTACAATCACAATGTTACATTTGTCACCTCAGCTGGTAACGCTGGACCAAACTATACAACTTGTGGTGCCCCTGCTTCCTTATCTGACTCATGTATAGGTGTTGGAGCTTATGTAACCCAGTCTATGATAAAAGCTCAGTATGGACTTTCTGAGACAGTTCCAGATTCCCAATTTACATGGTCTTCCAGAGGTCCAACAGAGGATGGTCAATTGTGCCCAACTATTTCTAGCTTGGGTGCTGCTATTACCAGTGTACCAAACTATACTCTACAATCTGTAAATCGATGTAATGGAACTTCCATGTCTTCACCTCAATGTTCCGGTTGTCTTGCATTGCTTTATAGTGCCTTAATAGCTGAGGGAAGAAAATGGAATCCTTATTACATCAAAAAAGTTTTGGAAAATACTGCAAGAAATAATCATGAAAATGATGAAAAGAATGTGGATGAGCATAGCCATCATCCATTATCTATTGGTTCAGGATTAGTTCAAGTTTTGGACGCCTTTAAATTTATTGAAAAGCAAAAGCCATTCAATCCAGACACTGACGATTATAGATATGTAATTTCAATTCCACAAAGAAATAATGCAAGAGGCATTTATTTAAGAGAATTTGAGGAGACTCACTCAACCCAATTCTATACAGTCAGTATTGATCTTGTCTACAATGAGAAAACAAAGAATATGAGCAAGATCGAGTTTGAAAAGAGATTCAAACTTGTACCTATTTTTTCTAGCAATAATGCAAATACAGTCACAGATCACAAAGCAAATGAGACTCCAAAATTCATCAAAGCACCAGAATTCTTACACATACCAGGAACATTCTCATTCGTTGTTCAAATTAATACTGAAATTTTAGACGAAAATAATGTTTATTTTGCCAGAATTGATGCTCTTGATTGTGATAATATGGAATTCGGTCCAGTTTTCTCTGTTCCAATTACTGTAATGAAACCTTACAAGCTAGTCAAATCTGATACCGAAGTAGAATATAGAAAGACTTTCACCTATCAAATGAAATCAGGAGAACTCTATAGACAATATATTAGCACCCCTTCATGCTCTATTCAATACTGCAAGTTATCATTGAGAGCTGATGAAATGGACACACAAAAAATGCTCGTCTTCCATGCTACACAACTTTTGGACAGGGAAGCCTATTCTAAATATGACACCAGAAAATTCATTCAAGTTTCTCAGTCAGATGTTTCCACTCACAATATTAAGACTGTTCCAAATAGAACTCTAGAATTGACATTTGGTCAATTCTGGTCCTCTCCTGGACAATGTAAAATTACAGTTGATGTAGAATTCTATGGAATCGACTCTATCAATATTTCCAATGATGAGATATTCTTTGATGGAAGTGAAGTTGCTAGAAAGATACAACTCACTTCATCATTAAGAAATATGGAAATGAATATTTCTGCAAAACTTGATTCTTGGAAAGAAACACTCTCTCCAACCAATAGTGAAGATTCAAAACTCATTCAAATTCAAAACAATCCAAGAAATACCTATTTTGATACTGAAAAGTGTAGCTATGAAATGATACTTGACTATAATCTCAAGATGGCATCAGATCATGAAATTATCACCTCACTACCAGTTCTCTCCAAATTACTCTATGAATGCAATATTGAATCAAGAATGCTTATGATCTTCAATAAGAATAAGAAATTAGTCAAGGTTTCTGATTACCATCCTGAAAAATTCAAGTTGAAGAAGGGTGACTATGTTGTCAGAGCACAATTCAGACATGACAATATTGCAACCCTACAAAAGCTCAAGAATTATCCTCTCGTCATTACTCACGTACTTGCCAAACCAATTTCACTCAAATTATTCAAGCACATCAATGGTGCTCTTACTGATGTTGATAAACAAGATGAAAAATTCAAGTTGAGTTATGGTAGAAGCAATTCCTATGCCTTGGGATATTCTGGAGTTGAAAAGGATTTACCAAAGGAGGTTAAGGCTGGCGATAGATTGACTGGTAAATTCCAATATCAAGGTGTTGATGTTGCCACTGTTCCACTTACCTTTGTGGTTCCACCTTCTTTCTTGGCAAGTGAAAAATCAACTCCTGAAAAGGAAAATAAGGCTGATGAAAGAACGGCAGAACAAAAGTTCCAAGACTACATTATTGAACAACAAGTAACCTATCTTAAAAAGCTCAAAGCTGAAGCTTTACCATTTGTCAACACACTTTTAGAGAACAATCCAAAGTATTTGGGACTTCTTCTATTGAAGCTTGATATTCTCAAGGAACAACTCAAGACCAGCACTGAAAAGAAGGATCTCGTCAATCAAATTACTCAACTTGTTGATAGTGTCACTGAAGTCGCTAACATTTCTGATTTGATTATTCACTATGGTAGTCAACCAAAGAATAAGACAAAGAACGAAGATGAAGAATCTGAACTCGAACAACAAGCATACCAACTCAAATGTAAAGAAATGGATAAGAAGAAGGATGCACTCATTAATTCATTGCAAACCAAACTCGATTTGTTGTTAGATGATACAACTGGCTCAGAAATTTCGGACAGAGATACTCTAATCAAGCAAACAATGAAGACCCTCAGACAATTTGTTGATCCAACAGAGAAATTCCTCTTCACAGATGTCCAATATGATTTATACTTTAAATATCAAACAGTTGCCCTTCAAAAGTTGATTAAATCATTGGGAGAACAAAATGAAAATGAATCCAAATTGTATGATCTCATATCCAAGCTCACTGGAGAGATGGGATTCAACCATTGGTCCACTCTCTTGAAAAATAATAAGAAGATGAGATTCCCAGACAGTTATACCCTTTTCTAAAAGTACTATCTGTTCTTTGAACACTTAATATATTGCTTTTTATTGAATTTATTATTATGTTTTAATAACTTGTGATCATCAAATTAGAATGTTTGAAACGTCTTAGAAGCGTACACAATAAACCTCCTTCAGCAAACAATACAGTAGTACCCAAATTATGCGTAAGGCACACCTATTTCCGAAATAGATCATTCACCAACAATTTCTCTTAATTGAGGCACGACCTTTTGCAAGTTCAAAAAAAATCAACAGTAAATCAACTTGTAGCTTCTGGTGGTTGTTTTAAATAATTATGAGAGACAATTCTTCTAAGTGTTCAAAGCTGAGGAAGAGTTGCAACAATTCAGAAGGAATTAGTGCAACAAGAATGATGATGAAGAATTTGGTGCTAAGTTGTTTTCTGCTGATTATCATAACAACAATGATGACCGAGAGGGCTTTGGCAGCACCATCAATAAGTGAAGAATTTATTAGTTTTAAGGCCATGATGAATAGTAATAATAGAATAGAAGGCGAGGGTAATAATTATATACTTAATTCAGAGAATAACATTCTTCATGGTAATTTGAAAAGAAGAATTAAACAAGAAGAACAAATTGCTGAATATATTATAAAGATTAAGAGTGAAAGGGAGAGGAATCATCCTTTGACAAGAGTAGGAAATTTTTTAAATCATGGTGTGTTTAAAGTTGTTGGAAAGTTGAGTCAATTGCTGGCTTTTAAGGATGATTTAGAGTTTATTGGAAACTATGAAGAAAGATTCAAGTCAATTTTAGATTTTGCAGAAATTGAACACATTTCAATCCAATATTTGAATAGCTCAAAGAGATCTCTGACCACTCCAAGATATTTGAGGGCTTCAATTTCTCTTACCCATTCGTTGGATTCTCTCACAACTGAACAGCAAAATGAATCAGCTCAACAAATAGCCAATAATCTTAATGAATTATTGGGAAGTCAACTTATCAAAGGAAGGGATTTCTTCCCAATTGAAGTAATTTCAGATAGTCATTTCGAAATTCAATTTTCACCTCTAGTTTCTGCAAGAGTTGGACAAACTTTGAAGAGTCACCCAAACGTACACTATGTTGAAAAGGTCCATCAACTTGGCTTTTTCAATAAGAATGGAGTTTCCATCTCACAATCAGTTAATGCCAACTCTGTGGCAAGAGCTAGTCCATTCTATGATCTTGGAATTTATGGAGAGGGACAGATAATTGGATTGAGTGATACTGGTATTGATCACGATCATTGCTTCTTTAGAGATTCTTCCAATGTCAATGTCTTTGATGAAAATCATAGAAAGATTGTGTCATATAATACAATTACATTCCAATTTAATAATCAAAAGATTACTACAGATTTTAAGGATGATGTTTCTGGACATGGTACTCACGTAGCAGGTTCCATCTCTGGCTCAATGGAAAATACAGATTTTTCTGACACTGTCAATCAATATCATGGAATGGCTCCAGCTTCAAAACTATTCTTTGTTGATATGAAAGATTCAAACAATGACAATATGTTCATGTCTAATGATTTAACAGTTCTCTTTAAACAAGGATATAATTACGGCGCAAGAATTTTCTCCAACAGTTACGGAACCTCTGCTTCTGTCTATGTTACTTGTTCTTATGATTGTAAGAATTGTAGAGTGGTCAATGCATTTGATTCATTCAATTCTGGTGATTCGATTACTGATGCCCAGTGTAACAGATTGTTTGGTTCTGAAACATGTTGTTCCATTACAAACTTTTACACTTCTTCAGCTTATAACCTTGACAAGTATTTGTGGGATAAACAGGATGCAGTTATTCTCTTTGCTGCAGGTAAGTTGTTTCCAAATTGGAATTTCTTATTCTAAACACTTAAAAGGAAATGATGGAGCACTCGCCAAACAAGGAACTCTCACAGAGCAATCAAACTCAAAGAATATCATTAGTGTTGGATCATCTCGTTCTTCAAATAGTGGAATTCTTACCTCACTGTATTATGAAGATTACTATACAAAGATTAAGGAAGCATCTCTAAATTTTGCTGGACCTGAAGAATGTTGTTTATCATTATCTACCAATGTGAGATCATACTGTTGCCCAAGTTATGTTGAAAATCAGTTTAAAGATACTAAAGCTTACAATGAGATGAATATCGCTTCATTTTCGAGTAGAGGACCTGCTGGTATGTTTTCTTTGATTTTTACAAGTTAATTAAGGTAAATGAAGATGGAGGAAGAATTAAACCAGATTTAGTTGCAGTTGGAGAAAATATTGTGAGTGCTCACTCTGATGGTATAATTACTACCAATCAATGTGGAACTGGTCGTCCAAAAGAAGGAAACGATGCTGCTCTTCTTTCAAAGGTAAGTTGTGTTTTTTTAAACTTTTTTCACATAAACTCATTGAAAATAGAGAGGAACTTCAATGAGTACACCTCTAATGGTAAGTATTTAATTATTTAATATTATATTTAATATTCCTTTAAAGGCTGGAGCTGCTGGTAAGTTATTTCAATTTCAACTTAAGTTTCAACACTAATAATAGCTTTGATAAGACAATATTTACAGAAGAATAGAGGAGTTTCCAACCCATCAGGACCTTTGATTAAAGCTCTCTTGGTCCAATCAGCTGTTCCATCTAAAGGAACAGTTTCATTGAATGGAGACGAAACTGATAGAGTTGAGCTAAATGCCTATTTTCAACCAAATCCTGTTGAAGGTCATGGTATTGTTTCCTTGGGATCATTGCTGAAAACTGAAACTGGAAATGATGTTGGCTTGACATTCTTTGAAAATTCGTTCACTGCCTCCTCTCAATCATTCAAATTATGTTACAAAGTTGAAAGTGCAAGTTGGATCAAAGCAACTTTAGCTTGGTACGATTATCCAAGTGATATTTCTTCTTTTGTTCCACTCATTAATAATTTGGATTTGATTGTAAATACATTCACCACTGATGGAACAAGTTTCAAAAATCTTGTAGTGTATGGAGGTAATGATTTAGGAGCAGTGGACACTGTAAATAATTTGGAAAAGGTTATTGTTAATTCTTTGGGTGCAGCTTCATATGTTAGTGTTGCAGTTTATATGAATCAATTGGCTTCAGTTACAACTAGTCAACCTTATGCTTTGGTGTTGACATCAACAAATGGAACTCTAGTTCAGGTGAATGAAGCATTTTGTACATACTCAAAAGATGTTCCTCCTCGTGCTTTTAGACCAAATATTGTTGCTGCAATTGTTATACCAATTGTTTTTGTAATTGTATTCACCATAATTGTTATAATCATAATTATTGTGATATTGATCCTTCGTTTTACAAAAAAGAATGAAATCCAAAGAAAAAAGAGTGTCAATGCAGCTGCCATCAGTGAAAGTGTCATGCCAGAAATGCAAGATTTTACTCCAACTTATTAAAATAAATTATTTCATCAATTTATTATTGTGGATTTCTATTGAATTGAGTTTATACATTAAATATTTACAATAAAGAGTGTCACTCAAACTTAACAACCACAACCACCACCTTGAGCTGGTTTTGGTTTTGGTTTATCACCTTCACCATCATCAATGATGACCTTGTCACTTGGACCTATTGGTTCATCTTTACGATCCTCTTCTGGTTTCTTACTCTTTCGGCTTTGGGTCTTGTAAATTTCCTTCAAAAGTGTGGTGAAAGCTTCATCTACGTTAGTACTATCCAAAGCAGATGTTTCCATGAATGAAACGTTATGTTTTTCAGCAAAAGCTCTACCAGTTGCTGTTTCTACTTGTCTCAAGTGATTCAAGTCACACTTGTTACCAACTAAAATATTGATACAACCATTTTCTCCTTGATTTTCAATTTCCTTGAACCATTTTTCCAAATTATCAAAGCTTTCTTGGTTTGTAATATCATAAACAATAAGAGCTCCGTTAGCACCTCTGTAATAAGCAGCAGAAACTATAAAATTGTTTAGACATTAAAATAATCAAATTATATACTTACTTGCTCTGAATCGTTCTTGACCAGCACTAAAAACAATAATTATACATGATATTATTACGTATCAATGTCATTGATTATTATTAAAACACAACAATAATAATTATACTACGTACGTATCCCAAATTTGACCCTTGATAGTTACACCATCATATTCAATAGATTTAGCACCAAACTCAACACCGATAGTTGGTTTTGTGTCTTTAGTAAACTTATTTTGAGTAAATCTGGTAATTAAATTTGATTTTCCGACACCAGAATCTCCAATAACAACAACTATCATCATCAAATATAAAATTAAATAAAATCATCATCAAACTCATCTTACCTTTGTATAAAACGTCGCAATCCATCCTTTATATATATTGACAACTAGTAAGACAAAACGTTAGTTTCCTCTTGTTTTTTAAAAATGGCTCCAAAAATATTGGTTATTTTTTTACAACTGTTTTTAAAATAGCTAAACCACCAAATTTTCTTTCTGTGCTCTTTTCGAACCGTTAATTTTCTCTTTCCATGCGCGACAGAGAGAAGATGAAACAGAAATAGATGGAGAATTTTAACGTTATGGTTGGGCGCAATGCACAACAACAAACACCAGTATCACTTCTAGAAAAGAATCATACACGTATTGAAAAGTAGTTGGTTTTTAGGTCTGTTGTTGAGTTGTTTGTGGATGAACAAGAGTTCAACTGGTGCAGATTCATAGGATTGAAATTTGACAGGTGAACAAGGTGATTGGTTGGATAATGGTTGACGGCTCAAGAACAAAAATAAATTAATTATTATTATTTTATTGAAATATTAAATCCATTGAGGTTAGTTTCTAATAGTACTTTCTCAGAGTTTCTAATAAATGATTCACCATTAGCTGATAAACTCCAAATTTTTCCAGTCATTTGACAACAAATAAAGTATGATGAGGTGTTAATATTATTTGTGGTTGATAATTGATTTGAGGTGGTCTTATTTTGTTTGAAAATTCTCAAACCTGCACCATCACCTTTCCATAAATCACTCAAACTTGTTGAATTTGCCAAGTTAAATTCATCAAAATCTTGTGGAAGAGGTCCATTGTCTTGAAAACCTTGCCAACATTCTTTCCAAGAATTTGCTGGTGAAGAAAGAAATGGAACAATGACAAGTTTTGGCATATCCTTTTCTTTAGAAATGGCTGTTGGATAACAATTTGGATACCATGAATCATATCCAATCAAGAGAATAACTCTTCCAAAATCTTCAATCTCAAAGGTGAAATCATTCGATTTGAAAATTCTATCTTTTTGCTTTGTGAGAATGTAATGTTCATCTTCTGATGGGAATGCCTTGACACTAATATGACAAATATTTCCTCTTGGATCAAAAACAATTGATTGATTGTAAAATCCATCATTGGTCAATCTCTTGAACTTGTGAGTATATTCAATTTTTGGTAAATAAATTGAACCTGCAATGACATAGGCATTCCTATTAATGGCAATCTCTGAAAATGTACTCAAATAAACATCAAACATTAATTGTGATTTCATCTTGAAAATACTTCTATAAATTATTCCCTCCCATGCTACAAAACTTAATAAATTAGTCAATCTTTTAATTTCTGAAAAGTAAATCCAACATTCATTAATAAAGTATCTTATAAATTGAATAATATTTGAAAATGCAATAAATATTATTGCTAATAATTGTGAAGGAATCCAAAAAGTGAAGGGTTGTTCATTTAGACAAATTAACCATGCTCCAATCATTTCTGGGAATATTATTATATTTCTTTTAAAGGATTTATCTATTGATTCTTCTTGTTTTGATGCTAAATCTACAAAATTATTCATAGCTTGCTTGAATGTTTCTTCATTCCGATAATAATCTTGATTTAAATTTGTTGGATGAACAACAATAATATTGGTTTCATTATTAGCTTGATCCGATGATGAAACATTCTCCACATTATTGTCATCAATGATTTGCTGCTGCTGTGAGACAACTTGTTCCCCTTCTTGGTGTGAAATCATTTTTTCTTATTTGCCAACAAATTGATTGACCAAAAAAGACAATTCTATTCGGAAAGTGGTAATGAGTCTCCAATTCAAACCAACAAAAGAAAGGCTGAACAACATATACTAACACCACGTAAATTGCAAAAGATTTACACTTCTTCAGATTCTTTCAACTAAAGTTTGTAAATAGAGTCATTGTGAGAACTTTGACTACTAACCGTGGGGCTAATTTGATTTCCAGACCTATGGTATTGGTAAATCTTCGCTTGTTAAAAAGTTTAGGCAAGTGTATGAAGACAATCATTTCGAATGGGATGAGTCCACAAAGTTTGTTAGGGATTTGAAATTACTTGTTGTGCACCAACCAATACAGTTGATGAGTACATAAGAAAAAGTGTTTTGAATGCGTACAGAAATCAATTAGTGCACGATTTGTCTACAACACAAGAAATGTCAGGATTGAGAAAGAAGTTCAATGAAGAATTATCTGAATTTAGAACTGCATATGACATGCTAGATCATATTGACTCTGTACATGCCCCAGAAGGTTATCTAGTCTTTTTTGATGAGGTGGATAGATTATGCGAAAAGGACAACAGTATCAAACCTTTGGAAACACTATTTAATACAGTTGCACCTCTTGTAGTTGGTAAGCGAAGCTCAGTCATTGTGAGTGGCCACTCACCTATTCAATATCAACTACAAACAGACAGATCTCCATCTGACTATCAAATGGTATTTCTACCTTCAATGGATGATGAAAAGTTAAAGCTAATTCTGGAGTGTACAGTAGTCAATCTTGGTGGCAAACACACATCGTTATCACATGTATTGTCATTATTAGGTTTGAAGGACGAACCAAAGTTTATCACTTTGCTAAAGGAATATGCTGGAACTGTGCCAAGAATTATGAGAAATTCAATTTGCTATATTTTATCAAATCAAACAAGATTGGAAACAACTGAAAAGATTGAAGCTGTGTTGAACAATAGAGCATGGCAAAAATCAACAGATGTTACCATTCAGATTGGAGGAACAAGCTGTATTGGTGTCTAAGTTATTCACCTTATTTTGTCTTGGCATTCCAATACCATCTTCAGCAATAGTCCAATACATTGGAAGATTAAGATTTCTAATAGAGCTCTTGCCTGTTTTTCTCATTCATTTTTACGTGAAAGATGAATTGATTTACTTGAATATTCCAAAAATCCTTCAACACAGTATAATATCATCACTGAAACAATACACTCCATATTGGTGTGAGAAATCAAATCATTAACTTATACACTAGCTCCCATATTCGATAAGTCTAAATTTTTGGAGTTAGCAGCAATGGATGTTTTGGTAGATCAGATAAGCTCATTGATCTCAGGAGAAGAAAGTACCTTTGGAAAAATTTGTAATCGAATATTCAAACACACTTATTAACAACCCAGGAAGTTCAAACAGATATAATTCCTAGTTTGCTACCACAATCTACAATAATTAGCCATAAATATGATTCCCTTCCATTCATTTTGAAGCAGTCAAATATAACCAATTTTTGTTTCGGTGTTCCAATACCATTAAATAGTGGTTTCTCTGTTTACCTTTAATAAACCCCATAAACTAATGCTATTAGAAATTAAGCTAAAACAAGAGGATTCATTCAACTTGAAACATATACAAACTGAAATTAACGAAGCTGTGAAACTACTTCCCAAACTTCCGGTCACTTCAAAACCAAGTTTGCAAAGCGATGCTGTGAGTGTTACATTGGTGATAGTAGTATTCAGATATTCAGAAGACATTCTAGAAGTCATTGGACAGAACGGAGAGGACGGAGCTCTGCTTATTGCTGAAACCTGTTATTTAGATGATGAAAACAATCTTACATATGAGTATCTACCATGCAAACAGTCTTGGTTAAAAATCTCAAATGGTGGTATTGAAGTGGATTGGGTTTACAAAATTTTCTTGGGAAAGATGTTTTTGCGTTCTTCAACTCAAACGAACCCAATGAAAAAATCTATAAGGATATCATTAGCAACACAACGACTCGAGTGCAGTACTAAACGGTTGTTGTTGATAAAATAAATTTCAAATTCAAACTTTCAATGAATGTTCTTCAAACACCGTGAGGTTACTCATCATTATTGTTGTTTATAAACCCCACCTCCTCAAAATTTTAAAGGTCAGAATAGCCTGAAAAAGATCATATGTCAAAAATTCAACTTGCTGATAACAAACAAGCTGGAGATAGAGTATGTAGGTTATCTTGTGTCCATTATTAAGAAAAATTGCTGTGAGAATTTAACTTCAAAACCAATAAGCAAAACGTATTGCTGACGGACGGGATCGAACCGGCGACCAATGGCTTATTAGACCAACGCTCTACCGACTGAGCTACGCCAGCTTCATTCAAAGCATTTGCGTAACCTTAATTGTTATCAAATACCTTAAATGCTTATTCATAATTTAAATTAGAAAAAATGTGTGTCTACTCCATCTCTAATTAATAAGAAATTGATTCAAAGAATATTGATAAAAACAATTATGATTTAAATTGGTCAAGATTGAATCCACAAGTTTATACGTTAAAGTTAAAACTAATCTAAACTAATCTCCAAAGTCCACACAAATACTTGCTGCTTGTGTCATTTTACGTATGTATTCAACTCCTTCACCAGAAATAGTATTTTCAGAAATAAACAGACTGCTCAATTGTTTCATTTTACTAATTGACTTGAATCCTTCATCACTAACATTATTTCTACAAATATCTAGATGTGTTAATTGGTTCAGTCTGCTTATGTACATAGCTCCTTTATTACCTAAATCATTGCCTCCTATATAAAGTTTAGTTAATTTTTTCAATTTGTTAAGATATTTAACTCCTTCACTGTTAATGTTATTATAACTAAGGTCAACATCTGTTAATTGTTTCATTTCACTTATATATTTAACTCCCTCACTATCAATTTCACTGTCACAGCAATAAAGTTTTGTTAATTGTTTTAATTGAGTAATGTATTTAAGTCCTCCAGAACCAAAGTTATTCGCAGAAATAGAAAGTTCTGTCAATTGTTTCAATTTAGAAATGTGTATAGCTCCTCTTATATTGATATTATTGAAACCAATATTCAGATTTGTTAATTGTTTCATTTCACTGATATATTTAGCTCCTTCATCACCAATATCACCGCTATAAATAGAGAGAGTAGTTATCTGTTTCAGTCCACTAATGTATTGAGCACCAATATTACCAATATGATTGTACTGAATAGATAGACTTGTTAATCCGTTCATATTTCCAATATATTTAACATCCTCTTCTTCAATTTCATTATTAGAAACATCCAGATAGGTCAATTGTTTCAATTGGCTTATATATTTGGTTCCTACATCAATAGTATTGTTGGATATATCAAGCTTTGTTAAATGTTTAAATGATTCGCTGATAACTCTAGCTCCTTCAGAATTAATCTTATTATCAGAGATGTCAAGTTCTGTTAATTGTTTCAAATCAGCTATGTCCCAAACATTATCAATACCAATTCCATGAATATGAAGACTTGTTAATTGTTTCAATTCACCAATGTATTGAAGTGTTTCATCATCAACTTTGAATTTCTTATTCTTATTGCCATATGAAATACACAGTTTTGTCAATGATTTCATCAATAATAAATTCTTGTAAACATTGGATTGTTTTTCAATCACAAGATTTGCAATATTTTGTATAAAGTGACCATTTACATCGGAATGGCATTTCAATGTCATTTGCTTGCACATTGTTAACACAACATGGTACCATTGTTTAGAAACCAACGAACAATTCATGACAAGAAATTTAAAATCATCATGAAATGATAAAATTTCATAAATAACATCATCATGAAATGCATCATCTCTTTCCATTTTTTTAATTTGTTAATTTTTGTTGTGGAACTTTAATCACCAGAAATACTAATTCCTAATATGTGGTCCATTTTGCTTTAGTTCCATTCAACAGATTGCAATCCAATCGAATGAAATATTCTTGCTGATGGCGACTTGATGGGTTGTTGCCGTAATTGACAATTTTGTGAAAGCATTTTTTTCAATTTAAAACTTTTAATTTTAATTGAATTTATTACTTTCTTATGGAATCAATTAATTGTTTGGCATAAACTCCTGAATAGAGTTAAAACAAATCTAACCAATTTCAAACATCTCTTGAATGGAGAAACTGGTTTAGAAAGATGAAGTTGTACGAATTTCCGAAGATAAAACTTGAAAGAGTTGATCACCAGTTATATATTATGAAATATACGAATTTACGTTAAATCTTATAATTCTGCCATCTTCCAAAGGATAGGAAACTGTTGTATTTCTGAAAGGAACTTCATCTTGAGTGTATCATGGATCAGTGATTCGTTTCTTTTGAAAATAAATACCTAATGAATTAATAGTCAGAACCTCTACTGATTCTTGGTGTTAAAATTGCCAACAAATTGATTGACCAAAAAAGACAGCGTTGTTATCTTTACTGTGTGAAGGACTAGATCAAATTTCACAACATGGTTTGAGTTAATGATAATGTGTTCAGCACCAAGATCTAGTCAATTAACAAATAAAGAATTTTACTGTTTAATAATATCGTACAAAATCTAGTTGTGTGTTTTTTTGGACATTGGTAGTGTTGAAGGAGTGTGAGTAGTGATTATGTGAAAGTTTTGAAAAATTTGTGTGAAGAGAGATATGTAAAGAAAATGTTTTCTTTTCCATTTGATTTCAATATAAATATAAATTCTTTGAGTTGTCAATTATTGTACTTTACATTAAAATACAACATCCATCACCATTTCCTTTAGATTCATTGCTTGGAGTTGCAGCTTTTCCTCCTTTAGCAAAACGAACATCCAAAGCTTTTTGGAAAATTTCATCAACACCCTTTCGTGTACGAGCTGATGTTTCAATGTAGTGGGCTGCTCCGATTTCCTTTGCAAGTTTTTCACCTTCTTCTGCTGTGAGAACTTTTTCACCATCTTTAGCTAATTGTTCAATCATTGCCTTGTCATCTCTGATATCGATCTTGGTGGCAACGAGAATGATTGGTGTTCCCTTGCTGTATTCATTCAATTCCTTAAGCCACTAAACGTATGTGAGCTTTACTGCTCAGTAAAATATTCGAAACTTACCTTTTCTTTAACGTTATCATATGATGATCTACTATTTACGGAGAAACAAACAATAAAAACGTTGGTATTTGGATATGAAAGATATCTCAGACGATCATATCTATTTTTGAATAATAGAGAAATTTTCAAAATAAACAAGCAAGAAGAAAGTAAACCTTCAATAATTATTGAACAAGAATAATACTTACTCTATTATAATAAATCATCACCATGAATATAAATTTAAATAAATAATAATATTTACCTTCCTATTTAACGTTTAGGAAGAGAGTGAATACGTATTCATCATGGAACAATGTTAGAAAAACAAAATCAAATAATTGAAATTTTCATCAATTTAGCATTAATTTTTTCATGAACGAATTATTACTTACTTGACCAGCTGTATCCCATAAACTCAAACGAACAACACTATCTTGGTATTTTACATTGGTATCATAGCTATATATTATTTTGTTATTGTTGTTATTAGAATGATGTGATTTGGATGAATTTAATTCATCAAATAGAGCGCACAAATACATACTTATCAAAGACAGTCTATGATGATGATGAAAGGTTATAACAACAAGTTTAGGCTATTTTACTTACAGGAATGTAATCCTCCGGAAATTCATTATTAACATAGACCATCAACAAACAAGTCTTTCCTGTTATTGTCAAATGTCAATTTAAAACCATCAATTAATAATCAACAACGAAATTTCTTCTCCTACGTACCGACAGCACCGTCACCTGTAAATTCAAATTAATAAACTTTGAATTCAATAGTAAATACTTACCAACAGCGACAACTTTACAAGTTTTGTTATTAGACATTTTGTGTATTTTCTAATGAAAGTATGGTGGGAAAGATTTTTGAATAAAAAGAAGAGGGTGATGATGGATTTTTTTTGCTGTTGGAAAAAACAATGTCATCCGTCTATCGTGTCAATTCTCTTTGCCCTCTGAGAGCCTAAAACTCTCTGACATGAGCGTGTTGAGGATGCTCTCGTTCGATTTTGACAAACGACTTGCGCTTTTCCTTGTTCACTTACTGCACAGAAAGAGGATTCGGTTATGAAATTCGTTACTTCATAGTGTTCATCTTATGATTTGGTCATTTCTATTGTTGCATGGCAATTAATTTCAAATTACAATCAAATTGACAATCCACCACAACCAATTATATAAAGTGGTTTGTTGTTTTGATGCAGTTTCGAGTCGTCTTGTTATTAGTAAACTATTGAAGTGTTGGAAATTGGAGAATGGAAATTCACAAGGCTAACGACGAGACAGAACGAATCGTTGTGGCTTTAAAGGGTCAATAAATTGGCGACTTGAGAAAATTGGGAAAAGTTTTCTAATATTGATTTGTTAATGTCATTCTAAACTGCCACAAAAAGTCCTTTGAAAGTATTGTGCCACTCACTTTGTTTCATGCATTAGAAAATTACCTCAACAATTATCTACTTTAATTCACCTTGTTAAATAATTAGAAGCAGAAACTGTTGACTAATCATTGGACAGCACTAACTCCTATCAATAGTAGGAATGAGAGAAAACCGACCCATCACAACGTAATGGCAGTACAAATCAACACAAAATTAGAGAAATAGATTGTAGCAATAAATCCCGATGATGTTATTTACGGTAGGTGGATGTAATTTGGCGCCATTCAATTACGTTATTTCAAGCAAAAAAGAATGAGTGGTTCATCATCGGAGGGAGCATCATCAACTGCCAGTGCTCTTCCACCATTGGAATATCATAACTTGACTTTGAATGCAAAGAAGAGGAGATTTTATACACCCTATGAAGTGAGTGAACATAATTGTGCTAGTGATTGTTGGGTGTCGTTTTTAAATAAGGTGTACAACCTTACTCCACTCATTGCTCTAAACAAAAGTATGTAATCACTATACTACAAATCGGAATAATGATCAAATTGGATTTTAGCTTCTGTATTAATTGAACCAATTGTTGCTAATGCTGGAAGGGATATTTCCCATTGGTTTGATGCAACAACACAAGATGTAAAAACATGGATAGATCCAATCATTAACGAAAGAGCCTTCTATACACCAATGAAGAGATTTTTACATGTACCTGCACCACCTTATGAAGCAAAATCAAAAACTCAAGAAGTGATTCCTGTAGTGCCTTGGTGGCAAGACTCAAAGTACATGATTGGGTATTTATCAAGGAAAACCCGATTTATAAGAATTATCAATACACTAACACAAGATGATCATCAATTGGAAGTCTGTTCTGAGGAGACATTAAGGGAGATTTTGGATAGATACTTGGTTTTCAATGCTCATGCAGCAAGTTACACATGGAAACGACTAGGAGAAGTTTTAGATATGGGTAAGTTCACAATTTAATATCACTAATTGGTCCTATCGTAAAATGAATTGTAGAAAAAACCTTATCTGAGAATGGAATTGAGGATGAAGATGGAGAGTTTGAAGAGTTGGGGATTAGAGATGACTATTACATTCCTGCCATCCATCTCATGTATAATGATGATTTAACAATTGGCTAGACGACATTTATTTGAATGGGCAATTTAACGAACAATAAACTCCCTCCACTAATTTTCTGTTATAAAAAAAATATTAAAAAAAAGATGAAAAAATTAAGCCTTAAAAAACCTAATCGATCCCATTTGTTGTACAAGGATGAACGAATAGAGTCAAAGGAAATTACTGATAATACAGATAAACACACTGAAAATAATTCTGATGGGGATGAAAGAGAGCTAGAATTCTGTAAGTTTAATATTTATAATTTTAAGGAATTTACCAATTCATGTAGGGAAAAAACTTGTTTCCAATCTTGATGAGGAAATGATATTAAAACAATTACATAATGTATCGTTGGATAACAAATCGAGAGATTCTTCGGATGAGCTTAATGAAATTAAAAAACAACTAAGTGAATTAATAATAAGATCCATAGATGATAGAGATGAAAGAGAGTCCGAATCGTCTGTGTTAGAAACAACACCTGAGAAAAGGGGGAATTTAACAACAACAAGAAGAGAATTTCAAAAACAAACGGATGAAATTGATGCCAAGCTGAGTGCAATTAGAGAGAAGGTAAAAAATCATCTCTCACCAAAGTCACTTCCTCAACAAAACTCTCAGCGAAACATTAAGAAAATAATGTCTGTTTCCACGTCCAGCAATGGATCTCCGAATAACACGGCTGTAATTTTAGGGAATGATGGTTCCAATGATGTTGAAAAACAAAGACTGCGATACATGGTGATAAAACTTCAAAAGGAGTATCAAAATTCAAGACTAAGAGAGAAGAGAGCTATTCAAGTTGCTAGGGAATACTCTGGACTCGTTTCGAGACATCAACAATATGTAAACAATCTCAAAAGAAAATATTTAGAAAGAGAACGACAAATTCTGGAAATGAGAGAAATGATTGGTAAGTTTGACACTAAATTTTTGATTGTGATTCCAACTCTAAACGATAGATGAATTAAATGGAGCCTTACAAAGAGCTCATTTAACAAGTCAATCTCACAACTCAACAAGGTCCCTAATTGAAAAAATATCGAGTAACTTTGAAACAATAATGGAATCAATAACTTCAAAGAAGGAGCTGGTTAAGATAATTGAGCAACAAAAGGAGGAGCTTGAACATCATGCCACTCTAGTGAAGAAAATTTATAAGAATACCCAATAGTGAACAATTACAATAAATTATGTAAATTGATAGAATTGTTAACATTGGAAGGTGTTTTGAAGACCGTCCTAGCAGGCATGCAAGGTCAATATTAAAGTATAATTAGTATCTTGTTCGTGAGGCAATTATTTGTGATGTGCCAAGACAAAAGGTCAACTTTTATTCAAAAACCTTTGATCAAAATAATTAGAAACCTCTCAAAGTGCTTTGGCATACTGCAAATGCAATTAGTGCAAGGTTCTTAGAAGTAGAGTTACCATCCCACATTTCATGAAACCATACCGACATTCTTCTTGCATCCTCTTTTTTAACACTCTCTGTCATTTCATCTTAACAACATGTGGAGCGAGTAGGGGTAAATTTCGTCTGGTCTTCCATTGTTGATCTTACAAACTGTTATGAAGTCTCTATCAAATAGATGGAAAATCCAATGATCCAAATCGTCTACTTCAATGCCCTCTTGTATTGTACCCAAGGCCTGAGGGTTTGATTCAACATGGAGAGATGTAAAAAACGTACTCTAAACTTATTTCCATTCAAATTAGGGGAACAAGCAATATGAGGAAACTCTTTAACTGTAACAGCATCTTTTTTACCATTAGCATTAACAAGTAATGAAATTCGTGAAGAAGAACTACATATAGCAGCCGAAAATCTTCCACTACTGTTATCACCAATGGAAGCCAGTTCTCCTAATGATCTTGATAAGAGTTTCGCTATAACCGTGTGGAGTAACTTGATACAATAACATTGATCTATTTCATCTACAATACAAGTACAAACTTATCTTCCCTTTGTAGAGCTCTCGTAATGTTGTTAGATCTTCCTCCCTCTGTTTCAATTGTAATACCCTGTTCATTTAGCACCATCTCCCCAATCTCCAAAACAGTGTGGTTTTGGAGAAACAGCTCATTTTCAATTTCTAAGTATGAGATATAAATGGGAATGATTTTTGGGAATATCAATGGTGCTACCAATACCTCTTGGTCCAATTAGAGTATGTGAGTTTAAACCTCTAGTATTTTTGTACTCATTTGCTTCATCACCTTTTCTGTTTCTTCCATAACATGATGATTAAATCGTAGGTTGGCTTTCAACAAGTGTTTTTTGACCAGGTGAATCTAACAGGAGTTTCTCTTTATGTTCTTGATAGCGACGTGTTGCATTTTTTTAATAAATTTAGTTTAGAATCACAACCTTAATGAGCCAAAAAAGCTTACAGAGCTCTATCAATTCAACTCGCCACCAATACCTATAGAGTTAAAGTGTATAATTTAAAGCTGCGTAAATTTTTTAATAAATTTTGGGTGTTTTCAGGGTTTACAACCAATGTTGTAAACTTTGATATGTTACAAAACTATTTTTGACATTTAATACTCAACATTGGAAGGTTGTGAATAGTGGAACTCTGATTTGTTTCTTATCATCTTTGATATTTCTGATTTTTTCATGACTTTCTAAAGGGAGCATCCAATAAAATACAGAGTCAGCAGTATCAACCAGATTGTTGTTCAGTGACATATTTTGATATTGGAGAATGAAATAACGATCATCACAAATCATTTCATCTTCTGATTGAACTGCTTCAGGATATCCCATTACTGATGTTCCCAAATCAGCTTTACTGCTTGAGTATTTTTCGTTAACATCCATACGAAGAGCATTTTCTGGTGAGAGTGGTTGAACTACTTCCTTTTTGAACTGTATTTGAGCTACCTTACTCTCTTCATATTCCAATCCATCTTCTGGTTTCACCCTTTCAAGCATATCAATAGGTCCATTCCAATAGAAAGAATATGGTTCTTTGTAGTCATCACTTTCCAAATTCTCCCAATCAATAAAGCAAAACAACCAGCCACATCTTGGTAATATTCCCTTAACTGAGTGATAGTTTTTGAGATCTCTCAAATCGATTTGACACACAAACTTGAGCAATTGTTCTTCGTCATCGATTACATTTGGCCATTTCATTCCTTTTGGTAGGTCAGGAAGTCCACCAATCTTACTTGATCCAATAGGGGTATTGTCTTTGCAATCTCCTTCTTCATCTTCATCTTTTTCCTCATCATCTTTCTTTTCTTCAGTCCCCTCGTCTCCAAATACTTCATTTTGCTCTTGTTGTTGACCTTTAAAAGTGTAGGGAATTGCAAGAGTGGATCTCTTCTTCATGGTCTCTAATATATTCTCCTTATCCTCTACATCAGCAAACACTTCATTCACATACATTTGATATTGGGATGTAAATTCCTTGAGTTGTCCATAAAACCTTCACCATGATAATAGTAATTATGTGAAAGCTAAACTTTAAACCTACATTTTAACAAAAGTTTCCTTCCATGAAGAATAAATTCCCTCATAAGCTTGAATATCAAATGTTCCTCCTTTAACATTCTTCATGAATGGATACTTTTCCAGATCATTCAATGAATTGTAACAGACAGCCTTCCAGATAGTTTCCTGATAATCAATACAAGTTGCATTCCACTGATTAGAAACCATCGAAGCACTCACAACATCTTCAACATGTAGAAAACACAAAATTTGTGCCAAACTCTCCGATGAAAAAGGTGCAGCTGTTGGCACAGTTTTGCTGGATTTTGATGGAGATGATGCTTCCTCTGTGGTGTGTCTTTTCATTTTTTTAAAGTTCTTTCCTCCACAAAGATGGATTAATTCACAGATTACAATGGAAAGTTCAATTTGAAAATTATTATTTAAATATTAATTAAAAAAAATGAAAAGATTAGAAAGAGAAGAGTTTGCAAATGATTCTATTACATGTGAAAGTTCGGAAATTCAACCAATGAGTAAAGCTATAAAAATTCATCATCAGGGTAATTATTAGTAGTGAAAATAGTAGTTAAATATTAGTATTATTTGGTAAATAATAGAGGAAATATTTCCCGATGATATTTGTTATGAAATTATTTGTTTTCTGGATGATTGGTTTATTTTGAAAAATTGTACATTAATTTCAACACAGTTTTTAAATATTATCAAAAGTCGAGTTACGTTTTATTTGGATTTTAATGTTCCGTTTGATAGTGAAAGAGTAGAATCGTTAATGAAAAGTCAATTCTTGGAAAGTATTGAAAGAGTGCAAATTAAATTTCTAACATTTAATTATAATACTCTTGGAGCTAAGGTAATTCAAGGTTTTGTTTTAATGAAAAATTTAACACACCTCACATTAGGAAGTCACTTTACTAATGAGGATGGTTTAAAGTCAATTGGAACATTGAAACATTTGATTCATCTCTGTGTTGATTTTAATGGGATTGGGTTGGAAGGAGCAAATTATATTAGCCAATTGGAAAAATTAGAATCTCTCAGTATTAGATATAATTATATTGGTGCAGAAGGAGCAAAAGTAATTAGTGAAATGAAAACATTGACTTGGCTAAATGTTTCATCAAATAGGATTGGAGGAGAGGGTGCCAAAGCCATAAGTCAGATGAAACAACTAACTTATCTTGATATAGGTGATAATAAGGTTGGTGATGAGGAGGTGATCTTGTTGAGCGAGTTGGACCAATTAACAGCTCTCTCAATTGATCGTATAAATCCTGACGGAATTAATGCAATTAGCAAAATGAACAAATTGGTTTCCCTAAGCATAAATAATTGTACTATTCTCGATGAATGTGAGGAGCTTAGCAAAATGAAACAATTAACATTGCTAGATATTAAATCGAATGGTATCAGTGCTAAAGGAGTTAAGCAATTAAGTGGATTGAGTCAATTAACACATTTGAATATTTCTTCAAATGCATTCGGTGATGATGGGGCTAAATCCATCAGTGAGATTAAACAATTGACAGAACTATTTGTTAATGATTGTCAAATTTCTGATGATGGAATGAAATCTTTGGGTGATTTGAACGAATTAACAATACTGGATATTTCAAACAATTATATTACAGATGAGGGATCACTATATCTCACTAAATTGGAAAAGTTAACAGCTCTCGAGGTGAACAATAATGAATTGTCTTACCAGGGGGTAAAGCATATGATTAATATGAATCAATTAACGGCACTATCAATTAGGCATAATCAATTTACATTCGTGCAGAATGAAGTATTTTCACAATTCAAACAATTAAAGCTTCTGAATGGCATTAGCTTTCGCGAATGACATGATTAAATTATAATTGAAATATGCCTTTCAACTCAATTTCTTTCTCATTTTCAATCCAAACACTAAATCATTTTCTTTCCTTTTTGCATTGTTGAAACCAATTTGAAACTTATCTATTAATAAGCTTTTATTACAAGACCATCAACAATAACACCCACATGTTCCAATTTGTCTATTAGCTTCTGATGAAACATGATGAAGTTTATTCTTCTTGATCATCATCATTCATGCGTACTGGATCCTCCTCGCCTTCTGTTTTCCCGTTAATTTCAAAAAGTGATTTTAAAATAGATGATGAAAACTCATCACATGTAACGGATTTTTCTCATCATAAAAAAATGAAAGTCTACGATGAATATGAATTGTATGAAAACAGCAGACGTTTTCTTGTGGTACCCAAAGTACCTTCAACAACAACTCCACAGAGAAGGGTACTCTTTTATGAAAATATGTGTTTGATCGATAGAGATACACAACTTGTTTCTAGATTGTCTATCAATCCATCCGATACCCAAGTCAGGGATAATTTGTTTAAAAAGATGAAGACAATGACTAGAATATTTGGTATTATGGGTATCGTTACTCTTGTTTCTGGACCATTCCTTATTGTTGTGTTGGAAAAGGAATTTATCGGAATGATTGCCAAGCACAAAATCTATAGAGTTAAAAAGATTCAATTTATTCCATTTAAACCTTCTAATTTCAAATCTCAAACTGAAGAATTGAAAGAAAGAGAAATTCAATACATTGAAATGATGAATAGAACCATTGTTGAAGATAATAGTTTCTATATGAGTTATACTCTTGATTTAACTCATCACTTGCAACACACATTCTCAACTATTCAAGGTCTTGACACTGAAAATTTATCTGCTTGGCGTGGAGCTCACAACAAGTACTTTTGGAATAGACACATGTTACAATCTCTCATTAGCAAGGGAATGGATGGATTTATCATGCCAGCAATCAGAGGTATTGTGGAAATTGCTTCTTGTAATATGAATGGTAAAGTGTTTACTTTTGGTATTGTTTCAAGAACAAGTACCAAGAGAGCTGGTACTAGATACATTATGAGAGGAGCTGATGAAAATGGTTATGTTGCTAACTTTGTTGAAAGTGAACAATTCGCTTATTATGACGGTGTTTTGAGTGCTTTCCTCCAAATTCGTGGTTCTATTCCTCTTATTTGGACTCAAGAAGCCAATCTCAAATATACACCAGAGATTAAATTCTTGACTGACAAGCAAAAGCAACAAACAGCATTTGAAAAACATTTCCAATATATTTTGAGAGAATATCAAAATAATATTACTGCTGTCAACTTGTGTAAGAAGACTGGTCAAGAAAGCAAGTTGAGCGAGCTCTATACAAGCTACGTTAAACATATTCAAGGAGTCACTTATAATCATTTCGATTTCCACAATGAATGTAAAAATCACGATACAACAAAGCTCTATACAATGTTCTTACCAAGTATCAAGGACAGTATGAGAAATATCAAATATTTCTCATGTAGACTTCAAGAAAGTAAGGAAGAAGGAATGTGGTTACCAGATGATGGAAAGGCTTTCACATTCTTAGGTAGAACATACTCCACTCCTTTACTTTCAACCCCTTGGGATGATGAAACAACACCATCCAATAGTTCAACATCTGGATTTGATGACGATTTTGGATCAAACTTTGCTCAACAACAACAACCTGTTCCTGTTCAACAACCAGCAGCTCAAAAGTCAAACTTGTTAGATTTTGGAGAATCATTTGGCAATACTTCTAATCCAAATGTTGCCTCATTTGATGATCCATTTGCTATGAGTTCAAATAGCTCTATGGATGTAAAAGTATATGAACTTCAAAATGGTGTTTTCCGTGTCAATTGTATTGACTGTTGTGACAGAACCAATTATATTGAAACCTTTATTGCTAAATACATGATGATGGAACAATTGTACAGAATGGGTATCACTAAATCAAGAGATGACAAGATGGAAAACTATCCTGCTTTTGATCAAACATTCAGAACATTCTGGATTAATAATGGTGACAGAGTTTCAGTTTTATACAGTGGTACTGAAGCTCTCAAATTCCAAAAGAGTGCACAAGGTTTAATGAACGACGGTTTCAACTCTGTTAAACGATACTTCCTAAACAACTTTAAAGATAGTGAAAGACAAAAAGCTATCAATTTAGTCTTGGGATTGGTTGATATCAATTCAAAGGAAGAACAAGAAGAAGTAGAAAGTCCTGCTCAAATTGTTGGAGATCTTTTAACATTTTAAATTTACAAGTATTTTATATAAATTATCTCTTTCTCTTCTTTGCATCGGTAGCTCTCTTATCCTTCTTTGTACGATTATCTACAAACTTCATAATAGAGCCAGGTGCCTTCTTACCAATAATCTTCTTACCACCAGCAACAACGTAGACCTTCTTTCTTTGAGTCTTCACTGAGGCATCCTTGTAAAGTTTCATCAGTTCCTTAGACTTTTCTTGTGGAGTCATTTCTTGACTTTGTGCAATAACATCAGCCTTTTCCTTTACCATCTTGATCTTCTTTTGGGCTCTGATCTTTCTTCTAATCTTAGCTTCAAGAACAGCCTTAATTGGCTTGGCATCAATTTCGGCCATCTTTCGTTTAATTTCGTCAGCTTCTTCTCTCGTTATTGGGTCTTGTTTTCTATATGATTTGGCTTCATCGTCAGCTAACCAATCTGGAACATCTTCATCATTGAAAGCATATCTATGGAATGCACTATCAATAAATTCTCTACGTTCCTTCTTTCTCAAAAGCTTCTTACCCAAAGCAAGAGCAGTAGCTCTAACTTCTGGATCATTCATTTCCTTTGGCATGACTTCAAATCCACCAACATCTTGTTTCTTACCTTCACTGGCTTTTCTCTTGAATTCAGAAATGGCATCACCATCATCATCGTCTTCTTCACCTTCTGATTCAGAATCTGATGAGTCTTGAGCCAATTCTTCTTCAGTAATATTGTCCAATCTACCAAGTTTACGTCTCTTAGTTCTAGTACCGTTTTCATCTTCATCGTCACTGTTACCAGTTTGTTCTTCCATCAAAACGCTGAAAATATTTTGTTGGTCAAAGAATTGATTAGCTTTGGTTTGTTTGGATCCCAATTCCTTATGTTCAATTAAAAGTGGATTAGTATTTGGAGCGCCATATTTTTCTTCTTCATATTGAATGGCATCATAGAGTTCACTCTTAGTTTGATCTCTGAGGTCTCTTGTTTGTAAAATGTTAGCCTTGAATCTTCTTGTCTTCTTATCCATGAGTTGTTGATATAAAGCATCAAGTTCAGCTTCCAAAATATCATCTTCTTCTTCTTCATCGAGTTCAATTCTACCCATGGCTTCCTTTTGCTTCTTTAATTGTTCCTTTGTCTTTTCCTTCTTTTCCAAATATTCATTATAAACTTTACTGGTAAGTGATGGATCTAGAACAGCATCCAACATATCCTTACTTGAAATATCATTCATACGGAAAAGAGAACCATCATCAATGGTATCGAGCATATCTTCTTGTCTTTCAACAGCAGCCTTGATAGCAAGCTTCTTTTGCTTTTCTCTAACCTTCTTTTCCTTCTTCTTTTCAATTTTGGTTTGCTTATTCTTCAATTCCTTCAATTCTCCGTCTAATTCTTCTTCATCAGATGGAATATCCATTTCATTGGAAATACCTGTTGATAATTCGTTATCTTCGTGGATTGGTTCCATAACTTCATCTTCTTCATCTTGTTCAATAATATCTTCATCGTTATCAGCATCCAATTCATCCTTGTAATCCTTCATATTCTTTCTCCATTTGAGCAACATTCTGAAATCTGGTTTACCCAAAACACGTAAATCTTCACAAGCTTCAATTATATCTTTTGTTGTAAGTGGGTGATTGAGATAAATTTGTGATGCTTCATCAAATTCAAGTTCGTTATAGTCAACCAAAAACTTGATTGGTTGATCACTTTCAACGAATTCTGCAATACTACGTTTCTTATAGAGCAAAGTCATACCTTCTTCATAACCTTCTCTGTTTGGTTTCTTTTGTTGTTGAGCTAAGTCCTTGAATGAAAGTCTCAATTTCTTCTTTTGTGATTCAACATCCTCGAAAACTAAAGAAGCATCAAATAATTTTGGATCAATTTCTTTTGGAGCTTTGTATCCAAAACATACTACGAAAATTTCTGCAGAAGCATCTCTTGAAGCTTTTGGTTTAGTTGCTTCTACTTTTGTAAAGAATTGATTCAAAACCCACATTAATGATGTATAATCTTTAGAACGAAAGACTTTGGTAATAAACAATCCTTCAGGTTTCAAAAATTCAGTAGCCATCTTTAAAGCAAACAAACACAATTCACTTTGTGAGAAGGCATCTTTGAGCCAGTTAGCACCAACGTTTGGAGCACCATCGTGAAGAACAACATCACACTTTTGTCCTCTCAAAACGTTTTTAACCATTGTCATTGTCTTTTTAGTTGTGATATCTCCTTGAATTGTTGTTACGTGTGGAATAGCTTTAATAGGGCAAAGATCAACACCAACAAGTGTAGAGTTGACAGGCATAAACTTTTTAGCTACTTGAAGCCAACCTCCAGGAGCAGCACACAGATCCAACATTACTCTAGCAGTTCCTAAAAAATCATACTTCTTATTCAATTGTACCAATTTGAAAGCAGCACGGGAACGATATCCCTGCTCTTTGGCCATATGATAATATTTATCCAAACGCTCATTATTTAATTTTGTTTTCTTGACCATTCTTTACTCCGAGTTTAAAAGAGACTTTAATTAACGAACAATGGAGAGTAGGAGGTTTAATGATTTTTTTTCTCGCAAGTTTTTTCAAAAATTTTAAATTCAAAAATAATTTGGTGCTTCAAAATTGTTGAACATTTGCTGGTGGTTTCAAATATTCTTCTGGAGACCTTTGGATGCTCAAAGTTGTGAATATCAGAAATTAAGTTTATTTCAAGGTAGAAAATGAACTATTTGGTTGTTGATCATTTTTGATAGTTTTTGCAAATGACTCAGTAGTGAGAATAGTCACATTTCTTGTTGTTGAGGTGATTAAAACAAAATTGATGAGTTTATTTACAAATTTCTTTCGTGTGTAATCCTTGGTTTGGAAATGAAATGCTTTAACATTACTTTCTCTTTCTTATGAATGGAATTTTCTTTCTGAATAAATTCTCTAGGAAGGACAGTTTGCTGCCACCCGATGATGAGTTTTCCTTACCACCATTTGTTGATTTAGAGTTCTTATCATCGATACCTTTCGAAGTTGGCGAATTTGGATCTATTTGCTGTTGTGTGAAATGGGTTGTTGATGTTAATGGCTGTGAACCCATGAATTGATCTGGGTACTGTTGATAATATTGTTGTAATGGTGGATACTCAAACTCGGTTGAGTGGACACCCTTTCTGAGATAGTGAAGATTTTCTCTATGAGTATTATTTCCACCATATCCTGAATATTGGAAATTATCGAAAGAACTGCTTGGTATCTGCTCTAAATTACCTGCACTACTTGATTGTGGTAAGGCGCTTGTTGAGGATGCATTGGTATTCTTCTTCTTAAGAATACTTAAAGCTTGGGAAATCTTGGATGCATCACTTCTCTGAGAATCATTTGGAAGATCTGGTGGTTGATCAAATGATCGATTTACAGGTGGTAATGTTGGTCTCGTTGAGAAGGGTGATGGCTCATTCACTGCTATAGGTGAGTCTTGCATTCTGTCAGATTCATTCTCCTTCAAAACCTGAGCAAGTGATGGCAGGTAATTTCCATTTTGATGTAAGTACTTAGTAAAACCATAAGAGTCCGAAGATGGAGTGCTAATATTGAGTGATCTAGGTCTATTCGAATGACTGAATGGAGTATGGTGATGTGAAAATCCAGAGGAAAAGAAATCGTGCTGTCTTGAAGGTAAACCGCTTTCCCTTGTAGTTGAGCTACTTGAGGGAGAATTCAAAGGTTGGTGATGTAAGCTATGAATTGCTGCCTGATTATTTGGATCGTTTTGAGGTGGGGCACTACTTGTCGTAACATGCTGTGGATGACCGAAACCAACAGGTTGACTAACAATGTTATTTTGGTTTGGCTGAGGATTTATCACTTGGTGGCCTTGCATTCCCTGTTGTTGATAATTTTGAGTTGACGAATTAGGCAGGTGGCCAACATTATTTAGAGGTTGATGTTGATTGGCTTGATAATTGGTTGGGTAATGTTGTGGAGGAGAAACTGATTGAGTTGGCACATTTACATTATTATGATTATACAATTGACCACCACCACTATTGCCACCTATTACATTATGATAGATAGGTTGTTGTTGTGGTTGGTGTTGATGATGATGAGAATGGTGAAGCTGATGATGGGATGAAACAACTCCATAGTGACCTTGCGACTCCATTGGAGGATATGCGTGAGAATGCCCCGAATTAGAAGTTGTTTGTTGTGGATGTGTAACATAGGAATGGTGTTGATGTTGAACAGTCATATGTTGTGGAGGAGAACCAACATGATGAGGTTGAGGATGGTGGTGGTGGTGATGTGGATATTGGTTTCCAATTGGATGATGATGAATAATATTATTAGTGGCATTATTCGTTGTTGTTGATGGAGTTGGATAACTAAATTGATTATTATTATTATTGGATGTATTCCACTGTTGTTGTTGATGATGATGAAGTTGGTGATGATTAGTGTTCGAATTGACTGTAGTGAAAGCACTTGTAGAATGATTAGCAGTACTACTCTTTGGAGTTAAACTATTCAAAATATTACTACTGCTACTATTATTACTGTTATTATGAGAGAGTGATGGCATTGAAAATCTCTTATTTCTATTATTCGTCTTGGCTGCTGATTGTTTCTTATTATTTTCAGCATCTTCATCCTCATCAGCATCACCAATTATCTCATCTTCATCTATATCTTCCTCTTCTTCATGACCCATTAATCCAGCAGGCATTCCACCATATTGTTTACTCAAACGTTGTTGTAGATCTTTAAAGAATTCCTCTTCATTTTGTGAACGTCTGTTGGCAGCAGAATTAGCTCCACCAAAGGTTTGATCCAAAATGTTACTCGTTGATGCTCCACTTCCACATGAACTCATAGAATCTCCTGACATCATTGATGGAAGTGACCAACGTTTGGATTTTGTTATGGAATTTCTCTTTCCTCCATTGCCACCACTTTCAATAATTGTTTTAGGATAGGCACGAATGAATTTAATCTCCTCATGTATGGAATCTATTTTGCTTTGTGTTCTTTGCTTGGTTAATTCATCTGCTTGTGCTAAACTATCTTGAAGATCTTGTAATTTGTTTTGTAGAGCTTGTAACTATTTGATTCGAATAGAAAAAGTATAATACAAGTCGAACAACATTTCATCATTAAAATGTTATGAATTCGTTGTTTGTCCAACAAGAACAGTCAAATGGTCGTTTCATATCCAAAGAGTTTTTTGACCATCAAAAAGAGAATATTAATTATCAAATTGGGTAACAAATGAGAAGGAGATAACATTCAACAGCAATTTAAGAATATTTTCGTATGTAATAATAGTACAGGCGGATCGTCGTAACATTGAATACATGTACAGTTGAACAAGGAATGATAAACAATAATAATAACTGTCAGTTATGTGTGATATACAAGCAAAAACTCACCTTTCTGTATGGCCAACGAGGGATATCATTCTCTCTACAAATTCTCTTGAGTTGAGTTAACGAAATTTGTAAAGCATCGGCTGCTTCCTTGATAGGAAGATCAAAATTTTCCTGAATATCTTGAAAAGTTATATCCTTTTTTCTCTTCCTTTTTGATTTGACAAAGGTAGTGAAATTGACCATTGTGATGAAAAGTTTAAATTATTCTAATTGTGAAAATGCAACAATGTATTCAAAAGATGATGTAAACCTTTCGAATAACTGTTCTAATTGTTGTACAGGTAAGAAAGGAGGGTTACACTTGTTGACGTTTTTTAGCGAATAAATTATTCTTCACCTCTTGTCGCTTGTGGCGTGACAAAATACACTTTGGACAGCTGCCTCTTTTATTCTATGTTATGGTATCCCACAACGTCTTTTATGAGCAGACCGCATGTTCGGAAGACAATTGATTAGTTTGTCAAAGTACCTTTTGCTAAGCACAATTCTATGAAGGGGCATGAAGAAGGAAGGAATTTTCTACATGAACTGAAGGTGAAAACTTACTTCTAATGGGGAAGCCAACACGTTTTTATTGCTATTGAAGAATTGAATAGGAAATGGATGGCACTGATTAACAATATTGTAAATTTTGTTAAACAATTAAGAGAATATATAATATTGAAGAATATTCAGATACAAATAGGTATGAGTTGAATAGGATTATAATTTGTTTAAATGGTTAGGAAATGTCTGAATCTGGTCATTTGCCATGGGTAATTAATTCATTGATTCGTGAACCAACTTAAACATTTGAGGACTTTGCTTTGTTTGGTTTGTTGATGAAATATTAGTACCTTGAGCATCAACTTTGAATTATGTTGATGAAAGTTTGTTGGTTTATTACAAAATCAATTTATGTTAAATTGTATCAATACTTTCGAAATTGTAATGGTTTGTTGCTAGAAGAATTCAATAAGGGTGCAACTACAATTTTGTATGAACATTGATTTTAAAAAATGTCTGCAAAGCTTATTTGTTATTATTGTGGAGAGAATGAGGAGTTTGGAAATTTGAAGGACCACATGTTTCAATGCTCTAATAATTGGCATGCTCAACAGCAGAAGTTGATTCCCGAATTGCAGAGGATGTATCCTCCTCGGGGTTTGCCTTCCATGATGATGCCTTCCTCTTCTAAAGATAAGGCTAGCATTGAGAAGTATAATACTTATGCGAAATTGTTGTATTGTCAGGAGAGTCTAAATCCATGCCCGTCATGTTTGAAATTATTCAAGGCTAGTGAATTGGGAGAACATTTTCTGAGATGCAATCCATCTGATAATAGTCCAAAACATCATCAACAAACAATGCAACAACCTCAACAACAACAAAATAACAAGCCCTCAGTTTCTGCTTCATCACCCAAAAAACAACAACAATCATCAACAATACAACCACCCCGATCCTGCTCACCTCCTCGTCAGGTTCAATACACTCCTCCAAAAACCTCTCCCTCAAATTCAAAATCTCAACTAGTGAGAGAAAGTTCTTCAGGTTCAATAGGATCAAATTCATCGAACAAATCAGCTACAATAGCATCTCAAAATATTGATAAATACCTTCCAGTGAGAGATTCTGTCTCAAAAACTGCAGTGAGTCAGAGTAGATCATCGTCTTCACAAAAGAAGGCTCCTATGAGGGATATTAATGGAAAGCCTATTGCTTATTGTTGCCACTTGTGTGGAAGGGAGTATCTGAATGTAGACTCTCTAACATTCCACATTCCTCAATGTTTGGATAAGAGAGCTGTTTCTCAAAAGGAACTACCAAAAGAAATGAGAACAAAACCTCCATCTGCACCGACAGTTCCAATACCTGAAGATCGGTTGGCAGATGAGTTCCTTCAACAACTTGATGAGTATAACCAAATGGCATATAGAATTTTTGAACAAAGTTCAAGAGTTGGATGTAAATATTGTGGCAGAAAATTCAATGCAGAAGCTTTAATTGTCCATTTGAGATCTTGTGAAAAACAGGCAGATAAGAACCCTCCTCCATTCGGCAAAAATCAACCAGGTGCAGCAGCAAGAGGAGGTGTTGTTCCATTTTCTGCTGTTGTTGGAAAACAATCTTCAAACAATTCAGAAGCTTATGAGGAACTTGAAAGAGCAGAATGTTCAAAATGTGGAAGAAAGTTTGCTCTTGATCGATTGGCCATTCACGAAAATAGTTGTAAAGGATCCAAGAAAGAGGTCCAACCATCACCAAGCAAAATTCTTACTGAAAAGATTAAGAACATGCCAAATCCTAGTCTTGACAATGTGACAACTAAAATATCCTCTCAAACTTCATCTTCTGAACCACATCGAGTGCCATGTAGAGTCTGTGGAAGAAAATTCAATCCTGATAGAATAGAGAAACACGAGTCAATTTGCAAAAAATAAAAAATTCAATAAGAAATTAATTTTGATAATAAGCGCCAATATTTTGACATCAGAGTCTATCAATTTCCCATTTTGGCTCTCACAATTATTATTAATATTTACAGTTCTCCTTAAATTCAAATAAGAAAAAAATGAATAGAACAATCAACGAGCCTTATTTACCTGATCCAGGTAGAACGGTGGATAGAAGACAGAGAGCCTTTAGGAATTTAGATACGAGCCATATAGATGGAGATTGGGTTGAGGAGAGTCAGTACAATAGACACAATCACGGAAAGGGAGTTTTGGTTGGTAATTGGCAAGAAGAGGCAACAATTGATACTAATTTGCCATCAAAACAAAATAGAGGGCCACCTCATCTCAATGAACAACAACACTTCCGAAGGGGAAAGAATAGTGCAACAGTGGCAACGGATTTGACAGGCAAAACAACAACATTCTTTGCTGATTACATTAATACAACACCTAAGGAAAAGGAAAAATCAACAATGATGATTACTGGAAATGACGAGGAATTTAAGAAGAGTTTGAATTCTCGTAAATATAATCCACCAGCTCTTCCAAAAGAGGAAAATGTAATTGGTAGAAGAAAGAAAATGGAAGAAAGACAATTATTGGAACAAGCAGCAAAAGAATTGGATCAACAAGAACAATTGTACTCAGAAGCTCATAAGAGAGCCGTTCTGGAGGAATCTTACAAGACAACTTACCATGTTGAACACGAACGAAACGTTCCACCTCTCTCAAACAGTATGATGAAAACAAATGAAACTTACAAATCAGACATTCCAATCACATTCCACACAGAACAAGCCAAAAACCAAAATCCCCTCAACTCTTTACTCCACACTAACATTTACCATTCAGCTCCAGTCTCCAGCACAAATCCATGGAATAGAAATACCACTTTTACTAAACCAATCTCTGAATACAGAGGAGGCACCACCAAGAATTAACATTGTTCGATACATGTCTAGGCAAGATTGTCCAAATGAATTGTAAATAAATTCAACAAAAAAAATGAAACGAAGCCGAGCATCTATTTCTTCTTCGGCTCGAGCAATGAATGAGAATCCTCAAAGAAAGGTTAAAAAGTTGGATTATTGCCTATTCTCAATTGATGAGATTGTTGCCACTATTTTGCAATATTCCTCTACCACGGAATTTTTTGCTTGTCTCAAATATATAAACAAGTGTTTTTATAATGTGATTGAGAGAGGATTACTCTCGGGATTGATATTTAAAACAATATATTTGGATTCCTCACTTGCAAAACCAAGTGGTGACAATCAAACTCTCAGATCAATTTTATTAAAGAATGATTGCTTCTCTAAACGTTCAATTTTGAAGGAGGAAAAGTTATTGGAAATTATTGAGAGGAGTAATTTTGCAATTAGGGAATGGTATTCTACCAATTGTTTGCAAGTATCTGAAAAGGTTTGCCATGAATTATTCACAAAAGTGAATCAATTAACTTCTGTGCACATCGAATCTTCAAATATGCATCAATTTTTACTCAACCCCTCTTGGGTTCCAAATTTAAAACATTTAATTTTGACATTCAAATCAATCAAATTTAAGAAGATTTCATTATATGAAGGATTTAAGGATCATTTTGAAAATTTGAAATATTTATCAATAACTGTACACTTACGAGACGATTCATTTGTTATGCAGCTGGGAAACCATTTTCCAAAATTGAAACATTTTCAATTTCATACACTGCCTTCGCCATGTTACAATAATAGTGAGACGACATCTCATTCTCAACATTACCTTTTAACACCAAATATCAAATCCATATCCCTTAAAACATCTACGTACACTCTTTCTTTTAATGGAAAGTACCTGGATTCATACTGTGACAAATTCAAATTCTCCAATTTGCCGAATTTGAAAAAGCTTACTGTAAATAATTTTTCAAGAGAGGAAGAGAAAGGAATTCACATTCTTGATTGTCCTGTATTGGATACGCTGGGGTTAGCAATTAAGCAAGAGACATTATGTACATTGACATTACCCAAGTTGAGCTTACTTCAATCATTGGAATTGGACATTCAATCACATTTGGATTTTTCAGAATCTACATTCTCTACGTGGCTGTCTTATTTAATGGATTTATCAATTTTTAAGAGTATTAGAAAAATAAGAGTTCATTCATCTAACTCTTCATCTATTTCGAATTGGGTAGTTAAGGATTGTAGAACGCTGAGGAAACTATCAGTTGATATTTCTTCAATTTCACTCGTAATTGAAAATATGGAAAAGCTTAAATATGTAGAAATACGGTCTTCAGATTTGAAATTAACAATCAAAAATACAAAAATTGAAGACGATGAGATGGCAAACATTCTGGACAACTCTATTATATCAAATCTTACTCTCGACAATTGTTCCAAACTTTCAACCATTGACCTTTCAAAGAATTCTAGGAGTTGTAAATTCTTTTCTCTTTCTAACTGTAACGATTTGAAATCGGTGAAATGTAACAACTCATTAGGAGGTGAAATTAGGGATTGCAAGAATGTGAAACACATTAATGCTCCAAGTTTTTCCATCAATAGAGCAAACATCAACGGCAAATCCAAAGCACTACTCGTTACAGGTGTTCACCCAAATATGAAAGTGAAATGAGATCAATAGTTTAATGATTTAATAAATTAAATAATCTATCTAAACCAATTTTCATTGTTGGCCAATGAGCAGAGGTGAAACAAATTCTCAACCAACCAAATTGTTTAGTCTTAAAGAAACTGCCAGCAGAAACATTAACAGCTGCAATATCGATGGCATCCAACCATACTTCGTATTCTTCTTGCTCTGTGAGAGGCAAGCTCACATCAATTTCTGGATGCTTTCTAGTAAGGTACTTCTTCATTTGTCTTTCAAGATTGAACCAAACAAATAGGCCAGCCTTAGCATCAACATAGGTAATGTCATGTTGTTTGAAATAATCACACATCATTGTGTATTGTTCCAATAACTTGCTCTTATTAAGATTGAGATAATTTTCCACATATTCTTCATTCTTTAAAAAGTTGGCCATCATGTGTTGTGTTCCAGATGAAACTCCCATAAAGTAAGAACATGAATCAAATACAGCTTTCACACCAGTATTCATTGTAAATAACACACCCATTCTAAAACCATTCAAACACAAATCCTTTGAAAAGGAATAAATAACATGAACATGATTTCTATCATCCTCAGTCATTACATTTGAAACACTTTCAAAACTAGTATTTGGATCAAAAACAGATAAAGCATACAATTCATCACTAATGTAGTGAATATTCTTTTCCTTACAAAAATCAATCAATTGTCTAACAATTGCAGAACCAAACAAATCACCAGTAGGATTGTTTGGATTACATAATAGAAATCCTCTAATACTCTTTGTCTTACTATGTTCCTCATATGTTTCTCTAACTTTTTCAACTGTTAATTTGTATGTATTTGATGATGAATCAAATTCCATATCAACTGGGAGAACTTTAGCAAAGAATCTCTTATTAAAATCATTCTCAAATCCCAAATACAAAGGAGCTGGAACCATGATATATTCACCAGCATCACAAATAGTAGCAGCCAACATTTCAATAACGTTTCCTGCACCATTACACAAGTAATAATTATTAATGTTAGCAAATTCCTTATCAAATTCAGAATTTCCCAATCTCTTAAAGATGTGCTTGTTCATCAAATTATCAACCAAATACTTTCGGAAATTATTTTCTCCACAGAAATTTGTATAATTCAAATTAATAGGTAAAAGAGGAGAATCAACAGCAACTTGATGAAAAGTCTTGCAAAGCCAATCGGAAACAAGAACATTTTCAGCAACAGCTAAATTTATAATACCATTCGGATTATTCTCAGGATGATAGACATTGGAAAATACCTTTCCCATTGCCAATACAAAACTTGGATTTACAGAGAAGTGTTCTGAACGTTTGGAAAGGGAAGGCATTGTTGGTTGTTGCGACATTTTTTTTATTGTAAACATGATTTCAATAGAATGCATCCGTCAATATGTGCTTCCTTGGTGTTATGCGTAACATTCGGTAACCATAGATATTTATTGGTTTGTTTATGCGCAGTTGTGTCCAATTATTGTAAAGTATAAAATTAATTATCCAAAACAATTAAAGAGATTGAAGATTTGATAATTCATGTAAAATGTATGAGAATGAGGGTCTTTCACTAGGTGTTTGACTCCAACATTTTTGCATCAATGAAACATATCTGGAAATAATTGTAATGCAGGTTTGGAGTGAATTCAGTGTGGATTGTTCTGAGGGATAAATATGTTCCTGAACCCACAATTCCAACTCTTCATCATTTAAGAAGGGAACTACTGGACGAATTCCTTTTGCAACCTTTGATGGAACTGAGAAGGCTGCAGTATCTTGATTGATATTTGGAGCAGATCGAAAACGATAAATCTTTCTTGATGAAAAAGTCAGGTAGGGCGTAACTTCAAACAGTAATTCATACATTATAATACTGAAACTAAAGACGTCCAATTTTTCTGATATTTCGCTTGGATTGGTACCGTTAAACATCTCTGGAGATATTTTACAACACAATGAGACTAGATTAAAACTTACCTGGAGCTAGATACAACATGGTACCTATATTTTGTGTCATTGTTCCCTCAGTAGAAACTTTACTCAATCCAAAATCTGAAATTTTACATCTTAAATTCTTATCCAGCAAGACATTACCAGGTTTTAAATCTCTGTAATTAGAATGAAATAATTAGAAAATTAATATTATTTCTGAACTTACCTATGAATAATCTTTGGATTGATTGTGTGAAGATAATCCATACCACTGGAAATATCAAGCAAAATATCCAATTTCTTTTTTAGTGAAATTGAAGTTCTTCCTACCCTACACTCGTTAATTAGAGTATCCAAGCTACCTTTCTCCATATATTCAATAACTAGAATTTTAGAGTTAGAAGTTAGACTTATTCCATAAAAAGAAACAATATTTGGATGTCTGTTTGAGTTAGACCACTATTTTTCAAATATTCTATATGCTTACCTTAAACTCTTAAGAAGTGAAACCTCAGTCTCAAATTCCTCATTGTCCACATTATCATTTCTTATAGTTTTAATTGCAACCTGAGTTCCATTCCTAATTCCACAAAAATTCAAATTTGAATAATCAAAATAAATTAAAAACATACCAGGTGCACTCATAAACAATTCCTCCTCCTCCTGAACCTAATTGTTTAACGATACAAAGGCTATCTACAGGAATTAAAAATGATGGGGCAAATTTTGTGGAATCTATACAATTTCCTTCACTTTCCAATCCATCAAAAATGATATCCTTAGAAATAATCTTTTCTTGTATTTCCTTTTCAGCCATCTCTTTGTTTTTCAGAGTTTTAAGTTTGTTTACAACTTGTTTTCTAACAACATAAAATGAAATTGACCCTACTGATATACCTATAATTAATAGCAAAATAAATCCAAATACAGCACCAACAACTATAGAAGTCAGATCCAAAACTTTTTCGCAAATATAGTGGTTCTCATTTACACAACTTAGTTTATGTCCAGAAGGGCAATCAGAAATTAATACTGACACATTTGATATTGTACGCTCCCTGATAAACTTCATATATGCAACTGTACCTATAAGTGAGGGATGAAATATGTAAAATGAAACCCCCATCATAGTAGTGTTTACAAAATCATCTGAATAAATGTGGGTTCCATTCATTTGTAAAATTAACCTTTTGTAAAGATATGGCTGACTAATATTAAGGTAATCATATGCCAATAATTTCAAATTTGTAACTTGACCCGGATATAAATTCACCATCCCATTCTTATATACTTCATTATCTGGGCTGACCTCCACTCTATTTGGCGTTGAAGCAATTAGTTTTCCATATTCCAATTTAGAAATATCTTGATTTGTCTTGACCTCAACATCTACAGTTCCAGGCACATACGGTTCATTTAACCACATAAAAAAGCAGCCACTAACTTGTCCAGAACTAGATCTCTTGCATTCAAACTCCCCTTTTACTTTTTTAACGTTTAGTAATCTGCAATAAATACTAAAACCATTTGTAATTTCTGGGCCATTTGTTGTTGTGGATCGAATAGTTACTTGACGAATATTCATTATACTAAGGTCAAAACCATTTTGTAATTCGTTTACCCTTGGTGCAATTGTATTATTTAGGAAGGAAACTGAGTCTAACAATAGATTTTCTGAAATAAGAGCATTAATGGATGTACCAATGCCATTCGAAAATAATGAATTCTTAACGGTAATTTCGTTTGTGCTCGAAATTGAAAGAGATGTACCTAAAGTATTTGTGAAATAGCACTGGTCAAAAGTAACTATATTAACACCTGAAGTTGTAAAGCACGCATCTCCGGCAAAAGATTCCAGATTTTTGCATATTGAGGATAAAATACTCAAATTTCCAATATTAAAACTTCTAATACCACTGCCCTTATAATTTGTAATAACAAAGCCAATAATCCTCACAGAATCTATTGTATCTAATAAAACTGATTCAGAGTTTCTATTTCTTCCATCACCAGTTATTGTACAATCTGTGAATGCTGCCGAAATTATTGATCTAGCGTTGAACCATTTACCGCTGTTGGATGTACATGATTGCATTACTAAACTATTGATAAAGAAATATTCCCTTAATCTTCCTTGATCAAAATTAGAATTGAAAAAACTCAAAGATCCAATCGAAAAAAAGCTTGAGGAATCATTATAAAATTTTGAATATAGAGCTTGGGATGTCCTTGTATCTTCTACTGTCATTGAAGAATCTCTTAATTCACTACTCATGAAAAAAAACGAGTTTGAAGATGAAAATTTGAGTTGACTATTCCTGATAATTGAATCTCTAAATGTTATCCCATAGGCAGACCTAATTTCTATAGAGCTATTCTCAATGATAGAATTTGCAAAAGAATATAAACCTCTCACAAAAGTCTTCACCACATTAATTCCAATAAATTTACAATAAGAATATTCTATTGTAACAACTTCAACTGATGTTGGAAGTGATTCTACTGATGTAAATTCTATGTTAGAAAAAGTAATAAATACATTTGAATTTAAAATTATTTGGCATTCCGATCGAATTGTGTTATTGTAGGCTTGGAAAGTAAATTTTGAGACAAAACTTGGATTTTTCAAAGTTATAGGAACAAAACAGTTAATTCCTTCATCATTTTTAATAATGTCAGATAAAAGTAAAATGGAGAATGCAGTTGCACTCCTCACAGAATTAAAAGTGTCCACAATTCCTACTGCTTCCAGTATTGAAGTACATGGACTTTCTATTGTTGTGCAATTATTTATCGAAGGTGTTGTTGATGTTGTATCCACAAAGAGGTTAACTTTGGGCATTTGTTGGCAAAATAATCTCTCCGAAAACAAGAGGAGAGTGATGATTGTGATGATAAGAAAATGGTTGTGACTGTTGGTGACCATTTTTTTGTGTGAAGATAACTTTTTCTAAAAAGGTTCTATTTAATCTAGATTATTGGAGAAAACTTTATCTTCTTATTTTACAATTTGATTTTCTTTTGGAAAGGAGCAACATCATCTATTGTTGATGATTCGCCAATTTCCCAAGCATCATAAAGATCAGAATGTTCCTCTGTAACTGTTGGAATTGATTCGTTGTTTGTATTGAAGTGAAAGTCTAATTCGTCCGAGGAAACGCTGCTGAAAGCAGAAGACTTGCCAGTAGAAGGTGACTGTTTGGGAAAGCTTTTCAAATGGTTCAACTTGTTAATAATATCCATATAGTTTGCATCTTGTGGTTGAGGTTGTTGTGGTTTAGGAGGAGCTAAAGTGAATTGTTTCATAAGTGAGGCATTAGCATCACCAACAAGAGTTTCACCAAATACTTCTAATTGTGGTTCTGATGATAATGAATCTTCAGAATGAACAGCTCCAGTCTTCTTGGATTCTTTTGATTTGGATTTGTTTCTCTTTCTCTTGTGATTGTTTTCTTCAACTTCTTCAACTGAATCTTGTTTCTTCATGTCATCCATTGTAAAGTCATGAATTGATCGCTTATTCTTCTTTTGTTGTTTTTGTCTGAGGAAATATTTTTGAGCATGTGATTGGATTTGAGTTGGACTTCTTGTACCAACAATTGCACTTATTTCCTTCCAGCTTCCCTTGCCGTGAAGTTCAAGACCTTTAAGGAAGAGAATATGTTCTTCCTTGGTCCAACCTTGCTTGTATGGCTTCTTGGTTGCTGGTTTATCTTCAGTTGTTGTTGAAGCACTGGCTGTGGTAGTACTTGTAGTCAAAGATTCAACTGATGGAACTTCTAACAGAGTTTCGTCTTGTTTCTTCTTTGATTTCTTTTCACTCTTCTTCTTTTCTTTAACGACCTGAGTTGGTGCAAAATGTTCTGGTTCAATACTATCCTGAGCAGCAATAATACCATCACTATTTGTGGATAAAGGTTTATCACTCTTCATTCTATCGTGGAATGGGCATTTACCAATTCTTTGACATGGTCTATTATGTTGATTCATAAAACCACAAATCTTATATCCTCTGTCATTATACATTTCACCGTTGATTATCTTATGACCTGGTGGAAGACCAGGTGTAGTTTTGGAATTTACACTCGAAGTATCCATAGCATCAATAGTAGAATCTTTTGGTGGTTCTTCAATAAGTGACTCTGAAATATCATTCAATGAGGCAAAAATGTCTTGATTTGATTCTGTAGTTGATGGTTTTGGAATACCGCTTAAAAAGTCCATTTGCTTATTAAATTTAAACAAATGTTGATCAGATCTTGGTTTGAAAGCACTTTCTGAAGAAATATTGAGAGAGGTAACACCACCATTTCTCAAAAAATCTTCATCTAATTGACGTTGGAATTCATCCATTTGATGGAAGCTTTCCATCGGCGAGGATTCACCATTGTGGAGAATAGATGGGGTTTGCAATCCTGCAAATGAGGTAGAGGAAGAGGTTCTAGAGAAGGAAGGCTTAAAATCAGTTAGGGAGAGGATAGAGGAGGATTTGGCAATTTGTTGTTGGGTTTCATTGATGTTATTAATTGGTGATGAATTTTCAGGGAAGGAGGTGGCATAAAAACTATTATTGTTATTATTGAAAGGGAAGTAGGAGGAGAATGGATCTTGCTCAGGACTAGTTCCAAAGAATTCATTAACATTTTCATCCAAGTACATGTTATCATCATTATTCATCATGAAAGAGTGTGATGCACTAGTATTGAAAACACCACTAAAAAAGTCTTCAAGGGAAGAGTTCTTTGGGATGTTTGATTCAAAATTCATGATGATGATTTGTAAGGAATGAAATTATAGAAAATGATTGGCTTATAGGAGCATAAATCTCTAGGTATGAAATGGGTTGGGAATAGGAACAAACTTGTTATTGAAAGTACCTATCACTAGTTGTTGTTGTTGTTTGGCGGTTTGTACAATTGATTGAACGCACGTTTTTTTTGTCAAATTGATTAGCTAGCGCTACAATATTATTGCTTGGAGGCGATTCATAACGGTGATTTCTCTCGCAAAATTAACTTTTCTGGTCATGATTTATTTTTATTCAATCATTTCGGCCAGAGTTTGAGAATCCTTTGTTCCTCGTCATTGAGACCGAGCTGTAGTGGATAATCAATCAGACAATTTGATTGAATACCCAGTTTCACTTTCATTTCCAATAATTATTTTGATACAAAAGTTTTTAGTGATTAGATAATCATTCAATGAGCAGTTGTTGTTGCTTATCAATGGAGATTTGGATGTTCATCGCGTTAAGGATCGTCAACCAGTTGTGAAAAAAAAGTTGTTGATTTTTGTCTAAATTGAGAATGAGTGGCGAAATTTGTAGAAACAAGGAATTTTACTACAGTTTTGTTAAAACATGATCCCTTATCTGACTTGGCTATGTATTGTTTCCTACTATCCAACCCCTTGATTTACTGTTGTAATGAAACTAATGTTGCAACGGTCAATGTTAAAACATTGTCACGAAAGACTTTGACAAGAATATGTTAAGATGATTAATTTTTACAACCTAGTTCACAACCACGGATAAAAAGACTGATGATTACTGAGTTTTCATCACTTTCCTAGGTCACAACTTGCTTGTTGATTTTTGCTTTTACATATTGTTTAGAAACATTTTTCATTTGATATTTTGTAAAGTTGAGCCCATTATTTACTCTCTAAACTAATGTAACAATTGGTTTCCCTAACAACTTGAATAAATTCTGTCAACAATTGTGTGCATAATAACCAACAAGTAATCATCAAAAGGCAAAGAAACCATTGATGTCGAGTAGCGAAAGAAGAATTTTGTGATAGATGATTAACCAATCAAGCCAATAAAAAAATGCCTGTCGAAGCAGAGCCAAAAACACCAACAACTCCAACAACAACAGAGAATGGAGGTGAAAATGGAGAATCAGTACAGGACTCTAAAGAAATGGAGGCTATGATCAAGCGATTGGAAAAATTTGGTAAAGTAACAGCAAGAGATGAGGAACATTGGAGAAAAATTTTGGAGGAAGACGATGAGGTTAGTAGTAATCTTCAACAACTAGTAGTAACAATGTTTATATTGTTGGAATATATTGATGGAATGTGTTGTTGATAATCTACTATTCAATCTATTAATTGATGGTTATTCTTTTATCACTATTTGCGGATCGTCATTGCTATTATCATCTTTACAATCACATTGATCATCACTTTTATTGTCACTCTTGTTATTTGACAATAATAGACAAGTAAACGTTTGGCTAACTCATCAACACAAGAGGAAATTAGAAAGGAAATTGAAATTATTCTTGGACCAACAAAAGAATGGAGTTCGAATTCTGAAGAAGTTCAAATTACTCGTGAAACCTTTAAAAAGTATGTAAAAACTATTTTGAATAGAATGATTGACCACAATTATCATCCAACAATTTATCTAACTCTCGGGGACTATTTCACAAATATGATCAAATATTAATTTATGGAAAATTTCAGACTTCAACACTTTGAAAAGAGTGATAAGAAAAGTGAAGACAGAGAAGCTTTCCTTCCACCTGTATTTTTGAGTGTTGAACCAATTAATCCAAATGAATTGACTAAAAAATTCTACATTAACGTAAATTGTACACTTGATGGTAATAAGGCAGCAAAACTTGTTGAATGTGATTTTAACACGACAGCTGACGATTTTGCTGAAATATTTTTAAACAAATTGAATACAGCCCATCAACAGAGAAGAAAGAAGGAAGATTGGGTATTTAAAGCAGCTGGTACTGCCGAATACATGTATGGTGATTACAAAATGGCAGAATTTGAACATATTAGAAAATGTATGAAAAAGGCAGTTAAGCCAACACTAACACTTTTAGATAAGGAAACTGTGAAGGCTGAATTGGATCCTAGAGATGTCACTCTTAAAACTGTTTCATATGATTTTAAACACGAGAAGGACCAAAAAATTTATGCACATGATGACATTCGTTTTGGAGAAAAGGAATGGCACAAAATGCAGTATTTGAGTTTGTGGGATTTAGTCAAATGTGCACGAGTTAAAATTATGGGCATTGACAATCTCAATTTCAACTCTATTTCAAATTTGTCTCAAATTGACGATACCTATTTATATGTATGCTGTGAATTATATCACGGTGGTACACCACTTACAAAAGCCAGATTTACTAAAATGGTACCTTTCAGTAGATCTCCTAGATGGAATCAATTCATAGTATTTGATGATGTTTTACTTTCTGATATTCCAAGAGAAACAAAGCTCTGCTTTACTCTCTTCTCAAGAGTGATAACAAAGAATCAAACAACTTCCAAAGATCCTTTCCATACACCTTCACACGTCAGTACAAAGGATATTCCTCTCGGTTATGTGATTAAGACAATGATTAACTTTAAGGGATTTTTGAACCAAGGAGATTATCTTTCTCCAATGTGGCCAAATGATAGAGCTAAACCAATTAGTGTCGTTGCTGAAAATACTGGAACTGATGAAACACCAATCGTTATTGCTTATCAATTTGATCGTTATCCACTGCCAGTGGTCTTCCCTCAAGGTAGACCTCCAAAGAAGATGGCTAAACGTTTGGCCTCTTTTGAACAAAAGATTAATGAATTTTTCAAAGATTTACCACAAGGAGAACAACTGAAACAGAGACTTGATCAGATTATTTCCAAAGATCCACTTCAAAATCTAACAGAGGAAGAAAAATGGTTACTTTGGTCCAATAAGGAAAAGCTTGTTGACATACCAAAAGCTTTACCAAAGTTTATTTTGAGCGTGCCATGGAAGATGCCACAAGCTGTCTATACTGTTCACACATTACTTCCTAGATGGAAACCAATGACTCCAGTTGATGCTTTAGAATTATTGGACTATAACTTTGCTGATGCAAAAGTTAGACAATATTCAGTTGAAAGACTTAATGAATTAGGAGATGTTCAATTGAGTGACTTTTTGCTTCAATTAGTTCAAACACTTAAGTATGAATTATATCATGACAGTAGTCTTGCTAGATTTTTGCTTCAAAGAGGTTTGAGATCAACACACATCATTGGTCACATTCTCTTTTGGCATTTGAAGGCCGAAATGCACGTTCCAACAGCAAAAGAGAGACACGGTCTTATCTTGGAAGAATATTTATTGAATTCAGGTGGTCACAGAAGAGAATTGTTGAAACAAAACGGTGTTTTGGATCAATTGCTCGATATTGCCATTAAGATCAAACATGAAAAGAAGGCTACTGTTAATGAAGCACTTGTACAATTACTTCATGGACTCAAACAACCACCAAAATACAAGTTACCACTCTCTCCACGTATGGAAGTTATTGGTATCATTCCAGAAAAATGTAGAGTCATGGACTCTGCAAAGAGGCCATTATGGCTTTGTTTCAAGAATGCTGACGAAACAGGTGATGATATTCTTGTCATGTTTAAGGCTGGTGACGATTTACGTCAGGATTTATTGACCTTGCAAGTTTTACGTGTTATGGATCAGTTGTGGAAGAAGGAAGGTTTAGATCTTCATATGCAACCTTATGGTTGTATTTGTACTGGTTATATGACTGGTATGCTTGAAATTGTTTTAAACAGTCAAACCATTGCAAATATTACAAAGAAGAGAGCTGGTTTCTCTGGTGCTTTCAAACAAGATCCAATTTACAAATGGCTCAAAGAACATAACGGTGAAGAAGAATGGGATACAGTAGTTAATAACTTTGTACACTCTTGTGCAGGTTACTGTTCTGCAACCTATGTTTTAGGTATTGGTGACAGACACAATGACAATATTATGATAACCAAGAAGGGAGACTTGTTCCACATTGACTTTGGCCACTTTTTGGGGCACTTTAAGACATTTGCTGGTTTGAAACGTGAAACTACTCCTTTCGTTTTCACTCCAATGTATGCCTATGTTATGGGTGGTGAAAATAGTGTCATGTATGAAAAATTCAGTGAATTAGGTTGTAAGGCTTACAATATTTTACGTAAATATGGTCACATGATAATGACCTTGTTTACATTAATGTTGGGTACAGGTATCCCAGAATTGTCAAGTATTGAAGATGTCTTGTGGTTGAGAAAATGTTTAATTCTCGATGCCTCTAAAGAGGAAGCAGATAATGCTTTCCGTGATAAGATCAAGGAAAGTTTGGGTAATATTCGTGCCAGAATTAATGATGGTGTACACATTCTTGCCCACAGAAAGTAATATTATTGTATATTCATCATCTCTTCCCAAAGTATTTGGCTATTATTTTTATTCTTCCATTATTCCCCTACTATCAGTTGTTGTACCATATTTTCATCAAACTTAAATTATTAAAGAAGAATTTAAATATTAATAATAAATAGCACTCCCAGAAGAGACTACAATTTATTTACATTCACATTGGTTATTTGTTGTGATTATTGTGTTGGTATTCAATTTTCAATATTTCATCATTGCTTCTGCGCGCCATAAGGTGTTCTATTAAAAGCACCACAGCAACACTGAAAAAAAATGATGATATAACTCTGGGAAGTATTTTCGCCCAGAATTTCTTCCACAAAAAAAATCCCAAAACGTTGAGAAGAGGGAAGCAGCAAGAACATCACGAACACTAATTGGAGAGAAAAATGGAGTTTACTGAAGAAGACGTTTGCAAATTATTTGATGATGAAGAAACAACAAATAACAATACAACAAAAAACAATGACATTACAATACTTTTCTCCATCAATGATAAGACAATTAATGGTGGTTTGGCAAGGATTGAATGTTTACCAAACGGTTTTAATGTTAATGGCAAACGATCTCCTAGCAACACCACTCATAATGTCTTTGTTTCTGATCAACTTAAAGTTCAACTTTTTAAACCACTAGATATTGATGGTTCATCACTTGTTTGTCAGTTATTTATTAACGAAACTCTCCATACAGAAAAAGCCTTTAACGAATTACACGAATGTAATTTGACAATTCCAAGATGTAACAAAGTAAGTATTTATTATTTACATAAATTCTTATCTTTGGCAGGGAGGAAGCAATGGCAAATCTCGTATTGGTTATTTGAAACTTGTTCAAAAACAAGGAGAACAAGTCAAGCTTGTTGGTTTATCAAACAACTTTTGGATTAGAACAAAGACTAGAAAAGAGACCGTCACCAATGATAAAAAGACAACAGAAGACAAGAAACTGAAAAAGCGAGAATATGAAGAAGACTCTGAAAGTAGTTACAGCAGTGACTCGAAGAGAAAGAAGCAACCGGCTATTGATATTAATATTATTCCTGCACAAGACCAAACAAACCTTTTCGAAGAAAATCAAGGGCTCAAGAAGAGAGTTGCCGAGTTGGAAAAGTTAGTAAGCGATATTCTAACTGGAAAATTGCAATTTGATCAAAATTCAATTCCTTCTGCGCTTACTCAACAAATCCCTAGTACAATGAGTCAATTAACCAAAATTACAAAACCAAGACCTTCACCACTTTCTGTTCCATTATTGACAAGTAATACTTTTGGCATGTGTTCTCCAACCAATTTGATGGCATCAAGTTGTTCATCACCTGGATTGGATATTTCGCCAACATTCTTCATTACAAGCCCACCAAGGACTGGGTTTGAAAATATAGATTATCCATCAAACTATTCATTCGAGGATATGAGTGACTTTTTTTAATTTGTAAATATATTATATCCATAATAAATATTGTATTTTACAAAATAAGTATAAATTGAAAGAGTCCTTGGGTTGGGATTTACCATTTAGTTTACTTGAATCCTTAATTTCGCCTCCTTATTTCGAAACTATTCTATTTTTCCAAGGCATCCCTCTACCCTATTTTTAATTTCCATTTTGCATCGAAAATCTCCCATCAACAAACAACAAAAAATGTTTTCGTTTGGAAGGGAGTTTTTCTCTCCAAGTGGTCGAGTACAAGACTTACAAAGAGGAGGAAGCCACAATAATAATCAACAAACATCATCATCTTCTTCAGGAGGATTTCTAACGAATACTGCAATTGGATCATCAACAGGTGGATCATCAAATATTCATACAATTCCTTCGCAGCCTGAATCTGGCTATCATATTGAAGATCCTATTCATATCAAAGTTAAAAATTGGTTTTTATATTTTCCATTATGTAGTAATATTGTATTTTGTGTTTGTATTATTTTGTATATTGTACAGGGCGTTTTCAATGAACCAAAGTCTTCTGATATTTGCTATAGATACTCCACAACAATATTAACCACTAAAGTTTGGCAATTATTTACATTCCCTTTCTTTCATGGGAGTATAACACATATATTGTTTAACATGCTGGCTTTATATCAATTCGGAAATAGGATTGAATCAACACTTGGAACTATATACTTTTTCTTTATTTCATTATTTATGATAATATTTGGATCTGCTGTTTGGGTTGCTATTGATGCACTTTTTATTCAAGGTTTTGGAGCTGGACAAACACTTTCCTTTTTATTGGATAGATGCACTGTGGGATATAGTGGTGTTTTGTTTGGATATTTAGTTTTTACAGTTCAATATAGACCACTTTTTGAACAGTTATATCCTGGTGCCAATGCAGATGATTTTGCACCTAAATTAATTCCATGGTTAATGTTAATTGTTACTTCATTGTTAATGCCAAATGTCTCATTGATGGGACATTTGACTGGCATGATTTCTGGATATTTGATTTGGATCCTTGTGAGATTTGTAACACCAATTAATAAGGTATTCCTGTTTATTGACAGAAAAATTCCAAAATTTATCAGAGAAAGATCTTTTTACTTTGTATCTAATGAGGCTGTTTTTACAAGCGCAACAGCACAAACAAATCAACAAGATACTCAATCAACCCCGAGTCAACCAAGTTCAGGTGGATTTATGAGCAGTATTAGTGGGTGGTTTAGAGGAGGAAACAATAATTCGAACGACCAATCAGCCAATAATCACAGCTGGGGTTCTGGAAGAGCTCTGGGATCAAACTAAATAATAATAGTCTACATAACTTTATCTTGTTTTCATTGGAATAGCTACCTAATGGTAATTCAGAAATATTCCAGATTAAGACCTGTTAAATCTTTAAATACAAATTCAAATCTTACTTGTCTAATAAAATTAGGCAGACGAAACTGATCATCAAAATGAGACAAATTCCTACAATTTGTTGTGAGTTCTGTTTGGATATAATGAGCTCTCCAAGTTGGTAACAATGAGAAGACACTTGTTTGGTGTTGATTTCTTTCCAAGGTTTAAAATCTCAGTTGAACTTTAGAATTATTCACAATAGAGAATGATGAAGATCATACTAATGGATCTCTTCTGTGATCGATACAGAATTTACAGAATTGGTATTTTATATGCCCATTTTCTTTTTATTACTTTCCCGCCCAACTCGTAGAGAGGCACAAACACATCAATTATCGTCAAAGCGTTGGGTGTGAGTTTAAATCTTTGCAAAGAACCTCCTTGTACTTGGTTAGGTACAGGCGTAAAAGAGGATTTTTTGTAGTTTTTATTGGCGGGTTGTGCATGTGTCATATTGGCTGCATTGTAGTCTTAGCAAGAGCATTTTAAGGGCAAGAGACAGAACAAAAAAAATCCCAACAACCCTCAACACATTGTTGGTCATTAATTTTTTTAAATAATAAGGACTTAAACAATTATTTATTACATAAACTAGGTGTATAACATTGAAAAAACAAAAAGAATGAGCACTGAGGTTCATAACGATAATAATCTAATCGGAAATACAACAGATGACTTTAATGAAGATGAAATTACAGAACCTGTAGTGGAAAGTCTTCCTACAAGTGTCGAGCTTACGCCTGTTCTTATCGATAATGCTTCTTTCAGAGATGCTCTAGCAAATACAGTCAAGGATGAGTATCAGCAAAAACAACAAGGTTCAAAAAATGTATCGGCTTCTAACCTCAATTCTGATGAAAAAGAGCATAAGGAACCATCAAATTCTGTAAATAATGAAAATACTGAGGAACATCCTGTAGAGGAAAAAAAGGAACAAATCGAGAATAATACTACTGAAGAAATTTCAGAACCAACAAAGGAAGAGGATTCCAAAGTGGACGAAAAAACAGAGGAACAACCTGTCTCAGATGCTGCCGAAGTTTCCGAAGCAGTAACAGAAGTGAATACTTCTACGGCCGAAGAAACAGAAGAAGTACCTCAAGAAGAACCAATCCAAGAAGAATCACCTCAAGAAAATCAACCAGTAGAGGAAGAGAAGCCACAAGAATCAGCACCAACTGGGGAAACTGAATTAAATGAATTTCAGGAGGAAAATCAAACTGTTGCAGAGGAAACAGCAGAACAAACCCAGGTTGATCAATTGAACGAGGAAAACCAGCCTGAAGCTAAGGACGAACAACTTCAGGAAGAACCTTCACAAGAAGAGGATAAGCCTATTGAAGAGGAAGCTCCGTTGGAAGAGCAACCTCAAACAGAAGAATCTCCAGCTCAAGAACAAGTGGAAGAGGAAACCCTACCTGTTGAGGCAACAGAAGTGAATTCTCCTCAAGAACAGACTGAAGAAATTCCTCAAGAAGTGAATTCTTCTCCTTCTGAAGAAGAGCAACCTCAAGCAGAAGAAACTCAAGAAATACTTCAATCCACAGAAGAAGTTCCTCAAGAAGAACCAATCCAAGAATCACCTGAAGAAACAGTTCAAGAAGAGCCAATTGAGGAATCTACTATTCAAGAAGAAACACAAGAGGAAGAAGCAATCCAAGAACATTCGGCTGAAGAGACTCAAGAAGAGCAACGTTTCGAAGAAGAAGCTCAACAAGAAGAAATTGAACAAGAGGAAGTAGCTCAAGAAGAACAACCAGTAGCCCAGGAAGAATATTCCCAAGATCTGATTCAAGAAGAATCACAACCAGTTGAAGAACCAACCCAGGAAGAAGCTCAACCTGTTGAAGATGCACCATTGGAGACACAAGAAGACCTTCCTGTCGAGCCAACTCAAGAGACAGTTCAAGAAGAATCTCCTGCTGAAGAAGCTCAACCAGAAGAACCTGCAATAGAGCAAGTTGTTGATGAGGAACCAGTACACGAAGAACAACCATTAGAAGCAACTGCTCATGAAGTTGAGGATAAACAAGAAGAACTTCAACAAGAGGAACCTGTTTCTAAAGAGGAAGAGGTCCAACAAGAATCACAAGATCTGATTCAAGAAGAATCACAACCAGTTGAAGAACCAACCCAGGAAGAATCTTCCCAAGATCATGTTCAAGAAGAGCAAGAAGAAATTCAACCAGAGGAAGAGGTTCAAGAAGCTCAACCTGTTGGGGAACAAGCTGAGGAAGAGAAACTCAATGAAGACCCCTCCCCAGAAACTGTTCCAGTGCAGGAGGTTGACGAATCTACAGATCAAGAAGTGGAAACTCACCAAGAAGAGCTATCAGCTGTTGATGAGACCCAAGAACCAGAGCAAGTTGGGCCAGTAGAAGAACCACCAGTGGAAGAAACCCAGGAGGAAAGAATTGAAGAACCTCAACCAGAAGAAGCTTCTCCTGAAGAGCCACTACAAGAAGAAGTTCAACCAGCTGAGGAGATTGTAGAAACTCAACCAGAAGAAGTAACAACTCAAGAAGAAACTACCCAGGAGCATGAAGAGCCACTACAAGAAGAAGTTCAACCAGAAGAACCTGCAATAGAGCAAGTTGTAGATGAGGAACCAGTACACGAAGAACAACCATTAGAAGCAACTGCTCATGAAGTTGAGGATAAACAAGAAGAACTTCAACAGGAAGAACCTGTTTCTCAAGAGGAAGTTGCTCAAGAAGCACAACCTGCTGACATTGAGGAATATGTTCAAGAAGAGCAACCTGCTCAAGAACAGACTGAAGAAATTCCTCAAGAAACTGAAGATGATCAACCAATTGAGGAAACACCAGAAGCAACAGTTCAAGAAGCACCAATTGAGGAATCTACTGTTCAAGAAGAAACACAAGAGGAAGAACCAGTCCAAGAAAATTCAGCCGGAGAGACTCAAGAAGAGCAACTTTTCGAAGAAGCTCAACAAGAAGAAATTGAACAAGAGGAACCTGTTTCTCCAGAGGAAGAGGTTCAAGAATCACAAGATCTGATTCAAGAAGAATCGCAACCTATTGAAGAGACACCACTGGAAGAGCAAGCCATAGAAGCAACTCATGAGGACACAGTTCAAGAAGAATCTCCATCTGAGGAAGAACCAGCCGAACCACTTGAAGAGGAACCTGTCCAACAAGTAGAAGAACCTAAATCTGAAGAAATACAACATGAAGAGGAAGTGAATGTTGAAGAGTCCACCCTTAATACTGTAGAGCAAACAGATGAACAATTTGGCGCGCAAGACGAGCATGTAGAAAAAATGGAAGAGCAGGAATCTCACGATTCCACTCAACATCATGAACCATCAGATCATCAAGATGAACAGTATAATCATGAGGAAACAAAGGTTGAGGAACACGGTGAACATATTGAAGAAATCAAGCAAGAAGTACATTCGGACCAACATAACGAATATGTGGAAGAAATCAACACATCTATTATTCATCTCCATGATGTGCACTCTGAACAAGAGTGTACTGAGGAGGATCATGATGAAACCAGCTCTACCCTTCCTGAAAGCCACGACCATGAGCAATATCAAACCTTAGATGATCATGAAACACATGAACAAGAAGATACTGAAACTAAAAGCCATAGAGACATTGAAGATATGGATCATTTTGCAGACGTGGAATCCCCAAGAGAACAAACGATTCAAGAACCACTCCAAGAAGAAGGTTTGCCATTTGAAATAGGTCATGAGAAAAAATCAGAAAATGAAGAAAAGAAGGATAAGCATAACCACGAGGAGGTTAAGGAAGTTAAGGAAGAAAATGTTGAGAAACATGACCACGAAGAGAAGGAAAAGAATGATCATGAAGAAAAGAAGGATATACATAATCACGACGAGGATAAGAAAGAAAATGTTGAGAAACATGATCATGAAGAAAAGAAGGATAAACATAACCATGAGAAGGAAGTTAAGGAAGAAAATGTTGAGAAACATGTTCATGAAGAGAAGGATAAACATAACCATGAGGAAGTTAAGGAAGAAAAGGTTGAGATTCATGATCGTGAAGAGAAAAAGGAAAAGCATGATCATGAAGAGAAGAAAAACGAGCTTAAACACGATGAGAAAGTTGAGGAAGAAAAGGAAGAGAAGAAAAAACATGATCCTGAAGAGAAGAAAGACGATAAGAAAGAAGAAAAGGTTGAGAAACATGATCACGAAGAGAAGAAGGAAAAGCATGATAATGAAGAGAAGAAGGAAAAGCATAATCACGATGATAAGCAAGAAAATATTGCATATCAAGAGACTGAGATTATTAACAAATCCTCCGAAGAGCAAACTGAAGAAATAGTAGAAATCCATGCACAAGAAATTGTCAAAGAAGAAGAACCAAAAATGGAACCAGTTACAGAACCACCTCAAGAGGAAAGCTTACCTTTTGAAGTTGCCAATACAGAGAAACCTCAAGCTATTGAGGAAGCATCTGTTGAAGAGCATAAACATACCGAAGAGAATCATGAAAACATTGAGACAACTGAAGAACATAGGGAAGATATCAAGAATGAAGAACACCATGATAGGGTTGAAGATCATCATCAAGTTAAGCACGAAAGTGTTGATGAGGTCAAAAAGGTTGAGGAACAAGAGGAGCAAATTATTGAGGAACACAGTCACAAAGAACAAAATGATGAAATTAAATGCACCGAAGAACATATTGGACATCAAGAAAGCAATCAGGAAAGCGAGATTAAACAAGTTGAAGAAACAGTTGAATATGTGGAAAGTAAGCAAGAGGAATTGGAAGAATCACATGAAGAACAATCAGAAGAGGTACATGTTTCAGAAGAAGAGGACTTTGAGGTTCACCAAACAGCACATGAAGAGTCCATTAAGGAAGTATCTTCTGAGGAAGTCACTAAAGAGGATGAATTTGAAAACAGCAAACAACATGTTGAACAAGAATTCTCAGAAAATAACGAAGTTGCCCTAGAAAATACTGAAGAAGAAACCTTCGAGAGCCTTGAAAACCAAGAACAAACACATGAGAATTTTGAAAATATTGAAAGTCATGAAGAAAACTTTGAGGAAAATCAATTCAATGAAACTACTGATGAATTCGAGCAAAATACGGAAGAGTTCAATGAAACAGATCAATTTTTCGAAGAGAAATATGAGGAAACTCAAGAAGAAACTCAAGAAGACCATGAACCAACTCAAGAGGAAACTCAAGATCAACATGAGGAACAATTCGAAGATCACTTCGAAGATCAATTCGAGGAACAATTCGAAGAGTTTGCAAATGAGGAATCAACAGAAATTAAACAAGAATCAAACGAGTTTGTTGATCAAGTGGAAAAGGAAATGAAAGAACAATCAGAAGAAGCTGAAGAAAAAGAAGATACAAGTCATCAACAAGAAACAGATATGGATCATTTTCCTGGAGAAGAATCTCCAAGAGAACAAACAGTTCAAGAACCATTCCATGAAGAAAGTTTGCCTTTTGAGGTTGACCAACAAGAGGAGGTACAAGCAGAAGAGATTGAGACAGCAGATAACCAAAAAGAACAAAAGGAGACAACTCATGAAGAAGAACAAGCTGAACTTCAAAAGGAAGATGAGTTTGACTCGTTTGAAGAAGATTTTGAAACCTTTGAAGAACAACCTTCAGAAGAATCTTCCACTGAAGAGGAACATCATGTGAGATTTGCTGAAGAAACTAAAACAATTGAAGATTCATACACAACACAAGATGAAACAAACCATCATGAAGAAACACAGGAAGAAACACACCAAGAAACTTTTGTTGATACCAAACTCTCAGAAGAAACACACGTGAAATCATCTCAAAAAGAAGAAACACAAGAAGACAAGCAAGAAAAACACCAACAACCAGAGGAAAAACAAGAACCTCATGAGGAAACAAGTGTTGACGCACCAGAAAAACACAAACAACCAGAAGAAACACATGTCGAAGAAGCTCAAGCTGAATATGTGGTGGAAGAAACTAAGGAAGAAGAACCTGTTAAGGAAAGAACTCTTGAGGATGTGTATGTTGAAAACTGTGAAAAGAGATCTCTTAGACCAAACACTCGTCTTAGAGCTCAATTTGGCACAAATACTATCGTCACCGATGGAGAAGTTAATTTATCAGACAATTATTTAGGTGATAAGGGATTAGAGCCTTTCTTGGAAACTCTTTTAAATGTTGAATTCCACAAATTGAGTTTGCCAAAACAAGGGTTCAGAAATCCAGCTATTGAAACCCTAGTCTCAATTCTCAAGCCTCATCCAACAATTGTTGAGCTTGATTTGAGTGGAAATTTGATTTCAATTGGTGCAGCTTTAGCTTTGATTGATTTTGCCAAATCGAATAATACCATTCGAGTAATTAACATTCAAAATACTTACATTGATGATATGTTTAAAGAAAAAATTGAAAAATATCTTGCTAAAAATGCATAACCTGTACATGTAAAATACCTAAGAATAAAACTAATACTAAGTTTATTGTAAAAATTACTTCTTCTTTGACTTTATGGATGGAAAATCATCTTTTTTACCAGAACTGGTTGATACATTCTTTGTTGTAGTATTTGTGTTAGTTTTCTTAGCCCAATCTCCTTGTAATTGTACTGAAGAACTTGCTACTGATTGGGTAATGTCTATTTGTTGCTTACGTTTTGACCAATCGTTTGGCTTCTTTTGTTTCTTTTCAGGTTGCTGTTGTTGTTGGACAGGTGTTACTGTTTTCAACGTTGTAGGGAAGTGGAAATCACTGTTAACAGGTGGAGGAGTGGAAATAAGTTCTGGAAAGTTAGAAATGTGCAACTCTTGAATTAATCTTTCCCTGGCAAGTCTTTCTTCTTCCTTTCTCTTTTCCTCATTCTTCTTTTCCTCTTGTTCTTCTCTTATTCTCATTCTCACCTTTTCGTCTCTTCTATATTTTCTATGCTTAATATCTTTTATAAATGTATTAATCGTCTCCTTTGATACAATATTCCTCATATCAATTTCTACCAGAGAAATGTAACAACCACAAGGAACATGCTTAAGAACAGGATATCTCCTTCTTAATTCCTCATTGAGTTCAACTGTTTCAATTTCTAATATTGGACAATCATTGAGATTGGTTGGAAAATTACTGTAATCTTGGAATTCGTGAATTAACATTTTTGAACAGAGAGGATGTAAGAATATCATTTGACAATCAGAGGATTGATAATACCAATAATCCTCAACTTCTTTCTTCTCTGTGGCTTGAGATACTTCAGGTTTTTGTGAGGATTTGTTTTTTGGTTGGGTTGGTTTTCCCTTTGCCAAATGTGTTTTTGTCCATTCAAGCCAATCCTTTTTTCTTTGAAGAACTTGATCCTTTGCCAATACTATAAATTCAGATTCCGCAGCACTTTCAGATGTTTTAAGAGAATTGTCCAAATCAGCAAGTTCCTTTTCTAATATTTGAGAAATATCATAGGTAACATTAAATCGGGAAAATTTGGCACTTTCAGAATCACCATCAACTGGATAAATAGTAGGTAAATCCTTTGATTGAACACCCTCCTTGGTAGTGTTCAACTCAGAAACAAGGTCTGGAATTATAAGTTTCTTATCTCGTTTAAGCAAAACTAAATTCATCTTGTCATTTTCTTTATATTTCTTCCTGTATTCAACTCTTACACTTCTCAATGCATCTATATAAACACTTTCATTGCAGAGAGGACACTTTCTATAGTTTGTTTCTCCTAAAGCAACATGTCTCAAAATGCAAGGATAACAAAAAACTAATCATAAATTTAATATTCAATATTCAAACATGTTAAAAACTTACCATGGCCACATTTTGTCATTTTAGGTGCCTTAAATGTATCAAGACAAATTGGACATTCTTGATTTTCATCATGAGTTTGTTGAATAACCAATTCAATGGTATCCCAATCAACTAGTGTGTCTGCATCAAATTTTCCATTGTTATATTCAGTGATATGAAATTGTTGATTAATAAAATTGGTATTACTCTGAGAAAGGGGTCTCAAAACGAAATGAAAGCTTTCAAATTGGTTAGTATATATTAATTTGAAATTTTCAGTAATACCTACTTGGCCAACACAAATTCCTCCTTTGTCTTTGGTCTTTGATAGTAATTATTGTATTTGTGATGATGACTATGATTGTGGTGATGTTGCTTCTTTGATTTGTTATTCTTGTTGTTTGTATTGCTACTACTACTGCCATTGCCAGAATTACTATTTGGCTTATATGCTGTCTTGTTAACTATAAAACTATGTCCTTTATAGTGATAGGCAAGTTCTGGTTCTTCGGAATGAAAATATTCTTCTTCATCATGATCATCATTCGTTTCGACTAGATTAGCTTCTTCATTACTCTTTGATTGATTGGCAATAAAGAATTGAGAAGCAGGAAAAACCTTCTTTGGCTTGTTTTTTCTATTCTTATTCTTTTGTTGATTCAAGTCCGAATGTTGTTGATGATGATCATCATTATCTGCTACTACCTCATTCTCCTCAATTTCATCATGGTAATGTTCAATAGTTGATTCTAAAGATTCTTCAATATTCACATCATCATGATGATGATCCAAACAAGTCTCCTCCTCCACCACCACCTTGTTTTGGTTGTCTAATTGTATGTGAGGATTCAATTCATCAGTAGCAGCAGCTTGCGATGTTTGAGACATTTTTTCAATCTAATTTTATAAAATATTTTCAATTTGGTTTTTCATTTCTATCGTGGAATTGAAGTAATCAATTTGAATTATTTGTTTTGGAAAGTATTAAATAATAAATGACTATTGGTGGATTTAATAAAAAGCACTTAAAGGTTTCTATAATTTTTATCCAAAACAAGCTCAGCAAGAGCTCGTAGTTCGAGAGGAGTGATGGCATTGTACTTGTCTTGAATGTCGTGTTTCTCTACTGCATACTTAATGTTGGCCCACTCATCGTTGAGAGCCATGTGAATCATTTCTTGTTCATTATTATCAGTCCACCATTCTGGGAATACTTTTCTTTCCTTTGCCTTACCAAGATACTTTTTGAAATCTTGTAATGGATCTTCTTGAGCATAGAGACCTCTTTGCTTGCCTCTAAGTGAATAGTCATCCTCAACTCTCAATCTGTAAGAGTCAATGAAATGTTGATAGAGTGCATCTTTAGTTTCCAAGTTTTCATACCAAACATATTCACCATCATGAATCTTTTCTTCCTCCTCATTTTCTTCATCATCCTCGTTGTAATCTTCCTCATTTTCTTCATCATATTCTTCTGGAAGTGATTGATTATTATTATTTAGGAATTGATTTTGATTCATCCAATTAGATTCATCATCCTCTTGTTCTTCCTCATCTTCAATTTCATCCTCATCATCAACCCATCTACTCCAATCAATAGTAATATTTCTATTCTTTTCCTTGCTCTTTGTTAATCTTGGCCAAAATTCAACATCATCAACCAATTTTTCAATTCTCAATTCAATCTTTCTTCCAGTCACTTTATATTTACACAACTCAGCTCTAATTTGATTAAATAATTCCAATTGTAATTCAAAGTCTTTATCATCGGAATTGCTTGCATTCACTCGTACTAAACCCTCATCAGTGAAAGAAACTTGAACATTTTTTGCATCAGTAATTTCTACATTTAAATTGATAAATTCCTTCCTCTGTGACCATGAAACTATTGGAGTTTGTTTTGACATTTTTTTTAATTTTAATTTATTTATCTGTGCGATAATATCATTTGCAATAGTTCAGACAAACAATTACAAGAAAGAGATTCTGTCTCAAGTAATTCAATAATGCATGCACTGCTTTCTTTACAAAATGTACTCAAAAATTCCACCAATCCATTGTCCAAATCGCTCAAGTAACCAATTAGCAAATTCACCGAAGAAAAAAATGAGCAAGAACTTGTTCCTTTCCCTCGCTGTTGTTTTCGTCATCTTGATGTATTTTGCATCATGGATCGACGCTCGCTCACCTATTGATCAAACTGATAATGAAGAATATCAAGCAGGTATTCCATTGAAAGTTATGTATGGTGGAGCCTATGATGAAAAGGAAGCTTTAAATTATTTCCAACATTTTAAAAAGTTGTATTTGAAGAGATATGCCACTGAAGAGGAACATCATCGTAGATGGAAGATTTTCTATGATAATATTAATTTAGTTAATCAATTAAATATTATGCATAAACCAAACGAAATTGCAGGTAAACCAGTTGCTCAATATGGTATCACTCAATTTATGGATATGAGTCCAAATGAATTTGCTCGTGTCAAACTCTTGCCACCAACAAAACAAAAGGATATCAACCACACTCCAACTGCACCAAAGGAAAAGTATCAAATTGATGCTCTTCCTGAATCATTTGATTGGAGAGAACATGGTGCTGTTACTGCTGTTAAAGATCAAGCTAGGTAAGGTTAAACATACTTTAGAATTTTAAATATTGACATTGTAAAATAGTTGCGGAAGTTGTTGGGCTTTCAGGTTTGTATTTGTTATTTGAATATTATTTAAAGGCCCATTAATTTATCTAGTACTGTCGAAAATATTGAAGGAGGTCAGTATTCTTTTTTTCGGAAATATTGACATTGTAATAGCATACTTTTTGGCTGGTCACAATTTGACTAAATTCTCTCCTCAACAACTTGTTGATTGTGATAATTTGAATTGTGGATGTTGTAAGTATTAGTAAATATGCAAATGCTAAATAGGAAATAGTTGGAGGTTTTCCATTTATTGCCATGCAATATATCCAAAAGAGAGGAGGTTTGGCTACTGAATCTTCTTACCCATACTGCATTCCACCATTAGGAAACTGTTTCCCGTGTAACACTAACAAGACCTATTGTCCTAGTGGAGAATATTGCAATCGTACTTGTTCAGTTCAAAACTATCAACTTGTTGCAAAGGTTGCTGGTTATGAAAATGTCTCTCAAAATGAAGACGATATTGCCGCATACTTGGTAAAGAATGGACCACTCTCCATTTGCCTTAATGCCATGTGGTTGCAATTCTATCATAGTGGTATTAGTGATCCAATGGTAAGTTTATTCATTTCAATTCAAATATTGACATGCAAAAGTATTGTCCTCCAGATATTGACCATGCTGTTTTGCTTGTTGGTTTTGGTACTCAGTAAGTTTTAAAATTGTCATGTTATTTATCATAACAACCTTAATAGCACTAATTGGCTTGGAGAAAAGACTAATTATTGGATTGTTAAGAACAGTTGGGGAGAATCTTGGGGTGAAAAGGGTTATGTAGGTTTACTTGTTCAATTTTTTAATAATTAACAATTATTTAACAATTTTCTTGACAAACAGTTCCGTCTCATTAGAGGTAAGGATAAGTGTGGTATTAATACTATGGTTGCCAATGCCATTGTTGGAAAGACTAAATTCTAGATATTATACCATAAAAATAATTATTTTCATTCTCATTCATACCTATTTTATTATTCAATATTGAAAATTCCCGCCACAATTAGATTTAAAAATAATTTTAAAAAAAATGCAATCAAGAGATGATCATCAACTTGCTTGTGTTCCGGAAGAAATTCTAATTGACCACTTTCTTCCTTTTGTTCATCACAAGGCACTAATTTCTCTTAAAACAACTAATCAATATTTTAACAAATTGGTTTGGGATTACTGGATCAAATACAAGACAAGCTACTCTATTCCATACGGAATTGCATGTGGCAGATTTGAGAATATTTACAAACATTTTCTTTGCAAGTTGGCCAATTTGACAGAGATTGGAGCAGAGAAAAGTCTTGATGATGATGGGTTTTGTCAACAGCTGGATGATTTTTCACTTTTTAAAATGTTGGAGAGTTTGAGTGGTAAACTTAAAAAGTTAGATCTGGCACGGTATGATACTCTGTGTGGCAACTTTATACAGGACATTGCAGAGAAGAAAATTCCAGCATTGTACACTATTGAGGAGATGTTGATTAGAGATATTGACTTTGAACTTCAGAATATGACTATGGAAGCATTTGAAAATCTGAAGAAATTAGTACTGATAGGAAAGGATGCCGTAGATATTGAGTTTGATACCTTTAAATTTCCACCTTCTTTGGAGACATTAGTTTTAGATTACGAGCTACCAGATACCTTTGTAGCAAGTATAGGCAAGCAATGTCCCAATTTAACTGATTTACGTGTTAAAGGAGTATCAGATGATGTTGCTATAGAACTAATTGAATCATTGCCCAAATTAACATCATTTCATGTTACTCTTGATGAATCATGCACTACCATGTCAAGCTCTTTCTTTTCAATTTTCAAAAAAAAAGGAATTACTCTCAATATATCTTCCATTTCTTTGCCTTATAGTATCAATACAAAATCAGCAATTAATCCCTTTGGTATCTATTCAGAAAAGTTGACCTATCTAGGCTTGTATTGTACTGGGCTAGAAATGAATGATATATTGTTAAATTCTATTGTTTGTTTAAAGAACTTGAAGAAACTGAAATTGGTGTTCGATGTGGAGGAAGTCAAGTTCACATCAAAATGTCTCCATTCCCTTTCAAATAATTCAACTTTGAAACATTTGGAATCTCTTACATGTACTTTGAATAGTGGTGCTGGTTCTTTGGTACCTATTATTGTTGACAACGCCATCAAGGAAATCAATTTACAAGGAGAAGAAGAAGAATATTTCGATTTCTCATTCTTAAAGAGATGCTCAAATATTGAAACATTGAATTTGGATTTTGAGACAGAAAATAACAACTTGTCGGCTACGCTCAGCTCCAAGATTCATTTACCAAACTTGAGAACAGTTTCTGGAAAATTATTTACTTGTAATATTGTAAATTTACTTCCTAATAAGCAAAATATCAAATCTCTCAAAATGGTCTATGATAGCGATATGGATCTTACACAATTCAAGACGCTCAAAAACTTGGAACTTTCTTTGAATGTTTGCCTCCCAAATGATATTGTCCTGCCACTCTCCTTAAATAATTTGGAAGTCTTTTCCCACATTGTTGATCCGAGTTATACTGGTTTTATCAATAATATTTTGGCACTCAAAAATCTAAGAATACTCAAGCTCAAGATGGAATGTTTGCAAAATGAAACAGTTGCCACTATTTGTACAAAGGATTCTCCAATAGAAGAATTGTTAATTGGTGGATCCAAGTTTTTAACCAATTCTATCACTCACCACTTCACCTCAATGGAAAATTTGAGAAATTTAATGGTAATAGACTGTAGAGAATTTAAGGATTGTAATGAAATATCTCTCCTAGAATACGAAAGAAATTTCCACATGTTCTCATCTAAAATTAAGGAAAGAAAATTTGATTTTGAAAAAGCCTATTCCACAGTCAATGAGGAACTTAAAAGCAGGCTAATGATGGAAACGTACAAGTCAATAGATACTCTTTTCCAAGAATTACACACAACTCACTTTACCAAATTGATGAAGGAGAGAAAACTGATAGAATTGAACCTTTGTGCTTGCTCTGTTTTGACTCTTTTGAAAGAGAAAGGATTACGTCTTGAGCGTGACAATGAGTTTTGGCTTTTCTATTACCTATTGCTATCAACGAATAGTGACTTTATGCCTCTACACCAAAATGACATGTTAAAATTTGTCAATTCTGTTTTTGCTAGATTGAATGAAGGAATACTCAGCCAAGAGCAAATAGCTAGATTACAGTTTTGCTGCTCAAATTCAATTGAACCATTTATCAAGGGAGCAAGTTATGGAATAGTACTAGCAATACTGTCTATTTTACTGGATTTGAATGACTTGGATACAATATCCAAGATTTCTAGCTCACTGCCACAAGCTTTATTCATGGTTAATCCACAATTAGTCAAAACAGTTACCAAGTTCATGGAAAGATGTGTCAGAGAAAAAGACTGTTTATTACAAATATTCTCCTTCCCAGATTTGTTTCTAATCCTTTCCACCATTTCTTTTTCCATGGAAATAACTAGTACTCCATCATTTTCTGAATTTTGTCATGCCATCACATCTGCATACTGTTTTAACATTAATTGCCCTGCAGTTATGGCACAATACTTTGAAAAGTTCAGTAGCATTCAACATATTTATAATCCTTTCACTAATCTTTCCGCTAAAGTGAAGAAAGAAAAGGAAGCTTTCCGTAAAGTTGATCCACTAGATGTATCAATTCCAACAAGGGAGAGGGTTTCCATAGCAGTGGATCCTGCATGGGCAGATAAGAATACATATGTGGATTGTATTGATATTTCCCATGGTTTCAACGTGGAGCTCTTTAAAAAGATCAAGTCTCATACTTTTGAAGCCTTTGGTTTCAAGTGGTATCTCAGTATTCAGAATGGAGAGTATCTTGGAGAGGTGAGAACCTCATTACATTTGGATTCAGTACATTCTACGAATCCAGATGAAATCAGCTTACAATTGGACCATTTGCAAGTCAAAGTTTTGTTTATGAATTTCAATTTTGATCCATCATATTATTATGTGAAAACCCACAAGTTCAAGTTCAAAGATGATTTTGTTTCAGATAACGTCTATTATAACAAGGATCCTTATGAAAAATCATTGACTGAGTTCAATTATAGAACTATTATTTGTATTAAATTACTTGAAAAGAAGATGAAACAAGTCCACCCATTAACTACCTTTCCAAATAATCCTCTCAATTATTTAAGTAACAAGCATCCTTGGCTCTCTAGACAAATTTCAAAGGAAAGACCAATTCACCACGAAACAATAACCATCCTTACACCATTAGAAACTCTAGTGGATGATTGTTTTTCATCTGATACCATTCATGCATTTGGGAATAATGTTCACTTTTACATTAAGCCAAAATCAAGAAAGAGTGGATTGTTTGCAGTTGATCTCACTGATCAATTCATTCCAACAGATCTCTACAAAGTTAAATATTTATTTGCAAATGAATCCTTCGATATGGATAGCGTTCAAATTGGAAAATATGAGAGGAAATCTGAAATCGAAATGGACCTTGAAGATACACCATATATTGATTCAGAACTAGACTATAATTTGTTTGAACCAACATTCCACCAACCAACAGTCATTGAGAGAGAACCAGGAAAATTCTTTAACAAGTACGTTTTCCAATTAGTACTTGTTTTGAGCAATACAGCTCATGGATTGGATATTGGTAATCCATATGATGATATGGATGACGACGACGATTGGGAAGACATGTAAATTCTATTTAAAATTGTTACAATATAATAATTAAAGATAAACGAAAGTAGTCCTATTGTTATTCAGAAAATCAAAGCTAATCCTCATCGTCTTAATAAGAAGGAAATGAAACTGATTAAAGAATTGAATCAGTATTCCTATTGAAATATTTCATGACTATATTGATTCAATTTCAAAATTCATACTATCTTACAATAAAAAATACCCAATTCGAATATTTTCATTGGATATGCCAACACACCATCTTCCGATATCCATTTTAATCGTACACTTGTTTAATGTCAAGAGAGACATGATTTCAACACAACAAACTTCAACATTTTCAACGGGTGATGAGCTGCGAATATTTATTTTTTAGTCATCAAATGGGCATTTTTCCATCATCTTGTTTGCCTCGTCATTTCCAACGTTTAAATTTTTATTTTAAAAAATTAATAGAAAATCGTCATGTCAGTCCCTCCACCATCACGATCTGGTAACGCACAGTATGATTACCTTTGTAAATTATTGCTCATTGGAGATAGTGGTAAGTATACACTGGATTTTAATCAAGTTGAGTGTGGGTGGATTATTTTGTTTTTTAAAATTTAAATTGCCTACGTTGGAATTGATGACGGAATGATGATGATATTATTTGTATAATATTATATGATATTAATACTTGTATGATGATGATGAAATAACAACAAAAATAACAAATTTAAAATCATGTAGGTGTGGGAAAGAGTTGTCTGCTTCTCAGATTTAGTGATGACACTTTTACAACAAACTTTATAACTACCATCGGTATTGATTTCAAAATAAGAACTATTGAATTAGATGGAAAGCGAGTAAAATTACAAATTTGGGATACGTAAGTAAAATAATAATACAACAACATGAAATGATGATAATTATTTAGTGCTGGACAAGAGAGATTTAGAACTATTACAACAGCGTATTATAGGTAAGAATAATAGTCATTTGTCTAAATATTAATTTAATAATAATAATAATATAGAGGTGCTATGGGTATTATGTTAACTTATGACGTTACTGATGAACAATCATTCTTGAACATTAGAAATTGGATGAAAAATATAGAAGAACATGCAGCTGATAATGTCAATAAGATGTTGATCGGAAATAAGTGTGATTTAATCGAAAAGAAAATTGTGGAAACAGAAAGAGGACAATCATTGGCCAAGAGTTATGGAATTCCATTCATGGAAACCAGTGCTAAAAACAATATTAATGTGGAGGAAGCTTTCTTTACTATTGCTAGAGAAATTAAATCCAGATTAATTGATTCTGGAGAAGTAGAACCAATAGTCGAAGATAGCTCTCCTTCAAACACTAAAAAGTCAACTGAAGAAGAAAAGCCAAAAACATCCAACTCTGGTACTGTTAGAATTGATCAAAATCAAAATACATCCAACGAAAAGAAGAAGAAATCATGTTGTGGATAAGAAAAATCTAGTGTCATGTTTACAAAATTATTAATTTATAATCGAGAGAATATTCCAATCTCTTTCCTCTTCCATCCTTCCTATTCCAAAAGATAAAATCTTTGTGTACAGTTATTATTCTTTAAAAATTAAAAAAAACAAATTGTAATTTCATTTTTAATATTGCATCCAGATTTCGGCTGATTGACTACTGTGTCAGCCAGTAATAATTTACTGTCAAAGGCAGTAGAATGGTCGAGGACTGTAATCTCTTTCGAAACACTAAGGGATTGAAGTTAAAGTTTGGAGGGAAAAAAAGTCCGCACGCTCAAAAACCGAAACTTTTTCATATCCGTAAACCTATTTTACAAACTATTGCACTGCTAAATGATTACCTAAATCAAAAAAACATGAGCACAGCAACAAGTACAGAACAACTTCCAAAAGGTACCATTAGATCAATTGGTGGAGCTACCTTTGTCTATGAAACAACAACTGAAAACTCAAACGAAACAGTTCAAATTGCCATTGATCCAATGCTTTGTCCACAAGGTCATGTCTTTGATTTTGGTTTGTTCAAATCAGAGCGTTTGAATGCTCCTTCTCTCAAAGGTGAAAATGATTTGACCAATATTGATTTGTGGCTTCTCACTCATGGACACGAAGATCACGTAGACAGATATGGCTTGGAAAAGATTTTGAAAGGAAATCCAAAATCTATTATCGTTGCTCATCCAGGTGTTCAATTCCTATTGACTCAAATATTCAAACATGAGGATATCACATTTGATGGCAGAGTTGTTCATTGGATGAATCCTCAACAAGATTTGGAACTTCAAGTTAAAGGGTTGACCATTTCCATCCATTCAGTGAATGCAATCCATGGACAAAATGAAGAATTTGGCAATATTACAATGGGTAATGCTAATGGTTACATTGTCAAAATTAAGGAAAATCAAACTAAGTTTTATGTCACTGGAGATTCAGTCTTTAATGAGAGAAACATTGCCAAAGATGTGGATGAATTGACAAGAGAACAATTTGATTTTGTAATTACTAATGGAGGAGAAGCATCATTGAAGAAAACACCATTTGTTGGTGATATTTCCACTAATGTTATTGGAAACATTACCAACAATTCTCAAAATATCATTGAGCTCCATAAGAAATTAGTTCCAAAGCAAACTCTAATTGTTCATCATGGAACTCTCTCACATTATGATGAAATTTTGGGCAGGGATTCATTTGCTCATGTTTCTGCAGATATTATTCCTCTATTCCCTGGTGATATTCATCAAACTTTGTAAATAAATCATGGTTACTTAAGTTTAGTTTATTTTCTCTTTGGCTTTGGTTTCTTTTTCTCATCTCCAATTCTAATTTCACTTACATATCTCCAATTTTCAAAAGGAAGAAGTTCCAAGAATTTCTCTACTAAATCCTTACCATCCATATATCCAAACATGTTGGTTAGGGTAGCAATGGCTTCCACTCTCACAACTAGATCGCCATTTGAACAGTAAAAATCATGGTCCTTAGGATAATATTTCTTAACTTTCCCATTTGTAATGTCATCCATTGTAAAATAAGGACTTGATCCTTCATCATCAAATCCTTCAAAGCTATAAGTACGGTTTCCAACTTTCATTACTGTTTTAACAGAGGATAGGTAGTCGATATTTTCATATCTTACTTCCAAATATTGAACAAAATAAGGGTGAGTGTTAAATGCATAGTATCTGGCATCACGTACAACTGAAAGAGATCTCTCAATACCTTGCTTGTTTAGAATTGGAGAGAGTGAATCGATAACCTTACCCATTCTAATTGGGAATGACCACCCACTTCTTAAATAAGCACTGTAAAATGTCTTGCTTGTTTCTGAGAGTGTTGCAACATATCTAAATCTTAAAAAGGAAAGGATTTGAAGCAACATATCATTTCCAATATCAAAAATAGAACGACCTTCACAAGGTTTGCAACATATATCCTTATCTGTTTCTTCATTATATGTCCTTTCCTTACTTTTCTTTGGAGTATGGTTGAGTGTAAAATCAATCTCAACTTCCTCGTCGTTAAATTGAACATCTTCGTAGACAATATCTGATGATTTTACAGAAATATCATAGGGAAAGATATAAACCAAAGCAGCAACAAGCTCTAAATTAGTGACTTGAGAAGAAATTCCAAGCTTTTCTCTGATATAATTGAGAACACAGGTGTTAACTGAGCTGTTAACATATTGAGAGGTCATTAGTTCAACTGGATTGTACTTTCTATTGTCTTCTTCTTCTTCTTCGTCATAGAAATCTTCATCACTATCTTCACTCTTAAAACTTGTATTATTAGGAAGATCTAAATATTTCATTAAATCTTCCTTAATCGACTGGTTGACTTGATCAAGATCTCCAAACAAACCAATAGTAAAACTGCAACTATCATAATCACATTCAAATGCATGATGTAAATGTAAATCTTCCATCAAGTGGCAGTATGCAGAAATTTCCCATCTTCCATTCATTTGCTGATTACTATTCTTAAATGAATAGCTTGCTCTATTCAAAACCTTTTCCTTCAATTCATTTTGTGATTCAACGGATTGTACCTTGTGAAGATGGCCAATCTCACCAGCAAACCACTGTTCCCATTGTTTAATCTTTTTCAATTTCAACTTGTCTGAAGTCATTTTACATTCGAGCATTTTCAACTGAGCTTCAATAGGTTTGAAAAAATGTTATCAAATACTTGGTTTGTAACTTGCCTAGTCTCGTGCTCAAACATGAAAGGAGCACATTTAGAGAATAAGTTCTTTGAAACTAAACTAATATTCCTCAATTGTTGCCAGTTAACCACTGCATGTTTCGCAAATTGATTTCTATCAATTCCCTTTACAATTAACCCAGTATAATCATCATCATCATCATTGTCTTCATCATTTTCCATTTTAATCTTGTCATGGAATACCTTCTTCAAAACTCCTAAAAACACCAACACTGATTCAATGCATTCTTCCGATAATTGATCAAGAAGTGAATACGCATCATCATGTGGATTTTCTTTCACTTTTTTCAGTGTGGTATCAACAGTATTAGCCGAGGAGACATCTTGAAATTGTCTTTTCATTTTTTTCTTATTCGAAATTATCCTTTTACAATCAGTCCTCTGTCTTAAATACCAATCCGCAATTAGAGTTTATAAAAATTGTTTATAGATCTGCAATGGTCATTCTCTTTTCACAATTTTTCTTCAAATGGATAGCAACTTTGTCACTTGCATTATTTTGTAAATATGTTGAAAGTAAGGTGGCAGCATTATTGAAATTCTCATTGAAATATTCTTGTGATGCTTCATTGTAAATATTCCATTGTTCATTCTTCTCCTTTGCATTCAATTCATACATCCATTCATCAGCTTCATTGTTAATACTTTCACCCAATTCGTAAACTTTTCTTGGTGTGTGAATTTGACTTTTATCTGCAATGTTTGGATATGAATAATAATCATCCAACACAAAATTCTTAAAATCAACAAATCTAACTTGAAATTTGTTGTCAATTTTCTGGAATAATTCATGAGAAATAACTATTGGAATATCCAACTCTTTTGTAGTTTCAATCATGCCTTGAATATTGTATTGAACACTTCCAAAAACACCAAAGTTCATAATCTCCTTTGTTCCCACATTACCACACATACATTCTTGAGTTGTTGCAACAATATGGAAATCTAAATTCAATGTCGGATTATTCTCATAAACAATATGCTGTGATAGCTTATTTTCCTGTAAAGTTATCAATTTCTTCAATAAGGAGTGACAGCATTGAAGACCCTTCATTTCATGTTTATGTTGATCACCTGAAGCATTGAAGAGAATTGTAACTGTTTCATTTTCAAATTTACCAACTTGTCCATTACTAATCTTTGCTACATAGTTAATTACATCAAAAACATCTGTCAAAATGGAAAGACACTCTTTTGGATTGGCATTGTTGAACAAGTTATTGACACCGTCCAAAAACACTGCCACTACTGTAACTTTCTTATTCTCCAAATAAAGCGAGAATACATTATCTGAAGGTTGTTGTTTGGGATGTTTTCTTGAAAGACTGCTTGAATGAGAATTTGAGAAAGGTGAATCCTGTGGTTTTTCTTGTAAAGATGTTTCAACATTCTCAACATCATCTTCTGAATTGTTGTTGTCCAACTTACTCAACAAGTGACTTGGAATAAACTTTCTGTACAATCTAATTCTTTCCACCATACCTATAAAGTGAACTTGCAAGGATTTCACTTCAGAAATGAGTGATGGCGAAAGTTGAAAATTATCCAGTTGCATATTCGAAACCAATTCAAACGATGCTATCAACGTTTTGAATGGCTTAACAACTATACTGGAAAATATAAACGCCAGAATAAACATGGTTATCAACAGCCCAATTGACCCATTACCCGAAGCAATAAGGTGAGTAGTATAACCCATGTAATTCCATTGAGGAACATCATATACAAATATCCAATCAATTCCTTCTTCATTACACATTCTTCCTACAGATACATAGGTAACAAGATCAAACACAAAAGTCAAGTTAGTGTTGCATGGAAAATTTTGCAAGTCATTATTGAACTGAGCTGCCACTTGATTTCCAATTATTTCTATTCTTCCCCCAACATCAGAGAATGTTTTCAGTGTGGAGGAACTCTCAGAAGAGAACTTCTGTTTACTACTAGAGACAATCAAGAGTCTGGATTTTGTATCAAAGACAAATGCAATAGCCTCTAGAATATTATCTGCTTGTTCATGAAGAAACTCAAAAAACTCCCCAAGATTCAAAGCATGGTTACAAAGTTAATGGTTTTGGATGAGGGAGGAATGGCTAAAATACTAGTGCAAGCAATACTCAATTGATTAGAATGTGAATCAATAAATGGTGGTGAGAAAAGCGTCCTTCCTTGATTATTGGATGCTATCTGAGGAATGAAAGTATAATCCGAATAGGGTTCAACTCTCTCTGGAAAATCACCGTGAATACATTCGTCATTTTTATCTGGATCTGTACAATTCCAATAACTTTGATCCTTTTCTTGGTTTACAATGGTGAACATTACTGAGGTTTCTTCCAGCTCTATTCCATACATATTTCCATTGGAATCACCAACTAGGAGCATATGTAGATCATTCAAATGTGATTTGATAGCTTTGTGCATTCTAAAAGTATGAGACATAGACTGGGTTTCATTTGAGAAGTCAAAACCAGAATAAAGTTGAGATTTTGCCAATTCCGAAGCCAACACCACTTTCTTAATGGATCTCTCAGTGTTGGATATTATTAAATTAAACTCTGATTTTCTCACATTCTCACTTAATTTACTCACTTCGCCTGCAAAGACAGACATCCAAATAGAATCGAACACTATTGTACATGACAATATCACCAGAAATATTATTAGTGTCAGAGTAAATTTGATAGAGGTTAAAAAGTTGAGAACTTTGGATTTGCTTTCAATAATCTTCCTTGGTGTATAAGGTGTGGTTGTTTCTACTGCACCATTCTCAGTGATTGGTTGAACACGAGACATTTTCTTTGAGTTATTCGCAATGCGTTTTTCTCGGATTTATTGCCTGCAAAGAGGATGGTAATTTGACCTTAATAGGATGTGAAGACTTCACGGAATTAGTTCAAGAGATAGAACAAAGATGCAGTAAGGTAGTTTGTTTTATTATTAGGCGCAACGGAAGAATATAGGTATTAGAGTTGACGAGGAATGAAATCAACATAGAGAGTCTCTTTTGGCTTCAATGTAATGTGCATTTCGTGTTGAACAACATAATTTGGATCTGAGAGTTTGAAAGAGTAGGTTCTAGCTAACTTGGCCAATGCACATAATCCTTCAACTGTTGAGAAATAACGACCCTATTGATATATAGATAATAGAGAGAATATTAATAATCATGATGATTGATTTCAATAACTTACTGCACAAATTCTTCCACCGACACCAAATGGCGTGAAAACAAATGGATTACTGTTTGGAACAATAAACTTTCCATCCTTGATAAATCTCATTGGTTTGAAAGATAATGGTTCGTCCCAATACTTTTCATTGACGAGAGTGTGAACAAATGAAATGCCAAAAATGGCTCCTTTTGGAAATACTGTTCCGTTATATTCAACATTTTTGGTTAAATCTCTGAAAGAACCAAAAGCAACAGGGATTAATCTCAACACTTCATTAAATACTGCTTTCACATAGTCCAATCTTCCACTTTCATAGTCTGAGAAATCAAATGTATCTTTTCCAGTTTCCTTTACGACTTTGTCAACTGCATCGTGCAATTCTTGTTGAATATGAGGATTCTTGGAGAGTAAGTAAGTGGCATAACCAAGTGTTCTAGACGTAGTATCATGGCCGGCCACTAATAACACAAATGAATTTGACACTAGTTCTTCATCAGTCAAAATGCCACCACTCGATTGATCTCTATTATTCTTTCTCTCCTTCAATAGGAGAGACAAAATATCGGCAGCTTCATCTTTATCATCACTTCGTTCTCTCTTTTCAATAATCTTACTAATGACATCAGTGAATGATTTAACAGCAAAGTGCAATTTACCAACAGCACCAATTTTGAGGTTACTTCTCAAAAATTTTGTTGGAATAACTCTCAGATAATCAAGATAGCTCATAAAAATATTACCTTGTTGTTCCAAGGTTACTTCACCTGGCTTTGAATGGAATGAATTAAGACTATATCCAAAAGCTGCCTTTCCAATAACATCCATTGTCAATCTCGCCATGTCAACCATTACATCTCTTCTTTCAAGTTGAGAATTAATGGCAGGAATCATATCCTTCTCAACCACTTCATTAGTAACATCTGCAACAAGTTTCAAATTGGATGGTGAAAAACTTTGATCAATTAATTGTCTATGCTTTAACCAAGTATGGTGGTCTGGCTCAGCAAATACGTTGGTTCCAAAAAATAATTCTTTACTCGATCTGTCCATAAATTCTGTTTTTCTGAATACTTTTGCACCCTTGGTTGCAAATTCTTTGGCTAATTCAGGACAGTCACCAATAACAAATGATAAATTGGCAATACCAAATATGATTTTAAAGTAATCACTATTATTTTCCTTAATGATTCGAAGGATTGTGTCTGGAGTAAAGATTTCGAATGGATTATCAATGATTCCATCTGGGAGCATCCATTTAGGAAGGAATTGAGCAATGTGAGGTGGTAAAAATTGAGTAACACCTGGTAAGTGTTCATATTTTTTGCAAAGTTTCTTATATTGAACGTATCTTTCCACCAATAAGATTGAAAGTAAAAGAATACATCCAAGAGGGATGTACACGAAACAAGTTACAAGAATATCTTCCATTTTTTTGATATGTTGTATTATTTAACATTGGTGCAGTTCTTAATGATCGGTTCTAGTCAACTGGCGGCATGTTTGCGACTAAGCGAACGACATAGCGCCCGACAAAAAACTTCATCTTTCATTGAAGTGTCTAATTGGAGTTTTTAAATGTCAAGAGATGTAATTCAGCCTGAATTATTTTAACTTCAATATCACTTCCGACTGAAATTTTGTAAAAATAAATTTACGGAATTATACTACTTGGATGGATTCTGGTCATGCAATTTGTTACACACTGCTCTAAATCAGTAATTGAGAATGGCTTGCTCATAAACACATCAAATCCATGCTCTAGACAATAATTTCTGGTTTCCTCAAACCCATTTGCTGTCAGGGCTACTAGAATCGAGTGATGATCGGAAGGATCGTTGGATTCTAGTTCCAGTATTCTTCTTACAGTTCCATAACCATCCAATCTAGGCATGAAAATGTCAACAAAAATTATATCAAAAAGTTGATTGGTCTTTTTAAATTCTTCAAATTGTTGAACACCCTCCAAACCATCTTGAGCCACTGCAATATTTGTACAACCAATTTTCTTCAACATATTAATCAAAACAATTCTATTGATTGCATTATCCTCAACTATTAGAATTTTCAATTTTGGTAAACTTGATTCAAAATCCTCAATAGTTGGTGTTCTAACTGTTGTTAGCTCATTTTTCTTGCAATTTTCTAGGGATAGCAGTGATTTAGACGATACATTCTTAGAAAGTATCTTGGAGCGGGTTGTTTCTTCAAAGCCAGGAATAAACTCACCATGGAATTTAATGGTAAACCAGAAAGTGCTTCCCACGCCTTCCTCACTATCAACACACAAGGTACCTCTCATCATTTCGACAAGTTGTTTGCAAATGTAAAGACCCAAGCCAGTACCTTCATTAATCTTGGTCTGCTTGTGTGAAGTGCTCAATATTTGAGAGAAGGGTTGAAACAATCTCTTCAAATCATGTTGCGAAATTCCGATTCCAGTATCAGTTACCTTAAATGTAAGCTCATAAACGTTGTCTTCAGATGGTGGTTTTGACTCAATAATGAGAGAAACTGATCCCATATCGGTGAATTTAATGGCATTGTATACCAGGTTGATAAGGATTTGAACAAGACGATACTCGTCGCCAACTATAAAAGTTGGAACATTCTCACCGAGCTGTAAATTGAACTCTAATGATTTTTCTCTAGCTTGTAATTGAAACATTCCACAATGAATTTGGTCAATAGCACGTCTCAAATTGAACTTCTTATTTTCCAACTTGATTTTCGAGGATTCAATCTTGCAAATATCCAATAAGTCATTAATAAGGCCTAGTAAAATGTTACCACTATACCTTATTGTCTGAATAATGTTCGTTTGTTGTTCCAATACTGGTGAGTGAGATTTTTCACTTTCCACAAATGCAATAGTGGCGCTATCCTTGCAAATATTATTGAGATTTACAGCCTTATCAAACGTGTCCAAGTTTTTCTCATTTTCTGTTTCTTCTTTACATTTTGATAGCAACACATCAGTAAGGCCAATAATACCATGAAGAGGAGTTCGCAATTCGTGCGACATTTGTGCTAAAAATTGACTCTTTGCTTTGTTGGCCTCAATAGCTTTCTCCTTTTCTACATTGATTTCATCCAATAGTTTGTATTTTTGAGTAATGTCGTGAAGAATGATATTAAAAAAGACCATTCCCTCACCTGCAGAGTCGATATCATAGAGCAAAATCTTTGATATACTCAAAGAGCATGTTAGTATTGTTTGATTTTTTCCTTTAACAAACAAGGGGAGGATTCTCTCGTGAGTTGGTGTTTGCTTAGATGTTTGGTCAAAAGGTGATTGAATAACATCCTGCAACACTTCACCAAGCTTCAACACAGCAGAGTTTTGTAAATCGCTGACACTGAGTAAATTTCCTCCAAGTGCTGCTGTTCTCATTACCTCATCAGATTCTTTGTAAGGATTAATAATCACATCACCAAGAGTCACTTCATGATCTGAATGATTATAATAATTATCAGGATTAATGGAGAGTGAGGAAGCACATGAAAGTGTATCTATTGCTGTGTTGTTGTATTGGACAATCTTGAATGACTGAAGAAACAAGTATGCTGATTCCACCTTTGTATCGGATGGTCTTACTAATACATCATCACTATCGCATACACATGAGAGAAATGTGTCAGGTGCTGTCATGTATAGATTCTTATATAAATTGGCTACTTTTTTCATACTTTGCATCTCTCGTTGTTGTACAAACTCAATAGAGTGATTTCTCATAAAATCTATCAATTCAATAGTCATTACTTGTACAATAAGAATAGAAACTACAACGCATGAGCAAAATGAAGCTGAATATTTCAAATAGTAAATCATTACAAAGAGCTCACATATCACCATTACTGTAATAGTAACGTATGTTGTCGCATGTGTGCCTATTATTAGTTTCCTTAAAAAGTTAAATATTTTTCTGTACATGGGCAAACGTTCAGGTGGAGGCGTCACATGTGTTTGTTGTTTGGAATCGATACTTGGCTTCTTACTCATTTCTAGAGCAACCGAACCAAGACAACTATATACTAAAATCCATAAAAAAGCTGGAGCATTTCTTCCCAACACCATTTGTACACTCATTATCCAAATTGATGAACACAAACATCTAGAAACTTCAGAACACAGCAGGTACACATGATGTGATTCCCCTGAGGTTCTTTGCTGCCTTGCCTCATTTTCCATTTCTATTGTTTCATTAAGTAATAAAAACTTGAAGAGCTTGTTCATTACATTATGAAATCTCCAATATATCATCAACAGAAACATGTAAATTATAAATTTGATCGCGTATTCAGCAAAAATTATATAAATCTTTGGAATGCTTCTTAAAAATTGAGGAAAATAGTCAGAGAATTGACAATTCTTGATGAATGGATGGTTTGCAACATAAGAATTGCAGTGCATGCTATCAGACCATTCATCAGTCGAAAATATTTGATTTGACCTCTCATTATTTAAATTATTTGTGCAAAATATTGTATTTGAAAGTAAACTATTCTCATAATAAATATCATGATATAGCGGAAGTATAAGAGTTAGTAGTATGATCACAACTGACAAGAAAACAATTCGATCTCTCTTTTGAAGAAAGAAAGATCTAATATTGATTGTGTACAAAGCAGATGTGCTTTGCACAGCTTGAAAAGGATTATCAAGAAGAGATGGCGAAGGCATGTGTTGGTGAAAAAAATAGATTAGAAGCTAATTTTCACCCGTGGTTGTGTGATATCTAGATATGATCGGTTTTTTTTTGTAGTATTTCTCTATTCAAAATAGTAAACTATTTCTTCATGATCGTTAGACACGGAGAATCCTTCAACCAGAAAGACAACCAAGGGGTACGCTTTGCCCTAATTCGATATCTAGCAGTAATTTGGTGGAATCTTAATCACTCAGGTTAATTAGTGTATGAACTGAGGAATTAGTACCAAAACAACCTGTAGTTACTTGGTACTAATTTGCCAAGTTACTAAAATAAATACATTATTTCCATCCAGTTTGTAAATGTTGGCTAAATTTGTAACAAAAATGCTTCCCTATTTTAGCCTTAGCATAGCTTGTCCATTGATGTCGATTACGGTGACATCTCCGTCCCCAATCATATCCCTTATGTGAAACATTGGATTGAAGATGGTATTTCTAATATTTTTTTGAAGCAAGGTGTTTACCATTATTTCTTTGAATTGCTTTCTCCTCAATACATTCAATATTTCTTTTCTTCCATTGTGTAGATAATACATGAATTGAGAGAGGTTTGGTATGGAGAAGAAGAAACTTTCAATATCTCTTATAGTTAGGGCACCTAGTGACATGAGGTGTGTTATGGCTTCATCATGAGTGATTTGCTTTGAATCATTTTCTTCGAAAAGTAAATCGATTAAATCTCTCTTCTCAATGAAAGGTTCTTTTATCATTGGTAATACAAGCTCACAGAATTTCTTGACAATATCTTTCAGTTCATTAATTCTAGAAGCACTGAGCAATTTTTTAATTTCTTTCTTTCTTTCCTCCTGAAATACTGGTAATCTTGATTTATCCTCTTCGTTCAAAGTATTTTCTAAATTATTAATATAGGTCTTGGTTAAATGGTTTAATATTTTCTGCTGAACTACTACCACTAACTTACCTCGTGTTGAATCCACATAGTTTTAATATAATCCTCCATAAAAACAAATCCAAATATATCTCTGTAAATACTTCTGTCAATGTAGAATTTTCTTATTTCATTTGTATCAATCATTTGATTAATAGTTTGTTCTATTTGAGTTGGTGTTTGTCCACTAATTACATTTTCATTGTAAAGTAAATGCTTTAAAATTATTGGAGGAAAAATAAATTTCATCAAATGTTTACAACTCAGAATTGAGTTTTGAATTTCCTGTCTGAGCTTTAAAAAAGCTACATGAGTATCTGAAAATTGAAAATCTGCAGCATTTTCCACAAACAGTGCTACAGCATTCAATTGATTTGTATCCTCACCACCTCTAGTTTGCTCCTCACTATAAAATCCATCACTACTAAATGATGGAGTGGTTGGAGTTGAAGTGGTTCTTGTTGGAGTTGTTGTTTTAGTTGGTGTAGTACGAGGAGAAGATTTTGGAGAAGATTTTGCAGAAGCAGTGGTGGTGCTACTAGATGAAGTACTACTGGAGGGAGTCTCAACTTTTTTGTTCAATCGGGTTGGGGTTTTGAAAACTCGTTTCTCCGAAGAAGATGGAGAAGATAAAGCTGTTGGAGAGGTTAATTCATTGGCAGTCTCTACCATCTTTCTTTCCAACAAGGCTCTTTCGCTAGTTGATTCTGATTTTCTCTTTTTTGTTGGTGTAACTGGATTACCAGATGGTGATGTGTTGCTAATACCACCCGATATGGCAAGATCAAGCATTTTCGCTTCTTCCTCTGACAAATTCAATCCCGAAGAGAGTTTTTCTCGTTTTCTCTTCTCTGCTGATGTAGGTGTGGAAGCTTTTCGTGGAGGCATTTTTTTATTGTGGAAAGTTGAAGTTTGCTTACAATGATACTCAATTACGTCTTGACATACTTGAAGTCAAATGAAATGTAGTCTTTCAAAATTTCAACACCCCTAGAGACGACTTTTGGCAAGTCTTTTTGTTCTTCATGAGTGAAATTGCCCAAGACAAAACTGGCCAAATCTTGACCTGCTTGTTTGGCCATATCTGGATTTTTGAGTGGAGCAATACCAACTTTAAGTCTGTGATATTTATCAGTTCCAAGCTTGGCTTCAATATCCCTGAGTCCATTATGTCCTCCATGTGTTCCCTTAGCTTTTAATTTAAATGTTCCAAATGGTTGTGAAACATCATCGGTAATAACCAAAATTCTATTCACATCCTCCAATTGATTAATTTTCATTCCATTCATATCCAAATATTTCTTGACAGGTCCACCACTCAAATTCATAAAAGATAATGGTAACATGCAGTGAACATCCAATGTAGGATAAGCAATAATATTTTTCACACGATCCTCCAATTGTTTCATACCAATGTCAGCATTTCCAAAGTTTGGATATTGAATATTATTTTCATCAAAATTAGCTCCTAATTCCCTCTTCTTTTCATGATACCATTTACTCCTCAAACGTTGAATTTCTTTCTCAACAAAACTTCTTCTCAATTCCGAAGGTGTCCAAAACGAAACATTTTCCCTCTGCGACAACATGGCATCATTGTTAGATTCTCTCAAAGCCGGAAATGAATATTCCTTGATGAATTCATTAACAATCATCCAACCAATATTGTGTCGGGTGAGCTTGTACTTATCACCAGGATTTCCCAAGCCAATCAAAACCAAACGCTTTTGCACATTGCTTGCCATTTTTTTTAAAATAATAAAATTTAAAATTGATTTGCCTCCAAAAATATTTCTAAAAATAATTGGGAAAAAAATGGTACGTTATTTGTTTTGAGAAAACGTTTTCAAATTAATTTGCAAACTCACATACGAATTTTTTGATGATTTGTTATTTGGAATGATGATCAATGTATTGTAGGCACCTAAGAGAAAAGTAATACCACCATCACAATCGCAATCATCACAACGTTTTGCGTCACAACAACAGGAAGATGATTCATATGACTCGGAAGAAGAGGCTGAAGTTGTACCATCAAATAATAGGAAGAGAAAAACCACACAAAGTAATCCACGAGCTAAAAAACCAAAAGCAACACAAGAGCCTCCCAATTTTAATTTATTAGAACAGGAAGAGGAACATTTAATTGGAAGTCTGATGAGATTTTGTTTGTTCAAAGATGCAAACAAATTACCAATTAAAAAAGAAGATTTGAATGCAACGGTTCTTGGTGAAAAATACAAGGGGAGAAAGGGGTTGCTCGATAATTTACTCGGAAAAGCCTCACAAAGATTCATCAAAATATTTGGATTTGAATTAGTTGAAATAGATAGGCATGACACAAATGCTGATGTTAACACCAAGTCAACCCAAGCTACACAAACTCAAAAACAAAAGAAAAAGTCTTCAGGAATATATATTCTTCGATTATTACCAGCAGACCTTGATGGTTTGCCACTATTAGACCTGTCTAAAAAGGAAAAGAAACAAGCAAGTTCGAACAGTATTCAACGTAAGAGACGTGAATTTAGTTTGGAGGGACTTGAACAGTCACAAATAGGATTATTGATGGTAATTGTCTGTCTTATTCAAATAAGAAAGAATCGTTTGGATGAAGAGGAAATGTGGAAATTACTGTTAAAACTTGGAATTGAAAAAGGACATTATCACTCTGTGTTTGGATTACCTGAAAAACTTATCCAACAATTTGAAAAACAATTTTATATTGAAAAGAATAAGGATGAACTAGGTATGAAAACAAAGGAAAGTGCAACTCCCTTGTACATTTATCAACATGGATCTAGGCTAAGAAAGGAGTTGTTAGATATGGATCAAATACTGAACTTTTTGACGGAAGTGACTGGTTCAACAGTCGACAAGGCAACTCATACAGAATTTAGAAACATGCATGGTGTTGATGATGAATCAGAGGAAGAAGAAGAGGTTGTAGGACCTACTCCAACACCACCTCAACTTCCTCGTCAACCAAATACTGCTCCTACCAATGCAAATACAAGAAGAAGATAAACCTAATATTTATTCAAATTCTGTTGTTGTGATTGTTGGAATCGTTGGAATAGTTTTTGGATTAGGCTCATCACTCATTTCACTGACACTTCCAAATGTCATTGATTGACCAACAGGCAAACTTGGTTTTTCTAAATGTGTTTTTTCCAATTCGAGGTAACTCTCCTCATTTTCTTCTAGCTCAATATCAGCATCTTGATAGTGATCTTGATTGGTTGTTATAGTTACAGTAAGCTCCTCCTCTGTTAGTACAGCAGATTGATGATGTTTGGCATCTAGTAAGTAAGTTTGAGTTAAACCTTTTCCTTTCACTTCAATCTTTCTTTCTTCAAAGGTGAATCCCAAATCGTGAACTCTCTCATAGGTCGAACGTGAAATTTGAATTCTTCCAGGCTTGCTGTTAGATTCCATTCTTGAGGCTGTATTAATTGAATCACCCCATAAATCGTAGGCAAACTTCTTACGACCAATAACACCTGCTACAACTGGTCCAGTATTTATACCAATTCTAATATTGATTTGTTCATTTACTCTTCCCTTTCTATGCTCAGAATTGTAGGCTCTAATGACAGAGAAGGTATCAATAGCAAATCTCAAAACTCTTTCCGGGTGATCAGATTGAGCATTCAAATCATGCAAACCACCTGCTGCAAAGTAAGCATCACCAATAGTCTTAATCTTTTCCAAGTGATATTTATCCATCAAATCATCAAATCCCATAACAATACTATTAAGCATTTGGACTAGATCATTGGGAGTCAACTTGGAAGAGAGTGATGTAAATCCAACCATGTCTGAGAAGAAACAAGTTACATCTGGGAATCTTTCTGCAATAAGAGATGCTCCAGATTTAAGTTTCGAAGCAACAGCTCCAGGCAAAATATTCAACAATAAGGTCTCTGAATTCTTCTTTTCCTCAGCAAGTAATGAATTGTGCTATTATTGTAAAAAGTAAATTAAAATAACTACTTGATTAAATACATACCTTCTTCTCTGAAGTAATATCCTTGATAAAACAAGTAATGATTGGTTTCTTGTCGAAAATTGTTACGAAAATATTGACCGTAGCTGGGAATGTAGTATTATTCTTTCTTATACATTCAATTTCAAAGGTTTCTCCCTTTGAATCATTGGCTGATACAGTATGTTTCATTCCCTCAATTGATTTTCTAATTTCTCCATGATGCTGTGGTGCAAATAGAGTGAAAATGTATTTGCCAATAACATCTTCTTGTTGATTACCAAACATTCTCTGAGCTGCTGGATTGAAAATATCAATACTTGCAGAGCTAGAGCAAAGTACAACACCATCAACAGCAGCATTCAAAATGGATCTGACTTTAGCATCTTCTCCGTTTTGAGTTTGTTTCTTTGTCTTGAGCTTAGAAAGTACATTGTCTCCAAGAGTATGGTATAGAGCATAGTTTCTCAATTTCTCATTATTCTCCAATGTATCAATGGAAAGATAGTTGAATAAACCTCTCATTGCAAATGCACTTCTTCTATGATTATTCAACAAGAGGAACATTAATATGGCACAAATTATGTTACTTGCAAATCCAACCACTGCCAGACCAATCATGTTGTTCAATAGAGGAGTTGATGACTTGACAGCAAAAATGTTGGAAAATTCAATTAACTTTAAGGAAATGGTCTTGGTCATATAATTGATTTTAAAATAATCATTCAATAAATCAATCAGAGTGGATATTGATGTTTTACCCTTGGAATGATGAACACCTTCCAAATCTTGAACCATTTTGTAAATCATTAGAATGGTATCTTGTACCATATAGTCAATGCCCATTTCACATGTTGTGGAATTGTTACCTCCAGCAATATAGGTTTCAGACAACTTTTCAACAGTACAATTCACAGAACCTCTAATCATTTGATCAGTCTCTGGGAACATACCAACCACAAGAGTTTCATATGCCTTAACTGAAGAACCATACATACACAGATTCCAAAAATATCTCAATTGCTTTGTAAGATAAGACAATTTGTCCTCCATTGCTTCTACTTCATCATCATCAAGTAGCTGTAACGTTTCAGAACCGACAATACTTGTTGTTACATGTGAAAAATACTCTGTTCCAATAAAGGAAACATACTGCAAGTGAGTCATTGTATCGAAACCATCCTCCATTGTAATGTATGATTCAAAACTGTATGTTGAATTACCCAAAGTTTGGTCAAGGTAAATTCCACAACTCACTGAAACAATAATAATTAAAAAGGCAGAAACGATCAAGAATGCATTCTTTGGTTTGAATAGAGAATTTCTAGATATGTGAATTGAAACCTCGTCACCAACTTTTTTACCCAAATCATGGAATAATTTACCAATTTCATTCTTGGAAACATTATGTTGAATGAGTTTGATTTGCTCCCTAACAACTGTCAATTCCTTTCTTGAGAATATCATGTAAAGTGCTCCACACAATATAAACGTGGCCAGAGACACAGAAATATATATCGTGAAGATATTGTTGATTGCTAGGGCCTCAGTCTTGGCAGAATCAGTAAAGATATTACAAAATTTGTCATATATGTCTGTAATTGATTCATGATTGATGTAAAGGAACATGAATCCATAACTGTTCAGTGTTTTAGTTATATCATTTTCCTTTGAATTGATAATTTGATCAGAAATCTTAATAAGGGTATTGGTTACATCTGTCACTGTCACATTGATCTTTGTAGTGTGGTTATAAAATTTTGAATCATCACCAATGTTTGGCATGTAAATTTCACTGTAAACCTCATGATAATTTGAATAAACAGTTCCATCGAACTTGGCATTGTAGGCTTTTTGTTGCAGATTTACAAGAATATCTTTGAATTTGGAAACTAAAATCTTAGTATTTGCCAAATCAATGTAGGACTCTGATGTTAAAGTTAATGGAATATTGGAAGAGCCAAGGGTAGAGTTGAACATTGAATGCATTTGGAATGCTCGAACAGATTGTAAAACATTGCTCAAGGCGCATATTGGAGAGCAAGCTTCAATTACATTAACAACATTCATTGTTACACCTTTGGAGAATTGTAAGCCAATAACCAAACCAACAACTAATAATATGAAAGCAAATACAATAAAGAAAACGAAAGTAATAATGTGAATGGTGTGTGAATCAGGAAGAGAAAGGGCATTTCTAAACCCAATTTCTCTCTTTGTATCAGCATTAGCATTCTCAACCCCATTAAAATCCATATTGCTAGACAAGTAACTTGCTGTTTCCAAATTTTCAAATGCAACACTTCTACCAACGGCCAAACCTTTTGGGCCTAGCTTTTTAGATATGTCCACACTTTCCTGAACATCTGGGAATACCTTGTTCTTTGTCCTTCTATTACCTTTTTGAGCGAGAGGAATCCTTGATTCTTCTTCTTCCAAACTTGATGCTTCTGTGTAATATTCATTGGCAAGCTCTTTGTTGAATTTGAAATTTTCTAAATAGCTGGCATAAGTTCTCAGTACAGTTTTGTCATTATAGTACAGTGATAAAATGTTGTCGAACATGGAATCTAATTCATGGTTGATAACAGAGCATCTTGCAACTATATTTTCTGCCTTTTCATAGTTCACAATTTCCTGCATCAATTCCTTCCAGAAGTGACGATGTAACGAAGTGAGTTCAGTAATATATTTTTGAATATTGAGCATTATAGATTTCAACTCAAGCACGGTTCTACTTCCCTTAACATCATCAGCACCTGTTAATTCTACTTCCCTTAATCTTTGATGAATGAGGAATCTTTTATAGACATCTGGTCGCTGTTTAAGAGCCCTCTTTAGCAAAGCTTGAGCAAAATATGAAGAGTGCATTTCATCAACCATCAGATAACCAACAAGTGTTCCAGCCATAGATAACAGTTCAATATCGCTGAAGCACTTTTGAGAGCTTATTCCTCTAATGAATGAAATCAATGCAACCAAGTCGTACTTGTCTTCTAATTCCTCTGTCTTTGTTCTAGCATATCTCATTAAAACAAATCTCATATATAACATCATTTTGTACATGGTTCCATCCTCTTCCAATTTGAAATAAATATTTGTTGCTTCCTTTTCAAGTGATCTATCAGATGATCTTACTGATAAGATATATCTAGTTTTGATAAAGTAAATTACGTAACGAGTATAAATATCCATAGATACAGCTCCCACTAAACCCAATCCAACAGCCAGTCCTGTTGTTAAAGCCCACATTCCAATACCAATTTCAGCAGTGTTCGATGCATTTACAAAAAAGGAAATGATACTTCCTATTGATGTGCCAAATCTTGCGCATACCACTCCACATACAATTGTGTTTTCATATCTTCTATACATTGGCAAACTCTTCATAATAACAACAAGCATGCACATGCCATATACTAAATGTACAATAGACCTCACAAAAGCATACTCTGCTGGTATGAGGAAATGTACCAAAATTCCAATGCAATTTCCCAAACTCATACCAATAGGAAAGATGTAACCCTCCGTTATCATTGGGGCAAAGCTTAATGGATGTGAATTTGGTACCAAAAAGTTGGCCAATACACACAATACAAAATATAAGGCAATGAATGAGAGGGTGACAGCCATCAAGATGATGTTATTTGTTGAATAACATTCCATGCTTGTAAATCTGTTGAGCATGGGTGTGAGAGTTGCTGTTGAACTTATTGAAGTACCATTAGCATGGTGAGATACAAAATTTATCAATGATTCTCTTGGGTTGTATCCATAATCACAATCCACAAAACTAGTCAAAATAAATATTATAGGAGCAGAGAGTACTATTATTAAGTAGGCATTGATGTGAAGAATCATTTGAATCTTCTTAATGTATTGAGAAGTAGACTTTACAGCCCACAGAGTAATAATAGTAATACAAACGGTTATTGCAATAAAAGTCATGGTTATACTAGCCACAGCAATTGCTCCTTCATACGGAAGTAAATCCATTGATAAACTTGTTGTATAGTTAAATACTGAAAATATCCATGAACCCCAAGCACCAAAGTGAAAATCTTGTGGGCTTAATACAGGAAGCCATATATAACTCCAATAAATTAGTATGTACAATAATAGGATTGCAAAAAATCGTTTACCTCCTTGCTTTTTAGATACATTCTGTGAGGCAAAGAAAAAGTTAAAGACTTCCACTCGTATTTTGTGTTGAAATGATGAAGAATTTGTGCTGGAAGTATTGTGTGATTCTTGAGAACTATCTGAGCCAACAACCGACCCTGCATTGTTGCTGTAGATGTTTCTAGAATTCATGGCACTATTCTAGAAGGTTGTTGTTATTATGAGATGAAAGTTTGTTTTCGAGTTGTTTTTTAAGGCTGGTTTAAAGTTGGCAAGCACACCCTTCCCACTGCGCTGTTAAGGGACAATGCATCATAAAAAACCAGCAATATCAAATATGGCGGTGGTTAGATACACGACCTTACATGGGGGATTCTTCTCCTTAACAACAAGTGTTATTGTTTAAATAAGGATGTAGAACCTTTGTCCTATAAATATAAATTTGGCTCATGAGCCAACCTATTGTGACTAAGCGAAATTTTCGTTCACTTTTTTCATTCCACGCTGAGCGTGTTCACACCTAGTTGCTAAGCAATCAGATCATCATTAAAAAACGCCCAAAACACAACCTCGGCCAATTCTCTCAATTTTTCTGTGCTTTTTGTGTCTTCTTATTAGTTGAAAATGCAGCTTGCAATATGGAATTAAAACAAACATATTTGTATAACTGTAAATTAACACAAACTTGATGATGATAAAATGTTGAATGAATATTTATCGGTTGTCTGATGAGTTGGAATAGCAAATGCACTTTGCGATTTTTTACATTTGAAAGGAAACGAAGAGAGTGGTCGAATAACGAAGAATGCAAAGACAAAGTAAATATCAAAGGCTACAATACACAACCCCTCTTCACCAAACTGAAAGTAAAACTGCAACATACAACACAATGTAATTGCCTCTTCTTTCGTTTAACAGTTTCATGCTGATTAGCAAAAGGCAATGATTTCACTTGTTGTTGCACACAAACGAAACCTACTGCTTAATCTGACAAACGTCCTCTCAATAACCCATCATAAGGCTTGATACGTTCTTCTTAAAATGTGAACGCTTTCCCATCAAAGATCTTTTTAGACACCAAACGTCCATCGAAGTGAAACCCACCTATTTGTGATGCGAATGTTTGTGTTGATGTTGTTTCGAGGTTCAGCAGCAGCTCATTATCCAGCCCACGAACTAGAAAAAAAGACTCAACACTATTTTGACAAGTGCCAGTATACTTTACAACTCAATAGTAGTAGTAGCACATATCAAATTCTCTGTCTATTGAAAAAACTCTTTTGTATTTTTATAAAACCAATCAAGGCTTGTACAATTTAAACTACCACCAACCACAACACTCTCTGCTTGTGATTGAGTCATATATCACTTCCGAATTTCCACTCTCTCTCTTGACCTACTCACTCTCTATTTGACTAGAACAAAATGTCGAGATATAACGATCCTAATTATTATCCAACTTCAACAACAACTTCATCATGGAATTTATTTAAACAAACATTTATGAATGGAAAACCAAAGAAGAAAAAGGTAACTTCTGGCACTGCTACAAAACCATCAACCTCATCGAGTACAAGTTCTTCTGGTTTGAATAATCCTGGTGTTCGTGCCTCTCTTCCAAATCCACATAATTCGAATAGATATTCAGATGATTCATCTTCAACTGGAGAAAGTCCAACAGTACCTACAGCGTTAGAGAGTAGTCATTCAACACCAACTTTACCTTTCCAAAGAAATCATTCAATGACAGATTTTGCATTGGAAAATCAAGAGAAATATGAAGGTTATGAAGATTCTGAACCTGTTTTTGCTACAGAAGAGGAAACTCCATTGTCTTCATCTAGTAATTCATCATCATCGGCTTTGGCAGGTAGTGAATCTCCCCAATCATTATCCTATCAACAAAGACCATTACCTCCAATTCCTTCAAATCCATCAGTAAGTTTATTGTTATTGTTTAATTAATTAACGGTAATGATGATTGAATTTAATTGAATTTGCATATGATATATAATAGTTGAGCAATTTGGATGAATGTAGTACTCCAACAACACCTGGATTGGATGCTCTTGTTGATGCTGTAGTTGATGTTGTAGAAACTGCAGAGGATGAAACCGAAACTGAACCTTTCGAAGACGTTTCTGATATGACTCAAATCAAACCTTCAATGTTATATCACTATGTCTTGAGAAAGTTTGTTAAAAATATTGATGGTTATGATGACCACACTTGTTCTGACATGTTTGACGAGTTCATTACTCAATATCTTGAAATGTGTGCCAAACTGAAGGAGGAAGGTAATGAGGAAATGAAAGAATTCTTCTCTTGGACAGATAAAGAAGTACGTAAATTAAGAGATAAGGAGAAACCAAGATCATTCCTTCTCCATCAATGTGCAAAATATAACAGATCATCATTAATCTTTTTACTCGTCTCAAAATACAAGTGTAACATAATGGCTCCAGATGAATCTGAATCGACACCGCTCCACTATGCTTGTAATCATAGAGGTTACGATGCTATTTCAATTCTTTGTCAACTCAAATCAAAGATTAACATTAGAGATAAGTTTGGAAAGAGTCCTTTGCAATTGCTTTTCAATAAGGCATTTATTGATGAGGAAATTGGAGATTTGCAAAGTGCTCAACATGGTTTCAAAGCTGCCCAAGTAATGTGTGGACAATTTGAAGGAGATTACAATTTCAAGACAACTGACGGTTCAACAATTTTACACATGGCTTGCGAAGCTGGACGATTGAATTCAGTCAAATTTTTAGTTAGTGAATCTGCTGAAGTTAATTCATCGGGAGGAATGGCTTCATCTCAAACAGGTAATAAGGTTTTGATAAACTCTAAGGACAAGTTTGGTAGAACACCAATTATGAGAGCAGCAGCAAGTGGACACATTAACATTGTAGAATATATTCTCACAAATACGAATCCAGCTGTTGTATTTGGTCCTGCTTCAAGAGATGATAAGAAACAAAACATTCTCCATCAAGCAGCTGTTACAGGAACCGATCCACTCATTAACAGACTTGCATTTTTGAATCCAACCCAATGTGCAGCATTGATGAAGGAACAAGACGCTACTGGTAACACACCACTCCACTTGGCAGTACAAAATGCAAACATCAAGACTGTTAATTTACTCTTAACTCTCCTCAGTAAGGACAGTATGAATGTACAAAATGATAAGGGTGAAACACCACTCCACTGCGCCTGCAGACTGAAAGAAAAGAATACTGCCGAGAGATTGTGTGGATTCTTGTATCAATCAGGAGCAAGTGAAAAGATAAAGGATAAAACCTCACAAACTCCAAAACAATTGGCAACTGAAAACGACCTAACCGTAAGCTTTGTAAAGAGGAAGAAGTAAATAAGTATCTATGTAACCAAACAATGTTTTTTACAGCGACCGAGTCCAAAAAAACCAAGTGTCTTTGACTTATTTGTATGTGTGGCAATATTGTACTGATTAAGACATATATAAACCGAATAACAATAGGCATCCATATATATATAAATTGTTCATTCCAAGTCCTAAGAGATGGTGAGGAAGATTGTTAAAAACTCTGGATGAATCTTATATTTGTCAATTCCGCCAAATATTGGAATTTCAAAAACAACAAGAAATTCAATAAAATTAAAAAAAAATGTTTAATTATCAAGACAATGGAAATCATCATCTCTCCAGAGAAGCATCGATCAAGGTTAAAAAGACCGAATATAAAAATATCATCAAGAAGAGAGCCATCGAAAATGTAAAGGAAAAGAGAAGACAATTACAAAATATGATTCGGGATCCCTTTTCAAATTCTAATGATGAAAATTTGGCTCTCCATGATGAATATATTCAAGCTTGTAAAACAGAAATGGAAAGAATATTTGCAGAGGAGAAGGGATCCATGTCCGATGATGAATATTTTGATTTACTTGTACAGATAGGAAATGAAATTGAAAATGAATGGAGAGAGGAAGAGGAAAATCATTTAAAACAATTTGAAGAGGAAGAAGCTTTGGAAGCTGAAGATTTACAACAATTAATAGATTACTATGAAAAGTCCGTATATTTATGTCCTTTGTGTAAGAAGAATCATTTACTCGAAACCAAACATTCACTCTTTTGTAAATGTGGTCTTCGGGTTCCTACTTCTGTTTGTGTTTTTTTGAATTTAAATTTCTAACATACTTTCACAATATATAGTCAAATGGATTGTCAATAAAATACATATCACAACAATTGATTGATTGTTATGGAGATCATGGAAAGGAATGTGATAAAAGTAAGTAATTTGTGGTAGAATTGACCAAAACAATTGTTTTAAATTAGCACCTGAGGTGGTGGTAGAAAAAAGAGCTGGAATGGAATTTGTTTCCTTGAGATGTGATCATTGTGATTTTCTGGAAATTATTATTTGAATCATTTCACTTGATTTGTTAGGATTATCTTGCTCCGTCTAATTCTGTTGCGCCAATCAATTCAGCAGAACCAAAATCAACTATGAAAAAATCAATAAATTTATTAAATTCCAACCACTTCATTTTTGATCGGTCAATTATGTTCAGAGAAGGATTCAGCAAATCCTAACACATCAACTTTATTTAGAACTTTTCCATTTGCTTGACAAATTCTTCAAAATCAATTCGCCCATCTTGATCAACATCAGCATCTTTAAAAATCAATTAATTTATAATATTATTTTCATATTTAACGAAGAATACAACTTACCCTTCATCATGGCATCAACATCAGTTTCGGAAATCTTTCCTTCAGTCAATTCCTTCATCATTGAAAATAACTCGGTACGATCAATGGTTCCTGATTTATCTGAATCAATCTTTTCAAACATTAATCTGTAAATATTGATATCTTGTTCCGAAAGTTTTTTGGACTGTGATGATTTGGACAAGTTGTTTGCTGATTGCACTTACCATTTTTTTATTATTTGAAATAATTGAAAAAGAGAGAGAATGGATTTATTTCTTTGGTGTGTTGGAGGTTGGTCTTTTTTGTTGATTTGCTTTAAGAGTATTGGCTCTGGCTTGCTTTCTCTTTTTTGGATCCTTCCAATCCTTTTCATAATTATCCCATATTTCACTTGGCAGAGTTATTGACACACCAAGAGAAAGGTTGGATTGAGATTCTGTTGAAATGTCATTTTGAAGTTTGTTCTTTTGCTCCCATTGATTTTTCATGAGAGCTTTTAATTCATCTCCAGTCTTGGATGATTCATCTTCATCCGGTATTGGATCTGGTAATGTGAATCCTCTTTCCCAAAGTAAATCAAATTTTGCAATTAAAATTCCAAGTAAATCTCTCGAAAATTCAGTTCTATTTGTTTCATCGTCCTCTTGAATGTTGGAAACAATTCGCTCTACATAAAAGCTCACTGGCTCTAAAATAATGAGTAAATATTAAAAAATCAAGGAAAGAGGAACCTACTTTCTAAATGATGCTTAACACCGATTGACTTTTCAGTTATTTGAAACTCGAATAAATCTTTAAAATCTAAATTAACTAGTCTTGAGTTTGATTTTGGATCAGGGTCTGGTAAGTAAATTGGATTGGATTCAATTGTCTTTTTAAAATCTTGTTCAGGATCTTCAGGCCATAAGAATTTCACTACATAATACACACACTTGATGAATGTGATTTCAGCAGGTTTCTTTGAATTGGTAGCCTTCTTCTTTGCAGAAGGAGCTCTCTTAACAGGAGTCTTTTTTCCGTTCTTATCAACATTGGCTGAATTTTCATCCTCAACAAATTTGATTTCCTCATCAAAATTCAACCCAACAAGTGGTGATAATGTGACAATAATCTTTGATTCTAATAAGAGTAAACATCATTGATCGATTTCAAAAACTTACTCTTTTCTCCTTCGAACCCTTTAAATAACTCCATATATCGCCTTCTTTGATCTTCATTGAGTTCATCATTATCCAATAATTTGATTTGAGGCACATTTGTTAGCACAGCGCCTCTGTAACTGTCAAACATGCAGAAGCAGTTTCCTTGCATATTTAACGACATTAGTTTGGGTAATTTTGATAGTATTCCAATAGTACTTTCTAAGTTATCAAGGTCATTAAAGCTCACATCCAGGGAAGCCAACTGTTCGCACTCATTCAAGAACGACAAGTCGGTGAGCCTATTATATCCCAATCCAAGGTGTATTAAATTTCCAAAAGATGCAAGTGGTATGCTTTTAGTTATTATGTTCGAGTAGGCATTTACTCCAAAAATATTGGCTGGGAGTCTTGTGATAGAATTAAGCTTGTTGAAAGACAATCCCAGAATCTCTAAATTTGTACATATTTTAGTAAAGTCAGAGTCTATGCTTTGTATCTTGGATGATGACAAGTCAACTTCTCTCAGATATTTAGAGGAGATCATATCTAGTGTATAATCCCGTGACATTTTGTTTGCAATCATTAACATTATATCTCTAATTCAGTTGTCATTAATTACAATAAAAACCCAGCTACTTACTCTACTGGTTTAGGATCCCTCAATAGCTTATTACTTTCAATTTCTCTCGTAAGGTTATATTCAATGTCAGCAAACAGTGTGCTTTTAATTTCCAGAGCTGCACCTCCTGACCAATTACCTTCCTCCTCTAATTTTTCAATTCTTGGTATTTTACAATCCTCTTTCAAAATCATTTTTCTATATACATCTCTGACATGATTCATGAATTGATTTCTGAATCTAACTCGATTCCTCTCCTCAGAATAATCCAAATAAATAGAATTTCTTATTTTTGTAAATAAGGCGTCCAAAGCAGTAGCTCCATTTTCCGTTATTATTTCCAAGCTATCTTCAAATCCAACTGTTGATATTGATGTTGTCCTATCCAATTCTCCTTCATCGTTTTCTCCATTCGTCTTGTCCCCTGATGTTGATATTATTGATGGAATTGTCTTGACTGATATAATAGAACGTTGTGATTTACTTTGTTTTAAATTAGCCTGTGAGGATTGCTTTGAATTACTACCTGATGTGGTTCCTACAGCACTTTCCTTAGACATTGCGCTGAGAGAACGATGAGAGCCAGCTGTAGACATTTTTTCTTTTAATGTTTTGGCGCCAATTCGTATCTACAGATTGTGTCTGATTGCTTCACCAATGATAGTGGAAAGATATTTGATGGAATTTATGATAAGAACAATGCAAATTTAATATTAAATTATTGATTGTGAATGATGATTTATTGATGTTCATTGTAATGCTCATGAGGTGCATTGAAATTCTATATGAGCAAATAAACCATTCCGTATTATATTATTCGATCTCTTGCATCACTCCATGTTAGCAGCAAGCACCACCAATAATAACTTGCTCAATGTGTGATGATGATAGTGATTTATTAAAATGTTTGAGGGTTGGAGAGGTTTCATTGTATTAGCTGTGTATGGCCGTGGGGTCTCTGAATTATTATTCAACTACAAAAAAAAAGCCTTTTAAAACTCTTTTACATTCTCTCTTTTGTATAACAACATGTCTTCTCAAGAAGCTATTGAAGAATCTCTTCTTTTGGACGGTCTCTCTGATCACTATAGGGAAGTTGTCAAGAGTTACATCAAGTTTACTCATCACAAGACTGACTTGCACCTCAAGGAAGTTTCTAGAGGTATTCAAGATATTAAGGATAGTAGATTGTTGGATAACCAATATAGTTTATTAGAGGTTAAGAATATTATTGACGCAGTGGAAACGGTAGTCAAGACTACAATTAAATCGGAAACACAATATGCCAGCCATACATCCATTGAATTATTAAGACAAGTTTTCTCTGAGGCTGATCAGGCTGGATTTAAACTCAAAGTTGATATTTCAAGTATTGAAGACGAGTAGGTATTTAATAATTATTATTTGGATTTATTGAATATAATTTAATTCTAATTAACAATTTAATTTTCAATAATACATTAATAGAGAAACATTGAAGGAAATGGCAAAAATTGAAACTGCCATGTTTCCAAAGACTGTTCCAACAAGCGGAAATAAGCTCCCATCTCTTAAACCAGCAGGTGGTGATGATACTCTCAAATTGAAAAAGGAAAATGATCAAATGAGAGATCAATTAACCTCCCTTCAAAAGGCATACAATGAAATGATGAAGGCAAAGACTGAAATCACCGATACTTTGAACAAGACCACAGATGAATTAACAAGATTGAAGCATAAGGTTGAAGGAACCGTCGATCCAAAGGAAGAACAAGAAAAGGCTGAATTAAAGAGCAGTATTGAACAATTATCTACCCAATCAAAAGCCCAACAAGATGAAAATTCCAATTTGAAGGCCAGTTTGGAATCCCTCAAACAATCTCTCGACAAGTGCGAAGCTGAAAAGAAGGAAATTGAAAAGGCTGTTGATAATCTGAAGAAGGATATCGCCACCGCTCAAAATGAATTAACTCTCAAGGTTAATCAAACTTCTCAATTCCAAAACATGATGAATATCGTCAAGACCAAGAATGAAGAACTCAAAGAATTGAGAGATAGAATTAAGAAAATCGACCCAAGCTTTGAAGTTAAAGAATAAATCCACTATCATAACTACTTCCCAAAATAAACCCTACCCATTATTTCTTTTTATATCCTTAAAGACCAATGTCCATTCAAAATCGTAGTAGACTAGTCTCCTCCCAAGTAGCTCTTTGGTCTCCTCACAAAAACTGAAAAGCAACAATACCATTCAGAAAAAAATGTTTGCATTACTCTTCTCTCTTTTTCAGCTCATTATTGGCTTCCTTGAAAATGTCTATCATAGTCTAGTTCCAGACCTGAATCAACATTTTGAAATGAAAAGGAGTAACAATAATTCACTCGCCTATCATCCATACCCTCATCTTGTTACATTGGATACCAATTTTAAATCACTCCAAAAACATGTTGCTGTTGATGCTCAATCTCAAATTACATCAACAGATAACGACAGTCTCAAGATACAATCATCGACAAGAGATGTTTCTTCATCCACTCTTGCTTGTTCTGACAACTCTCACTCATCCAAACAAGAAGATCAACCATCCACCATTCAGAAGCTGCCTCTCCAAACCAAAACATTGCCCTCCTTCCAATCCAATCTATCAAACAACCCTCGTAGAAGATATCCCTTCTTTCTACACATGCAATCAGCAAGCAACAGTAGTAGAAAGCGATTAAGCAGCGCCTCTCTCCTCTGTAGAAATATGAATTGGAATGGAGGAAATTTTAAGGAGTGATTCTTTACTTTTTTGGTTATAATATTTTTGGTTGACTTGATGTTATCTCTTCTTACTATGGACTAAGAGAGTGAGTGATTTTTGAATTTTTCCTTGAAATTCGAACAGCTTATAAGGATAGATGCGAATCCTCCTCTGAATTGCAATTACTGTTATTGATGTTTAAAGATTCTCCTCAAGTGATTTTGGGGAGAGAGAAATAAATTTTTATTACCTAAAATAGAGTATTGATATGCTTTAATCGATTGGAGATTATTCTTGATTCAATGGTCATATTGTAATGGTTGTAAGGAGGCAATGAAAATGGATGAATTCATGTTGTAAACTTTGATTCAGATTTGTGGGCCTTGCTAAGATTTTCACTCCGCTCTCGTTGACATGAAAAAAGATGTCTCGTGAAATTTCAAACTCTTCATTCTCAAAAAAAAAATACATGAAAACTAATCTTGCACTGTGCATTCTACTGGGATTCTTATTGATCATTTATTCGAATCATCAACAAGTAAAATGTAGTGATCAAGATGAATTGATTGTAACATCTCCTCTCGGTAAATACAAGGGTTTCATCTCATCATTTCCTGAATATCAAATAACTGCCAGAGCTTTCACAGGAATTCGTTATTCGAAACCACCTATTGGAAAGTTGAGATTCCAACCATCACAACCAATTGGTAAACATGATGGAATCTTTTATGCAAATAACACAATCCCAACCCCAGGTATGTCATACTAATCTATTAACTTTCGAATATTATCATCAATTAGCATGCCCGCAACGATGTGAATTACCTCCCTTAACTTGTCCGTCAACTCAGAGTGAAGATTGTCTATTTATTGATCTATTTACTCCTAGGATTGATACTATCAGGGATCAACTTGTTCCTGTTTATGTTTTTTTACCTGGTGGTCATTTTGAGGTTTGTAAACTATTTAACTATTTAAATATTTAACTATTTAATTTTGTAAAATAATATTCAATGAAAAAAAATAGCAAGGTGGACCTGATGTTATACTCTATGATGGAACTTACATTGCAAACAAGACAAATATCATTATAATTGTTGGTTCTTATCGTTTGGGAGCTTTGGGATGGTTGGTCAACTCAAAAGCAGGAATGGAAGGCAATTATGGATTTACTGATCAATTGCAATTATTACAATGGATTCAAAATAATATTGCTGCATTTGGAGGTGATCCTAAACAAGTAACCATTGGAGGTCAATCAGCTGGAGCTAGCTCAACAACTGCTCATTTAGTTAGTCCTGCAAGTAAGGGTCTTTTTTCAAAGGTCATTATAGAAAGTAATCCCTTGGTATTACCAATGAGAATGATTGATGATGCCACTGAAAATCTTGGAAAACCATTTGCTAAACAAGTTGGTTGTGAGGTGAATGATTTTGAATGTTTCCAAAATTTGTCAATTGAAAAAATTCTTGAGGGACAATATTTCATGGATACTTATAAGAATTTATCAATTCCTTTGGAGACATTCTTACCGTGGGCTCCAACTGTATCAAAGGGTGGATTGATTCCTTATCAAACTTTTGAAGGTAGGTTTAATTTGTGTTGGAATTGTATTCGAAAGTGATTTTAATGTAAATATGAAAAGCTATTGAGAAGGGATTGTATCACAAGGTGCCAATCATGATTGGAAACGTCAGAGAGGAAGCTCTCTTGTTCATTTATATGGGAATTCACAACAAGCTCAATACTGTTGAATATTTAGCATTAATTATGGACATTTTCGGAGTTGAGGATGGAGTTAGAATTCTAGATTGGTATAGACCACTATTGGATGGTGATAAGAGACCTATTACATCAGTTCTTGGTACAGATTACATTTTCTTGTGTCCATTGAGAAAGATTCTCTCTCAAATTTCACAACAAAATCCACAACTTCCAATCTATAACTATATCTTTGACCATGTCTTGTCATTTGATGCTTGGGGACCAAGATATAACTATTGTGTTGGTCATGTTTGTCATGGAGCTGAATTACCATTCGTATTCCACTCAATTGGAACAACATTCATGCCAGATATGCATTTCAATCCAGAGGAAGAACGTTTGTCAGCATCCATGGTTGAGTATATCACTAACTTTGTGAAATTTGGTAATCCAAATCAAGGAAAGAATACAACCAATCTCATTCAGTGGCCTAAATTCTCTGCTGATAATCGTCAGACATTGTTTTTCCAAACTCCTGCCAATCAAATTGTCACTGATTTCCATAAGAAGTATTGTGATGAATTGGATTTTATTGGATATGATCATGGATGGTTTAATCAACAAAGGGATAAAAATACTAAAACAAAACTGAACTAGACACTTTGTAACATTTACTATAAATGGAAACTTTAATTTTTAATGATTATTCTTCACCACCAATTCCATAATCCGCACCAGTGCCTTCATTAATGATGGTCTTAATCTCGCTTTCTGATTTCTCTGCAATGACAGCAACAATCTTTGAAGTCAACTCATCAATATATTCTTGGAGAAGTGATTGAATTTCTTGATGATGTCTTCTAATTTCTTCTGGTTGACTAATTGTTTCAACTGTCTCTTGTTTCAACGCGAGTTCAGTTAAATATTTGCCAATTGTTCTCACATTAAATAGAACAAATTCTTTAACATCTGATCTTTCACGTCTTGCTTTCTTTCCAAATTCAGTGAAAATTTGGCAACATTGTTTGGCCCATTCTGTGTTAATGTTGTGTGCAATAATTTCATTAAATGTTGGGATTTTAATGTCAGAGAATGAGTTGTCTTCCTTTTCTATGCAAACGAATTCACCCATGTTGTGTTTATTGTTGTTGTTTTTTATTGTTAATTGTTTTCGAATGAAAGCACTAATTGATAAATACTATTGTTGCGTACTGAAGAGATATTAGTAACATGGTTATGACAAATGACAAATTCAGACAACACTTAATGCGTAATTTGGTCAAGTGACAACCACTTTAAATTCAATATTCTTCAGATAATTAGATTGTTTGTAGAAATGAATGTCTTAACAATATTTTCATCACAAGTCAAACCTTGAGTTCCATTATTACTAAGTGGTTCTTTGTTTTAATAAATTCAAAAAAGATTGTTTTGAGATGATATTAAATATCATTTTAGTAAATAAATTATTTTTAATAGGTTTAAACAATTGGTACAGCAAAAGCACATTGTGTTTCAATTGCCAAATTGTAGAATCTTGTGGTACCTCTAATAATTCTGTTAAAATTTAAATAATTGAGTAAAAATTTAGTTATTTCAAAATAATGATAACATACCTGAAGAATCCTGTAGTAGTTGAGCAATTATTTCAAAATAATAATTATAAATCATTATTTCAAGATGATAATCATTAATTATTATTATATTATTATTACATACCTTGTTCTCCATATGGTTCGCCCCAACTGTTTCTAACAATCCAATACTTCTTTCCATTTTCTTCTCCCCAACCAACAACTGAAATGATGTGATTAATCATTGGGAAGATTTCAAATTCTTCAAAGATACCTCCAGTGTAGGCTTCCAACTTGTTAGTAGCATCTAATTACAATTAATTTTCATTAAATTCAAAATTAACATACCAATACCACAACTAATTATTTCAGTTTTGGAAATTCAATTAAATATACTTACGAAATTGGACCACGAGCAAAAATTTCAGACATCATTTGATGTTCACCATCAATGCTACCATATTCTCCAACCTTCCATCTCTTGAAGTTTGTGATTGGAGAACATCCAGTGGAATTACAAGTACCACATTTAGCAAAAGCAGTACAGTCTTGATCTTGAGCCTTATAATTGTTACAAGATTCATCAGGAATACCATAATCATGAGCATATTGATAGACAGCTATATAGTTGACGTATTAATATTAATTAATCATTACATTTGACACTTACGAACATCATCACCACCTTCACAACTTCCAGCATCACCACAAGCAATAACGTGTTGAACAGAGAGGAGAGCACGTGGAGCTTGTCCCTTTCTGGCAATGTTAATTCTATCAGCCAAAGCAGAAGTACTTCCGTGAGCTTTTGAAAATTAGAAAAAACAATTTAAATACTATTAAACATACCCCAACAACTTCCACAATATGTTGGAATGTGTTGATTTCTAGTAACAGACAAATAGTTAACACCACTAACATTTCTCCAATCCTATCCACACAATTTTCATCATCCACACAAAAATCATCCAATCAATCGTCGATTTTTGAATCATTTGATAAATACAAATTACTACATTTGCTATAAAAACATACCCAAGAAGATGGAAGATCTTGTGGAGCATAAATATCGTGTGGTCTAGGAGTTTTGATAACAGACTTGACATAACGTGGATCGGAACCATCATAACGTTTATCCTTTCTATAACATGGATTTCTCTGATGGAAACTCTTTTGTTCAGTAGAGGCAAAAGCCACAGAAACCAAACACAAGGCTGCGATGAGGAAAGCAACAGCGCAAATTCTATTCATTTTTTTTACAGATGAAAAAGTAACGCCGGAGAAAGGCAAATGCTAACTCCGTTTGATAAGGTTGTTATGAAAATCAATAAGAAAAAAATGAATGATCAACAATTTCGTATTGAAGAGATTGCAGGAAGTTATTCTTGCTCAGCACCAGTTGAGCAAAAGAAAGTTGCAGCACAAATTGTTCATCAAGGACTTGCAGAAAGATTCGGAGATGAATACGATGAAAGTTTTAATCAAGATTTGAATGATTTGGATGCAAATTATTTGGTTTTTTGTGCCATGTTTTCGACTAGTAATAATGAAATGATAGGGACTGGTGCATTGAGTTTGGAACATTTCACATCAAAACTTGTGGAAAATAATCATGATCAAGATTCGGATAATTCCAAGCAAAGGGAGAGTGAAAATGAGTATTGTCTGAGAGTAGGGAGGGTTTCTGTGATTAAAGAATATAGAAGAAAAGGATTGGCTTTCCAAATCATGAAATATTTAATTTCAAAGGCAGGTCAATTATATGTGAAATTGAAAGATGATGAAAATAAGGTAATGAAGAGCTGGCTTGTTGTGGAAACAGACACACCCTGGATTGAAGCAGTGGAACTCTACAAAAAGTTGGGCTTTATTCAAGTTTGTGAAAGAGATGGCTGTGTCCATTTCAAAAAGGAAATTGAAATGTAATTGGATTTTGACTAAATTGAGAAAATACATTGATTAGTTTTATTGAATAATTTCAAAATGAAAAAAAGAGAGAAGAGAAAGGAAACTGAAGCACCAAAGCAAAGTGCTTCTAACCAAGATGAAATAAACGAATCAGAATTGGAACATTTGGATGAAACAAACGAAATAGGTGATAGGGCCAATAATGAAGAGATGGAATTGATCAATGCCCACACGCACGATATTCCTATCGTAAATATTCGATTGGCAATCAATAGGAAACGTCTATAATTATTGTCCTTGTTTCACAAGTTGTATAGCTTGCATCAAGCTTTACAAGCAGCAGAAGGAAATACAAATAAATTCTCCTCTTGTTATCGTATCTCAGATCACCAATATCTCCCCGAAACAATATTTTCCAACAGAATGCTCGAGCCTTACTACAGCCATGGTGATATTTTTTATATTCGCCCATAATTTCATATTAAGACTAAGCCAGACACTTTTGGATGTTGTCTCTTTCCACACAGTGCTGGATCATTGTTCCATTGATGCGATAACGTCTGTGTTGATAAGTACAGTTCAACAAACCGAATACGATACGCACAAACTCTAACACAATCAAAAGAAAATGACTCGTATTCAACCACTTGTTACCTCTTCAAAGCCTAATAGTGAGCAAAAACTACAGGAAAAGGTTCCAGGCAAAAATTCAGACCAAAACGCTTCACCAGCTGAGGCACCAAGGAAAACGATTCAGAGTCGTTCGAGGGTTTTAAGCTTTTTTTCTTCCATCAAATTTATTCTTGTCTTTATTATATTTCTCTTGATATTGTCATGTACAGTCGTGTTTGACTCGATATGGATAACAGCATTCAGTTCAGAGGTTGGTACATTGAGTGAGAAGGTGAGAAAATCAGAATTTGATGTCATTATTTCCTACACAGAGACTTCTATTAAGAATGTGGTATTGGCAACAGAATCCACAAAATCACAACTCGACCCTAATTTTGATTTCACTAATCAAACTCTCATAATGGATCGAACATTTAGATTGCAGAAAGTTATTAAATCTCACATTGATTTTCTGAACATGCTCTCGATTGGTGATGCTAGTGGTAACATGTATGGAATTACGGTTGACGAAACATCAGTAATGTACACAGCAGTGAATCAGGGACAGAATCAAAGCTATTGGAATTGTATAGACCCAGAGCATAACGATGTTTGTATCCATCAAACAAAACCTGATAGGGTGGTCAACTCAACTGATTACACATTCCTTTCTCAGACAGCTACAAGGAATCCAGGGAAGACTATTTTCTCTCCATCATTTGTTGCTTCAACAAACTCTAATCAGTTGAATATTGCTTGTACCAGTAGCATATCATCCTATGGTAAAATCAATGATTTTGTAACAATAGTTATGAATCTTGATGTTTTATCAGAGTTCCTTTACAAACAAACAGTCAATATTACAGGAACTGTTGGGTTTGTATTTGAAACACAATCAAAAAACATGATTGCTTCAGGTTTTCTAGAAGACGTGTTCACAGAAAGAGATTCCACTCGAAAGACATTCTCAACCCATGGGGGTGGTGTCACCAAATTTGGAGATCAAATAGCTTTACAATTCAATAATGATTTTCAAAATCTTGCTTGTAACACCAATGTTACAGTTATAATTGATGACACTTATGTATCAGTTCGAAGAATGTGTATTGATGAAGGTATTGATTGGATATTAGTGTACAGCGTCCCAAAATGGAATTATATTGGTAATATGATTTTTGCTATTGTTTGTGCAATTGTTGGGTCTGTTGTGGTAGTTATATTTGGATTAACTATGACAACTGTGTTTTCTATTATGGTTGTTAAGCCATTCCAAAATTTAATAGACTCATTTGAATTGGTTTCGAATATGGAACTGGATAATTTTCGTTTGTCTAGGTCTTTACTCTCTGAAGTGAAATCCTTGCAAGTTCACTTTATAGGTATGGTAGAAAGAATTAGATTGTACAGAAAATTTATTCCAGGTCACTTGTTGAGTAAGTTGGACAACAACAATTCAGAAGATGGAGAAGTTGAGAAAGTTGAAGAAACACCTTTGCAAGAAAAGCACAAAGACTCATCCTCGTTTTCAAATTCTAATACTAACTCTCATTCAGGCATTCTTTCAAGAAAATTACTCAAACAACAAAGTTCTGTCGTCAACATGTTCTCTCTATATTTGGAAAAGAAGAGAGTTACTGCTGTTAGTGCCTTTTTGGACGGTGTCAATATTTTGTTCAACAATGCCAATCCAAAAGAGTGTCTTTCCATTTTGACAGATGTTTTTGATGTTATTAACTATGTAGCAAAGATTAGTAATGGACAAGTTGGTAAATTTGAAAATGAAACAGTTACAATTCTCTTCAATGCTTCAGGTGATCAACATAAACATGAAATGAAGGGTCTTCAATGTTGTCATTCCTTATTGAAAAAATTGATAACTTTACAGGAAAATAAGCTATCACAGCATATTGTTTATGAGAATAATCCGACATTGAATTTGGATTTCCATATTGTTGCAACAACTCAAGAATGTATGTGTGGTAATGTGGGAACAAAGGAGATTATGAACTTTGGTGTTTTTGGAAGTGTTCAATACAATATTCAAGGCATGATTGAAACTGCAAAAGAGTTGGATATTCCAATAGTTATTTCTCATGAATTATTCCAGAAAATTGACAACAAGTTTCAAGTTAGATTTGTTGATTTTAAGAATTTTGTGTTGGATGATTATTATTCATATCCAAACATTGCAGATAAAAGTCAAATTCACGCACCAAGAAAAGTTTACGAATTGGGTGAAAGTATTAATAATGAAGCTGATGAATGGATGTATGAATTGAATGCAAAGGAGAAGAATGAACAATGGAATATTTACAATGAAGCAACTCAAGAATATTTCAATGAGAATTTCAACAATGCTGCCACCTTACTTTCAAAATATTTACAAAATAATGCAAGTGACAAAGTTGCTATCCATTTGAAGAAAAATTGTGAAAAGAGAATGAACTTTGCAGATCTATAAACAATTTTTATTTGAAATAAGCCAATTTTGGGTCAACCCGACGAAAACCATCTCCCTAAAGCACTATGTTGAGGCTTTGCTTTGCTTCAGGCTTTCAATATGGATTTATAAAGAACACTAGTGATTCAGAATTTGCTTTCCTTAGATGCCATTTATTGCTGGCTGTGCCTAGAAGTGGGATTTGCTCTATCCAATGAGTTGTTGTTGTATAAAAAGAGAAAGCTACCCAGCGTCATTTCAAAGTTTGTTACAATGTAGTTTTGCTTAATAAAACCATATCTAATAGTTGATAGGTTCGTTAAAATAGGCATCGTTTTAACATTGAATGGCCTGTTTGCTAATTTGAAAAATGAGGAGAAATTTAAACTTGATGAAGAATAGAGATGCACGGCAGGTGTGCAAATTGATGATGTTTGAGAAACAAGTTGCACATAGTGAAGAAACCATTCTTTTCCTTAACGAAATTGATGAGTTCAGAAAATTGTATCAACCAGTCAAACATGAACCATCAGTGCAGCAAACTGATTAACACCTTCATCAAAACAGGCAGTGTGAATGAACTAAATTTAGGAATTGTCACAAAGTCAAAAGTTCTAACACTATGGCAACAAGTACAAATTGGATCTTGATGAATTGTTCAAAGATGTAATTTTCTCAGTCTCTTTGGATTTGATGAGCGATCAGTTTTTGAGATTTGCTAGAAGTTCTATGATTGTAGAATTTCTCGAAAAACAAGGCGAATTATTTACTCGTTCAATTGCGATTGACATTTCCAAAGGTTTTATGTGGATTTTAGATTCAAACCAAAAGAGTTGACCAGAAAAACAATTGAGGATCGAGAGATTTACTTTGCAATCAGTGTTATGGAAGACTCAGTATCTTGTTTTAATATTCGGCTTTAAAGGTTATAATTGTTGCATCAAAATAATGATCAACAAACCTCATCCTGTAGAAATTTAGAACCTCTTCCTCTCCATTATCGAAAAAGTTGGAAATCTTTCAAAACTCAATATGTGTTTGATGAAGATCAAAAGCACGAGGGCATGCACTTGTACAAAGTTGTAACTACATTTCAACATCCACTAGAAGAATCCTGGAAATGTCTCAGACATGCAATATCTGTTAATGATCCTGTTAGAAATATTTATGACATTACTCAATTAGATTATTTAAAAATAATCCATCTAAGCTTAATCAACATGATGAAGCTGCTGTTCAAACTGATCTTGCATATTCTCCAGCTGTGTTTTGGATTTTAAAATTCCAGGCATGAAGAAACGATTCATTCCACATTTACGATGAAGGAATGCAAGGCTATGTCACTATTGGAAGAACATACACTGGTGTTGAACTACCTCCAGGAAGTATTCATTCAGATATTTACATATTCTACTATTTACAAAGAATATTTGAATATGAAGAAAATCATGAAAATAAATTAAAGATACAGCAAGCAGATTGAAAGTTATGGAAACTCAAAGCTGCAAATAGATTCTCATATTGGTTTGACATTTTACAATCAAAAAAAATGTCTTTAAAACGTCTAGTTGCTGCCACTTTGTCTGTTGGTTCAGTTGGCTTGATCGGATCTAACTACTTTTCTCACACTAAAAACTCCATGATCCTTCCTACAACAACCATTCAAGCTGAAACACCAAAGGTTGCTAATAATTCAATGATCAATAAGAGAGTTGCAATTATTGGCAGTGGAATTTCTGGTTCTGGCTCTGCCTACTTTCTCTCCGAATTGGTTGATGAGATGAATAGAAGAGAAAATGATTCCTCTTCTTCTTCACCAGAGCCAAATTCCAATTCTCAAGAAATGAAGAGAGAAATTGAATTGGTGGTTTATGAGAGGGATGATCGAGTTGGAGGTCGTTTGAAGGAAATGGTCTTGTATCAGGATGAGAAGGATCCATACAAGGTTTGTTTATTATAATTAATGTTTCAGAATCAAAATTAATTGACAAAATTCAAAGTATTCATATGAAGTGGGTGGATCATCTGTCATTTTGGAAAACAAGTACATTTTGGGCTTGATTGAAAAGTTTAATTTGACATTGGAAGAACCTCATTTTAATGTCAGAATTGGTATATTTAATGGTGACGAAAAGAGAATGGTATTTTGTGAATCTGACAGTTGGTGGAAGACTGCAATTAGAGGAGCATGGAGATATGATTTTGGTATTCCTCTCTTCTTATTGAAGAGAAGTGTTAATTACTACTTGTCAAAGGAGAGATTTTTAAATATTTACAAACTCCAAGAATTGCCATCGACTGGTCCATTAAATGCAGAAACATTGAGTAAGGTCTATACATGGGAAAGTACTGAAGATTTTTGTCAAGATACTGGAATGAGTGATTTGACCAAATTGACTTTCTATGAATATGCAAGAAATAATTGGATTCAAGAACGTTTTATCAAGGAATATTGTGATCCAATTTTGAGAATCAATTATATGCAAAACTCTGATCAAATCAGTGCCTATGGAGGAATTATTGGATTAGCTGGAGCAGTTTCTGATTTTAGACATGTTCTTGAAGGAACCTCAAAAGTTCCACTTGGTTGCATTGAATCAATTCCAAAAGATCGATTGACCTTAAAGTTGAATAGTGAAGTTTCTGAAATTTCATTCGATCCAGCATCAAACAAGTATTCTCTCAAGAGTGGAAACAATTCTGAACTCGGTCAATTTGATTATGTAATTGTTGCAACTCCACTCGAGTTTACAAATATCAAATTTGAAAATATCAAACTTCCTCCATCTGCCTTACAAAAACGTGATATGAATATTCTGATTACTAGCATTATTCGTGCAAAGGACTTGAACAAGAATTATTTTGGAACTGATTGCTCTGAATCAGATGTGTATATTACAACAATGAAACCACTTTTGACCAAATATCTACCACTCAATAATATTGCACCTATTGGAAAGACACCTGATGAATCAGAAAGAATATTCGAATCGTATAGTCATGAGCCACTTTCAACCAAAACATTACAGGAAATGTTTGTTGGAGCCACATCAGTAGTTCAACAAGTTTGGAAACATGGAAGTTATCCAATTCTCAAACCAAATAATATTCAACCTCCTGTCAAACTCCACAATAATATTTACTATACGAATAGTGTTGAAAGTGTTGTCAGTACTATGGAAACTAACCTAATCTCAGCAAAGAATGTATCCCTCCTCATTGCAAAGAATATGGTTTCTCAAAAGTAATCTTGCCGATTATTTGTATATTATTATCTATATTTGTAAATTCTAAATAATTGGTAGTAAGGTCCACACCTTACGTAAGTTTATATTGTAAAAACAATAGACAACCAGGTAACGTAGTCAACCTAAATTTTACAATGAAAATTTAGGTTAAATAGAGAGTTTTACTGAAGGAAAGTAAAACTCAAGTTGAAAAAATTGCAACACATTATGAGTCAATCAACAATTCAAGAAACCATCACTGACATACTTAAGAAGCATGATAAAAGTGCTGTTGGAAAGTTAACAAAGGCCTTGATACAAAAGATTATAGGTACCTTGGAAATTGAAGTTTCTGGCCAAAAGAAGGTATTGGCAAAGGCAATTGTTGACTTTATTGGTGCAGACAAGTTTACGGTTTGCACAAGTGGCAAGAGTAAAGATGTAGAGAAGTTAAAGGATGAGATTAAACATGCATTCAAGGAAGCAAGAGATGATGATGACGATGATGATGACGAAGAGGACGATGGTGAGTCAGTTGTAGAAGTTGAAGATGGCTCTAACAAGAGAAAGAGAGAAGAGGTATCAGAAGAAGATGTGAAGAGATTTAAGGCTTATGAACAAATAATCGATGCTAAGATTGCACAGATGAAGCTGGAAAAAGCTGAAACAGAACGTGTTTTACAACAATTGGCAGCTGAATCTGAAGTTAGAAAATACACAGATACAATCTACACACCATTGCCAACAACTAATTCTAGTCTTCTTACAGAATATGAGAATTTGAGAAAGGATTCTGCTTTTACAATGAAGATAGCTAATCTTTTCCCAGAAATAGATGATACGAAGAAAATGGTTGCGAACTTAGAGACAAGAGCTTTCCAATTACAAGTTCAAGCCGTCAATCCAGAATTAGCATCTAAATTGGCGTTTATAGAAAGCAATCCATTATGGCGTGAGAACATGGATAAGCTTAAGATGGCAGAAAAACTACTCAAGTTCGACCATAAGGAGAAGGGTAAGACAAGTTTTGTTAAATCCTATGCAAATGCCAAGATTTATGATAAGAAAGATAAGGCAGAGGAAAAGGTGAATATGTTTGGTAGTGCTAATGGTATGAAGAAAGTGAAGAAATGCTTTATTTGTAATGACCCAAACCATCTGATCAAAGATTGCCCTAAGAGAAATAAAAGAGAGGGTTCAGAGTATGTAGATGATTTGTTTTTTCCGAGAGGTAGAAGAAAGAAGAGAGGCTATTCATTCCATTTCGAACAAATGGGATACCTGGAGGAAGAAAGGAGCTTCAATGGAAATAGTGGATATGTTGAAAGAGGGTGTATCAGTTCAAACAAACGAAGAATTTGTTCCATACTATGGAAAGGTAAATTTAGAAGAATGGTCTTTGGAAGAGAGAGAATGGTTAAAAAGAGAAGTGAGTATTTTGAAAGAGATTGGAGCTTTGGAACCTTGTCACAATCCAAAAGTGATAGCCAAGTATCGGCTGGTCCCAAAGAAAGAATCATACCGACTGATTATCGATTTAAGACCGCTCAATCGGTTTTGTTCTATCCCCAAATTCAAGTACAACACGTTGAAGAAGTTTTTAGAACACGTACCAATGAACAAGACAGATCAAATTTGGGGTTCTATGTTCGATATGAAATCCGGATATCACCAGATGAAGGTAAAAAGGAAGGACAGACCATACTTTGCCATTCAAGTAGAGGAAGAGGTTTTGCAATTCACAGTCCTTCCATTTGGATGGAATGGATCTCCATACTTTTTTACACAAATGATGAATGTATTTATCAATTTTTTGAGATCAGATTCTTTAACACCATCCAATTACTTAGACGATGTTGGTTTATTACATTTTGGTTCCTATTTATCTGCATTAAGGAACAATACATTCGTTACAATGGTATGTGCAGAATTAGGTGTAGTTATCGAAAAGAAGAAGAGTCAGTTAACTCCATTAAAAGTCTTTCAACTACTTGGGATCAAGATAGATCTGGTCAGCAGGAAATTAATTATGACAGAAGCTACATTAGAGAAAATTCGAACTCGTATTTCCATAGCCCTTGCCAAGTATCACCAAGATCAGAAAGTAACATCCAGAGAACTGTTTCGGATGACTGGTATTATAATTGCTTATGTAGACTGTTTCCAACCTGCAAGGGTGATGTTGAATCCGATTTATTCTTTAGTGGTGGACTAGGTGAATATTGGAGGCTGGGATTCCGAATTTCGCATCAGAGACCGAGATGTAATTTTCAATCTCCAATGGATTTTATACAACTTGGACCATTGGAATGGAAAGGTGTTCCAATATCCAAGCTTAGTGGAATACTTTTGGACAGATGCATCGAGATTGGGATGGGGAGTTTTCCACAAAGAAAGAAATTTGAAACTACAAGGTTTTTGGAAGGGAGAACAATGCCAAGAACATATCAATGTATTAGAAGTGAGAGCGATCTATCTTGCCCTAAAAGAATGGTCACATCTTTTGAAAGGAAAGAATTTAATTGTTTACACGGATTCAAAGGTGGCTCTATATTGTATAATGAAGGGAAGAGCAAAGTCTCCCATTATGAATCAATTGATTCAACTAATATGGCGCATTATTTTCGAACACGACATCCGTTTGCTTTCGTTAGAATGGTTACCTTCGGAGGAGAATCAAGTAGCGGACAATCTGAGCAGAAATATTCAAGAGAAAGACCCAACAGATTGGGAGATTACCAAAGAAGCTTTTCAATTAGTAGAGAAGCAGCTGGATGTATCAATAGGATGGGACAGATTCGCCTCTCATTACAACTTCAAGACAAAACCATATACAGTGAGAAAGAAGACCAGCAGAAGAGAGAAAGCAGATTCATTCTCTCACCTTTGGACAGAGCCAGTGGTAAATTGGTGCTGCGTACCTTTCAATCTAATAGGGAGAGTATTACAACATTGTCTAGAGTCCAAAGCAGTTATGGTATTGGTTCATCCAGTATGGAAAAAGAGGTGGTGGTGGAAGATAATAGAAAGTTATCAAATTCGTTTTATGAATCTAGATGGAAATCATTTCAGAGCCTCCCAAGGAGGGAACCTAGAACCATGCAAAGGATTTTGGACCATAAGAGCAACATTAGTAGACTGCAGAGTCACGATTTGAGTAAGATTGCAGATACATTAATGTCATGTTCAATTGAAATATCCACAACAGACAACTATGAAAGTTATTGGAATAGATTTATCAACTTTCTTATTAAGCAAAAAGAGGTTCCACCAGCAACTAGTGAAATGGTAGTCAGATTTCTCACCTTTATGTTCATCAAAACACCATCTGGTAATAACTGTCGAAGTGCAATGTATGCTATTAAGCATTTTTGTAAAAGGATTGGTTGGGAGGATATTACAGTAAACATTAGAGTACAGATGGTGATAAAGGGTATGTGCAATCTGGCTACAGTGGCGACAAAGAGAGAAAGAGATCCATGGAGAATAGAATTTATTTGTAAATGGGTAATTGTTGGTAGACAGTTTGTTAAAGAAAAATCATATGTTCTATACACGTGCCTAATGATTTTTGGTATAAGGTCAATGTTTAGGGGTTCAGAATTGGGTGGTTTATTAATAGAGGATCTAAAGATTGTGAAGTTCCCGGTGGTGGGGTTTAGTATAACAGTGAGAAAAGTGAAGAATGATAAGAAAGGAAGAAAATCATGTATCGAAGCGACAGGTTCTGAATTGTGTCCGATGAAATGGCTTCAAAAATTACTTGATTCAAGAGACAAAGGAAAGTTTTTGTTTACCGGTGGTTTTTCTTTAAATACAGTTGAGATTTCTTACATCTTAACTCAGGTTGCAACATGGATCGAAGCTGATCCAGGAAAGTACTCTTCTCATTCGTTGAGAATTGGTGGAGCCACGGAGGCTGCCATTATGGGTATCCCTGATGCTACCATCAAGGCCATGGGTGGTTGGAATTCAGATGCTATAGACAGATATTTTCGAGCTAACTTTAGAGGTGATAGAAACGGTTCACACTTGATGGGCTTCTAAACTTATGCTAGTAAGGTCTCAATGTTTTCGAGCTTGTTGTCTCATTGTTTTTACTATAAATGGTAGTAAGGTCCACACCTTACGTAAGTTTATATTGTAAAAACAATAGACAACCAGGTAACGTAGTCAACCTAAATTTTACAATGAAAATTTAGGTTAAATAGAGAGTTTTACTGAAGGAAAGTAAAACTCAAGTTGAAAAAATTGCAACACATTATGAGTCAATCAACAATTCAAGAAACCATCACTGACATACTTAAGATGACCCACCACCCCACCCTAGATCGAAAATATCTGTAAGTATTATATTGGCTTAATAGACGACGGTGTCATTTGATCGGCCAGGAAGGTGGCGATAATTTAACATGTTGACACCGGGATAGCCCTTGTCACGATCAATACCCAATGAGGGTTTTTTAAGTAGATATTCAATGGAATATCTACTGAAGTTCGAATAGATATTCATAGGAATATCTATTTGGTTTGTTTTGCTAGTAGTTGCAAATATGTGAGTTTATTCAGTCTAAGGTTAGTTTAGTATGATATAGTAGTATATCCATGAATACTGAGCTGGCTGGATGGCTGAATGAATGAAAAGAGGATAAAAGTGTATGCAATTTGTGTACGCGTAGAAGAATAAACTCAATGTTTTCGAGCTTGTTGTCTCATTGTTTTTACTATAAATGTAAAAAATTGAAAAAAAAATTGTTTTAAATTTTATTAAAAAAAATGGAACAATTACCGGATGAAATTATTTCTCATCAAATTTTTGTATTTCATGAACCAAAGTTTCTAATTCAAGTGTGTTCTTTGGTTTGTGAAAAGTGGTTGCGATGTTTATTCACAACTAAACTTTCCCTCATTCGCACAAGTTTAATTCGTGATGAAAATATTTGGAATTATTTTACTAGTGCTTTTAAAAAGTTTCGGAATGCTCACAATTTACACATCCGAAATATTTACAATTTTCTAAAACAAGAACATGTAGAAATTTTCATCAATTTACAATATCTCATTTGTGATGGTAGTTTTATTTTGGAAATTATTTCACAATTTGTCAATTTGAAATATTTAAAATTTACTAAAATTACCTCTTCGTTGAGTCCTTTACAAAAATTGATAAATTTGGAAGAATTGGAATTGAGTTACATTATGGAAGATTTACATGATTTGGCAATTTTACCCAAATTAAGAAAATTAATTGTACACGATATTGAGATCCATCATTTGGATCAAATAAGCAAATTAATCCATTTGAGGGAGCTTTGCTTTATCAATTCATCAGGCAGAGAAATATTTTATCCTAAAAAATCAATTTTTTTAGAATTTAAAAAAATAACACAATTGACTTCATTGATAATTGAAAATCATTGTATTGGAGATCATGCACTAATGTCAATTTCTGAATTAATTAATTTAAAACGATTAGAAATAGAAAATGGATTCCTACACATTACAGGAGCTACATGTTTAAGCAAATTGACAAATCTGGAATTTTTAAAATTGAAAAAATGTAGGGTTAAGGTATGTAAAAATATAGGAATACTTTATTTTAAAGGTTTTTAGGATGCACATTTGGAATTTATTGGCAAATTACCAAATTTAACACAATTGGATTTAACAGAAAACGAATTGGCATGTGTGGATGAAGTTTCCAAACTTTTCCCCAAGATGAAATTATCTGTGCAGATAATCTTGTAGAATGACCCTTTAATAATAATTAATAATAATATTAACTATTTAAAAAACTTAGAATGAATGACATTAATATTGAATACCAATATAATACTCTCATTTGATGTGGATTGCTGACGTTAAACTCGAAATATTGCAATCCATCAAAACTAAATGCTGTTTGAATCATTTGTTGTGAGTTTAAGAGAGGATCACTAACCTTGACACCAACAACCACTTGCTCGTAATTGGAAACCTTACATGAATCATCTTTAAATAGTTTCTTATTCAAGTCGAGCTCCTTAATTAATTCCAAGTTATTTCTGTTTGTCTGCATTGATATTCCTGATATCATTAGAAGGTGTGAGTGAGATAGCAAACTTTTAGGTTCCAAATTGTCACTTGTGAGTTTAGGATATCTAATATTCAAATGAATCTTGAACCAATCTTTCAATTCCAACACAATATCAGTGCTTCCATAAAGACACGCTCTCGAAAATACACTCTCATCCAAGTTTCCCTCCTCATCATACTCTGGTATAAACTCAATTCCCATAATAGCATTGACAAGATAGTATCGTTCTAAATCATTCAAATTTCCCTGAATAGAAGACTCCACATTGATATAATCAAATTGTTTCATATTAGATTCTACCTCTTTGTTGGGTGATTGAATAGATGCCTTGTCATGTGTTTTTTTAGAGAATAATTTTCCAATCTTTGTGAAAAACCCAGTAGATTTAGTTTGGTTGCCATCTGATTTCATCCTATTAGAAATTTTCAAGTAATTACACAGAATTTCCATTTCACTCTTAACCCAAAGAATGGTGAACTGTTGATTTTCGTGGACTCCTTCATATGAATCAAGTAAATATTCTGCCAAGTCTCTGACATGGCATCTCATCAGAAACTTTCTCATTTTCCTTCCCGATACTGAACACCCAAAACAAGTTTCGAATTGTTTCACTAAATCTCCCAACATTGCATACCTCTTGTCCAAATACCTCACAATAAACTTGATTGAATTTATTCTCCAATCGGAACACACCCTCGATAATTGATAAACATGATCCGCCACACTCATAAATTCCAAAACAAATACCATACAATCACTATCAATATTTTTCATTTTGCAAATTATTAATTTCTTTTCGAGTGATGAATTAAAAGAGTAGGCAGTTGTTGCATTTTTTTTAAAGTTTAAAATTTAAATTTTGTAAAATTTTTGAACATGAATATTGTAAGTATTTCAAATAGTATTATTAAGAATACAATTTGAACAATTCCAAAACTGATTTCCAATCAATGCATATTAATAAGCTTAAAAAACTTGTATTTAGTAATAGAGAATGTATCTTATTGACCTCGAAAAAGTTCAAATAGCATGTGATTATTTTGTAATCCTCTAAAAAGGAGATTTTCAAGTTGACTTCACCTTATTCTGAAAATTGCCTTAATTAAATTTGTTCCCTCAACTACGGTTGTTACAAAGACACAAACAACAAACTACTCTCTCAGTATTGTGCAATGTTGTAAAGTATTGCAGCGCACACTACTTAAAAGTTTAACCACTCCCATTTCCAGATAAAAATTCTTTGCTAAAACACATGAAAATTATTGCAATGGTATCATGTTCGACCTCACACCATATTCTCAAAACAAAAATCTCAAGAGATCCATTCGTTCTTCTTGATCCTTCTGTTTATTGTCAAGAAGTATAATTTCACCATTGTGCTGCTGCTCCTGGAAAAAGAGAAACAGTTCTAGATTCAACGTCGTTGTCTTATTACTTCAAATAATTATTCCGCTCTCTCACTTCATCATCATCACAATAAAATCGTGTCATCAACCTAGCATCACAAAACTCTCAGCAAACATCAAATAACTACAGTGCAAAGAAAAATACCGAAAACGAGGCGAGGATACATAGAATATCACAACTGATTATAGAGTTCTTCGTGTACAAGTCAATAGATTGGATTTGTATAGTTTGCGCAGAGATTTTCATAGAGTCTATCATCTCCGAAAGTAATTTGGGTGATCATAATTTTCGTTATCTGTGTGCCACTGAATAGAGAGAACATAAAAACAGTCGAAAATGTTACCGAATAATCAGGCAAATTCGGGACAGTTATTGAATGCTCTAGTTATGATGATGAATAATAACAATGGCAACAATAACAACAATAATAATAATGGTAATAATTCAATGAATGAGATCAATTCGCTTCTCAACATGATGAAGAACAATAGTAATAGTAATAACAACATGAATAGTATAATCAATCTCTTCCAACAACAACAACAAATGCAAAACAACCAACCATCACCCTCTAACAATAATAATCAGCAAGCAATGGGTATTTTCAACAACCTGATGAATCTTATTCAACAAAACCAACAACAAAACAATACAAATCAACAACAAAACATGCTACAACAATTGTTAAATCAACAAAATTCAAATCAACAAGTAATCCAAGTATCCTCACCACCCATGAATAATCAATTTTCGAATATGGTCGTAAATCAACTTTCAAATAACAATAACTTGCAACAAATTTCTCCCAACTCTTCAAGCATCTTGCAGATACAACAACCTACACAATCACCAGTTTCTACATCCTCTAGTTCCACTAACAATGCAGGACAGGCTGGATTGGGGCAAAGTTCCATAACAGAGTCCACAGCTCAAACATTTATTAGTAAGAGTAACACCATGGGATCAAGCATCAAACAATTCTTTAATAATCCAATTTTAAGTGATGTGACGTTTATTATTCAAGGAAAGAAGTTTTATGCTCACAAATTAATTTTATGTGCTAGGAGTAATTATTTCAATCAACTAATTCTCGTCAAATGTTCCAATACATCCATTTTGGAAATTGAGATTCAAGATGCATCTGCTGATATTTTCTATAATATTTTGGAATTTGTTTATACTGACTGTACCATTCTAAGATCTGACAAGATTTGGGATCTTTATCAAGCAGCTAAATTCTATCAGCTGAGTGCACTTCTCAGTCAATGCCAAGAATTTATTATTGGAACTCTTTCTGTGGATAACGTTTTTCAACAATGGGCCAAAGCTCAACAATACGGAACAGCAGTTGTTGCAGAACATTGCTTACTTTTTGCCAAGTCTAAATATGAACAAGTTCTAAAAATGCTAGATCTCTACAATAATATCAACATTTCCAGCAATCCTGATATTATTTCAAGAGCAATTCAAAGTCAACAACAAATGATGGGCTCAATGCTGCCACCATCCGCTACTTCCACTTCTCAACCTTCAACACCAAATAGTACAAATGGTTCTGCTAATGGCACTCCAAAGGGTGATATTTATCAATCCCTTACTGCCTTTACATTCCCACCACCTAAAAAGGACGAAGAAACTCTTAACACCTACAAATTCCCACCTCAAAAAGAAGTATCCAGCAGTGACCCAGAAACAACCTCCAATACAGAAGAAAAGGACAGACACGAATTGACCCAAACCTTTGAATTGTGGGGTGAAGAGAATACTCCACCAGCTGCCTTCCCAACCAGGTATGCTATGGATATGTATCCTTCATTCTTTAGAATTGAGCCTCAAGAAAAGGTTGCATCCTCATCAACAACTCCAGTTGTTGAAAATAGTGCTGAAAATGGAGGAGATAACAACAATACCCAAAAGAAAGAAAACCATGTTAAAATTGGAGAGTCAACAACAGAGAAGGGTTGTGTCTATAGACGTTTATCTGTTCTAAGACAGGACTTGCACTCGGTTGGAGTTTTCTTCCAACACATAATCTCATGTATTACCAGAATGTTACATGCAGAAAGAACAACATTATTCATGTACGATAGACAAACAGACGAGCTCATTTCACAAGTTGCAATTGGCGAAGATGAAATTAGAATTCCTTCTGACAGAGGGATTGCAGGATCATGCTTCCAAAGTGGAAAGAGTGTGAATATACCTGATGTGAGGAGTAATTCTAAATTTGCACCAGAAGTGGACAAAACAACAGGATTTTCAACAAAGAGTGTTATTTGTTCTCCAATAGTTGGAAGTGGAAACCAATTTGTAGGAGTTTTAGAAGTTTTGAACAAGCATACAGGTAACTTTAGTGAGCGAGATGAACAAATTTTGAGCTTTGTTTGTGACTTGCTCTCTATTTTCGTCCAAGAACAAAAATTGGATGAAATTGAGAATATTCACAAAACCTCAATTCTCTTACAACCTTCCTCATACAGAAGAAAATCCGTTGCTCCAGTCACTATGGCTAGAAAGGCGTCACATAGAATGTCAATTTCTGTTGATGATTCATTTGCTCTTCTTTTTGATGATGGAGATTTCAATTTCGATCTTGTCAATCCTGATGAACAACCACACTCCTTACTCTCAGTTAATAATGACATTGCCAACTCCCTTGTAGGACCAAATATTGATCCACTCTGGAACTATGTTCAAAATAATGATGTTAATTCCAATTTGACCTCATCTTTTGTGAGTATGAATGCACAACCAATGTCCAATTTTGGTAGTAGCAGTAGTATAGTTGCCTCAGGACAAGTTGATAACATTACTGATACGAATGTCAAATCAGAAACCAAATCTGTAACACCTCCTCTTACCACTACTACTCAACCAGTGGAAAAGAAGAGAAAACGAAACCAAAATAACAATTCAACAAATAACAAAGCTGCTAATGCTGGAATGCCATTTATGCATTTCAGAATTCCTAGGTATGAATTACAATTCATTCAATTTGATGCTGGTGGTGTAAAGAAGAAGAAAAAGACCTAAATAAAAAGTGCGTGTTAATTTAATTAGAATACCATTCAGAGGCAGATCCCTTAAAACAATGTACATTTGTATAACCCAATTCAACCAATTGATCAGCAGCCTTTTGAGCTCTTCCTCCTAATTTACAATAGGTAACAATTTGATCATTCTTTGATGGTTTCTTCTTTCCAACTTGTTTCTCAAATTCTTCATCACTCAACTCGAAAACATTCTTTACAGTAGCAACAGGAACATTAATAGCACTATTATGAATTGCAGGTAAATCTGTGGATGTATATTCGGAATGTTCACGAACATCAAGCAAAACAAGATCGGTTGGTAAATTTCCGAGCAAGGATTGAACTTGAGTTTTAGTAATTGTTTGCGACATTTTTTTTTAAGATTAATATAATATACTCTAATAATTTAATATTAAATACATAATTACAATAAATGTAATATTTAAAAAAGAACAACATGACAATAAGTAGAATAGTATTTAATTTTATTAATCATATTAAATAATTATTATATTAAAAAAAATGTTCAGATTTGGAAGGAAGATTTTCAGCAAGCCTTCATTCTCATCAAAAACACTTGGAAAATGTCTTTTGATCGGAGGAGGAACATTTCTCATAGGAAAAGCCTTTTCTCACTCATACGGCCATGAATCCATTCAAAAAGTCATCGATGATTTACATCAAGCAGTAGTAGCAAAGCCTTGGATGATTCAGGCTTTTTCTGTTGATGATTTACCAAGTGCTGACTATACAACCTTTCCATTCCGAACAGCCATATGGAAAATACCATCACGAGAGGAACAATTTAAAATTGTAGAGAATTTGGATGAGGATTTTGATTTGTGTATTGTTGGGGATGGTTTGATTGGTGCATCGTTGGCTTATGAAGCATCGATGAGAGGATATTCAGTTTGTTTGCTCTCATCTAATGATTTTGTTTCACAGAGGGACGATTTGGCATTGAATTCCAATTTGATTTTTCATAATGTGTTGGAGGGTGATGAATTGAAGGGACTTTTACCAAACTTTTTTCAAACTCAAGTGATGAAGTGCTCTGGAGGTTTTGAAAATGATGTTATCGAGTGTAAACATTATGAAAATTTGTACAATTCAATGAAGGACAAGTTGGAGAAGAGAAATCACTTGTTTTCTATAGCTCCTCACCTAATGAGAGAATACAGAAATTCAGAAATATTTAGAAACTCACAAAAGTTCAAGTATTACAAGCAAATGTGGAAATTATTGGGATATGAATATTTTGTGTATGGAAAGGATTTGTGGATGGAGGATACAATTTTGGATGATAGAAATTATTGTGAAGCTAGATTGGGAGTTTTGAGGAATAGGTTCCAAGAAAGAACAAAGGATGAGAGTGACTTGTTTAGAGATTTGAAGGATGCCAGAAATGTTTTCAGATGTATCACATACTATGATAGTGGTATTCTGAATTTATCTAGATTTATCTCCTCTTTGGCTCTTACATCGGCAGCATCTGGAAATATTGCTCTGAACCATGTGAATGTCAAATCTGTGGATATGGATAAATCATTGCTGACATTTTCAGATAAGATTATAAACGAAAAGGAATATTCCATCAAGTACAAGAAGGTAATATTTTGCGAGAATACTTCTGAGGATGAACAACTTCTCAAGAGGCTCAATCCACACAAATGCAAGGAAGAATACCTGTTCACTCTTCCACAGCTTTCCAACTATAATATCATTACTCAGTATGGAAAATTTATTTCACATTACAGATACAGCTTATTATCACTGCCAGCTCAACAATTGGAAAACTTGAAGGGAATATTGAGATTAGGTGACTTTACCAAAAATGATATTTATAGTTCTTCTAGATTTGTATTTGATAATGAGCTCAAATTGATCAGTTTGAAATATGAAAATGCTTTGAGAATCATCGACAAAACCAAGGATTATTACTCATCACATGCTGTATTGAAATATATTTACGGAAAAGACTTGAAAGAAATGAAAAATACTGAACCAATTTATGGCTCTGAAAACTTTGTTCACTTCTTGACTCAAACCATGAAGTCTAAATATCCTTACCTTCCTAATGATATTATCAGATACTTGAAATTCAGCTATGGTGACAGATGCTTGGATGTTCTATCACAAGATGTGAAACAAGTTGCTGATAAGCAAATATTTAGACACCAACAAGTTTGGGAAGACTTGCCATTCATTGAGAGTGAAATTAAATATTTGGTGAAGCACGAGAATTGTATCAAGGCATTGGATGTAGCTATTAGATGTCAAATGTACAAATATGATCCATTAAGAATTGCATTGGAACCAGAAAAGCTTTTGGACATTATGAAGGATGACTTGAAGTGGGATGATATCAAATATTCTCAAGAGAAACAAGAACTCATTCAATTCCTTAATGGTTACACAAGAGAATAGGTAAATAAAATTATCAAGTTAGAAATGAATTTATTGGTAGAACAACCACAATGATATAACACCAGATACTTTAACAATATTGTTATCCTCCATAGAAATGAAAAATCAAATACTTACCAAGTCCTGTTATGCACCCTGAAAGGAAATTCACTTGATTTCCATTGAGCCATGAAAGGCCAGATATAGTTTTAACATTTGGTCCAGGTTGTTTCACCACAATCTTTTTTTCCTCATCAAAACCTGAATATTCAAATATTGCTCCCAAGACAGAATCCAAAGTTGTTCCAAATAATGCAGAGAAGATACATAATACTACAATTGGATACTGGTAACTGAGAACAACAGCCAATTGAGTAAATAAAGGAAGAATCTCATTAGAATTTCCGACCAACATACTTCCAACTTGATTAAATCCTGAAAATCTAGCATAAAAGAAATCCAAACAAATCATTAATAAACAAATTATAGCATAAGAAATACCACACATCAATGAGGCCAAATAGCCACTCAATGAGACACCTCCATTTACACCATGGAAAGTCTTTTTCAATGTTAAAATGAAAATTGGTTCCTTCTTTGATAAAATTCCATATTCAGATGACCAAGTATCGCTTGTATTTGCAATATAGCAACACAAATAGCAGACCAATAAGAATGTCTTCAATGGATAATCCTTAGCATTGAAATAATAGAAATTTCCATACAAATATCTATGAACTTCCAATCTAGAAAACTCAACCTGCTGATTTGATTGATGTGATTGCCAGAATATTGTTTCAAAATTTTCAAATTGGAATATTCTAACCACTTGGAATAGTAAACAAATAAATGTTGGAAAGAATCCATTAGCAATTACTTGCTCAAAATTTCTCTATTATTTGTAATTTCACCAATTATTATAATAATTGTCATCATTTAAACACCTACCTGTCCTCCTTCTTTATATCCATCTTCTCTCTTCCTTTTAATATCTGCCTTGTATTTGGTGAGTGCAGAACTTGAAAAGAAGAAGAAGAGTAATATCACAGTCCATGAAAACCCTCCAACTACAGAAACAAATCCAACAAACAATGCAGCAAAGGCTCCCGAAAAATCCAAACTCTTTTTCCGATACCCTCTAATAGCTATATACAATGATAAAAACAAGGCAATTACAACCTTTCCCAAAAACATGTTATGTCCAACAATAAATATATATATATGTACAAAGATAATGATCAGCAAAAAAGAACAGGCAACAAAAATTCCCTTGCTTTCACTCTATTTTTTTTAATGATAATTCTTTTTATTTTACAAAGAGAGATCATGGAGATAATTGGAATAGAGTAGTAATAATATAATTATTATTATTGAAAAGAATTATGCACACATGTATGATGAGGGTTGTTGCAATCAAGTTGGCTGATTGGTTAATCTAGAATGAGGGACATGATTTCCTTCTCATCCAAATCTCCTGCATCATCGACTACGACTGCTGCCTCAACTGCATCCTCATCTTCGAGAAGTTCATCAGCTGCTTCTTCTTCATTGCTGTCTTGCATTTTGAATTGACCCTTGTAGACTGTCTCTTGAATGGTACTCTTTTGCTTGGCAATGGCAAGGATTCTCTCTTCCACAGAGTTTTTAGTAATTAAACGATAGATTGTAACTGGCTTAGTTTGACCAATTCTGTGGACACGATCCATGGCTTGAGCATCCAATGTTGGATTCCAATCACTGTCATAGAAAATGACTGTATCTGCTGCTGTTAAGGTAATACCTAGACCTCCAGCTTTTGTGGAGAGAAGGAATGCAAAAACTGGATCCACTCGTTGATTTTGGAAGGCATCTACCATGTCTCTTCTTTCTGAAATTCCTGTTGAACCATCCAATCTAAAGAATGTATATCTTCTCTTGTACATGTACTCTTCTAAAAGGTCCATCATTTTTGTCATTTGACAGAAAATTAAAACTCTATGTCCTTCTTGTTTCAATTTCGAAAGTAATTGATCCAAAACTTTGAGTTTTCCAGAATCGGCAATAAGTTTGCTAACACTCGGTAATGATATTCTGGAAGTGTTAAAGGTATCATAAATAAATTGATTATTGTACAAGAACTTCTTATTAAAGAACCTAGTCTTAATGGGTGTCATTTGATAATCACAACCTCTATCAGAACATTTGACTTCTATTGGTGGTGCAATAACTTTTTCAATGCAACACTCGCCAAGTTTCTTGAGGAGATCTCTATTGGATTTGTAGAAAATTTCAATATTTTGAATAAGATAATTACATCTCTCGAGGTGGTTGTTCAATTGTTCACTTAGTAACTCATCCATTAAAAATTGAAAACCACCCTTTCTATCTCTGAACTCGACTATTCTATTCTTTAAATTTCTAAGTTTGTACAATCTCCAAAAATTATCTTTGAAAAAGTAACGAAGTGTTCCAAACGTATCTATCATGTATGAAATGTCATGAACAAAGTCAAATCTCTTTGAAATCATCAAACTGTTAGATTCCATTTCTAGAGATCCTTGTGGTGTCAGCTCCCTAAAAATTAATTTAGGAAGGTGGAATTGAATAGGATTGGTCAATCTTTCACACTCATCATAAATTTTTCCTGGAATGTGCTTCAAGAATGATATTGGCGTGGTGAATGGGAATGGAGAGAGTGTGTCTTGTCTAAACTCTTTGAATAAATGAGTATGGTTACATGCCTTTCTCAGTTGCATTACAATATTCATCAGTGCTGACTTGCTTGTTGAATCAACAGCAATCTTCTTCTTCTTATCTTTGGAGGATTTTTTGAAATCGTCCTTAATACGGTAGTAAGTTTCTCCCTGCAGAGAACTCAACCCACACGAGAGGACAACCTCAGTTTTTGGTGCCATTTCACTTTCAACATCCTTCTTGACTCTTCTCAACATGAAAGGTTTGAGAATCATGTGTAATCTGGCCAATTGTTGCTCGTTAAGTTTGGTGTCTTGTTCCTTTGTTGCATGAGATTCAATATCTTTCGAAAACCAATCATTAAACTCGTCATGAGAATCGAATATTGAAGGCATGATAAAGTGAAGCAAGGCCCACAACTCTTTCATGTTATTTTGAATAGGAGTACCTGTTAAAAGCATTCTATTTCTACATTTCATGCTCAACAGTGTTTTCCATCTCAAACTCTTACTCGATTTAATGGCATGGGCTTCGTCTAGAATTAAATATTGCCACTTGACTTTTTTGAAATACTTTTCATCTTCCAATATTAAACCATAACTGGAAACAACAACATGGAATGGTGAGTCTTTTTGATAGAGCTTATCTGGATTGGTCCAGTACTTTCTGAGCAATTTTCTCTCCTTCAATGCTCCCCAGTATGGTAATACTCGAAGTGTTGGACAGAATTTTTCAAATTCTTGTTGCCAATTGTGAAGTGTAGATGAAGGAGTAATGATAAGGGTTGGTCCCCAAATACTCTTCTTTTCAGCCAGATAGGCCATAAATGCAATGGTTTGAATTGTTTTACCTAAACCCATTTCACTATTAAAATTTTCATTAAAATAAAGAATTGTAATATTAGTCTTAGTAAGGAGTGCAATGTTAAATATACTTACTCTGCTAAAATACCATTGATACCTTGCTCGTACAAAGATACCAACCATTTCATACCCTTCAACTGGTACTTTTTAAGTGAGCCATTGAAAATATTTGGCTCTTGCATGGTCTCGTCACCTGCTTCAATTATATTTTCATCCTCCATTGATGATTGTGTTCTGTACTTTTCAATTTCCTTATCAAAATCTTCAGTGAATTGCTTTTGTCTTTGTGATGCCTGAAGAGCTGATTGAGCTGCATTCTCTTCTGTTGAATCATCAGAAGTGACAGCACTTGTGATTGATTTTTTGGACATAAAGTGAGAGTAGAGTTCTGTTTGAGAGAGGAGAAAGTTTAACTTTCTTTGTTGTCTTACAGCTTCCTCCTTCTCTTCCTCTTCCTTCTTTTTTCTCTTTCTCTTTTCTGATATTTCCTTTTCGTGTTTCTTCCAAAAAGAGTTCATTCTATCAGAAAGTACAGATGAAATACCTCCCACAGTATTATCCAGCTCTGTTACTGATTTGGTTTGTTTTTCCTTTACCTTTTGAGCCACATCTTTGGATATTTGATGTAATTTGGAGTGTTTGATATTTACAGATGGCTTTGAAGTTCCATTTGTTGCTCTAGTATCGTGACTCTTTTGAGAGTTCAACGTTTCGTTCAACTTTTCATGAATGAGAGCTTTAGAAAATTGTTCAACTTGTGTTTTGATTTCTGTTTGTTCTTGATTCATATTTTCAATCCAACTCTTCTTACTTCTCAAATTGGTGGCCTTGTCTATAAAATGATGGTGTGAACTGATGCAATTCTGGAAATTTTCAACCACCTTATTAATATTGAAACCATTCATTGGAACAGTGAATGCAACTTCAAAGTTGCCTCTATCTTGTTCATCCCTTTTTGTTCTCTTCTTTTTTCTCATGGATGAAGAAACCAACAAGGTTGGTTGATTTGCTCTTATTAATGTATTCTTCCAAGTATGAATGGCAACACCATCACATGGCTTTCTCTTCTTTTCATTTTGCTCCTCGTATTGTTGAGATAAAATCTCTTCATACACATTAATATCAAGATATTCATCACAAATACTATTGAATGTTTCCTCAAGGGTTTTTGAAATTGTCTTGGATTCCAAAGTTTTAGATTCTTCTACTGTCAGAGTTTCGATTGAATTCTCTGCTATTAACTGTTTTTGTACCTCCAAATCTAAACTATTCGATTCAAAATAACTTGTACAGTAATCTCCCAATTTGTCGTAATCTTCTGCAGCATCCTTTAAATATCCTTCATCTAGATGGTTATCTTCTTGATTGGAAAGGTCAGTCTCCAATTTGAGTAAGTATTCATAATCAACCAGAGACAATGGTTTTGTCAATAGTTGCCTCGTTGTTGAATTTTGTTTCATCAAGTTTTCATCAAAGCTTTCTTGTTTGATTGGAGTGGATTCAATAATAGCATCATCATTCAGAGTGCTTGTTAATGTATCATGATTGTTATTATCACTACTAGTTGCTGCTAGTGTTGATGAAGAAGTAATACCATTGGTATTTTGATGATGATGGATTGTTCCATTCATTGTTATTGTACTACCTTCATCACTTCCATTCATTGTTGTGGTGGAGTCCATCATGATGATGAAGAAAATCCAATATAAAGTATAAACTTCCTATTATTATTGTATTGTGCAAAGTTGTTTTCAGAGCACACACGACAATCACAGTGCTACCGACAATGTTGTAGAACAAGCCTGCTATTTTTTGGTGATGAAGAGGTTCTCAACACATCAATTCCTCCACAACACACACCTTCTCGCCAACAACAACATCCAACAACAAGAAATTTATAATGATCATCAACAAGCCTCTTGTTGTGTGGCCAGAAGGAGATGATGCATCGGATGATTAAAAATATTCTCAGAGAGGAGCAATTTAAGCTGTATTGGAGTGTCGTCACACAAGCCTTCAAGAACTGAGTTGTTGTTGGTAACAACATATCTTCATCAACAAGACCATTGAAGCGTCATTATTCAATGAAAGAATCTGATTTGTTGCTGTTACCCCTGAAAATTGTAATTGAATTGTTTATGTAAGAACAAAAGAGGAAGAAAATTCTGCTGGGAAGGAGAAGGTGTATTCTTGCACTGAAACAACATTCCGAATGGATAATCCACAATTTAATCAGATACTACAACAATAACAATTAATTTCTAATAATTAAATTGTTGAATATTAGTTTGATGCACTTGTGCTCTTCTTTGAATTATGTAATATAGTGTAATAGGTGAATAGAAACTAATCTAGATTTTACAGTTGAGGATTTTATTAGAGAACATGACGAATTTGTGGCATTATTGAAGGAGATTGAATCCTCTGAGTGAAATGGCTTTTTTTGGTGAATATAATGTGGATAGTGTGCTTGGTAAATTGTGGAATGTGTGGATTGTGATATTCACATATTGGACTCGATTAGAAAGTAGATTTGGAATTTGATATTTTGATCTAGTTAATCAAGGTGGAGTCAAATTCTATCATGCATTTTATGGAATGCCCAGGTTGTGTTACAGGATGATGAATTTCTGATCGATAATGAAAACTATTTGAAATTGAACTGATAATATCATTTATTTCATACACTGTATAAGAAATTGTAAAAGAACATTTTCTTTTCATTCAAAAAGGATGAACTCGATGAACTTTTATTTAACCATTTTGACAGCTGCTTTATTTACACGAAAACAATTCAAAAAATAATGGCTAATAGTCTTATACTTACCATTCTTCCTCTTGTTGTTTTGATTTGTTTTGCCCTTCCAAATGTCAAAGCAGCAACACAACTCTATTCCTTCGGCCAAGACATGTGGGGTCAACTTGGTGTTAGATCTGGAATTGGTGGTGCCAATAATTTTATCCAATCCACACCAAGCAGCATTGTGACCTCTCAATTTCCTCAAACCTATGCCTCTGTAAAATTTGTTGAGGGTCTTTCGTATTACTCCTCACTTATGCTTGTAAGAGATTCTAATATGAACATTATCAAAATTATGGGAAATGGATATCAGAGCTATCTTCCAAATTTCTCAACTGGCAATGGTTTCTACAGTGTACAACTCAGCCCTGCACAAATGATGGATTTTTCTGGTACAGTTTCTTTTGTTCAGAATGGTAAAGCATGTTCAATTCTTGGAACTAAAGATGCTCAGAGTAATTTAATGTTATACTCATGGGGAGATAGCAAGCATGGTTGTTTGGGTGATGGAAATACCAATTCGAGTCGTGGAGTTGTGAATAGTCCAGTTTCGGTTGTTATTCCAGATAAGTGTAAAGGTGATAATTTGAAACAGGTTTCCATTTTCGATCATGTATTATTGTTCTGTCAAGATTCTCTTGGTCAATATATTTATGGGTTTGGATTGAATGAGAATGGTGAGCTAGGAAGTTCACTTGCCAGCTCAGTATATACTCCAACATTATTGAGCATGACACCTTTATCTGGAAAGATTATCACAAAAGTTGCTGCCTCTTCCAAGTTTTCAGTTGTTTTAACTTCTGATTCGAGTGTTTATGTAATGGGAACTTTGCTCAATTGTTTTAGTACTACAACCTTAACAAAGATTACTGGATTGCCAATTGACACAACTCAGGAAGCAATTGTTGATATTTCAGTAACTTACTATCACATTTTATTGTTGACAAATACCTCCAAGATTATTGTAAGTTGAAGAATTTGGAATTAATTTCTCTAACATTCACCCAGTTGTACGGAAACAAGATTATGAACTTGGGACAATATATTACTTCCACTACTACATGTGGTAGTTCTGTATTGACCTCCTTGGTATATTTGGGAAGTAAACCTTCCAAGGTTTTTGCTTCCAATGAAGTAATTATGGTCATTTCAAATAACAATGAAATTTACACACTTGGTAATAATCAAAATGGTAATATCGGTAATGGAAACACTTCTGACATCTCTGGTTCTTACAAAATCGATAGTATCACAATTCCATCAGGCAATATTATTTCAGATGCAACAATTAACCTTAATGGGAATTACCTTGCAACTTCCGATACCATGTATTGTAATGGTGTTTCATATACAAATGCTGGTGTTTGCTCAGGACATGGAACTTGTGTTACTCAATCATGTATTTGTGCTCCTGGATATTTTGGAAGAAACTGTGAAGAATTTACTTGTTTCGGATTGTTAAAGAACTCTGCATCAGTTTGTTCTGGAAATGGAAAATGTAGCTCCTTAGATGCTTGTCAATGTACGAATGGAGCTACTACTAGTAATTGTACAGGTCCTGCCACATCTAATAGTACAGGAAAACAATCAGATGCTAACAGTCATGGACAATCAATTGGGCTAATGGTCTTGTTGTGTGCTATCTTGTTATGGATTGGCACTTTAAATTTGTAAATTTACAAACAATGTTGATCTTTGAAAATGGAGAAATTACTTAGTCTTTTTCTAATAAAAAATGATTGTCTATTGAAGAATACATGCATGCCACGTCTTGAGATTTTCCCATCAAACATGCAGTATCGAGGTTTTGTCAAACAATTTCCAAATTTTCCTTAAAATTTTTATCTCAAGATCTGGCATAATTTGAAAATAGATATATCCTCAATTCTGAATACAATTATCTTTTTAGGTCCTTGTCTACATCTTCGTCGCTCGGTACAAACGGAATGAATTCAAGAGACAAATTAATGTTATCATACGCAATTGCTTTCTAATTTGTCTCCTCTTTGAAATTAATACCAATCTCCTTGATGATGACCAAATAAGATTTTTGGACATTATGCAAATGTAAATACTGTTCAATGCGGCCCAAGACTTGTTTAAGGTAATCTCAATTCCTGTTGAAGTAATTTTAATGTTTGTCAATACATAAATTTCACCAAATTGTCTGTAGGGATAAATTGGTTGGCAAACAATACTCAATGGAAATTAAGCTTACCAATTACAACATGCCTCCTCTTCTATTATTTGGATCAATATTATACGATTACCCTGAATGACCAACAGAATTGCTTTTTCAGAGAATCACACTTCTTTTTTTGTACACTCTGATGTTGCAATCTCAAAGCTATCTCAAATAACATTACACAATAGCAAAATATTAAGCGTGAGTAAGACATCATAAGAGGGACAATTTTCATCTTGCCAGATTACATCATTGTCTGTTGGTAGTTGTTTTGAAAAAGTAAATATTGGGAATATTTTGGGACATTATTCGGTTAACCGGGCACAAACAGTTACCACCGAAAATTAAACAAGAATCCGTGCATTCTTAATTAGCCACTTAAAAAAAACATCAATAATTGCATTGAGGGCGAATTCAGCCTCTTGCTTTGAAGGACTTTGTGTTTTTAACTCACACCATATCAAACATCATATATATATTACTACTTCTACTACTTGAATAGTCTAACAACAGTTAATAGTACAACATTATAATGGGATCATCCTGCAGCAGTTCATTCGTAGGCAAAAATGTTAGCTCCAAAAAGCAGGCAAGAAAGAGCTCGAGTGAAGATTTGTACAAGACGAGTGAAAAGTCATCATCTCCCTTCCCTAATGATACTACATCGAATGCATCCACTAAGGTTACAATGCGACCTTCTCATTCACAGACAGGTCTTCAATACTCGAGCAGCAATAATACCAGTAGTGGTAGTGTGAAAGGAGCCTCATCCAATCACCAACCTACTATTGCTTCATCATTAAGCACTTCAACACTTGCTTCCGTAAGTTCGAAAAAGACAAAGAAAAAGTCAACGGCCTCCTCATGTATTATAGTGCAGCCAGATTTGTTTGATCCTGTTGTTTATGCAGAGAGAGAAATTGAGAGAAGACAACGAGATCCAAGGACAACAACATTGAGAATGTCTTTGGATAATTTTAAATTCCCATCAGAGAAATCACTGGTTTCTAATCAAACATGTTAGATGGTCGATATTTACTAGGTTACTCTAGAGATTCTAGGTGTTTTAAGTGACAACTGGAATGTTACTTTAATCCACACATATCTGATGATAATTGTTTTTATTAACATGTTAATGATGATTAATAATACAATTAATAATATTGTGTGCGTCAATGAAAAAGATTGAAATTTTAAGGTTACTTTAAGTTTCCAAATCCCAGCTTGTTATAGATGAAACTGGTAATACCTTGCTTTGGTTTGTCAATAATTTGTTCCAAGTAAGGTTCAAACAATTGTTGACCTCTTAAACAACAAGCAGAAGCATATATGCTCCATGCAATTTCTTCCAAAATAATCTTGTTAGATTCATCAACTTGTACCTGATTTCCTAAGGTATTGAAGGAAAGAAGATCTGCTGCACTAGGAGCAGAGGTGGGAGTATTTGAGGAGACTGATGTTGAGGAATTACTTTCATTCAAACCACAAAATATATTACAATAACAATCCAAAGTAGAAGGCCTATTCTTATCAATTACAATCTCATGATCCAAAGTGGCTAGGGATAAATCAGCAGTGCTGGAGAGTTTGAAGCTCTTCTTGGCAGTTTTGGCGAATGATTTCTTACTCTTACTAGTCTTTTCTTTGCAGTAGACAACGAGGCATGGAGAACTTGTCTTTTCAAAACATCCAATATCAATGACATGAATATTGGATAAATCATGTGGCTTGGTATGTTTAGTATCGACATGTTTCTTGGAATAGTCAAATTTGATTGTGTAGTAATTCTTGTCAGTGAGTAGAATAAATCTCTCTTGCTTCAAACCACTCTTATTATATTTGACAACTTTCCATCCCTTAATAAATGTCTCCTCGATAGCTTTGATTTTTTCAAAACAGAATGCAAAGGCCTTTTCATCATCCTCTGTATATTGGGTAAAGTACTTGGTTTTGATGAGGGTGGCAAAACTTTGCAAATATAGAGATCCCTTGTAGGTTTGTCTGGCTTGTTCTTTCAGGAATAGCATTGGATTCTTGGCAAGTAACATTTGGTCATCTGTCAAATTCATTGGAGCAAGACCCAAATCATTGAGAGAGTTGTTTCTCGAATGTACTTTTTGATCCTCTTTTTGAATTTCCTTCTTGAAAGGTCTGAATTTGAGACTATCAGTTTCAAGGACTGACTTGGGAGTAATTTCTCTAATCTTGGAAATATCTTCTTGGAGGAGACGATTGAGACCAGCAACAAAGTCCTCCTTACTCATTGTATTCATATCATCGTAACCAATATTGTAGAATAGGACACCCAACTTGTTGTACTTTCTCTTGTATGTTTCTGCAACAGATTCAGAGGTTGAAATATTCTTCAGAGTGGCACATGTCTTTCTGTTGCTTCTTGCTGACATTGGAAGCTCAGCAAAGTCGGCATTCATGTTTCCAAGAATTGGTTTGTAAGCCAAATAGGATGTCATTTCAAATTCGACAACCAGAATATTTACACAAGTAAGGAAGGTTCTATTATGGACTGGGGATTGATTGCAAAACAGAGAAATTGATTCTCTGAGATTTCTCCAAGAGGTTTCCTTGAGTAAGTGGAAAGCTCTTCTCTTTTCTGCTTCTGAACTCAACTCATCAAAGAAACTCCAATTGATTTCAATATTCAACTTTTCATAGGCGTTGGTATTCAAGCTGCTTGACAAGCTATTCCACATGACAGATTCTCTCTTGATTTCATTTTCGTACTTTTTGACATATTGCTTCTCGATGGATTCTTTCTTTGCTTTAAAGTCCTCAGATTTGTTTGCAGCAGTAAGGAGCTTGTTTTTGAGACTCTCCTCTCCCTTCTTTCCTGAAAAATTGTTCAAAGCCAATTGAGCCAACAAACTAATGTATTGATCATCACCTTCCACTAAATTTTCCAGTTCAGTGACTAATCCTCCTTCCTTCAATGCTTTTTGATGTTGAGGTATGGCAGCAATATTAGAGAAGATGTTAATCACATTCTCTTGTGCCTCAGGAATCTCACAATGGAGGAAAGGAATCAAGTCTTTGAAATGTTCAATAACCCTTTTTCTTCCTTGCTCATATTTGGCAATCGTAATTACAGAAAAAATCAAATTAGTTGCTTGTTCCAAAATGGCACAGGATTCTGATGATGTCAATAGTTTTACCAGGTTAGGAACTATATCGAAAGATGCAATAAACGTTGCCAATGTAGGTACCTCTGAAAGACTCTGCAACAAGGCAACTGTATTCTTGATATTTTTGTTTGTATAGGTCTTGTCAGTGGAAAATCTGTTTAAAATGTAATCGAGACAACCAGTTTCAGCTATTGCCACTTTTGCATTTCTGTCCTTCCTAGAAAAGTTGGTAAATATCTTTAAAACATTATTGAGAAAGGTCGCTTCGTTGATTTTGGCAAGTTTGAAAAGCTTTTTCAGTCCCCCACCAAATATAAATGTTTGCTTAAAGATTGAATCTAATGAAAGACTATAGATTAGATAGATGGCAATATCTTGAAACATTTCATGATCTAAAAGTTTGATAATCTTGGAGCCAATACCAAGAAGTGCAATATCTCTAATATCTACCTTTTCATATTGAACCATTTGGTTAAGAATCTCGAGAATGGCCAGCAAGACACGAGAGTTCTTCTCTACCAATTCCATTTGAATGATCCAATCGCATAATCTGTGATAGTGAATGGACTTTTGGGCCTTCTCAATAAGGGCTCTCCAGATTCCAACATCTTGCAAATTAAGCGAGTTGAATGTGGTCAGGCAAGAATATTGCAGATTGGCCAATTCAACATCTGAGTGATATTGCGACTTTAAGTGTAATGTAGAGGTGAATGATTGATTAATAATGAACTCTCTATTCAAAATTGATAGAATACATTCCGCAGCTTTGGTCAAATGGTCATTAGTAACACCCTCCACAATGGATCTGTTCTCTTGTGATAGATACATTCTAATCAAGTATAAACAATGTTGCAAAATGATGATGTCATTGGTATGATTAATAATTGTATAGACATGATTCAAAACTTCTGTTACTTTCATCCCAATAAACAAGTACAAATCCTTAAAATTATACTCTCCAATGTGAGTGAACAGAGACAAGACACTCTCTGCAAAACTTCTTTCTTCCTGTTCTTCGATATTCTGAGAGGTTTTCAAGGTTCCAAATCGTGTGAATTGCACATGTATTACTTGAGCTCCATTCAGATACTTCTTGTCCAGATAGTAATTGAAATATTTAGAGCTGTTTGATTTTCCTTCCTTTTGTGATATGAGTTCCTTTCTCACCTTTTCTATTGAGCTCAAATTTGCAAGAATTGAAAGAGTTTGATTGAAAGCCTTTCTGGTATAATTACTGCCACTCGAAGAAGATGAAGAATACAAGTAGCACACAAGGGAAAGTAACAATTCTAAAAATTGATTTTCCTCTTTCAGTGTTGAATGTATTTCAATCAGTTCCGTCTTTCGATTTTCTGGAATAATATTATATTTCAATATATTGAATAATTCACAAACTGCTTACCTTTTTGTGAGATGGCCAATAATATGAAAAGTATATGGGAAAGTAACTCGGAGAAATCATTATCCTGAACTTTCAACGTTTTGTATCCTTCTGAGGAGGATGTAGATTTTTCATTCTTTCCACCACTCATTGAAACATTCAAAGAGTTTAAAATACACAAAATGAGAGGAGCAATTGGAGTCTTTGATGAAATGTCATCTGTATTCTTTTGATGATTTAAACAGAGTGATCTCAATACTCTCGAACATGCCTCAATTATTCCATACAGTACAACATCAATTTGTTTCTTTGGTGAATTCATTATGGTATTATATGCTTGATTCATTTGATCAATTACTATTTGTGTTCCATTAATAATTGGGAAGAGGGATTTGTTAGATGCTATTTGTCATGATTATATATTCAATGATTGAAATTAATGTGTGTAATTTTGTGAAATTTAACAACAATTTTAAACATGTGAAAAGTCAAGAAACACTTACAATTGATGCAAAACTTTTCTAACACCAACAGAGCACATCTCTTGCACTCACTATTTACAGCAAAACTTTGTTGGTTCACTCGGATCAGGTCGAGAAAATTCTTTAATCCTCTACTTTCTCTGACAATTATTCTATTCTCATCAACGTTATCAATTAGTGCATGGATGGTTGTACAGGCTATAATAATATTCGAATATTAATATTAGAAAGTAAAAGAAAATTACCTAATCTAACAATTTCTCCATCAATAAACTGTTCATTCACAACATTGGCATCAAAAGCAATATACAACAGCCATGGAATAATATCTGTTTCATTTCCCAAACGAAACGAAACCTTATCACCTCCTCCAATACACAAATGTTTGATCATTCTCATCCACTCGCAATAAAATTCAATATTTTCCTTTCTAACTTGTCCTATATTCAATAACTGATGAAGAACTTTCTTAAAATTATCCATCATTGAATTGAGTTGATCAATTAATTTTGATTTATCAAGACGGAGAATCAATCGAATAGATTTCAAGACTTCCTGTTGAGGAGAAAGTGATGATGGAAAGGAAATCATTTGATTCATTGATGCTTTTCTTGTTGATGATGAATCATCTTCAATACTTGGATCTACAGTTAGAACGGAAAAGTTATTTCCTGTTTGCTGTTTATTATGTTGTTGTTGATGTTTTGACATTTTTTTTGATGAGTTTTAAGTGTTGTTGAAAATCAAACGTTTAGAATTGAATGTTGTTGGAAAACTTAAAGTGGAATCATTAGTACTTTTATGGTCCATTTTGAAAGCGAATTGTTTGCTTTCATGCTTGTAAAAGAAGCTTTGGAACCCTTACTTTGATACCATAAAGTAAAAAGAACATGTTTCTATCTAAATTACCCTTGAATTTAACCAATTTCTATTTGGACATGTATTTTGTTGCATTCTTTCAAAAAAATTTAAAAATAAAAAATTTGAAATCTAAATAAGAAAACAATTTCAAATTCGCTCCCATTCGCACTTCTCTACAATAAAAATAAATCAAAAAATTTAAGAAGATTTTATTCACCCTTGCGTTCTTTCTGTTTCGTGTCGGTGATTGTTGCTATTTCTCTGTTTATTATTGATTGTGGAGGCCTTTTAAAACGCTTGTGGCCGAATTTAACGAGTTTATTTTACTTATTATTAGCGGAATTGGATTTTCATAGTCATCATCAATATTAATAATTATTTAAATTCATTCTCATCATCAGAATAATATACTATATATACATATAATAATTTAATTTAATAATGGTTTATACAACATCATCACGTGGAAGTATCAGTATTGTAACTCCTTCACAAAGAAAGAGTTTTTCATCTTCCCAACCTCCTTCACTAGTCAATGCCCAATCCTTGACCAATCTTCAAAATAGTCTTTCAAGCTCTTTTAATACTTCTTCTAATGTAGTCACTCAAACAGGTGTAACTTCTGTAGGAGATAATAAGAATGGAAAATCATGTGCCTTTGTGAATGTAATTTTCCCAAAACCATTCTCCAAACAACCAATTGTTCATGGGCAGGTATTGATTGATCAACACACAATGACCTCTTCATCTCAAGGTGTTGTAAAGGAAGTTTCAAATACATATGCTGTCACAATACTTTCAACCACAACAACAGGATTTTGTTGTGCTGTGAGAAGAGTATCAAAGAAGAAGGAAAAACCTTGGATTAGTAATATTAGACTTCAATGGTTTGCCACATTGCCATCATTTTGCAGTGGTAGAACAGTTGTTGGAGTTCCTAATCCAATTCATACACCAAATGTTAACATTCCTTCAGGAATGCATGGCTCTTCTTCTTCCGATACTATCATGATGCTTGCCAATGGTAATAACAACTCAATGATTATGAATCCTTCAATTTCAAGTCAAGCTGCCAATTCTAATAATTTGGTCTATTTAATGTCTGTAACTATTAATTTACCACCAATACCAACAAGTTGGAATCATGGATATAATGGATCAACGGCTACCCATCCTTCAAAACAACACGCTGTTTATACATCAACTGGAGATTTATATTCTTCATCATTTGATAGCAAATCCTTGATGAATAGTCAAGTTACTGTTCCTGAAAGTCCAACAGTCTCTACAAATTTAATGTACTCGAGCAATACACCAACACTCATACCAAGCCATCCTCCAGTTGTCATTGTAACACCTCATTCATCTGATGGTAATTCTGATGATACATTTATTGCTACTGTTAGAGAAGTTTATCCAAATAGATTTGTTGCTGTTGTGAGGAGAATTAGTTTTGACAGTGTTTCGAAACCTTGGACACAACCAATCAAACTCAATTGGACTGTTTTTTACAATTCACCTCAAATTCCAAATCCATTCGGAAAGGATTGCATTATCAAAGCTGGAATTTTACCTGTTGGACAAAATATTACAAATGATGATTATGTTGATAGAGAAATTAGATTTTTACAAAATGATATTCCAAATATTCCTGGTAATGATTTTGTAATGCCAAGAATGGTTATTTGTACACCAAGATGTGATCCTCAACTTCCAAGTAATGATATTCACTCTGTAACTATCAAGACAATTTCTCCGTATGGATTTTCTGTTAATTTAAGACATGCTGACAGTAGAACTTGGCATCAAAATTTGTACATATGCTATCTTGCCTTCTATAAGGTCAAGAGACCAAAGACCAAGAAGAATGAATCAGATGTTGTTTCACAACCATCCATCGCCAAGAAGAACAAAACTAATGGACCAACGGTAGTACCTTACAATACCCAAATTTTCATCAAGAATTGTACTAATGGGTTTGTTTTGGAGGCCAATTTGAATGACAACTCGGTTGTTATCACCAGTGAAAAGTCATTCCTTCTTTCACAATCTCAAAGATTTATATTTAGAGAATCTGGATTTATAGAATTATCTCAAAATTGCGACTATGTATTAGAATGTATCACACTGGAAGAAGGTTCAGATATTGTTGTTAGCGAGAAACGAGACTCTGACAATGCAACACAAAAGTGGCTTGTTTTCCAACCAGTCAATCCACTTTCTACAGAAAGTGTCTGTATTGCAAACGTTGGTAATTTGAACCTTGTTTTGGATTGTGAAAACGGCCGAGGAAGTTCTCCTTACCTATCAACTCTTAACATGTCTGTTGGCAGTTCCAGCTCACAACAAGCTGATGAAACTACACCAACACTTGCTGGTGAAAATTCACACGATCATACTCTCACCATCAAAGACAAATCAAAAACTCAACAATGGAAATTCACCATGGTACAAGAGAATTTATAAATTTTCAATTTACCATTTCATTACACGCATTGCTCATTATTCAAGTCTTCCAACACATCCAACAATCCATCCACTCCTCTAATCTGATATCTTGCCTTACTTGCAATCTTTTCAGTGCCTTTCGTAATGACCACAGAGTAGACAGTCTTTGGAGTAATATTTGCAATATTCCTTGCAGAGAAACCTCCAACGGCTGGTGAATATTTTGGTGATTGAGGTGTTCCAGTAGTAGGATTGAGTGGTGAGAAAGTAGAGGCAGGTCTTGCATGATCACCAAATGAGGACAAACCAATGGATGGAGATTGAGGATTACTTAACATATTCTTCTTGGAATGTCTTTCCACTTCTTCAAACATGGATTCATCTGTATTATCATCACCACAACAGAATATGAAACTGTAATCGCCTTTCTCAATGAGCTTTCTTGTACAGGCACCCTTACTGACAGATTGTGGACGAATCTCAATAACCTTATTTCTTCCACGAATAATTTCCAATGGTTGTGAATTGAATGACATTTCCAAGTGGAGTTTCAATTCATTGGCACTCCATTCACCATAATCTGGATCAGCATTTCTATAATGGAAGACAAGGGATGAATTCTTTACCTCTGTGAATGATCCAGGTGTTCTACTTGTCACATGTTCGAGAATTGGTTTGACCATTTCAATCCATGCCAAAGATTCTGGATCGATATTGTAAAGAGATGTTGTAAACTCTATTTGATTTGGATGTCTGCAATAGAACCCATGTTCACATGCAATTCCCAATCCTTTAACATGTCCAACAAATTCAGTCATTTGCTCTTCAGATCTTCCAGTAATAATGTAAACCATATTATTTGGATCACTTGTCAAATTCTCCAAAATTTGCAACAATCTTTCAGAAGGAAGAGCAAGAGATGGGAATTTGTTCAATCTAACCAAAGTGCCATCATAATCAAATAGAAATAATCTCTTTCCACAAGCAGTTGAGTGAATATAGTCCTGAGCAAGGGTTTCATAGTTCAATACTGGAAGCCCCTTAACTGACAATCTGTTGAACACTGTTGGATCTTTCTGATATCGACATGCAGATTCAAATTCTTGCATGAAATCTTTACCCCATTGAGCTGCAGTATTTCTCATGACAATTGAATTGTTATGTTTGTGACGTGCACTTCTCTCTGACATTTTCATATCCAAACCATCAGCAATACTCTTCATAGTTTGTTCAACATCCCATGGATTAATGATGAGAGAACCACCAAGTGATCTGGCAGCACCTGCAAATTCACTCAAAATCAAAACACCTACATGATCTTTTAATCCTAAGCGAACTGCTTCATCTTGACAAACGACATATTCAGAGCTGACAAGATTCATACCATCACGAATGGATGTAATTAAACAGATATCAGCTAATGCATACAGCGCACATAATTCACTCATATTAACTGATTTGTAAATGAAATGGACAGGAAATCCATTATTCAAGCTGCCAAATGTTGAGTTGATTCTTCCAGTAGTTTCATTCACATCACTCAATAATTCTTGATATTCGACAACGTTAGGACGTGTTGGAACACCAACTTGAATCAATACTGTATCCTGAGCTCTGTGTGGAAAGTTTGTTAAAAATCTTTCAAAGGCAGCAAATTTCAATTGAACTCCTTTTGTGTAATCCAAACGATCAATACCCAAAACAATCTTCTTGCCCTTATACTTGACATTCTTGAAATCTGACAAGATTTTCTGGCATGCTTCAGTGTGTAATTCCTTTCTGAACGTGTGTGGATCAATTCCAATTGGTAATGAATGAACTGAAACAAAGAGTCCAGATGATGAGCTGAATAATCCTCTAGGAGTTGTATCTGAACCCAAAGTTCTTGTGCAACTGCTTAGGAAATGTCTTGCAAAATCAAATGTGTGAAATGCAACCAAATTACTTGACAGCAAACCTTCCAAAAGTTGAGATCTGACAGGTAGAATTCTATAAATTTCACTTGATGGAAAGGGAATGTGAAGAAAGAAGGCAATATTCATATCTGGTTTCTTCTTTCTTAGAATTGCTGGTAGTAACATTAAATGATAATCATGAATCCTAACAATTTTAACAATTTCATTGTAAATATTTTGTAATGTTGTTGTAAACAAACTTACCAAACACAGTCATTTTCCTTATAAACACTCAACACAGCATCAGCAAACTTTTCATTCACCTTCTTATAGGCATCCCATTCTTCCTGTTTATAAGTAACATTCTTCTCATACATGTAATGAAAAACAGGCCACAATACTCCATTACAAAAACCATCATAATACATGGTTGCCTCTTCCTTCTCTAAAAAGACTGGAAACTGATTGAAATCTTCCAATAATTCCCTCTTTAGAATATCCTGATCATTCTTATCTGAAACCTCAGAACCTGTCCAACCAATCCATGTGAATTCCTGATTCATTCCAGTCAGAGCAGTGACTAAACCTCCAGAACTTTTCTGATAATTAAATGGATGTTCACAATGATCACAATTTTTCTTTCTAGTGATGGTCATTGGTAAACGATTGGAAACAATGATTAAATCACCCATTGTAAATGATTCACTACTTGAAAGATCTTGTAATTGATCGAGTTGGATTTCTCTTGATATGTTTGATTTGACATTCTTGGTTTGAAGCATTGAGTAGTGACTGATGGTTGGAGGAGAAACACAATTAGATGTGGAAAGGGATCGTTTGTGATTGGAAGTTGAATCTCCATTATTGGATGTTGAGTTTTGAGTTCCCATTGAGTATGATACGTGGGAGGAGGGCTTTCGTTTACTTTCTTCCATTTTATTTATTGCAGTCATTGGTACATTTTATAGATTGGATGGATATAGTAATTTACAAATTAATTATTTGCACTATTTTGGAAATACCTTCTTTATTACTCGAAGAAAAATTATAAAAGTTTAAATTCTTTTTTGATTTATGTCTTCAATATATTTAGGCAAGGTTCTTTGATTTTCTTTTTATTCAAATTGGATCAAAGTATTTTTTTTACAACAATTTGATTTTAAAAATTGTATCACTTTACAATTCTTGATTTTTGTGGATTTCCAAGATGCAAACAAACTCGAACATTTTCCTCTCAAAAGACGAAAACAATCAAAAAAACTAAATGAGAAGAATTAGAAAGGTTATTAAGCTATCCAACAATACTCCACCACAGAACGTCGACGTTGTTCTTTCATTAGCAAATATCCACAACATTGATACATTATATTTCAACGATTGGACTTGCCAAACACAAGATGATAGCAAAAAACAAGTATTACAAGAAAAATCCAATAATAATGATGATCATCACGAACACAACACAATGAAAAGTGAAGAGATTGTGTACGATGAAGCTGTTGCCGAGAAGAAATTAATAACAGCAAACAAGTTACGACTATTCTCCAATAGAATCTTGAGAGATTTATTGAAGGAAGAATTTAAAGTTACACACCATGGGGTATCAGCATTGAAAGAGACACTGATTCAAGAAATTATTACTAAATTATATTCTTCATCATCATCATCTTCAACAACAACAACTCCGAAAGAAGATGAAATTTCAAAAGCAGAAGAAAAATTAATTAATGATTGGACAGAGAAGGCAGAGAATTTTCATAAATCCTCCAATTCATCAGAAAATACTCTGCTTTCCATCAGTACTTTAACAGATAAATCAAATACTATAGTGCCCTTGGTAGTGTCTTTCAAGAGGAAACAGGTGAAGAACTCTTACACTCAACTGTCCAGAGAAGAAATGTTGATACATGCGAAACGATATACCACAAACCATCCACAAAGAGAATACGGTTCAAAATCATTATATTGTAAACAAAATAAGATTTCTATTCATCAATTAGGAAGAATTTTAGCACAATTTGATGATAACTGTTTGACTGGAAAAGAAAAACTTTCAAGAGGTTGTAAATCTCCCAAATTAACAGCTGAAGAAATTACTTCTGTCATTTTGGAAATTAATTCTCAAAGAGATGATGTCAATTGCAAGCAAATCTCAGATAAGACCATCTATGAAGCTATTACAAAGATTACAAAGAAGGAAGTGAGTTTATCATATTGTCACAAGTTTGGAAAGACATACTTTGAAAAAGTCAAAACTCAAATGGTAAAAACTGAATCACCATATGAAATCAAATCTTTGGATGACAACGAAAATTCTTCAGTTGAAAAAGAAGACGAAATGGACACTGACAATGATATTGATTTTGGAAATGATGTTTTACAATTAACACTAAATGAGGTGTCAAGAATTGTTCCTCAATACTTGAAATATAATAGTAATGACGAATGTTTATGAATTATTGGCAACAAGATTAGATTTTGGACAAAATTATTGAATTTTTACACGATATTATGAAATATTGGCTACAGTTTTTTAAAATCTTAATGAGAGTCTGAGTACAACCAGATTAGGATTGCTCTTTCCAAAATTGGAAATACAGAAATGGCATGAATTAGTTGATGTATTTGTGAAATGGTGGAAAAATGCATTTGAGAATAATTTATCATCTTCCAATCATGCGAATGTGTACATACAGGAAAGCAACATTGATTTTCATAGAGAATAAACATGAAAAAACTTTACATTCAACTATTTATCAAGAAACCCCATGTATACATTATACTTCTTTAACTGATTGTATCGATAATGCATTGAAATCCTTCTTGTTCCTTTGCTACTTCATAAAGTGTCAAACTTTTCCAAAAACATTATTCTCGTTCCGCTTTCATTTTTAAAAAAAAAATGCGCCCACCGTTTTTTGTGGGTTTTCTGCTACTCGTCTTGTTGGTTGTGAGTTCATCACCAACATTGCTTTGCACTGTGCTGGCCACTGCCACTAATGGTGATGGGATTTCTCTGGTGGATGTTAGAGATTTGATAGCGAAGGATATCATTGTTGGCGTGAAATCATTCTTGACTCTCTTCGTTTCGGTCAATTCTCCTCTGGCCGCAAATTTCTCCTCGTCAAATTCAACCATCAATGAATTGGTTCAATTCCTGGGGAAGAATCAGATTATTGGCACCAATCAACAAGTGGCTATTGGAGTATCCCAGCAAGATAACCTCCGATATTTCAACAAGTGGCTCTCATTCAACAATATTTCATCATCGCATGACAGGATTATTTCCACTACTGTCATCAATCCAACATTGATGCCCTGTGGAAGGAATATCAATCCATTTGAGTCGTTTGGTGGAGTGTTGATGGACACGTACAATTTTACGTACTTTGTCAGAGGATACAGGGACTATTTTGGAGACCAGAAAACCAAGTCAGCAAATGGTCTCATTAATTCGTATGATTTCAAACCATTTCCATTGATACCCTCGATGGTTTATATTAAGAATAGAAATGGCATGTCTATTGAGGGAGTGAATGCATCTCAGAATGTTTTTGAAATTAGTCCAATGACTTGTGAAAATTCAAATATTGCAGATGCTGAAATTTTAAGGTTTTTAACTGGGTATTCCATGTTCACACCGTTGCATATTCAGACATTGGAATATGTATTGAATATTTCACTTCAGTACGATACTTCACTCTTGACAAGTAACCAAGCATCATTTCTAGCACTGAATAATTTGACATCTCTTTATTGGTCGAATGATTATGTAATGTCTCGTCTCTTCCCTTCTACTTGTCACTTTTGTACCACTACAAACTGTTTGGGAGAGAATTTCATTAATGGAGACTATTTCATCATAGCTTACACTTCACTCACACTCATTTACTTTATTTGTTTATTCTCTACGGGAAGTTTCAAATTGCCATCACTCAAAAGACGTATGCTTGTGCCTTACATTCCACTACTGAGCTGGGTCATGTTTATTCTATTCACATCGTTCATGTCGTTTGTATGCAGTGCTCCAGTGCATTATGTGGCCATGGTTATTACCATATATTGGGTTCTCATTTACACATTTACAGTGATTCGATTTGTGTACTTGAGAAACTTGTATCAAATCATTTCGACTTCTAACCACAAGAAAATGCACAGGTTTCTGGCCTCTTCCAAATTTGGGTTTGTTTTCACAGGACTATTTTCATTTGGACTGGCACTTGTAATATCATCTGATGGTATTTTTTGCTTTTTTACTGACAGTAGCACTTCAGTTATTTTCAGAACCATCAATCTCTTTGCTTATTTCATTATTGGTTGCCTTATTGCCATGTTAGCCCTTGTCATTGATATGGTTATGAATCGAAAGAAAATTAAGCAGGATGGTATCATGAAATTCTTATTGTTTGACGATCCATTCCACATCAGAATTGATTTGATATCATTCTTCCTAATTTTTTTGATTGCTTTGGGTATTGTAATTGGTTTACTGGCATTACCTATCGATGGTAGTTTGGGTCCAGTTGGTGGTTTTCTCAATACAGTTGCCTGCTTTTGTATCTTGATGATTTGTGGAGGAAATTCAATGATTGTGGAGATAGTTAATAAGATTAGATTCAGAGGAGTGGAAAAGAAAGAACAAAGTGAATTGGAGAATCTTTTGGCTACCAATGCCTCCATCAGAGAATTATTGACAGAATACTCAAGAAATGAATACAGTTTAGAAAATGTTCTGTGCTTTGAAAAGATTAGGCAATGGTCTAATAATTTTGCACAAATGGACAAGACCGTTTCCTTGAATGATTTGTTGAAATTTGAGGAGGAATTTGTGAGAACTTACGCAAAGTATGAAGTTAACATTTCACATAGCACCAAAGAAAAGTTTTTAGAGTTAGTAGAAACATGCAGAAATCTGACGAATCAAGTGGAAAATGTATCACTGGAAGATGCAACACCAAGAGGTAACACATCACGAAGAGCAAGTGGTGTGACAATTCAACAATTGTACAAAGTTATCATGTTGGATCTCATGTTCAATATTGGAGATACTTTTTCACGTTTGCAAAGGACAGAACAATATATTGAGTGGAAAGCTATCAACAGTTTACAAGAACACATACAGGATACGCCTCTCAAAAATGTGTAATATCAAGGAAACCAAACTTCAAAAATCCTTAGCAATTGTCAAGGTGAAGGTTGTTGATAAGGTTTTCTAGAGATTTTGTAGTGATTGGTATGGTAAAATACATATCAAATCATAAATAAGTTTGTTTTGAATTTAATAAATAGTTTAAAGATTACAATTCACGAGTGTTTTCATCTTCCAATCGTGCGAATTGTTGAGGTTGACTTTGTTTCTTCCAAACAAAGAATGAAAAGACACAAGTTGCGATGGCTGCAACAGCAATAATGAGGAGAACCAAAACAATGAATACCATAACCAAGGCAAGATCAAATCCAAAGATTTTGATACCAGTTCCAAGACTGCTCGAGAAGCTCTTGGCTGTGGCAGAGTATTCAAAGTAATCGCTTGATGTACATTCGTCAAATTTAACATTTTCACCAGTAATAACCAATGCATAACTTTGTGCCTTGAAAATGTAGGAAGCAGCAACATTGATAACAATTCTGGAATCAGTGTTTGAAATGATAACTTGTTCAACATTGTTGGTATTATCTCTTTCGAAAGTATTCTTTTCTTCAGCATTACCAAAGTAAATATCTTGATTGACCTTAACACCAAGATCCAAATTGTTGATCAGGTGCTTGGATCTGGCAGGATTACTTGGATAATCTGTCCAAACAAGAGTAATCTTGACATCATTCATCTTACCAGAACTCTTTGGAGCAACACAATAAGTATGGGAATCTTCTGTTGAGGAAATGACTGGATCTCCAAACTCTGTAGTAATCTTGGAGCTAGTCTTAATATTGTCCTTTCTTCCGACTAATAATTTTCTAGTACTATTATCAAACATCAATACACGATCCAATTGAACTCTACCAAAACCTTCGATGTATTTGCTTTGAAGGTTGAAGAATGGGTCCTTACTTGTGTCATGAATTGGAATGTAAGTTCCAGAGAAGTCCAAATAACCAAGCAATGGAACACCAGAGTTGATTAAAGTGGCCTTCATAAGAGCAGCTGATGGAGCAAATCCCTTTGAACTGTCATTCTTTCCTGTTGAATGCCATCCTTCGACATAGTATTGTCTAACAAGTAAAGCATTAGCAGCCTATTGAATTAATAGTAATTAAAATTTTTTGAATATTGTTAATATTAAGAAATAAATACGTACGGTTAACGGACATGACATTGATGTACCTCCCATTTGAGTAACAGACTTGGCAACAGATGTACTAGATTCAGCACAAGTCATTGGTGAGAGAGTATTGTGTGAACGAGCACTAAGAATAAAATAGCCAGGAGCAACAATATCTGGCTTAATTCTACCATCAGAAGCTGGTCCTCTACTACTAAAGTAGGCAATATTTTCAGAATTGTAAATCATTTTAGACAAGTTTGAATCATATTTGGCAGATCTACACTTTCTACAACATTGACTTCCAAGTCCAAAAAAGTTACATCCACATCCAGTTCCAGAACAATATTCACCTTCAGTACTGCAACAATCGGCTTCAGTCTTGAAATTTCTCAAAAAGTTGCACACTTTGAGAACTGATGATGAAATTTGATCACAACTATCTGAAGAGGTGACGTTAACAGGTGGACAACCATACATGTTCATGAGTTGTTGAGCATATCTGGTAGTATAGTATTCCATATCCAAAATATTATCTGTAATATATTTGAAATTTGAGACTGGATTCATTGAGGCACCAACAGCAATAACGTTCTTAGAGTCAGCTTGTGTGGAAACAGAAGAATAACCTGAAGCACTTCCACTATTACCAGCTGAGAACAAGATTAAAAAGTCCTTATGTTCCCAAATAAATTTGTCAATATCTGCTGAATCACTACTATATCCCAAAACTCCAGATGATTCTCCCCAACTGTTTGTGTGAACTCTACTTCCTAAATTATAGGCATATGGGAAGTAGTCTTCAGACATGGAATTAGGTGGATAGATGGCATTTTCATTTGGACTACAGACACCACCCATCAAATCGCAAGGACATCCCTTAGGAGTACCCTTGCATGTACAACCTTTTGGATCAGAACAACCAACATCAGTAAAGGCAACCTTTGCATCAGGTGCAATACCATCATGTTCACTGAGTGAACCTACAATGGATTGAGAGACAACTGTACCACTGACGTGTGTGCCGTGAGCATCGTCTTCAGAAACATCATCAATAGCAGACCAGTAAGAGGCAATCTTTCTGTGGTTGCTTACTTTGAGATTGGTGGTTACGTTAGTGTATGGACAAGCATGATCTGGATCATAGAAGAAACAAGAGTTTGGATCTAAACCAGAGTCACCAACAGTAACAATTTGACCCTTTCCTGTAATTCCTCTAGCAGTAACTGGTTCAACGAATGGAGAACCACTTTGAGTGATACCCTTAGCCCAATGATTGTGTACTTCATTTCTTGGAGCTGGTTCAACCCAAAAGATGTTAGAAATCTTGGAAATTTCATATGAAAGAGCAAGAGCTTGACTCTTCTTGACAGACATCATGAATTTCTTTGATCCTGCTCTCTTGATAGTAGAAATGGCACCATTAGATGATGATTTGATATTATTGAAAACTCTTTCCAAACCATTCAATTCTCTTTCGTTGGTCAATTCTTCAGCAATAACTCTCAAAACAACGAATTCTTCTCCATTTTTATCTTGGAAAGTAAGTCTCCAATCCTTTTCCTTTTTAGATGGTGTTGGTTGCATAGTATCCTTTATATTTCCATTAATGTCGAGATCTAATTGTTGGGAGCCTGAATTTTCTTGAGAAAATTGAGAAACGACAAACTTGTAAATTGGGTCAAAATATTCAACCTTTTCCACATTGTCATCCATCAATAAGCTAATTAATAATTTGACAAGCAAAATTATACAGAAATTTAGACAATCATATAATTTCCTCTACTACTAACCTTTCCAATTGTGTCATGTCAACATTGGCAGTGAATGATTGTTGGCCAATCATTGTAGAAAGAATATTGCTATTCAACTTTCCATCCTTCTTCAATGTAACAATAACATGTTGTTGTTGATCCTTTCTATTAATCATATGATTCAAATCATGCAACCAAGAATTATCAACAGCAACAAAAGGATTACTCTTGAAAGCATCCAAATTTAAAAATCCATCTCTCTTGAGAGTCTTGACGTCATCCAATGTAATTTTTCTTCTTCCTCCATCCAAACCCGAAATGGATACTGAAGATGCTGTCATCATATTACTTCTTCGGAGGTTGGATGATGAAGATGCTGTCATTCTAGCAATTTCCAACCAATTCTTCTCACTCTTTAACCTTTCAGCCGACAATAATTGGGCCATCATCATGATACCCATCATCACCACTACTACAAGAGCTGCTGCTGATATTTTTCGCCTCTTATTTGCATGGCTAATTGTATGGAGCTCCATTTTTTTCTTTGTTGAAATTAAAATATATTTTGAATAAATCATCAGTGGGCAAACAATCAATTAATTGAGGAGATGATGACAGTATGGGAATTGAGGTAACAAGATAACATGGAGTGAAAGGTCAGTAGGAGTTGGTGGGTATAATACAAAGGAATGGAAATTATAGAGCAGAATAAGAAAAGTTTTTTCTGAAATTGAAAAAAATGAAAAAATGGTTTTAATTGTTGGATTCATGTTGGTGCAAAAATCTAGCTAGTAAGAATAAAACTTCATCTAAGATGTGGGGAGGGATCAAATTGATCTTTACAATAATCAATTTCAAAGGCTAGAAGTTGGTTGATTTAAAAAAATGAAACGACTCAAAACACAACGTTCCGATCAGAGTTATGAAATATTCTCTGATGACATTTGTTGCGAAATTATTTCCTACATTGATGATTCTAAATTTCTCATGCAGACTTGTTCCTTTATTTCCAAACAGTGGTTAAATATTATTCTAAATTATTCTAAATTTTTGCTTGAATTTAAGAAGAAATTAACAAACAAGATGGAATCCTTGTTGAAAAGAAGTCAATTTTTAGATTGTATTGTGGGTGTTCATGTGGAAACATTCGGATCAAAGGATTGTTCAAGGTATTGTGGAATATTTGCAAAGATGTCTCAGTTGACCAAACTTGATATTAGCGGATTGAAAATTGGAGAAGATGGAATCAAGGCAATTAGTCAATTGAAACAATTAAAATCTCTTTATTTGTACGCAGATGTAGACAGCAATGCACTCAATGGGGTTTTTGAAATGACACAATTGACTGAGCTGGATATTAATAGAAAACAGTGTCATAGGTGGAATGGAGGATTTAAAAAATTGAAACAACTAACCAATCTAAAGAAACTTTGCGCTGTTGGTTGTTGTATAGACTATGAAGATGTGTTTCAATCGATTAGTCAACTTGATCAATTAACTGAACTTCACATTGCTTCAAATAGTTTATACTCAGATGGTGCCAAATTAATTGGAAAATTGAAAAATTTAACCATTCTAGATATTAGCTATTGTGGTGTTTGCATTCCACATAATGAAGGGTTGGAATCTATCAGTGAATTGATCAATCTTACATATCTTGATTGTGCTAACAATGGCCTTAGGTCAATTGGGCCTATTTCAAAGCTGGAAAATTTAACGTTTCTGAGAGTGTCTCTCAATAGGATATCATCACTTGATGAATCTATTGTAAAATTGAAGAAATTGACCAACTTGGATGTTGGATATAATTCTATTAGCGATCAATCAGCTGAGGTTTTCAGCTCAATGAAACAATTAACTAGTCTCTTTATTCAAGAAAATAATATTGGTGACAAGAGTGCCAAATCAATTAGTGAAATATCACAGTTGAAAAATCTATGTATAGATTCCAATATTGTAAGTGACAAAGGTGCCAAATCAATTAGTACAATGGAAAATTTAACTGAACTCGATATTAGAAATAATGACATTGGAGATGATGGAGCAAAATCACTCACTAGATTGACAAAATTGAAAACATTGCGGATTGCTCAAAACAATATTAGTGAGGAAGGAATGATGACTCTCAAGAAATTGAAATATTCAACAAATGTTGTAATTCACTTTTAAAACACTAACTTTCATCACCAAATAGCTTCTTTTACCTATCATTCAAGAGACCATCCACTCAAATTATTCCTCTTAAATAATTGATTAATAAGTTTCGTTTTTAATTGGGAAGCCTTAGTGCCATAACATTATTGTAGTGGTGGTAAATGAGATAAGGGTGCTTTGGATAAATTGACCACATATGGCATGGATTGGTTTTTGCTTGGAAAGAAAGATTTTTATTGAAATGGAACCTCTATTCATTCAAAAGCAAATTTACAACAGTAGGAGAGATGCTTACCTCACCTTCATTGCAAATTGAAAATTTGAAATTTTCCTCATGATTTCCCACACTCATAAAAATGAACGAAAATGCAACAAGAAATTCATCAACCAGACAACAAAAACTCAATTTTACAAATATTAGAGTGTTGGTGAGGGAGGTGATTGAACGATTCATGTTCGGAGATGTTTCTACAACAATAAATGACAAGATGATGATTGAACAATTGTTGGGTAGTGAACAAACCATGACAAGAAATGTTCAAAAATTGCAACAAAAGAAACAAGGTTTGGAAAATCAATTGGAAAGAAAGAGATCGGAATTGATGGAGAAGGCATTTAGAAATTATAATATTGTTGATCTTCATCGGAAACATACTACATCAGTTGTTTTAGCAGGGAGTGAAAAACATAATTCGGAAATTATAGAACATAATACTACATCAGGATTGAGAAAATTAAATAATAACAATACTAGCAATTGGCTAGGTTTGGAGTGGATTATTAGATTGATATTATCTTTATTCAAAGGAGTTTAAAATATTGTTGTTGAATAGTAATGAGAAAAATGATGACTCGATAATTAAAATGATTTTGCTGACGGTATTGAAAGAAGGTTGGACAAAATTACAAAATTGATTGATTTTCCGTTTGAAAAATTCAAATAATTTTATTAAGGAAAATAAATATTCGAGAATTTCTTGGAATGAAGCATTTATTCATCTCTCTTCAAATAGAAATGATTTACGCTATCCTGTCATGAAAAGTACAGTTAGGAGTGATGATGGTGGTGTTAAGAGCTGACTGTTTCAAAGCAGCTGCTTTCTGTTTGCGCAATTTGGCATGTGCAAAAACTGATGCAGTCTTTGGAAGTGAAGAGTTGTTTGATAATTCCTTTGCTATTATTGGTGTAGGTGCAGCAACAATTAACCTCTTCATTGAAGGGGAATTGTTAACGTGTGGAAAAGTACTACAACTTTCTTCTAATTCAATAAATTTTCGTTTGAAAGATTTTTGTACCGAAGGTTTTTGTGGTGATGATTTTTGAATGATTGTTGAATGTTGGTGTTTAGTCAAAGACATACCATGATGTTGCTCATCTCTTCTAAAGAGAATAATCTGATTTACATTTCTGTGATTGGTAGGAATATATTTACAGGAGACTCTATCGCTCAAGTCTTTGGTTTCGGTTGGTTGTTGGGAAGTAGGTTCTATTATTTGGGTGTTTCTCTCAAAGAGATTCAAAATTTCTTCAATTTTGTTTCCTCTCCTCGACGGCTTGGTTTTAAAATACAATTCTTTCTCTTTACACTCTAAAAGTACGTGTTGGTGGACCTCTTTAGAGTCAAACGTTGAAAGGGGTGATAATACAAAATGTCTTCTCTCTCGCAATGGTTTTTGTGAAGAGCTTTTAACTTCCCTACTATTGCATGTGGACGAAGAGTACTTCCTGCCGTCATACAAAACACTACCAATCACTTCCTTATGATCCTCAGAAACAACAACGCTCGAACAAATACTACTACAATCACGCTTGATCATCATCATTGACTTTTCGTGTTGAAGGCTTGTTGCTTCTCCACCTTCCGTACAACTTGATCGGACGTTCAAACATTTGCAGTCAGCTTTGGAGTACTGATGATCATCACGTTCAGTCATTTTTTTTGACGTTACATATTAAGAGAAGGTAAAATTTGCACTGTCTGTTTTAAGCATCAACGTCAACCCGCGTTTTTTCGGTTACCAAAATTTTGTTGAACAGAACACTAGAAATTTCGATTGTAAATTATTTTGATAATTGAAAAAAACAATAATTTTAGTATGAAGCGTGATGGAAGTTAATTCACAACCTTCCAACGTTGAAAATGGTGAAGAAGAACATGTTGGGACTTTGAAAAAATCTAGCGCCATTTTTAATTACAATTATTGTAACTCAAAGATCAGCTGTTATTTAAATTGCCTTAAATATTTTGTTGAGTAAATATCTATTTCAAAATTTTTCACCAAATATGTTAACTGAGTATCTTATGATTGTTTTAGGATTGAATCATAAATGACAATTCAATTTGATATCTCTCGTTGTAATATATTTGATCAAAATATTTAAAGTTCTCGATTATCTTATTCCTCTCCAAGAAGAAACCAATGTTGAAAAGTTTATCCCTATCCAAAAGGATTGAAATTATCTAGAAAGAACCATTCAAATATAAGAATGTAGATTTAATGGAAAAGGGAAATGATGAAACAGCTCTATTATTTGATTAATTGTTCACTGAGATGATTCAACCAGAATTTAACTCTCGACAAGCTAGTATCTCCCTCGTAGTGGTTTCCTAGCTCGATTTGTTGGATATGATAAGTTAACAAGGAAATTGCCTTGTTTAAATCAGAGTTAGCATCCTGAATCTTGTTCATTCTTTTCAGTAAATTAAACCTTCTCTCAAGAAGGTCAACAATCTTGATAATAATTCTTGGTTTTTCCAATTTGATAAATATATCATCTCCTCTTTCTTCCGAATCATCCACTTCTCTATTACCACCATCAGTATTACTCAAATTAATTAATCTCATATCCAACTCCCTAATTTTTTCTGAAATCTCAAACAGTTCACATTCTTCCTCCAATTTTACAATCAAATTTTTCAATTGATTAACATCTTCCTCTTCTTCTGGATTTTTAGAGTTAATCAAAGCAGATATATTATAAAATTCACATATTGACTTTAACACATCAATATCATTCCTCACTTCAACAGCCAACTCGAATGAAGTATCAATATTTCTAGGAGCCCTCAAACATGCAAATATTCTTTCCAAATCTTGTTGAATAAATTCCCAAATCTCACTAGGAATTAAATAGCCTTTTAATAAATATATATCATTATAAAAATTATATTAATTATTATATCATCATACCTTCTTTAAATATTAATTCAAGATCGTACTCTAAAGACTTGTTCCTCCTCGATTCCATAAATTCATCCACCAATTTTTCACCCAATCTCAATGTTCTACTTCTCCTCCCAATCTGAAAATCATCGTCCGATACAAGTTTCATAACATGATTATTATATTCATCAAAACTCTTCAGTGAAGCTAATAATCTACAATTTAAACAATGAAATTGTTGTATTGTACCAATATTGTTTGATTTGGTATTCCAAAGAGGTTGAAAATTCTTATTTGATATCAACTTGTGTGCCTTCCTCTGAATATTAAACATTTTTTAAATTAATATTAAAGATTGGATTGTTCTCAAAGTGTTGGATGGTACGATTGTTACTAAATGAATCAGATGAATACATTATGAAAGAAAAATCAATAATACAGTTTATTAGATTGTACCCAATCTTTTGGTTTTGAAACAAAAACTCTTGTCCTGCCAAACAAAACACACCAAAAAAAAATGAAGAGAAAACATCTTGCTATCAAATGTGAAGAAGACGGAGAATGCAATCTAGCCAAGGTAACTGTGCGTCGACCTGCTATCAACGGTGAAGAAGAGAATAGTGAAGAAGAAGAAGAAGAAGACTCTGAATATGAGGGAAGTGATGAAGAACAAGTTGATGCCCCTCATGATGTCCATTCTCCAAAGAAACGTCTTGGTAACATCAAGAATATTCTCTCAAAACTTGAAGAAAAGGTTTCTGTTCTATGCGAAGAAAATCAACAATTGTCAAGTCCAATTAACAAAATGCAAATTACAGACCAAGAATTGATACCACTGAATTACGACCAGCTCACTGAATTATTAAAAATAATTGCAGGCGTCAAGTTTATGTACTACAATCAGCTCAATATTAGATGTTCTGTAAATCAACTTACAAACGAAACCGATGATATTCAGCAAGAAGAGAATCAACAAGATCATGAATCCATGGAGAATTCAAAACATCTGGGTGAAATGTTGAGTGAAGAGACGAAACACCTGTGGAACGAAATTAAAATTCTCGCAACAACCAATGCAAAGCTAAAAGTGAATATTGGAGTAACCAGAAGATTTTCAAGTATTCAGGAAAGGGACATTGCAAAACTCAGCCATGTTGAATTGGGAAAGCTTCTCACATCCATTGAAAGTTCCAGATCCAAAATCGATCAGAAATTGCTCACTTTTTTGAAATGAGTTCAATAAATCTCAATTCCATTCAATATTTATGTTTTTACAAAATAATGTTTCAAAATTAAAGGCTAGCCACGTCAGATTCTCACAAACAAAACCACCCATCAACAAAAGCTTGCACAACCAAACAAATCATCTTCCGTTCCTTTCCAACTCCGCCACCACCAAATAAAAACTAGGCGTTCCGTAAAATGCTATCCGAAGACCGGAGGAAAACTTTAAAAAAAATATCAAACGACGCTCTCACTCATACTTTCTTTTTTTTGAATACTTGCTAGGATTTTTTGTGTTCACAACAATAACAATATAGGGAAGAAGAAGAAGAGAATATATCATCATTTAAAATCAATATAAACACGAGAGTTGAGAGTATACATATTAGATAATATATAATTTGATCATTGAAAATGGTTTCCGGATTAACTGCTAAACGTATAGTGAATGGAGGATTTAATCCTGATGTGGATTGTTTAATTGATGATGGTATGTTTATTGTCATTTAAAGTTATCTTGATGATTGTTGTGTGTGGATAATCATGAAAATTCACTTCTTGTTTGATGTTGACCATTGCTATATAATAGGTGATACCGCCTGGGTTACTGTTTCATCAATTCTCGTATTGGCCATGATGAGTGCTTTGGCTTTCTTTGAAGCAGGTCTGAGTAGAAAGAAAGAAACCTTGACGATTTTCAGTCAAATTTGGATTGGTCTGGCAGTTTTGGCTGTGGCATGGATTTTATTTGGATACACTCTTGTTTTTGGTCCAACACAAGGTGGTATTATTGGTGGTCTTGATTATATTGCATTCATTGGAGTTGATTTGAATAAGTGTTCACAACATGCTCTCTCAATTCCACATGCATCTTTTGCAATTTTCCAAATGATGTAAGTGTATTATAATTTCTCACATATATTGAACCAATCTTTTACAAACACTTGTTTTCAATGTAAATAGGTTTGCTTGCATTACACCACTTTTGATGACAGGTGCTTTTGCTGAAAGATTAAAATGGAGGGGTATGTTTTTCATTCAAACTTTTCAATCTCTAAACCAAATTAGCTTATATTGCTTTCATTCTTATTTGGGAATTTTTGGTTTACTACCCAGTTGCTCACATTATTTGGGGAGGTGGTTTCTTATCCCATAAACCATTGGATACTTTAGATTTTGCTGGTGGTATTGTCATTCACGTCCAATCAGGTATTGCTGCTTTGGTGTGTGCTCTTGTTTTTGGTAGAAGAAAAGATTTTGATGATCACCACGGTGAACCTCATCCATCTAATCTTCCACTTGCTGCTATTGGTGCTGCTTTGTAAGTATTTTTATAATATTTCATATTTACTGACCTCGTTAATAGATTGGTAAGTTTACAAAAAGTGTGAATTCATTTTTTTAACTTGAATTAAATAGTGGATGGGTTGGTTTGGATTCAATGCTGGTAGTGCTCTCTCATCATCAAGTGTTGCCATTGCTGCCATTGTCAATACCCAAGCTGCTGCTTGTACATCAACAGTTGTTTGGCTTATCATGCACTGGATCAAGAATAAGAAGCCATCCTTGGTCAGTTTGTTAAATGGTAGTATTGCTGGTCTTGCTGGTATTACACCAGCTTCTGGTTATATCACTGTTCATGCTGCTATGGTTCTTGGTTTGATTCTTGGTGCTTTCAGTTATTTGGGTATTTACTTGTTGAAGCATAAACTCAGAATTGATGATGCTCTTGATGTTTCCGTAAGTATTATTGAAATAGAGTTTTAATCTGTAATTTATATTTCACTTGAACCATTCACAATTAAAATTAGAGTGTTCACGGTATTACTGGTCTTATTGGAAGTATTGCCATTGGTTTCTGTGCCACAACCTCAGTCAATCCAGATGGAGCTGATGGTGTTTTCTATGGTAATGGATGGCAATTAATGGCTCAATTGGTTGGTGTTGGTTTGGCCTTCTTCTGGTCGGGACTCATTACCTTCATTCTTGCCATCTCAATTAGAATGATCAATAGATACTATCCACACTTGTTGGTCAATACTCGTGAAGAGGAAGAACAAGGTTTGGATGCCTTGGAATTCAGTGAAGTTTCTGCCTATGAAGAAACTGTCTCCAGAGCTGCTCTCGAACTCATGTTAGCTGATTTGGAAAAGAGAAGACTCTACAACATGAAGAAGATGATTGATTCTCAACAAGAACAATTCGTTTTGGAACAAAAGCAACGAAAACAACTTGTAAACAATATTAGAGTTGATATGGGAAGTCCAACTTCTTCATTCCACTCAAATTATGGAACTAGTAATTTACACTAAATTAATTTATTAAGCAGACAGAATATTAGATTCGAATAAACATAAAATTGTATTTTGAAAAGTAATTCCATTTCTTTTTTAATCTTGTTGTTAGGTGAAATTTGTTTTGAATTTCTTATTATCTTGAAAAACATCCGTTCAAAGATCATCTGAGACCAAGTCAGAAATAGTTAATTAGTTGAAACATATTGAAATGTTATTAAATTCTTCATCTTAGGTCAATATTTAACATCATGATACAATTAGAACACTGAACAAGTGACTCTTATTGTTGATAACTAATTTCTCATCAAAAATTGTTTCCATTATCTGCAAGTCTTTGTTGCGAAAACTATCAACAGACATTTGACAAGGAAAAATAAAAAATGTCTCAACCTCGCATGGAAAGCGTCAAACTGATGGTAAGTAAAACACCCAATAATAACATCATCAACCTTTTAACAAGACCGTAGGAGACGGTGCAGTCGGTATGTTTTTATTAATTTAATTTTTTCATTGGAAACTAAATGATGATGATTAGGTAAAACATCTTTACTCATGTCATACGCTTTAGATAAATTCCCAGAAGACTACGTGCCAACAGTTTTCGATAACTATGTAAGTGTTGTTATTCACTTTCAAAACTTGAAAATAGACATTTGACATTAAATTAGACATGTACAATGGTGTACAATAAACAAATTCACGTATCCCTTGGGCTGTGGGATACAGCTGGTCAAGAGTAAGTACTTTTTATCACATTCCAATAACACAATTCTTTACAGTGAGTAAGTCATTCATCAATTCTAATAATTCTAATAGAAAGGAACAACAAACCATCATCATCACCTTTTTTCTGATATATCTAAACGCTCTCTATATTCTTGATAATAATAATACTAATTATTATTAATATTTAAAAACAGCTATGAACAAATGCGTCCATTAGCTTTTCCTGGAACTCATGTTTTTCTAATTTGTTTTTCATTGATTAGTAGATCGAGTTTTGAAAATGTTGATGCGCATTGGATTAAAGAAATTAGAACATTTTCAAAGGATGTTCCATTTGTTTTGTGTGGAACTAAATTGGATAGTGCAAATGGTAGGTTTTTCTTTCGAATGATGACTTTGAATATTTTCTATTGTTATTATTATTATTATTATTATTTAAATAATAATCTGATGGATGTGAATTTGACAATGTTCAAACTGTTGAACTGCCTTTCAATAATTGTGTGAAATTTTATTGGAATTGGAAAACTATTTTACAAAATATTTACAGATCCAGAAACTTTGAAAAAACTTGAAGAACATGGCGAAAAACCAGTGACCAAAGAGGAAGGAGAGGCCCTTGCCAAAAAGCTTGGTGCCTACGCATTCTGTATGTGTAGTGGTAAGACACAAGTTGGTATTACAGAAGTTTTCAAAAAAGCAAGTGAGACAGGTCTATTATATCAAGGTGTTTTGAACAGTTCTGATCTCGAAGGTGGAAGTGGAGGAAACAACACATCAAAGACCAATACATCACCCAATAATGCATCACAGAATAGAAATGGTGAAAAGAAAGGTTGCTGTCTGGTCATGTAAATATTGAATTCACACGCAACCTATCACTTTCTCAATTTATCTATTCTCTTCATTATAAACACAACAACACATTTTAATTCAATCATAAATTGAATCTTTCATTGATCTGAGAGGAAAATAGCAAGTGTAGTGTGGAATTTGTTATCATCATGTGGAATTTTGAAAGTTCTCAAAATTTACTGTACATTAAGGACTTTCAAATTTCCTCGATTTTCCCACAAATCCTCCCCACGTCCACTGTCTGAGGTTCAAAACAAAACTTCCGTAACTGATTGGCTTGGTTTTTGGCGAAGGACCTTCACACACTTGCAAATCCACCCCACATTTGTCACTCACAAAAAAAAAGACTTTAAGACTACTAGGCAAATTGTTGCTGTTCGTTTTTTTGATATTCAAAAGCAGAGAAAGGCTTCTTGGTTTTTCGGAGGTTGAAATGACAAGTCAAAAGGAAGAGCAAACAATGCATCAAGGAATGATCGTATCATCTGTTGTTGCATTCATGAAAAAGGTGGCACTCGTGATGGTCAAGATGATGATTGTGAGTGTGATTGTAGTGTTGGCTACCTTTTATCAGATTGTATTAATTATTGGAGAATATTTAAATGAATATTGTGGCGATGGTAGTGTGAATAATTGTGAAATTGATGATACATCAAAGGTTTATAATTTGGTCAGGAAATCGAGTGAAGAGGATTCAGAATTGAAAAAGAAAAGGAATATTCTCTTGTTGGGAGGGAGAGCTCCTGTTTGTTTGGATTATTTGAGAATGTTTTCAGAGATGGGACATTCAGTTCATTTGGTGGAATCCCCATCGTATAGACCAATGTTTGTGGCAAATCTTTCGAAATATGCCAAGTCAGTTAGATACTTTTCAGTATATCCTAACAAGAAATTCAAGACATTTCAAAAGGAATTGATTGAAATTTGTAAAGAATTGAAGATTGATATTGTCATTCCTACTTGTGAGGAAGTTTTTCATGTTGCTAGAGCTAAAGTCCAGGTTGAAAAGGAGGCCAACTGTTTCGTATGTTGCGAACCATTGGAAAATTTACGTGAACTTCACAACAAGTATGATTTTGTGGAATATATTGGAAATAATGAGGAAACATTGAATGAAAATACTAAAATTAGAGTCAAGAATCCAGAAACCATTCTCATTAATCATAGCCATCTGAAAGATAACACTGAAATGATCAATTTTTGGAAGAAATGTAATGGTCAAGTTGTCTTAAAGCCATGTTATTCGAGATTTGCCTCTCAGACCATTGTCAAACCAAGCTATGAAAGCTACATTGATATTGTAAAGAGTGCAAAGGTTTCAAATGATTCATCGACTTGGTGGGTAGCCCAAAAATTCGTTGATGGTCAAATTGTTTGCAGTTTTGGAGTTGCTCAGAGAGGAAAATTGCTAGCTCACTGTACCTACTTGGGAGGAATTCACACGCCGAATGGAACACCTGTTGGAAGTACTGTCTATTTTGAACAGATTAGTAATGATCAAATTGATACAGCCCTCAAATCTTGGATTTCCTCAGTGGTTTCACATAGAAATTTCACAGGTCAAATTTCATTTGATTTTATTGTCACCAAGAAGGGGCAAGAATTAATCATTCATCCAATTGAATGCAATCCAAGAGCCACCAGTGGAGCTCACTTATTTAACACCCCTCATGTCAATCGTGCCAAATTCATTCAATGTTTCTTCCCACAACAAGCAACCTCCACCAGCAATGAAGATAACAAGGCAGAACATGAAATTCTCTCACCACCATTTGGTACCAAATCTCAATTATTAGGTGCCATGATTCTCACTCTCTTTGTAGGATGTTCCTCAATGCAATTAATCTCATCATGGCTCGCAGATGTATTGAAATGTGGAATTGAAAAGGATGCCCTATTTAAACCTAATGATCCACTGCCATTTTTCATGCAGGCATACTTTGCCCTGGATCCAATCATTAAAATGTGGCGTTTTAGAGTCAATTTGATTTCTGCCATGACTTTTGATATTGAATGGAATGGAGAAGATGAGGAATAAACCTATTTTGTCTGTAATATTGCATTGTAGACCACTCAGTTGTTTACAATAACAGTAGATCAAAAGGTGGTCAACAGTTGTGCAACAACAGTTCGGATAACACTATTCTTCTCTCAATGCACATAATTTTCTACTTTTGTAGCACTTGTTCAATAAAGAGCTACATGTAAAATCTCCATTAGTGCCCAGATTAAAAAAATTCCTACAGGACCAGTAGGGATATATGGAATTGAATTTACAATAGTATGTTCATAGAAGTATACTGGGGATGAGACTATAAGGAAGCATACATCGGTTGATGATGCATGTATTTCGAGTTGTTGATGTAAGAATGCTGCCTTTAATTTCGGAACAATAGAAGAGCGGGCACATTATTGATGCCTTTTATTGATGTACAACAAAAAGCAGTAATATCAAGAGCCGGCTTTTTGTGCTGTGCTGATTAATTTAATATTCATTCATACCTCTGCTGTTCAAGTAGTGCTCAGAGTTTGATGTATTGCAATGTTGTGTGTTAGCTTCTTCTATCAAAATCAAAAATTTCTCTCAAGAATAAAAATCGCAAGCAAAAATTAGCTTTGTAATACTAAGAAATTTTAAAAAAAAATATTACATAATGACCATCTCAAGACTTGTCAAGATTGGAGGTATTTCAATGTTGCTCGTTGCAGCTAATGCTGTTGCTTTCAAAGGAGGACACGACTCTGTTGATGGAAGTGGAAAATTCTCATCTCATAAACTCACAGAAACCTTGACTGCTGTGGACAAGGATATCCAAGCTCAAGTTTCTAAACTCAATGAACAAAACTTTGATTTTAAGAATAGAGAAGAAGTTATTAATGTTGTTTGTTCCAAGCAACTCCCAGTCCTCCAAAAGTCTTGTAAATCTTTGTTCGATAGATACTATCACAGCTACAAGGTAGGAAAGGGTGCCGATATTGAAGAATATTTGAGAGTTGTTATCAAGAAGTAAATCATCAAATAATAATAATAATTTATAATTTATGTTTTTCGTGATGGGAATAAAATGTATCATGGATCTTTGTACAATCCTGTAATTATGACAAATACATTAATTTCCTAGGATGATCTTTTGAATTATTATTTGGTCGACATTTCTTCACTAATGCCATTAGTGCAGAGGAATTGCAACACACGTACTACTAGTAGAAGAGAAGTAGCCACCATTCCTTACATGATGCACCATTGGCATGAGAAGGTATCCATCCGAACCTAATGATGAAGAATGTGATGCTGGTTCCAAAGAACAAGACGGAGAAAAGAATACCAATTCTGAACAGGTACAATCTTGTAACTTTTTCGTAGAGATTGGTTTTCCTCCCTTGTAGATATCCCACACTCTCAGCCATCCTTTTGAATCGCCACAAATTAGGAAGCGAGAGTTGTGGATGAACATTTTAACATTGACTTCTTCTGTAATGGTGGAAAGATTGAAGAGTTGTTGATGTTTCTCTTCGAAATCGTAAGAAACTAGACAGCTATGGAATGGAGAAGAATTCAATGACAACTTCCTCTTGTCGAACATGTGAATATAGATGCTGTAGCCGAGTTCATTCTTACATATTGATCTCACCAAGAATCTATCCTCATCTAAGCTCAATATTTGTCCAATGAAATTTTCAGTTCCATATTGGAGAGAGCAAATTTCTTGTTGTGAAAAGGTTGGATTTCTATTATTGCTCTTGTTGGAATTGTTAGAATTGGATTGTTGGAGTTGTGAAATGTAGATACCTCCATCTCTTCTAGCATACATCAATTCTCCAAATTCCACAATGAATGGGTTCCAGTAAGTGATTAAAATATCCGAATATTGATTCGAAATAAAAGCTATTGTAGATGCCTTAATGTTTGGAGCAGATTTTGATATAAGAGAATTCAAATCAATGATAATGCCACCCTTATTGAGCCCTATGGCACACCACCTATTGTTTGGATGAATGGATTGGGAGAATACAGTCTTATTCTTAGAAAGGGCGAATTTTTCATGGATTGGTTCATCATATGAACTAAATCGAATAATGAATAAATTACTGGTCTGTTTTGGAGTCACTATGAAATGTAGATGTGATCCTCTATTATTTTTCTTAATCGAGATGGAATAAATTGGTTTTCCACTGAATGATAAATGAATAATGTCTTGATAATTATCCTCTTTTTGGAGTTTAAATTCTCCAATACAGAGTATGTCATTATGAATTGATGTCATGATATTTCTATTTACAACTTGTTGATTTCTATTCACTAACGAACAACTCGTAATTTGAATGTTAGACTGCACATCTTGATATTTTAAAATCTCATCATTTTGTTCCCATTCATCAATATTCGAAAGATTATTTAACAATTTGAAATTTTCCATTCTATTTACAACATGCTTATTGTACAACCTATTATCTGAAGGATGAATCATTCTCGATTTGATATGAGTGTAAAATTGATTCTTCCTATCATGATTCAATAATGTAGAGGATTGATATTTCACAACATTTGACTGAATTGTGCGACTACTCGTAGATGGGACTTCAATTTTCTTTCTAATCTTCAATTGACTCATCTTGTGGGTTTCCAACTCTACCATTCTATCCTCCGAATTTCCTACCAATAGAGAACATTCAAGTCCATTCTTTGGAATTGGAAAATACCTATTCGCCTTACTATCAAAATAAAAGCCTGGCAATGCATTCCCAGAAGATGATGCTGATGCAATTGTATTGTTTGATTTTTGTGATGTTATTCTATTATTCTGTTTGGATTTATTCCTTCCAGTAGAATGAGAAGTCGTTGAAGAGGAAGAAGCACTTGCAAATTGTTGCTGATTTTGATTATTATTATTTACTCCGAGAATTCTTGCAATTTTACTATCCATATCCTCTGGAGAAGACTTTCGTTTCCGATGATGATCATTATTTGAATTATTGCTTATTGTTTGATCTTGCTTCCTCTTCTTGGATTGATTATTATGCTGCTGTTGCTGATTCTGTCGTCTATTATTACCACTATTCTTATTATTATTATTATTATTTGATGAGGATGAATAACTTCTCTGGTTTTGATTGTTCGTCATTTTTTTTGTAACATTAACCATTAAAAAATAGTCTCTCATTAAGAACTATTAATAATTCTGAATCATATAGATGTTGAATTCAACAATATTATGAATCATTTCCCTTTGTGTTCATAATCATTAGAAAAATAGATTAAAAATTTCATCTTCTTGTTGAGATAATTGTGTTCTGTTTCAAAATGTAACCTTGCTAATGTTTACAATGAATTTTTGAAGACCTCCTTCAAGAATATCATCATTATTGATTCGCTTTTTCACCATCTCCAATGTAACACCACATCCATGAATAAGAAAAGATTTTTCAACATTACAATCAACTTCTCACAACCAAGCAAAAAAAATGTCTCAACATCATGTCAATGATCATTCCACTGCATCAACATCAAATGGTGCAACCATCATTGAAGGAGTATTTAATTTTTGTGATATAATGTCCAATACTAAATTATCCGATCATCAAAATAGTAAACAATTGTGTTTGTATTATAATTTGGATATTGATGAGGAGGAGGACTTTGTTGGTGGTGAATTTAGAATGTTGAAATTTAATTCGGAATCAAATTTGTTTAATATTAAACAAATAGAGCATTCACAGCATTGTTCATATCTGGCAGTATTTTTAATTGACATTTATGGTATTAACTATTTATATTATTTAAATTATTCTAAAATGGAAAATGCAAGTAAATTTATCAGGCCTGCTGAACAAGCTAAAAAAATAATTGGTCATGATTTATTCAATGATTCGAAAGATTTTATTGGAATTCAGAATGAATATTTGAAATTATTACCATTCCAATTTAGAAAGAATGAACATGTTATCAAAATTGATACAAGTGGTACTTTAATGAAAACTAATTTGAATTCGATTTGGGATATTACTGGTTCAGTAATTAGTATTAATAATAATATATTGGAACATTTAATATTTGATGATACACATTACAATGTATTACTTGTTGAAAAGAAAGTTAAATATATTGATAATTTTAATGATGAAATAGTTGATTTTGATTGTAATGGACATTCTGTATTTACAACTAAAAGTGGTAAAGTTTATGGATATGGATATAATACATATCGTCAATTAAATTTAGATGGTGAAGATGATAATATCATTGAATTTTTATCAGATATTTCATTTGATTCTTTACCTATTAAAAAGGTAATGCCAGGTCCATATAAAACCCATTTCATTACTGAAAGTGGTGCATTATATGCATCAGGTGTGAATTCCAATTATGTTCTTGGATGTTCAGAAGGTAAAACAAAGCAGGAAATATATGATTATATTGCATCAGACGTTGGCCAATTTCATTCATATCCAGCATGTAAATGTGATTTAATTGATGAGAAATATGAAATTCAACACGTTTATCCAATTGGATATGATGAAAGATGTATTTTTTTAACAAAAGATAAGAAATTATTGATGTGTGGAAAATATTTTGATGAAAATGGTACTGAAATTATTTCAGTTGGTGATATTTATCCATTAGATGGCGAAATTGATCAATTATTTAGTCTTGGTCAATTATATTTGCTTGTTATTACAAAAGATAGAAAGGTACATGTAGTTGGAAAAAGAAAAATAGATACAACTGGCTATAGACCAAATTGGGTTAAAAAATATTTAGCGCAGGAAAGATTTATTGATCAAGTTAAACAACAGGTTGAAATTTTACTCTCATTAGATGAAAGAATATTTGGAAAATTGCATTTATATCCAAATCGATTTGATTTTGGTTGTGTTTTAAAAATGGAAATGTCTTTGGATTTGTTATCATTTTTCAAATCCTTAAGGCAAGGTATGGAACAGGGAAACTTTTCAGATTTAACTTTTACTTGTAAATAAATGTTTAGCCTTCGTTTAACTAGAAAAAATTTCTTGTGAATAGATAGTTGTGGAATCTTTTGTTCTGTTAAGATGATTGTTTTATTAGAGATACTCACTAATTACTTTCTTCAAATCATCCTTGCTGCAAGGTTTGCTGATAACTTTATCAACAACTTCCAAATAGGAAGAAATATTAATTAGAGCATCAGCTGTAATCATTACAATTTTTGAATTGGGATGTTTTTCTCTGATAACTTTGGATGCTTCTAAACCATTAAGGATAGGCATGTGCATATCGGTGATAATTAATTTGTGTTGTTCAGGTTTGAATGAATCAACTAATTCCTTTCCATCTCGCACAGAATCTAAACTCTGCCCCAAACTTTCGAATAATTTAATGAGGACTTTTCTGTTGACAAAATTGTCTTCTGCTAGGATAATTTTTGGTAAGGAGCTATTAGGATTAGATTCTCTGTTTGTTAAAATTTTCTTATCTTGTTCCATTCTGTACAGATAATCTGTGTGAACTTGTAGTTGTCTCTTGAGAGAAGTATTCAGTTTGGATGGTTCTTCAAAAAAGTTAAGTATATCTTCTTGTTCGATATTGCTAGCTTTCATTGGAATTTGTACAGTAAATATTGTTGTTCCATTCTCAGAAAATAGATCAATTGTTCCATTCACGGATTTTACAATATTGAGACATGTTACCAATCCGAGTCCAGAGCTAGGAACCAAATCTTCATTGATTTGATGCAATTGAGCAAATGGAACGAATAAATCTTTTTGTCTTTCTTTAGGAATACCAATTCCATGATCAATAACTTGGAATTGGAAAATGGTTTCTCCCTCATTTTGGCCATTGCCTAGGATTTCACATTTTAATTGCACTGTATCGTTTGGTTTTGAGGCCTTGATGGCATTTGTGAGAAGATTGGATAGGCACTGCTGCAATTTGGTGTGATTGAAGAAAACTTTCATATTTTGAATATTCTTATCAATGTAAAATTTCACATCCACTTTAAAGTTGGTGGCATAGCCCTTTGTGAGAGAGTAGAGTGAATTGATGGAGTTGAACAAGCTGAAAGATATGTAGCTGGTTTCCTTAGGTGGATGATTTACATCATGTTCTGTCTTGGCAAAAAGTAAAATGTCCTCAATAAGTGATAACAAAATGTTGTTGGCAGATTCTATAGTGGCAATGAAATCCAATTGTTGTGGTGCCAATTCAGTTTCCTTAAGCAGTGATATCGAACCCAAACTTGATAAACAAGGGACTCTAAACTCGTGAGTGATGTGACTGAGGAAATCTGATTTAACATCGAGTGCTGTTTGAATTTTTCTAGTTGCCTCCTTCATTGCCTTACACTCTGATGATAACTGAATCATCAAGTATAAATTATAAATTCCAAAAAGCAATGCGGAAATTATCAAAGTTCCATAATGAAATAAAAACTCTAACAGTGAATCCATGTCCATCAAGTTAAATTCATACTTTGCCATACCCCAAATAAAATAATGAGCACATGTGTATACTATTGGAAAGAATGCTTTAAAAGGACTATTTAAACTTCCCTTTGAAGTTGTAGTTATTGTTGAAAAGACACTGGGCAGAACCATCATTTTGTTATGAACTAGTGAAAATCTGCATGTAAACATTAATAAATTGAAAATCAAAACTTTCACATTTGGATTCACAGTATAGAAAAACCAATAAAAATTAACACCCACTGTTGATGCATTCACCAGCAACATCAACAGTCCATTAGTCATTCCACCACTATGAAAACAGTATAATATATTCAAAAAGTAAGCAAAATAAACAATTCCCACCAATAAAAAGCTTTGTAATGACATGAATGGTTTCCAATAATCAGGTATACTCGAAGAACCTGAAAAGTGAATATATGAAAGTGGTAGAAAAAATTCGTCCGTTGTACTATTTTTCCTCAGTGATGGTCTATGTATTGGCTCGTCGACATTACTAGTGGTAGTTGTGGTATTATGATGATGATTTGGATGCATGTTATTAGACAATGATTCATGTTGTACTTGTTGGTTATTATTATATTGAATATCTGATTCGGCACCAACACCAACACTGGAGGAAGAATGATTTTCCAATTCCTTGCCGGCAAGAGACTCCACAGAAGAGAATGAGGATGATATGGGTGACGATGTGGATAGTACAGAATCACAGTGATGTTGAGTCATTTTTTTATTCTTCTTGTCGTGTTAATCATTTCGCGCTTGTAGGATCGGACCGGTTGCTAAAAAAGTGCTTATGGACAAAGCGCCAAACACTTCTCAACGACTTGTTTAAGGAAGAAAATAAGCAATAAGGAATTCAAGCAAAAATCTTAAAAGATTCTTGAGAGATGTGTTCAACTTTGGTTGAAATGAATCGAACAAGGAAATTGAATGATTTGGAGATTTTTGAATAAATCATGTAGATGTGAATATACGATTCATTGAAATCTCCAAATCATTCAATTATTACGTTGCTAATGAGAAGTGAAGTGGTCCAATGCGGATACAATGACAATATACCCTGGATGGAGCAATATGGATTGATTTTTCCATAACAAATAGGAGTGGTACTATTCTTTAAATAGAGCAGTTCCAGAAAGGATAACAGCCTCGTGCATTTTTAAAATTAGCCTATCTCGAAAATTGAGTGGTGAATAAGTGGTGGAGGTTGACTCAATTTTCGTTAAAGTGTCTTATATTGGAATGATTCAATTACAAAAGTCCCTAAACCGGTTTGATATTACGTTTATTTTACACAGTTAGAAGATTTGAGAAATAATAATACAAGAATCGAAAGATTCAGCTAATGTACAAAAGGCATCGAATATGTTTGTGCCCTATTAACAGGTTAGAAGGTTTGTTGCTCGTATGTATTGACTCGGTATTAAATGTTATAATTGGTGTGTGCAGTCATTTTGAAAGGATAGAGAGACACTATCCAGATTCTCAATATCCTATCAAAACACTCTTGAAAATCTGATAAATTGTGTAGTACATTTATCGAGAATGATCTTCATTACTACCACCAGAGGAGAGCATTGGTTGGCCTGAATGTTTCATCATGGTGATTAAACTTTGGCTTCTATTTCTTGGAGACAAACCAACTTGTTCAACCTTTTGTTTCATCTTCTTCATTAAGAAGAGAGTTGGAAAATCCAATTCCTTCTTACCATCAACGGTTTGGTTTTGAATCAAATCAGAGAGTACGGAAGGTGTCTTTTGAAGATCCTTATGATAGGAGAATGGAGTTGTGGCTGTTGTGCTATCAATATTTGAGAGAGATTGTCTATTTCCAATCATTGTAGCAGGTGAGGATCTTGATCTTGATCTGGACATATCATTGAGGAGTGGATGCATGGTAATATTACTAGACATGTTGTTGAAGTGTTACTATTTGATTGGATTGAATATAATGTTTGAGATGGCCAAGAAGAGTTTGATACTACTATAATTAATACTACTAATATTGAAGAGAATGAGTTTTGTTTTTTCAATGAGTTTGTTTTCTAACTACTACTATCGTCGTGTTCACTGGTGTATTGTTGTTGATGATGAATACTGGATTCTCTTTCAGTTATTGCTTTTCAGTTATTTGTTTTTAAATTTAGATGAAAGCAAAGTTCTCAATGCTGCAATGAACAATATTTGTGTTGTGCTGTTGCTGATGTATTTGTTCTCCACTCAATGGTTGTCCTTGATCTGAAATGGATAATAATCAAATTAATTAATAAAGGGTGAGTGGCTGATGATGGTTGTCTGGCAAGAGATGAACAATAACAAGGTGGAGATGATACTCGTTGATGTCTATTAAGATTCTCAGTGTGGTGTTTCCTATCGGCGCTGCTGCACAAAAGGCTTTGGCTTTTTTTTATGTTTGTGTTTTTGAGTGGTAGTGATTCATGGTCAGGTTGTTGAGTATTTATTGGAAAAAGTAAAATGGAGTGGAAAAGGAAGGGTTGTAGGCAATGATAATTGGAAATAAAATTGTAATTTGAAAGTTGTATCACCCGTCTTTGTTATCAATTCTAAAAATACTTTACAAAATATTTAACAGTGTCAAATGTCTGGCATTATTTAGGATCTAACATTTCTTTTGATAGACGAGATAATGCTAAAATTTTGAATGAAAGAATTGATGAAGAACACTTCTCAGGAACGATTACTATGAAGATTATCATACTTCCTATAAGAGTTCTGCATCCCAATTATGATATTTGAGTATGTCTTCTGAGAATAGAAAGCAAACCTCCATCAGGTCACCTCTTTATCTACAATCTACATTTCAAAGATTCTTCAAAGAATCTCTTCATCTATTAGTTCTTTTGTATTTCTTTCAAATTGAGTAGAATTTTGCTTTTTTAATTAAATTATAATTGAGTGAGGTCATGTTGTTGTTCACAGTCAACTTGTTTATTAGAGATATGTTCTGATGAGTGCATATTGTTGAGGTTCATTATGTGACATTGGTGGAAATGAATCTCATATTGGGATTGTTGTGTGTCTGTTCCTTGATAACAAACAATTTTCATTAAACTCGCTTTGAATAATTTACAAGTGGTTCGTACTCACAACCAAGTTGCAGTAGAATAAATTGAAAAGTTTGTAAGGAAAATTGAAATTGTTGATTTATTTTCAAATGAATTGACTTTATGTGAGTACCTCCAACGTTACTGTAAAAGAAATCGCTTATTAATCATAACTATAAGATAGTGGATGGCTACGGCCATATCACTATGAATGCACCTCATCCCGTCCGATTTGAGAAGTTAAGCATCGTAGAGCCACATCAGTACTGAGGTTGGAGACAACTTGGGAACCTGTGGTGCTGTAGTCTTTTTGACCTGGTCATTTTGTTGAAATTTATGTGGCTTAGTGAATGTTGTTGAACAATCCAATAAAAAAACCATTTTATCTTTTCCTGATATTGAAAATTAAAACAAAACTATTCTCCCATGCCGGGAATTGAACCCGGACCTCCTGGGTGAAAGCCAGGTATCCTAGCCATTGGACTACACGGGAATCTTATTCAGAATGAAAATATTCTCAATATTACCTTAATATTTCTGCAACCAGATATTTTAGATGGTTGCACCTATGTTTCCTGGTGAACCTTGCATATGATTCAATTCTTTATTTATGGATTACGGCAACAAATTTACAATCAATCTCATTAAAAAAAATGTCTCTCCACTTGATCAAATGTTTTGATGGTGAATTAACCATCAGAAGGAAGACAGACTCTCATCCAGATTTTTGGAATGCCCTGGAAAGAGATGAATACTTTATAAATTGTTCCAAAGATGTTTTACAGGTATTATCATATTGGATTGTTTATGGAAAATACATTTCCGATATGAATCATTCAAAATTGGGATTGAAATGTGTTGCTGAATATTTCGGATTGGAATTATTGATTGTGGATGTGGATTTGGATAATCATAATTTTGAGAAGGTTTCTGTTGTATCAAAAGGTTCTCGTAAGAGTGCAAATCTTCAAGGAAACAAACAAAAGAAGGCGAAACCTAATGAAAGATTAACAAGCATGATGGATGAAGTTTCAGATCATGTGATGATCGAAGGAGGAAACTCTACAAATGTGGCAGACAGTGACTCGACAAGTGTGTCATCTGAACCAATCTCAAATGAAACGAGTTCTCAACCTGAAAGAAAGCTCACCAATCAAGAAAAAGCTAAACTTAAATTACAAAAACAACAGCAAGCAACCTTGGAAAAACAAGCCACAAGACGAGCTCAAAAAGAAGCAGCTTCCTCATCTAGAACTGTTGCCAATGCATCAAGCAGTAATGATAATACTCCAATGCATCAAGTATCAAATGAGATGCATGATGAGGATATGCAATGCATGCTAGGTTCCAAGCTAGTTACATTGAATATTGAAAAAATGAAAGAATCTGGATCTGCACTCTTCTCACAAGTTGCTGATCCATCAGAGGGCTTTACAGTTAAGGTTAATAAGAGAGGAATACCAGTAATTTTCGATGCAGTTCCTGAGGAATATGTCAAACCAATTGTGGATTTTATCAATACTGGAATAGTTCCAAGCTCTATTCTATCCAAACCAGCATCATTTAAATTTGGACTTGCTGAAATAGCCAACGTTCTTTCACTTCAATCCATCTATTCTCAACTCCCTGGATTATTTATTGATTTTTGTACTATTTTAGAACCAGAGGAACAATTAGTGTTGGGATCATTTATTGCCAAGAAGAATATGCCCTTCTTAAAGACGGGTACTTGGAATTTGGGGTGCTCAATAACTTCTCCTCTAACCACACCTAAATCTCTCATTTATTTCTTTACTCAAAATCCAACACTTGTGATTATTCAAACAAACGATGAGAAAAAATATGGAGCTCTTCTTTGTGCCTACGTAAAGTCTAAGGGAACTCCTCAACATTACAAGTATGACTTTATATTTGACATTTTGTTTGATGAATTTCAAATACATACCATCAAAAATCCAATATCTTGTCCTCACAAACTGTATTCGCAAAATGCTGATGAAGTTATTGATTTGGGTGGAATATCAGTATTGAGAAATCCAACGACCAACAATCTGTATGCCACTATGAACAACGGTGCATTTAATATACCTGATGATCAATTAACTGATTTTGAAGTTAAAAAGATTGAAGTTTTCACATTTTATTAAAATTATTATTTTGTTTGTCCAAACTCTTTAAAATTTTGTAATAGAATAAATTTGGAGAATTTTAAAAATAAAAAATTAAAAAAAATGAGTTAAAACTGTGGGCTCGTTCTTGATAGGTATTGTGTTTGGAGTCGTGATTTTTGGACCACAGACAGTAATGAATTTCTAGTTTCAGTGGTAAAAAGTGGATAAATAGAAAATGTAAGACTATGAAATCAAAAAGAAATTGCTGCGTCGACCGGGAATTGAACCCGGGTCACGGCGATGGCAACGCCGTATTCTACCACTAAACCATCGACGCTTCTTGTTAAGGTGCTAAGGAATGTGGTTTTGAATTAAGGTAAATAAATTCTTCACTCTAAAGAAGAAATTTGGGTAAACAGGACAGGCTTAAACATGGAGAGTTTACCAACTCAATTTCACAATTATCAGAATTCAAATTCGCACAATCACAAACTATAAACACCTTTAAATTAGGAGCGTTTAAATGCAATTTGATTCTTATATTATTCAACTTGTAAATGTAGCAATATTTTAGAGATTCATGACAATTCTCTGATTTTGCTATTATAAAATTATTTAAAGTGGAATCGCTAATAGAAAAATTTTCTAGTTTTGGTAATAAAGATAAATCCAATTCCTCAATAAGGCATCCAGTGAGCTCCAACAGTGTAAGGGTCGACAACAGAGGATAGGTAGGTTCATATGGGATGTGCAATCCATGTAGTGAAATTGTGAAATTGCAAGACAGTTCAATATTCATATTTCTCAATTTCTTTCCGCCTGTACGAATATCAGGACAGAGTGAATACATGCTAATCATGTCTATGGCCATGAAGTCCGAGTTAACCGTGTAATAATACCCATAGCTAATATATAGATCGTCAATCTTTGAAATTTTGTCTCTCAATGTGTATAAATGATAGGAATAGTCTAATACTAAATAATTAACTTGTAGTAACTCTCCCTTCTCTTCAATAATTATTTCATCAATTGAAGTTACAAATAGAGCGTCAATGAGGAGAGGTGATTTCTTAGTACCTCTAAATATAACGTTACTTCCACTTGTGGTTACAAAATGCAAGCTACTAAACTCAATTGAGCTGCCATCTAGAACATACATAAGTTGAATATTCCTCAATGACTTCCACTTATCTTCTTTGAGATGAATGACCTTGGCTGAATTTCCATCAAATGAAAGGTCACAAATCTGATGACACGGTATAATTTCAAATAATTTCTCATAGTCATCCAATTTTACATCAAGATTAGTTAATTTTGGAAATTTAACATTTTCAATTGAAAACTTCTTCACAATGAAGCTAAAATATTTCAAATTTTGAAAATTAATATTACATAGTTCCGTTACTTCACATTCAATATTCAATATTGTCAAGTTTTTGATCAGTTCATTTTGTTTCAGAATGAGGCAATCACAAGAAATGGAGAATTTCTTGGCTGCTACAAGTTTAGGAAGCAGATCTATGGAACTTGCAGTGTAGTATTCCAATTTTTCAAGAATTGGATCACAATCTCCTGATTTCAATCGATTACGACAAGGAGCCTTAATTGATTGTAATTTAGGAAAATTGCAAATTTCACACAATCTAGAAATACTTTCACTATAATAAATTTCTATTCTTCTCAAAGTTGATTCATGATTTGAAATTAACAATGGCCACCGACATTGCAATATCAATTCTTGCAAATATGGAAATCTCAAATCATGTTGAATAATTTTTTCGATATTCGTTTTCACTGTTAACGTTTTTAAATTTACAAAATCCCTCTCAATACTCCTCACCAACCATCCACAATCTTCCTTGCCAAACAATGTGACATCCAATCGTCCAACCATTTTCGAATCTCCACAAAGCAACTCTACAAATTTCATAAACTTTTCATAAATCATCAAGCTAACCTCTTCAAGTGGCTCATCACTGACTTTTCTCATCCATCTTCCATCCACAATTTTTCTATTGAAAAACGGAAAATTGAACGTGAAAAATCCCCACAATTGATAATTATCATTCCTTATCACATATCGAAATGTTTTACATGTTCGGAGGAGTGCAAATATGGAATTTAAATTATTTTCACCTTGATCATCACAGAGAAATACAAAAATATTGGAAAGAATATCGGTGGGAAGTTCAACTAGTTGTCTTGACATTTTTTTTGGTCAACAGTCCATGTTTTTTGGTCAACTGGTTTGGTCATATGAGAATCTCAAAAAACAATGAAAGTAAATGATCTGGTTGTCAGTTACCTGCTTATACACAAGTGGAAATCTACCAATTCCATGTGGAAGAGATTTATTTCAAGTTAATTAGAAATGTTAAGTTAACTTTTCAAAAATCCTTCCAAAGTTACTGATCTTCGCTACTATCCCTCTCCCTAACTTCTCTTGTAAGTAATTGCACCTGCTCAAATAGCAATCTAACCAATTGTAACGTTGTTTTTTGATCTATTTGTAATCTTTGAACCTGGTATTTCAACATGTCGACTTCTCGTTTTAAAGTAGTTATTTTCTTATCCTTCTTTTTCGATAATTCTTGTCTGAACCACCTTTGTATTTTAATTGCAGCACTATGTTGCCTATTCGATGGATTCTGATATTTCTGTGCAATCTCCTTTTTCAATTTCTTTTCTCTTTCCTCCTTTTTGTGTGTTTGATACTTCTCCCTAACAATAAATTCCACAGATTTGTTGACTTCCTTTTGTTTTGCATGTTGTTTTTGAATTTTCTCAAACTCTTGATAGAGATATTCCACATCTTCAGTGAGGGCTATTGAAGCATCATTTAGTGATGTGTGTACATTTGATGGTTGTGGAACAGGTGGATTCTGCACTGATGGAGATGGCATTATGAATTGAGGACTCTGGGATTGTTGTTGAAGTTGGAATATTGCTGAATTTATCATTTCCATTAATTGATACGTTATCGATTCTGGGAGAACCTGATTATTCTGTAAATTTAAAGGAGTATTCATCATGTTTGGATGATAATTAAAAGTGTTTGGTTGAACATTTCCAGATGATTGAGGCCTCATAGCATTATAATTGTTATTAGGAAAAGGAACACCCGGTTGCATATTCATTTCTCTCTATTATACAATTTAAAGTACAAAATTTGTTGATCAAATCTTTAAAAACAACAGCAACTGCTCTCGGGAGTAACTCTTAAGAACGAGTGGTATGATGAAGAATTTGTATTTTTTTTAAGAAGTAAAATTAAGGCGCCACACTTTTCAACATCAAATTTTCTCAATAAGAAAATGTTGCTTCTTCCCTAGTGAATAGGCACATTATCGTGCAAGAAGAATTATTCAACTCTTTATCAACGAACACGTGTTTCTTCGGAGGAGAAGGACTTGAAATCAGATCAAAAAATTGCAACAATTTAATTCTATGGGCATTGAAGAAGTCGCCTTTGATTCTCCTATTGCCCCTTCTTATTCTACAACATCTTCATCATCATCCAAGGGAAGAAGTACATTCATTCCGAGTTTGTTTTTTGGTAAGAGAAGATTTCTGTGGTATACAGTCTTGGCTGGATTTCTCTTGTTTTTAATCTTTTCATTGTATCAACATTCGTTGGTTTCTCTTCGTCATCACTCTGCAAAGGAAATTATTGAATCATTAACGAGTAATTTGGATAATCATCATCAGAACAATAATAATATGAAATTAAATTCAGGACGTAGTAATATTGACAATAATAATAATCAATTGGAAGAAAATTCATCATCCGATAAAACTTTACCATCCAATGTAACACAATCAAATAGTGGAGGAAATAATTTTCATCCCTTTGCTCACATCTTTTACTATGCATGGTATAAGAATGAGAAACATGATAAAAAGTATGAACATTGGAATCACAAAGTTTTACCTCACTGGACTGCAAGTACAAATGAACAATATAAACATCTTGTTGGAAAGGAACATGATCCTAAACTGAAACAATTGGCAACTAATTTCTATCCAAGTAGAGGAGCATATTCTTCCACTGATAAGGATGTGGTGATGGAACAATTTTTGGAAATTAAAAATAAGGCCAATGTGCATGTTATAGTATTGAGCTGGTGGGGCGTTTCAGAAGCTGATGAGAATGGAAGCAATACTGAATTGATAACACCATTCTTTATGGAATGTGCTGAGGAAGCTGGATTGCAGGTTATTTTCCATATGGAACCTTACAAAGGAAGAAATGCTGCCAGTGTCAAGAGAGATATCAAATATGTCATTGATAAGTATGGAAATTCAAAGGCATTCTTTAGACATAATGGAAAACCATTATTTTATATGTATGATTCATACATTTTATCAGCAGAAGAGTGGAAAACTATTCTATCACCAAATGGAAAGGACACCATCAGAAACACAAAGTACGATTCTATAATTATTGGACTATATTTAAATTCAGGAATGAGGGATAATATTAAGAATTCGTTTATGGATGGGTTTTATACATACTTCGCTGCAGATCAATTCACAGAAGGGTCTACATGCTCAAAGTGGCAGGAAATTAGTGAATGGGCTCATAATAATAACTTGTTATTCATACCCTCAATAGCACCTGGTTATATAGATGAAAAGATTAGACCATGGAACAAGCAAAACACCAAAGGAAGAGAGAATGGTCAATATTATCAAAGAATGTTTGATGCTGTTCTCAATCTAAAGCATTTCCCTCAATACATTACCATAACATCCTATAATGAATGGCATGAAGGTACCCAAATAGAGCCAGCCATCCCAATAACCGTTAATAATCCAAACTCTGACCAATTTGATAATATTGCATCTGCCTACCTTGACTATAGTCCAAAAGATCCAGATTTCTATCTCACCAAGACAAGGGAAAATGTCAATAAGATTTTCAAACTGTAAACTTTTGCAATTTACAACATGGGTCAACTCAACTGAGGTACTTAGGAAATTATGGTCACCATGCCAAATTATCATATTGGTCGCACCTTGTTGAGAGACCGACTAATTGTTGTAAAACATTAAATGAAACATGTGGAAATGTTACAATTCTGATACTTCATTTGCATTACAATTGTAGTAAGGTGGAAATGCGCTAAAAAAGAGTTCCTTAGTCCCATATTTATGGAATTGTTATTCTTTGAAAATCAACCTTGAGGAAATTCACTTCTAAATTTCAACCGCCTTCACACAAGTTTGACATGTGGAAAAGTTGATTTCTGACGTGTTTTACACAAGCAGCACATCATTAAAAAAAATGCAAAAATTCGATCTTAACCTCCTTCTCCTTGCCTCCTCAGGTGTTCTTCTTTCCTTCTTCCTGATAGGTTTCGATCGAGCAAAATATGCAACAGCAGTCGATGATCCAAGAGTTATCCACGAACTCTATTCAGAACATTTCATCCTTGGACTTGTTCACACATTTCTGGGAACAATCGGTTTGAATCACGTCAAATTCTTTCAATGGAAACTCCTCATGAATTTGAAGGTTTATTATCTTGCAAGTTTGGCACTTCATGCCTTGACTGGTTTGGCTTGGATTGTTTTGGCTTCTTTCACTTCTTCTTCTTCATCTACTACTGGCAATGAAGGTAATTCTAATAACACTTCGAAAAAGAAGCAACAACAATCATCAAACAATAATGGCAGTGTTGGATTTAACTTTGCTTCATTTGTATTGAATGGTTCTATCATTACTATTTGTATGGTTGCCTTGTTTGTCTTGTCACTTGTTTACATTCCAATCTTTAGCAATTTGAGCAATGGAACAAGTATTATTGCTACTACCTCTCAATAGAATATCATCCGTATCGAAAATATTGCATGATAATGATATGCTACCACTACTACTATTATGTATTATTATTATTTTCAATATATTTGAGAGAGAAGAGTTGAATTTTCTCTCAATATATTACAAATGGAGCGAGAGAATAGACCCTAGGTATAAAACAACAACAAAAACAACAAATATATTACATTGTAATTTTAATAAAAAGTGAGAATTTAAATCTTCCGTATGCATTCATTTGTATTGTTGAAGAACGTTATTGAAGAAAATTAAAAAACTAGCCGTTACACAAACAATATTATTTAAAAGTCATCACCATCATGATGGCAAAAACAAATGTCATGTTGTTGTGTTCATTGAAAGTAGTAGATGATGATTTAGAATTGGACAAAATTTCTCTTCAGAGCAACGTATGGGTATTTGGTGGTTTTCATCACTTCTGGCTTTTTAATTTGGATAAAACAACTCAAGACTCCCTTGGAGATGTAATCCTTCTCAACTCTATCAATGAATTCAACACAGAAAGTTTCCAATAATTGGTACTTTCTCGTAGTAGCCAATTCTGTTGCTAAATCTCTCAAATCCACATAACTGAACGTATCCACAACATTGTCCGATGCAGCAGCTTGACTAATATCATATTGTACTTCAATATCAATCAGAATATCTTGTGTATTGACTCTCTCCTCTGGATTCACTCCAATAATACAATTAACACGATGTTCCAACACTCCGATACTAGCAATATTTCTCCTTTCTGATGATGAAGAGGTAGAGACTTGATTATCGTGAAGGGAATAAGGTGGCATTTTTCTTTTTGGAACCTGATTAGCATTCAATCCCGATAATTGATTATAAAAATCGGGATGAAGAATTGACTCAATGAGTTTTAACAATATTTGAGATTTGTGTGCAATTTTGATATTTACAAAAAAAAAGAAAATTAAATATTTCAAAAAAATGATATCAAATCAAAGATATTTAGAAAGAGATTATTCGACTTACAATTTTCAATCAATACCGAAGGAACTTATTTTGGAGATTATTTCGTATCTGGTTGGTGATCTCGATAGGTTACATGATGATAGGGTGGATATGAGATTGGTTAGTCAGGTAGAAAATTACATACCACCTTTTGAAAATATTAAATCAGTGATCCGATTCGGATCCATTACGAGAAGGTTGAGGGAAATGATAGTGGGGAATGGAGATGAGGCTTTTGAGAGGTTTTGGTTGAAAGGATTTGTTTTTCATCAGAAAATCATGTACTGGATTAGAACAAACTCTTTTGATTCTTTGGATTTGTGCCAAGGAGATTTGAATACCACTGAGATGGATGAAGCTCTTCGACTTGAGGTAATGATTGGAGCTATTGAGAGAGGAAAAACAAGTCAAAAACTGGATTTTGATACAATAAGCAGTATTATTACAGATCCATTGCATATGAATGATTATTGTGATGAGGATGCTTGTAAGGAGATGATTCAATCAAGATTGAATAGATTTAACATTTCATTTGAGGATTATGAGCTATATTACAAAAATAAGGAGCATGCTTTTGAAATGTTTCTCACACAGTCACTAATGCTCTCACTTGAAATGTACAAATACATGCATACAGAATCTTTGTCTGACTATTGGTCTGTTGGAGAGAATTTCCTACTTTCTGAAAACCATGTCGAGAACTGGCCTATCAAGTCATTCTCATCAAGGGTTAAAAGTGTAGTTATTGGAAGGAAACAGAGCGGAAAAAGTCTTGGAATTAGAATTGAATCATCTATTGGTTGGGAATATTTTGTAAAGAATATTGAAAAACAAATGCCATTCACAGGAATGCATCCCAAAGAACTATCAAGAAATATTCAAAGCAATGATGGAATAATGTATGCCGGCCTTTTGACAATTGCCTTACTTTCCTATTGGAACGTTTACTCTCTTTTGGCCTCACCTCTATTACTATTACTGAAAAATGAAGACTTTACTCAAGTTTCCAATGGAGACAACGTTGAGACAAATTTGCAAATTGATGAAGAAAAGGAATCAACTAATAAGGAGATAGACGAAACTGTTAACCTAAACGAATTGAAGGAAAGATTGTTAGGATCAATATGCCTAAGTTTAATCAATCTTCTTTATTTGGATCCTTTGAAAGATTTCGAATTCCCTTCAAATATCAGATTTCTTTCCATTGAATATAATAATTTAAGCGCATACAGTAAGCATCCTCAGAATAGGTGGGGTTCATTTTTCAATGGATGTACATTTCCAGGAGTGAAATATTTGAGAATCGTTGTTGAAGATGATGATGGGTATAGAGATAATGAATCAGTAATGAAAATAGGAAAAACCAGTAGAACAATTTTAGAATCCATGTTATCATGCAAAGTTATGCCTAACTTGAAATATCTGGTCTTATCAGGATTTCATGAAAATGAATATCTATTTCATCAAATAGATTTTCTCAAACAGCTGTATAATATTGATATTGTATTTGATTACAATTCAAGACACACAAATGGATGGTTAAATATGACTGAATTCACATCTAGATTGAGTCAAGTATCAAAAACATTGAAATATGTGGTGGTTGAAACAAATACAGACCCAAGACCTAATGGTGACATTCAAGCTGCCGATCACAGGTCTATCAAAGAGTTTTATGATTCCCATGATAATGTAGCATCATTAGGTACCTTCAGTATTTCCAGATATTATTACTCTTGCAATGAATGACCGGAAAAGGAAGCCATTTGGTGATGAAAGAGTAAACACTATATTTTCAACAGTGTCATTATTTTCACTTTTTTGATTTCATCTGATAGATCCTTTCTCCTAGGAATTTATTAATACAAAAAGTTTTCATTGATTCAATTTCTGTAACCGATGATAGCTCAGCTGGTAGAGCATGGGACTGTAGCAAGAAAAACTGTCATCCTGTGGTCGGCGGTTCGATTCCGTCTCATCGGATTGTTTTGATATTTTGGATTTATCTAAATCTTTACACTGTGTTTATTACTTTTGTGTTTTGGTGTTTAAAGACATAGTGTACATAAAGAAGTTGATCTTGGATTTCCTTTTCCAAGTCGTGGAATAGAGTTGGTGAAAGATTATTCTGCTCAAGATCTTCTCTCTCATTCAGTGAATTATTCACTTCATCAACGGTTGAACTAATGTAGTTTCGTGTATTTTCATCGAGTACTGAGCTATTACTTTCTTGGACATCAGCAATGATTTCAAAAGCAATTTCAATCTTTGTCTTTTCCAACAACTGAACTTGTTCACTGGCTTTACCATGTTTAGTCAACTCTGCAATTTGACCACAAATTTCAGAATAAATAACCATCTTTTCCAATATAGAGTAATATTCATACATATTACTTGCCATACAATGATTCTTAAAATCTTCTCTCATCTGTTCATTTCTCATCGTTTCTAAAATCATTTCAGAATTGAGTGATTGCAATGAACTCTTAGCCATTCCATCCTTTCTAACCATCAATACGAAAACAAAGACAATTACTGGCACAACAATAGCCAAAGAAATACCAATAATCACCAAATTGGCAATACTTGAGGCAAATACATAGTCATCTAATCCTTGACCTACTTTTGTAATGGATTCATGAAATTGTTGATAATCAATATTCCATTGTGTTAAGGTTGACTGATAATCAGTTGAAAAATAGAGTTGTCTTGCTTCTGTCCATTTCTTGGCAGTTGTCAAATTGAATAATCTGTCATAATAAGGAAACATTGGAGCTTTTGAGGTCGCATTCGTTCCATCCAAAATTTTCCATTGGAAACCAGACGGAAGTCCATTAAGGATATTTTTCAATGAATTTCTAAAATTCTTGGCATTGGTTGTGTAACGACTGGTTGTGGAACTGTCATTTGTCAAGACTGCCAACTTGGCAGTGTCCCAAAGTACCGTATTATAATAATTCGTATCACCACGAGCTATTAGAATCTCAACTGAAGTATTATTCGAACTGAGATAGGTATTGATTGTGAGGCCAATGAGGGCAAGGAATGCAACAATGTTGAAAAGTAAACTGGCTAATGTGATCAAACGAAAGGCATTGCATTTGATCTTGAATTTTTTCTTGTTAGGTTGTTGAGATTGTGAACTGACAAGTGGCAGATCTGGATTTCCAACTGGACTTTTGGCTGAAATTGGTGTGGCAGATGTCAAACTAGTAACGTCTCTGATATCTGGTAATTCAATCTCAAATTCATCGATGGCAATATTAGAATCTACATCAGTAGACGAATCGTTATCCTCTTCTTCAGACGAATCTCTCTTGAACACTACAACATGACCATCATGTTCTTCCATCAGTGTCACCACTTTCTTGCATGCATTTTCCTGTATCTGTATTTCCTGCATCTGCACCGAGTTGAACTCTTCTTGTGGTGGACTTTCGTCCAATCTTTCGTCTATTGTCTCTTCAGCACCAAGTGTCATCTTTTTTTTTCTGTTTGTTTTTTCAATATCGCCATTTGATTATCTTTGATGCCTCCTTCCCCCTATGAACCAAACTCAAAATTGGAACCTACTAAACAATAAAAATATTAAATCTAACGTCTCTTTTTTTTTGATTTCATTACTTGTTACTAAATATAGAAGGTATGGTTTGAAAATTGTTGTAACAAGGGAACCAATGATGATGTTCAAATGGCATGCGTGTATTAAATGGTGGGGACTCTTCTATGTTTCATAACTTTCATTTGTTCGAAGGGAATGAACATTTGCGAATTTCTTGTCAAGTCAAGTCAACTGTCTTATCTTTGAGAAACTAGCTTCTGAAACAATCCATTCTTATCAAACATTTCAATAGGTGTCAAACAGAAGAAATCTGATATCAACTGTTCAATCTCTGTATAATCAAAAAAAAAAAGTCAAAACTCAAATGGAAAACAAACAACTCAAAAAAGTTGCAATTCTTGACGCAACTTCAAATTCTGTACCAACAATAGCTGAAACTAAATCCATAATATCCAGAACCAACTCGAAAACCTCTAGAACATCTCGTTTCTCCAAGACAACCATCTCTACTTTAAACGTCAAAGTCAAAATTTGTTGTGGCATTTTAGAGTTGGATTGTTTGAGATTGTTTTCAATTGTTAGTTTGTTGATCAATGTTGCTGCTTTTATTATTGTTGCCGGTATAACAATCAACATGTTTCAAATTTCCAATCAGCCAGCTGTCAGAACATTAATTGCAAGAGGTGACGCGCTCAATACTGGTGAGCTCTTGTTGGATATTGTGAGAGTAGGCGCACTATCAGGAAGTAATGAAGAAACCAAGCTGTGGTACGTCTACAGGGATCAAATGGTCGAAGCTCTCAATAGAATCTTTGCAAATATTGAGTCAACCACAAATTCCACAAATTTCAATCATGCAAGTAAGAATGGAAGTGATATGTATACATTACCATTGATGGAAGAGATTATAAAAGAGTTAGAGAATGGCAATTATGCGCGTGCTAAGGATTTGTACAAGGGTCAAATTTATCAGAATGCTATTGGAAACTGGTCGAAACAACAAGGTTCATTCTTTGGTACTATTAAGAATGAAGGAAGAGGAAAGGATGATAAGGTCTATGATGCCTCAACTACTAACCTTGCAGTTGTTGGTGCTTGCTTGGCAATTGTCCTTCCAATTGTTTTGGGAATGACACTCATTAATCTAAAGAGAGAATCTGTTGTATCCGAAACATTGAACAATTCCAAAACTATGCAAATGTTGGATACAATTAGGAATCCAAACCTGTCCAAATATTTCAAACAAGCATGCAAAGTTCAAAATGTTGAACATGTTTTTGCACTTTTACAAGAAATTATCACATTTAACACTTTACAAAATGATGAAGCTAAAAGAGAGCAAGCACTTTCCATTTATCGAAACTATCTAAAAGATTCCATTAAGAAACAACCATACAAGTATGTCAGCAAGAGCTTGATTGCTTCCATTTGCAAAGAAATTCAAGAAAATTATTTACTCCATGAGCAGGAATCAACTCAACTCTTGAGATTTGATTTATTCAGAGAAATGGAAGCCTGTCTATGCGAAGAATTGGTGAAAATTCATAGAAAATTTAAGCGAAATATGAAAATGTAAAGCAAATTCCATTTGAAGCAAACAAGCACAAATAGTTCCAATTAGTACTTCATTTTGAATTCGAGTTTAGTAATTAAGAAGGTACTTGTTTCATGTCTCTTTGCTAATATGGTACATAATTGTTAAATTGGAGCTAGCTTGTTAAAAGTGCAGTTATCTGGCATTTCAGATAATGTAGATCTCTCTTCGCTTAGTCCACTTTAGTCAATGTCTGAAATGAGTAGAATTATGATTGAGGGGTCAAATCGAATTTAAGCGTTTGGATGCGGTTTAACTGGGTTCATTGTGTAAATATTCAGAATATCAAAATATTAAAAAAACGTTTAATTAATAGTTTTGTTCTGTTTTTCAGTGGTTCATGTGAAAATTGCGCACACAAAGTTGTGTTACTACGGATGAATTATGTAGGTTTTATTTTTTACCTATTATTCGAAAGTGGTACTGTCTGATTGGTGAGTCCAATTAGTTTTTGTTAATTATTAGAAAGAAGAAGAATCGTTTAAAAAAAAGAAGCAACAATGAAGAATCAAAACAACAACAACAACTCATTCTCTTTCGTTGACGAAACCAAGAATATTAAAGCCAAAGTGAAGGTTATGAAACGAAACCATCAACTGAATATTCGAAACACCAGATTGAGACAGACTTTGCAACACGACAAGTTATTAGAAAACTATTTTGAATGGGATAAGAGTGCTCCCTCTGGTGGCGATCTTACTGTGTACAAGATTGTTACTCCACCTTTAGTACATGCAGATAGAAATGAAACTAATCTATTAGATTCTGGTACTAATCCAAAGCATGATCAGATAAGGACATGTAATAGAGGTGTAAGAAATCCATCAAAGAAGAATCGAGTGGTTACTTCAGAGAAGGTTCAAGTCAAAGAAACTAACAGGAAGAATAGTTTAGTTTCATCTGATAGTTACTACTCAGAACATAGATTCTCTACACCAAATTCATCATCATCGAGTAATACCTCCATTGATCCTCCAACATCTTATTCAAACAGTAACCTTCATGCATGTCTACACTACATGCAAAAAGTTATTGGAAACTATTCTCAAAACTTACTACAGAAAGACTCAATGTTGATCAATTCTTCATCGAGCTGTTCATCTGTGGGTCAGCTACCTTGCCCTCCCTTTGAAACTAATATGAATAGTGTTCTACCTTCGAACAATATTCCATCTCAAACCTTTCCAACATTGATGCCTAACATGCAAACAGAAAATAGAATACGAAACATGCAACCATTATTGAATTGTCAATCAACTAGTAATGCAATTGATTGTTGGTTTGTGGAAGATCAACAATATCAATTGAATGGTAACTTACATCCATCGAATTCTGCTCAAGGTGGAGCTGATGATGATTGCGATAGCTTTTTGAGTTCTACTTCATACGAGTAAAACAATAGCAATAAAAGAAGAAACTGTTTCTAATTAGCAAGTATAAGTGTGTTATTGGTGAAAATGTGAACTCATTTTTAAGATCACAAAAAGGTAAAATTTCGCGGACTACAGGATTCGAACCTGTGCGGGTCGCCCCAATTGATTTCTAGTCAATCACCTTAACCACTCGGTCAAGACCGCTTCACATCAAGTTAAAATAATAAATACTTATGATTACAAATCATGTGTGAATTATTTTAGACCTTGTAATTAATTGAATAATCTGTTGATTTTTTGTTTTCGAAAGGTTTGTAACAAATACAATAGATTAAAAAATGTCTCAACAACTATTCAATAATGATGAGCTGTATGAAATTCTCTCCTTCCTTCCAACGCCATCACTTATCCACTCGACAAGTCTTGTGTCCAAACAGTGGCTTTTACAATCTCGGAATATTCCTTTAGCTATTTCATTCTACAATCGGAAAATGTTAAATACTTTTATTTATTTTGATGATGATCAGCAACATGAAGAATTGTTTGCTTTTGAAAGAAAAGATCAAGTGGAAATAAGAGATTTAAAAATTAGATCAGTGAAGGCACATTACATGAAAGATTCAAGTTTTAAATTATTAAATTCGAGGAAGGAATTTGAAAATGTGGAAGAGTTGGATTTTTCATACTCGAAATTTAATATTTGTATAGAATCTGGATGGGGGGATGAGAGAAAAGAGGATGAGGATGATCATTTTGTTTGGAATTATCCAAAATTGAAGAGGTTTCGTTTGAATGAAGTGAAACTTGGTGAAGAATTGGTAAAATCCATTGCAAATAGCTCAAGTTTGAGTAATTTGCAAGTTTTAGAGTTGAAATCAATTAATTTAGTGAGATTTCAAGTGGAGCATCTTACTTCTAGTGAAGTTTTGAAAAATTTGACAGCTTTGGATATTTCTAGTAATATTTTAGAGGAAGATGGATGCGAATTGATATTGACTAGCAAGTTTGCCGAATCATTGACAAGTTTAAATATGAACTCTTGCAGTCCTGAATTCAATGAATTTACTCAGGGAATATCCCAATATTTCACAAGAATTTTATCCACATTTCAAAATCTGAAAGATCTCAACTATGGAAGAAATTGTTTAAGAGATGAAGATTTACTGAAAGTTGAAAGTTTGAGAAATTTAACCAGTTTAGACATTAGCATGAATTATATTACTGAACAGTCAACTTCCTTCTTTGAAAAACCAATATTTAATAATCTAACGAATTTTCAATTTTTCTTTAACAGAACAGATGAGGTTAAACTCTACGAAATTGTGATGAACAATCCCACCACGAATAATTTAAACTCTATCGTTATGGTGATTAATGATTTTAAAGATGTCACTCCAACATTTATTGAACTATTTGACAATGATTCCATGTTAAACATCAAGACACTAAAGGTATTTGATTACTTTGCAGACAACAGCTTCCTAAGAAAGCCAATATTTGATAATCTGACAACTCTAAAACTTGATTTTGATTCTTTACAAAAAACCTTTTTTAATTTGGAAAATTGTAAATTTTTGAAACATTTAATTTATTTGGATTTGGCTTACTTTTCAGGAATTGACTTTAGGTCTCTGGATAAGTTTGCATGCAATTTGAGAAGTCTCAGGCTAGAAAACTGTTCAATAGATATGAAAGTACTTGTGGCTTGCAGTTTTCTTCCAAATATTACTGACCTTTCTTTGGAATGGTGTATACTTTCGGGTAACGATATTAGAATATTTGCTGAATGTGGGAAAACAGAACAATTGACAAAATTGACTTTGGATGAACCTGTCATTACGAATATTAATTGCATTGCAAATAATCCAGAAAATTTTAAAAGTTTGGAATTGTTGAAAGTGAATTGTGCCCTACAACATGAAAATTTTAAACTATTTCCCAAATTGACCAAACTAAATGACCAATCCATGTTTTAACAACCTTCTCAAATTTTGATACTCAGTGGAGACTCCTCAAATCATCTAACAAGTAATCTAGATTCAAATCTCATTTGGTTTAGAAAGATGAGACATTACTTGTTTCGAATAGTATTTGTGAAATGATAATTAAGATAGCTTGATCATGAACTTATTAACCTTGTAGATGTTGTTGAAATAGAACTACAAAAATTATATCAAAAAAAAATATTTTAAAAGGTTTGTTTTTCTTTGTGCACAACAACAAGCTTAACATTTTTATTATTTCTTGATGATGATGGTGTTGTGTTGTTACTTCTTGAACACTCAACACATTGGCAATTTATGCGAATTACTATTATAATTGGACATTGATGATGTTGTTGATCAACAACAATAATTATTTCGGAATGATGATGAATACAATAATGATGATGTGATTTAATGAATGATGATAATGTTATTATTATAATAATATATTTAAAGAAAATGATCAGATCTGTTCGTTCCACCACCACCAAGAAGGCTTCTTCTCTTCTTTCATTGATGAGAAAGAATACTCCAGCTGCTATTCAATGTTTCTCAACATGTCAAAACATTTGTCTCACTCCAACTTGTCCACCAACTAACAATTCTCACAAATTGTTCAACACTGAAAGAGGACCAAAGGCTATTGGACCATACAGTCAAGCTACCATTCTCAATGAAAGACTTGTTTTTGTTAGTGGACAACTTGGTCTTGATCCAAAGACTGGTGCTTTGGCTGAAGGTCTCGATGCTCAATGTCATCAAGCTTTGAAGAATATGTCTGCTATTTTGGAAGATGCTGGTAGTTCAATGGATAATGTTTTGAAGACTACTATTCTTTTGACTGATATGGCTCACTTTGAAGTTGTCAATAAGATTTATGAATCATATTTCCCAAATAATAAGCCTGCAAGAGCTACTTTTGCTGTTAAGGCTTTGCCAAAGGGTGGTGTTGTTGAAATTGAAGCTGTTGCTTATCAAAATGTTACTCCACAACATAATTAAATGCATATTTATTATTATTTACATATAAGATTGGAAATTGAAAGGATTTTGATTAATTAGGGATCTGGGAGATTTGAAGTCAATTCATCCAATGAAGAGAGTTGACTCAAATCATGATCTATTTGAATGGAACTTTCTTGCATTTTCAATACTAGAAACTTTTTATCCTTATTAGAACCCTTTCCCATTCTCATTTCTTCATAGGTTTTGATAATTTCATCACTGAATTGGCAATTAAGCATCATTTTGTTTTGAGTTGTTTAGTTGTTTAGATATTTGTTTTGTTGTTGTTTTTCAAAAGTTTAGAACACAATGGAAATATTTATATTTATTTTGAAGTGGACTTGTTGCAATTTGGGTGCAGAAAGGAGACAATTTTGAAAGATTGGTGGTGAATCAACCAATAGAATTGTTTCGAGTTTGATTGATAAGCGGAAATAATTTGAAAGATAGGCAAGGAACTTGGAACTTTTTCAAAAGGAATTTTTTTTTGAAAAATGGAGAGTGTCAAATCTTTGATTATTTTCTCGATGGTTTTAAGAGATGAAACTTTGAAAATTGATAAATAGCTAGATTGCATTTCATTCCTCCTATGATGAAAAAAGTAAAACTCAAACATTGGGATATTATCAAAAATTTATCTCGAGTGCCGGGAATTGAACCCGGGTCGCCAGAGTGACAGTCTGGAATGCTACCACTATACCACACCCGATTTCATATGACTATGATTTAATGTAATGATTTGGCGAAGAAGGGATTTGAAAATGTTGTATCCGTATATGTCATTGAGGGAAGTAGAGTCTTGACTCAAGGCAGATTTCTCTTTTCTGAAACTTCAGAAGATCAACTTTTGATTTTGTACATGTGAACCTTTTGTTATGAATACTAGAGAGGAAATCGAACATGCTTTTGAAGAATATCATGATGGAAAATTCATATAAATCTTTGAAATTATTGAATCTAATTGTAAATAAAATCAAATATAATTTAGATACTTTGAAAACTTCTTTTGTGCTCTCGTAACAGAATTAATTATCTTTAATTCTTATGCTTACAAGAACATTTAATATCCATGTGGACAATCCATAATCTTCTCTTATGGAAAAAAAAGATGCAACAGTTCAACTCTTTATTGAAATATGATGGTGTAATTGTCAAGTCAGCACAGTTCCATCTCTTTGAAGCAACTCTTACTTTAGAAATCCAAATTGTCATTAATATAAATAAAAATATACATAAAAATTTCATGGCTCGCCACGTTACCGTCTCGGGAGGAATCGAACCTCCGTCAATGGATTCAAAGTCCACTATGCTACCATTACACCACGAGACGAGCACATTCATTAAACTTGTCATTGTTTTATAACCAAAGTATTAGTGAACACAATTATTTGCTTGTTTTTCACCTTTCCATTAAGGGATGAAAAAGGTGAATCTAAAAAACTGATGAGTGTGGGATTTGAACCCACGCCCTTGCGGAACACGGTATTAATCATACCTTAACGTGTCGTCTTAGACCACTCGACCAACTCACCATTGAATTTAAGGAAAACAAAATCATTTTTCAGTTATTTCCTTCTTACCAATTTAATAATGAATCGCTTATTGCTTCTGAATCAAGATTATGAGGTTCAATCCTACAAGGCAAATCTATAACTTCATTGAAACGGCACATTCAAATATTTCACATTCTTTTAAATTGACAAGACAGGAAGCCTGCCAGGAATATGGCGACAATCCCGCTACAGTCTTTGACTGTATGAACAGTGAAGGCAAGAGTTCTATACGAATCTTGGGTTCAATGTAGGAGTGATTCAACAAGTCTATTATCACCACTGATATTTATTGATCATAAAATGATAAACATAGTTTTATTGTTAAAGTGGACATTGACTTTCTGGTGGACAATATTGTGGAATAACAAATAGTTTTGGATCTACTTGATAACTGGCTCCATAGAATTGAGTATTCTTTGAGAAAGTTCCAATTGATTGCGCAATTGCTTCAACATTACTCACGAAGATACATGTCTTTTGATCAACTGGTATAGTCCAATAATAACTAGCGTCAATATACTTGTTTCCAGCCACAACATTCTCAAAGCCATACTTGTTTGCCTTATTGAATCCGACATTCGATTGTTCCAAAAGTCTTCCACTACTTGTGCAATAGTTTCTATTCCAATCTGCATTGATTATTTTAACACAATAACATGTTTGACCTGGAATGTAGGTATAGGTAAAAGTATTTTGCCCATTTCTATATGATACTGTGGTGACATTCGGTCCCGAGTTGGAGGACACCAAATCAGATCTTGCCTTTCCATTATCAAGATCATTATTGAGTATCCATGTACCAAAGAAGGTATTGGTCATATTTCCTTCATAGCTTACTTGGAAAATAGAGCCCTGAAGGGAAATCTTTCGAGGTAAACAACATGATTCCTCTCCTTGCTTTGTGCTCACCATTCTCGGAAGAGTAACACGAGGAGTAATGAGAGCAAGTGAATGATTGATAACCATTAGCAATATTGCTAGAAAACAATATAGTGCAATATTAATTGGTTTGATCATTTTTTTCTTCTACTTTGATTAAGCGTTTGTGGAATTGCAGAAATTGCGCGCCTTACTTTACAGTCCTCATTGAGGACTCGTGTGAAATATCTTTATTACAATTTGTTTCCATTTTATAAACTCAGAGAGATAAATTGAGAGATTTCACACAACTTGGAAATTTATTCATCAACAAACTTTGGAGTTCTCTTTTCAGCAAAAGCACTCATACCTTCCTTTTGATCCTTTGAAGCAAAAGTGGACATGAAAACTCTTCTTTCGAAAACTAAACCTTCTTGCAAACCAGTTTCATGAGCCTTATTAACACATTCCTTAGCCAATGCAGCAATAGGTTGACTGTATGAAGCAATCTTTTCAGCAATCTTGAGAGTTTCTTCAAGGAGTTGTTCAGTCTTGACAATACGAGAAACTAAACCAGCCTTTTCAGCTTCAACAGCATCATGGAGATCTCCAGTCAAATTCCATTCCATAGCCTTTGCCTTACCAATAGCTTTAGTAAGTCTTTGAGTACCACCAATACCTGGAATAGTACCAAGCTTAATTTCTGGTTGACCAAACTTGGCATTTTCACCAGCAACAATAAAGTCACACATCATGGCAAGTTCACATCCACCACCCAAAGCAAATCCATTAACAGCAGCAATAACTGGCTTTCTAGCTTTAGAAACAGCATCAAGTTCTCCAAATAAATTTTCATTATAAACTTGCATAGCAGTCATGGTGCTCATTTCCTTAATGTCAGCTCCAGCAGCAAAAGCCTTTTGACTTCCTGTAATGATCATTACTCTAACAGATGGATCCTTTTCGCACAAGGAGACAACTTGTCCCAATTCTTGAACAAGTTGTTTACACAATGCATTCAAAGCTTTTGGTCTGTTCAAAGTGATGATGGCAACTCCGGAATCCTTCTTTTCAAAGAGAATATTTTCAAGATTGGTTGGATAAGTGATTTGTTGTTGCATAGAACGAAGACATGATGAAAAATTGTATTGTTGTCTAGTGATGATTTGTTGTTGTTGGAAAAGAGGAGAGCAAATCTTCTTTGATCTCAAAGAGTTTGACAAGATACGGGTTGGTTTAATGATGAAGGACATTTTTTTGTAATTTTAATTTCTCTTTGTGGCTTCAACCTTTTCCGTTATTCCTTGATTGAAGTCACAACTTGCAAGTGATAATTCACCAAAAATCATACCATCTTTCAAGTGGTATGGTAAGCTATCTTTTCACAACATTAAAATATTAACACATTCAAAATTACTTTTTAAATAAATTTTAAATTTTATTCGTTCATATGATGCAAATTTAATCAGACTTGCCCAAATGCTTCAAGACAAAGTTCAAAGCTTCATCTTGTTCTTCACCGAAACCGCTCAAATCAGTAATGACGGCAACAGCACACTTTTGGACTCTTCTGGTTCTCATTTGCTTATCATACTTAGCAAGACCAACCCATTCACCCAATTGTCTCTTAGATGGGACTTCCAAGAGATCAACCTTCTTGTAGGCACAGAAAGCCTTGATCAACTTCTTGTATTGATCCTTGTCACAGTCGTCAGCGAGGACGCACAATTGAGCCTTATCCTTAGCCAAAGTTCTACAGACTTCTCTCAAACCACGAGCAACAGATCTGTTAGCAGAGGCAGTCTTCAAGACTCTCTTGATAGCAGTGTTCAAGTTAAGTTCTTCCTTTGGTTCTTGGGTGAGGAGTTGGTCAACGACTTCAATTTGAGATGACATTTTTATGTGGTGGTCAAAACAACGGGGTGCTCGCACTTAAAAGTTTTTTTTTTCAAACGAAATTTAAAATATTTCTTGGCTGAGTGATATTTTACAATGAATATTTTTAACCTGCAAAGTTTTTAATAAATTTATTGAGAATAATCTTCAACATGATATTTAACCTTGACACCTTCCAATAAGTTAGTGATGCTGTAATATATTAACATGGATGGAAAGTTGAAATACATGGATCTGAGGTCATGATGGAAGCCATCATACCGTTACTGTACAACAATATGTTTCAAACCACTTCTTGACCTCTATTATTAGTTGGTCATCAAACAACAAAAAAAGCCTTTTCCGATTCCATATCTTCTTGCTTGATCAACTCTCGAATTTTGATTGAAACTCTCAATCGAACTGTACAGTAAATTTCCTACTCGTGGTAGATATATATTGTAAATATACTCAAATCGAGTCTTCTCCTGTACATTAATCAACACTGTATTCATTAGAATAATAATATTAATCAATATTAATTGATTGCTTGATCCGAATATTAATCATGCATCAATTTAACAATAGTAATACTAAAAAGCCTCCTGCAACGGCTCTACCTTCCACTCCCACAAAGAAACCTCTCCCAACTCCCATTCAAACTCATGTAAATAATCAACTTTTCAATAGATTTGCAGCAACTGGTAATAATCAACAACAATCTTCATCAGTTACTAATAATAGTAGTAGTAGTGGCAATTCATCGAATGGTAGTAGCACGAGTAGTAGCAATTCACCTCCACCAACATTACCAACATCAGGAACCAAACCATCATCAACACCTCCAAACAATAGCAACAAACAATCAACCACTTCTCAAAACTCAATCTATTCCATTTCCAGATTCAATTATACTTCATCTATCATTTCAAATTCTGGTTCTTCAGGCATCTCAAAGAGTGGAGTAATTTTGGACGATGATGATGAAACCATCTTTTCAAAATTCGGAAAAGGAGCATCAAGCTCCAACACTACCAACACACCCTTCAAAAACAGTTATAATAACAGCACAAATTCTGTCAATAGTAATAACTCTAGTAGCAGCAGCAGCAGTGGTAGTAACAATTCAAGTCCAAACAATAAGGCAATACCCAATCTTGCCATCAATCAAGGAAGAGCAAACATTCAATTGGGAGAGAATGAATCCATCAAGTCACCACATTCTCCACCTGCATTCAGGAAGGATACTTTATCAGATGATGGTCTTATCAATGTTAGTGGCAGTGGAGGAGGAACCTTTTCAAGTGAGAGAAAGAAAAAATTGAGAAAAAGTGGCTCGAGTTCTTCTTCCTTGTCTTTCACAGCAAATAATCCATTATTGAATCAGACAACCACAAATTCTATCAATTCATTTTCTCTCCTCGATGAGAATCATCATGATCGATATGATGAATTCTATGATGAGGAAGAGTATCCATCTCTAGAATCTCCAACATTTGCTCTTGCTCCTTCTGTTGTGAAACGTCACAAAATGAAGCAAAAATCACTTGACAATAATTCAGAAAAGAAAGATACCATTATTGCTGAGGATTTACTCTCCTCTATTGAACAATCGATGGAAGATTTATTGGACAGTGACAATAGTGGATTTATATTCCCAACATCATCACAGGGAATGCAACACAGTGGAGAGGGTATTTTTGGAGACAGCTTATTGCACAGTGGCCATCAACAATCGACACTTCCAATCAAAATGTTCTCATCAACGAGTAGTAGTGGATCATTTAAGGGTTCTTTCACTCATAACCTAGATATGAATATTCCATTTATTTACACAACAAGTGAGGAGGAAATTGAAATTTCCACAACTGGATCCATCTCTACCAACACAACTAGTACATCTATGGAGGATTATAGTGGATATTTTGGATCTAATACACCAACTACAGTGGCTGGAAATCAATTTCATCCATTTCCTTCCAATAACAATAATAACACGACTGGATATCAATCGCCAAATACTCCACCAAGTTCTCCCTCTGAGAAGGATGCTCGTTCAAGGGATAGAATGATTACAGCTTCTCCAAAACAACTTCCAAAAGTCAAATCAAAACCTATTCTAGAGGAAGATGTTGTAACATCTGATTCAAACTCTTCATCTGACGAAGAATTATTCAGCTCTGAAAAGAATTCCTCTGAAAACATGATTGACTATACAAGTTGTGAAAATATTGAGCAAATGAATGAAGTTTTTGAGAAGGAAATTTTTAATTCAGAGAAGGAAAAGAAAATTTCTCTAGATATTCAAAGATTAATTTCAAATGCTCCAAGCTTCCAATCTCTCTTGGCATTGATAAAGAAGATGAAGGACCATTCATTAATTTATCATGACAATTCACAAAAGATCAGATCAACAGTTTTTCAATGTTTAAAGAAAAAGATCAAGGAACTCAATAACAGGTATCAACTTCAGAGCTTTAATTCAGATTTGGTTAACACTAGAAGAGACTTGGATACCATATTTCAAATGTGTAACTTGCTCCCAAATGAAGAGATTATTTATTGTATGATTCAATCTCCAGTGGTTGCAGAAATCAATACCGAAAATGATTTGAATGAGATTGCCAATCTATTAGAAAATATTCAAATGAACATCAATCAAGCCAATTCAATCCAAGGATACTTCAGATTATTTGATGGAACAAAACGTTGGCTCATTCACATCTTTACCCACAACATCAGAATTGTGGAGTCAAGTGATTCTAAAGAAGTCACCAGCAGCCAATCAAAAAGAAATTCCACCTCACTCTTGTTCCTTCTTCAAAGTCAACAGAACACAATGAAGTTAGAGAATTTCCTACTCTTTATTGATAGATTGGTCAAGTTAAACTTTTTGAAGGAATATGTACATGTCTTGCTTGACGAATTAATGTTGACACCATTCTTTGTTTCCCTCTCTGCTTTTGAATATATAGAATTTATGGGAAGATTCAAGGGAAGCATGTTTTCCAACACTCTGAAGAGTTACATTATTGATAAGTGTTGCCAATTCATCACTCAGAGTGCAACCAGCAAGGAGGCCGTCCTACTGTTCGAGATTATTACTCATGTTGTAGATGAGGACATTAGTTTGGTTTTCCTAAAGACATTGCTATTGTCTTCTAACTTACAACAAAGCTATGAGACCATCGTTAAAAATCCTCTGTGCTACCACTTTTTCAAGTTTATCAAGAATACTGAAAAGAATTCGGGCAATGAGAACTTTACCAAGATCCAAACAGAAGTTTCCGCCCTGATGGACATTTACTTCAAACTTGTGTTCCAATTATTGGACAAGACATGCACCATATCAACTCTTCACATGGTCTTGAAACACGAAGCTCAGTTCATGAAATTGGTATACTTGATGGGAGATGTTGGATTCAATGAATCTCATGTAAAACAATTGAGACAAGAGTTGCTTTCTTTCAAGACTACTCTTGATGCAGCCCAGAATTTCTTGACCATGTTTGCTGATGATCCAAACTTTTTTGATACTAGTCTAGTGTTAGATACCATCATCAAAATTAGAAGAAATATGGGAGAAATGGTATTTAAAAAGATTCAAAAGCAAGTATCCGAGCTCATTCCATTTGGATTTGAAGAGTTGGCTTTCTTCTACGAGTTGAGAACCTCAGAGTTTTTCCTTGTTTTGTGGAGGGATCTCTACACAAAAGCTTCCAATAATGAAAAACACACCATCGATTCTATCAAGAATAAGTTGGTTCCAGATGTAAAGAATAAGTGGCTGGGATTTTACAAGTCAATCGATTCTCTCTCAATCAAATTGAACGAGTTTTATTCAATCCTGAGAAAGTGTAGATATGAGAATAGAGTTGACAGTTTACTATCCAGCACTAATGTCCAATATCAAGAAGAGTTGCTGAGTGTGAGAATGACCTTTAATGGAAAATCGTCAGATAGAACTCCTAACAAGGAAGATCTTGAATGGGTATCCAAGAGGTTGAATATTATCAATAGCTTCGAAAAGATTAATCTCTATAGATCCTATTTACCTTCTCTTCTCTTATTAGTTGAACATTTTGAGCCGTACTTTACTATTGATTTAAAGAAAGACACTGATTATATTCAATTAAAGAAAGAGTCCAACACTCTCAATCAACAAAGTATGCTTGAAAGCCAAACATTGGCAATGTTTGAAGACCAAAAGAGTAACTTTAACCTACTCTTGTTTACTAGATTTTTTAAAGGATTTAACGATAATCAACTTTCCTTCATGAAATTACTATGTGATAGTACAGGATTTTCTATTATAGACTGGCTATTAAATTACAAATCCAATTCTGAATTTGATAACCTTGTAGAGATTTGTAAGAGTTATACTGACTCGGTAAAGATTTTACAATCCTTGAAAAGTTTGGTGGTTGTCAGGGATTGTATTTCTGACTTTATCTATTCGAATCAAGTTGACCATGCAAATATTAATTTTATTAGCTTGGAAAATTTTAAGAATTCAATGACCAAGTTGGAAATTAGTAATGATGACTTGTCTCAGTTGAGTAACTTGAAGAAGAATTTCACACTTCTCCTCAGCATGTTTGAAGAGAAAACAAGAAGTGGAGGTGTTCAGGCTCTCTACGATCTTGCAGCTATTACAGAAAGAGGACAGTATGAATTTAATTTGGCTGATCCTAGTGTCATTCTATGTAAGATTATGCCATCACATCCAATTATGAATACCTCCCAAATAAGAAGATTAAGTTTACAACAACAGGTTATGACTATTGATGGACTTGTAGAGTTGAGAAATAAGTTAATGTTGAGCGAAATACCAGACAATATCAAAACGTTGGATGATGTTAATTCTAGGATTAATCTTTTTGTAAGATGTATTACTCTAATGTTGGATATCAAGGCATCCTTGCTGGATTTATGCAAACAAGCTCACTTTGAATTCCAAGAAAACTACTTCAAGGCCATAAGAGCTTCAGAGTGTTCTCCTGAATATATTCAAAAGTATCATGCTGAATTACTAGAAAAATTAGAAAAATGGAAGAAGATAACAGAGAACTCGAGGAATGGAAATTACTATATGAATCTTTTTAGAGCAAAGGAATCTTTGAGAGTCTACGAATTACTTAAGAAATATCAACAAGATTCTGAGAGATCATCCATCTATGATTTGTTATCCATTCTTAAACTTGGTGATCATAACCTAGAGCTGTCTGACATTGAAAACTGCATTACCGTTCTCAATTTGGACTTTGTTACCGATTGTGCAGCTGAAGAGAAGATGAGAAAGTTATGCTCCTTTATTGAAAGCATCTTTTCTAGAAGAGAAAATTCTTATAGAAAATCGCAGTATGAATTGCCAACCAATGTCCAATCTAAATATTCGTTAAATACATTTGATGGAGTTTTCAAGATTATCAAACTTCAAAAGGAGAAGGAAGTTATGGATGCTATCATTTCCTTATACTCACTACGTGGAAGACTTCCTTTGAGTGAGGAAGTTTTGCTGTGCAACTCTTTTAGCACTGATATGGAGGATATCGAGTTGATTTTGAATAGATGGTTAAACTCCAAGGTGAAAGAAAAGCGTGATAACATGTATTGCATTGCCAATATTCAAGAACTTCCATACATTGTTCAATCTAAAATGCTTCTCAAGATACAGGAAATTCTTTCATCCCTCTCTAAAAAGGAAAATACTGGAAAACTAGTTCTTATTGGTGGTTCAGATAACAACAATGCTCGTCTCTTGTTGGAATTTTCAAACTATGTTGACAAGTCCTTCAAAACTCTTCCAAAGAAGTATATTGTAAATATAATGAAATCATACCAAGGATCCAATGTCAAATGTGTTACCTCCAATAGAACTGGTGCAGGAAAGTCTAGATTTATCCTGAAGGATATCTATTTGAATAAGAAGAAATACAGTAGAGTAACTGTATTAGAAGATTCAACAGTGAAAGAAATAGTTGGCCTACTCTGGAAAACAACAAATCAAAATCAAGGAAAAGAAATTGCTTTCCATCTTGCTCTCTGTAACATAATACCAAAGCACATGAATTCCTTGTTATTTGAATTGTTCTATCTTGGTTGTGTTAGAGACAGAGAAACTGCAAGTGTTTTCCATATTGTTCCAAATATCCAATTCTATATCGAGATTCCAAATAGTCTTTGTGTGCCAATTTTGAGTGAATTTGTTTACTTTTGCACTGCTTTGCCAATTGAAGAAATAACTACAGATGAATCAAGTCTGGAATTGGTAAACTATGAACTTATTAACATGGAAGATGATAGTATTGATATTATGTGCACAGATGATAATAAGGTACAATATGTTTGTAAATTTTTGAAAGCCTTCGAGGAGAATGTATTCAAGAATGCAGCTCCTAGCGTACCAGATTTTGATCCTGTAAAGGCACCAGACTTGAGTCTGAAAGCTTGCTTCAAGCTGTTGTGCAAGTACACTGGATTCAAACCTGACAATGCCTCCTTCTCTGTGGTGAACAATTTTGTACGATTCTTGTATGGGCAATTTTTGAGCACTTCTAGATATGTTTGCTTTAAAAATTGTGTTATGGAAGGAAGCATGCAATTATTCAAACACGCCATGATTGATTTAATGATCAAGTCAGCAAGGGATTTAACAGCTATTTCTGTTGAAAAGGACTTTATTATTTCGCTTGCTAAGAAGTATGAAGGAAAACCATACACTGAGATTTTACTTCTCCAATATGTCGAAATGTTTGAACATAGATTAAGCAAGTGGGAGGAGCAAGCATCTCAACATCCTCTAGTTGTTTTCTATAGAAGTAACATTAATGAAATAACAGGAATTGATCTTATTGGTATCAATACTGACAAGCTCGAACTTAATGAAGAGTTAAAATACTCTCTTTCATGTAATGGTATAGACTTGGAGACCCCAAGAGATTTATCTCATGATAGGGCTCAAGAAATTATTAGAAATGTTGCTGGCTTGAAACAGGATGAAACCAATGAAAAGAAAATCAGCAATAATTACGTTCTCACTGTAGATAATTTGAGCAAGGTATTGATGATTTATCACAAGATGAAATACAATTTACCTACAATTCTTTGTGGTGATAGTGGTGTTGGTAAATCAGAACTAACCAAATACTTGTGCTCTGTTCTTGGTATAAAGTTGAAGAGATTTGCTGTGAATGAAGGTCACACATCTAATGATATTTTGAATTGGTTGAATCCGCTCATTGCAGAAGCCAGACTCAATCCAAAGAAGGAGATTATAGCCTTCTTTGACAAGGTAAACACCTCTAATAATTTAGGATTATTTAAAGAATTAATTTGTGACAATTGTGTTCATAATAAGGTGCTACCTAGAAATTTGAAGATTGTTGCCTCCTGTAATCCATACAGACTGAGAAGATATGCTGGAACAGACATTGAATATGGTTCCTCTGGTCAAAAATCTGATATTTTGAAAGACAATATTAGAGCCCTCCAAAGAACCACAGGTTTGGATATTCAAGTTTTTTCACAATGTCTTATCTATAAGGTATATCCAATGCCTGTCTCTATTTTGGATCATGTATTTAACTTTGGCTCTTTGAATCCTATTATTGAACAGTTATACATTAGAGCCATTCTACTCATGGAAATCAATGTTGAGGATATCGGAAAGTCTGGACTCTTCTTTGATTGCTTTACAGAGCTCATATTTGCCTCTCAATCATTCATTAGAAAGGTTTATATGGAAAGAAGTGCTGTGAATCTGAGAGATGTTAAACGTTGCATTAACTTATTCAAGAGCTTTTATCAATCACTCTCAAAGAGAAATGGTATTGATCCTACCTTTTTCCTAGAGGAATCAAACTTTATTATCAAGAACTCTATCATACTTTCTCTTGGACATTGTTATTACCACAGATTGAGTTCCAAGCGTGATGAATTTGTGAAGGAGTTGGAAGATTTATTCACCTCTTCAAGAAGCAAAATTGCTTCCTACTTTTCCTATCAAAAGGGTGACTTTATCAATACTCTCACAGAAGAACAAAGATACTACACGATGCACTTGAACATTCCAAAGGGAGTGGCACTTAATCATGCTCTGCGAGAAAATATTTTCATGACCCTTGTTTGTGTACTGAATAGGATTCCAATATTCATCAATGGCAAGAGTGGCTCTTCCAAGTCATTGAGTTTAGAGATTTTGAGCACTAATCTCAATGGAACAGCCAGTGTCAATAGTTTTTTACGCTCATTGCCTTCTCTTGAAATATTCACTTATCAATGTTCACAAATTTCCACACCTGAGAGCGTCAAGAGTTGCTTTGAATCTGCCAAGAGATATCAGAAGAATTCTCCAAATTCTATTGCCATAGTTTTATTGAACGAGGTTGGCTTGTTAGAACATAGTTCTTCCCATCCACTCAAAGTTGTCAATAAGGAATTGGAAGAGGATTGCTCTGTCTCTGTGATTGGTCTTTCTAACTGGACATTGGATCCTAACCTTATCAATAGAGCAGTCTATTTGACCAGACCTTCACCTTCAACATTTGAACTCAAAACTACCTTGTCTGGTATTGTAAATTCTGTGCATTTAGACAGTACTCTCTATTCTTTGGCCAAGGCTTACCATGATGTATATAATGGTCAACAAAGAAAGGACTTTTTCGGATTGAGAGATTTTTACCACACTGTCAAGTTTATTAACAGAAACTTTGACGGTACACTCTCACCAGAGCTACTCACAGATGCTCTTGCCAGAAACTTTGGAGGATCAAATAATGAAGAGTTCCTTCGAGTTTTGAATATCTTCTTCTCCTGTGTTGGTATGAATATTATCAGCAATAGGAAGTCAAAGTTGGATTATATTTCTGAAAATTTGAACGATACCAAGGCAAGACATTTAATGCTACTCACAAAGAATAATGCTGCCCTCTCTATTCTCTTCTCAGAATTTAAACAATTACTTGCATATGATAAAGCAGAAGTTGTCTTTGGTCCAAACTTCCCTAACAGTACTAAAGAACTTCAGGTTTGTATGGATATTCAAAGAATTAAGAATGCCATGTCAACTGGTAAAACAGTAGTCTTGGTAAATTGTGAACAATTATATGAAAGTCTCTACGACTTGTTCAATTTGCAATACATAGAGTATGATGAGAATAGAGTGGTTGGTATTTCACTTGGTACATACAGTAGAATTTGTTCTGTTCACAAGAACTTTAGAGTTATTGTTATTGTGGATCAGGACGATGCCTACTCACGACTTGCCAAGCCACTCCTCAACAGATTTGAGAAGCAAACACTTCACAGAGATGATCTCTTTGACAAATCTGCCTCTGTTAATGTAAAGAACTTGTGCAGTAGATTGCAATCGTGGGTCAAGACAACCTTTGGTGATGATGAAAAACCATTTGTTAATACTCACAAATCACTCCTTCAATCGCTTGTTTTATCACTAGATACCAAGCAAATTGAGGATCCTTCTCTCCATGACTACTTGTTGGATATTTGTAAGAATGCTCTATTGTGGATTACAACTGCAGATGCTGTGGTTAGAATGTCCTCTATCAACAATAGTAGAACAAGGGAATATCTGAAAACATATTTTGAAAAGCAAGAGCACAGAGACCTTCCTCATTTACTTCATTTCTTGCTCGGTTCTTTGCAAGAGCAATCTCAAAATGGTCTGTCTTCAAATTCCTTAATTTATTATGGATATTTCCAACTTTGTTTACTTACCTATTCATCTGTATCTATTAATATTGATAACTTGATTCAGGCATCCAGAGAGATTGGAGCAAGCATAGAATACCATTCTGTTGTTTCTATGGCTGAGCTCAAATCAGAGATGGAATTAATAGAGCTTGTAAAACAATTCTTTGGAAAGAAAATTACCTCAGCAAATGGACAACACTTGCTTGTTTTGCAATGTGAAAATATGAATTTGGACCTTTTGAACCAAACCAAGTTTATAATCCAAAAGCACAGAAAGTGTATCTCACCTAGTGAGAGTGTCGGAAAGAACATTTTACTCTTAATCAATGTTGTTCCAGGAAAATCAATTAACAGTCAGCACTTGATTGAATTTGACATTCCATGGAAGTTTGCATTTATTGATGAAATAAGACCAACAGAAACTACAATTTATGAAATTTTGAACAGACCATTCACCGAACAAATTCAAACTACTAATGTGAGACAAGTTATTAAGAGTAACTTCCGTACCTCTCTGGCAATGCTAAGAAAATTCAATACCAAAATTAATGACATTACTCTTTTAATTTCAAGAACAAACGAACTCATTGATTCTGATGAATGTTGGAAAGTTATTAACAAGAAGGTTTTGGAGATTTGTCATGACTACTTTTCTCAAAATCAAATTAACTTCTACTCAACCTATGTAGCCAACCACATTAACGAATACTTCCTTGTTGTGAATACATACCACTCAGCTATTCAATACTGTGTCGAGAGAATATTAATCAAATCATTTACATTCCTTTTGGCTGAAATTGATAGAAACGACAATTTGAGACTCTTCTTTGAATACAAGAGTACCAACAGAACTGAAGGCACAAACTTGTGGATTAAACTTTTGGATGACCTGAAGAGACCTTCAGTGAATCACATGTTAACACGAAATGAACAGACAATATCTTCGATGGCTGAGCTACTCAGATGGAAACCAATAGAAGTCAAGAGTGATGGTAATAACAATAGAATTTTCCAAGCAAGATATCCTTTCAGTTACGAAGTTTGTAGAAATCTACATAGCTGGAGAAGTGTATGTGAAAGTTCTAGATTGGGAGTTTATGAGGCCTTACAAAAGCATATTGACATGATCTATCCTTTCATGAACAACTTGCCAAGAGAATATTCTGAATTTTTCCTCTATGATTACATGTGTATCTGTGGTGTTCAGTGTACAGTGTTAACTAATGAGGTACAATATGAGATTATCAAAAAGATGTTAGATGCAGACCCTTCTGAAGGATCAAATATTGCTAAAATACTTTCATTCTATTGGAGACAGGAGAGAAGACTTCAATCATATTATGTCTTGTTTGAAACCTTCCCAAAGTCTGTTCTTCAGAGAAAGTTCCTTCAAAAACTTCTTGTTCCTTCATTGAGAATATCTTCCATTGAAGAGATTGACATGCTGCTCTTTAGTGTTATTTATCATAACTTGGATCCAAGAAATATTGAAACCTCTCATGATATTACTGTTGCAAACCAGAGAAGAAATATTTGGGTCAAAACACTGACAGATATTAAGAGCCCAGTAGAAGTACTCATCACTCTCATTCACAGTACTACTATAAACTTGACAGGTGGCCCAAGAAGTTCAATGTTGAAGAATATTGGATACATTCATGAAAAATGGCAAAAACTTCAATTCTACAAGGAGTACCTCCAAGAAATTGCAATTCCTCTCGGTATTGTAAGGGAAATATCCATGATTTTATGGCAAAATATGAAAACCAAGAGTTTGTCATCTCAAAGTAGTTTGGATTTGATATTATACTTTTTAGATTTGGTTAACAAGATTGGAGATAATATTCAAAACGACAAAACCAACCAATCAGATGAAAGTAGAAAAAAGACCAACATTACTAGATTCTTTGAAATGTTCACAGCTAAATTCCTTGTGAGGAGAATTGGAAAAGAGGATGACATTGAAAAACCTCTTGTTGGAGCACTGATGGGTCTTATCAAGGGAGAGAATGAAAAATTCAATCAATTAATGAAGCAGGCAACACAAAACCTCAAAGTTAGCATTCTCAAAAAGCTCCTACTCAATAAGAATACCAAGCCACTTGTTAATGAAGAGTTGAAGGAAATTTTCAAAGTAGAACTCAGTCCAAAGACAGAATCTCTGGATCAAAGCACACTCATCAGCTACTTGTCTATTTATGAGTCCGTGCTTCAAAACATACCAGAAGAACAATTATCTAAACTTTTAGAATCTGTCTCTGACAATTTTGTTGACGTTGCCTCTTGGAAAGACATTATCAAGGATGTCCATTTACTAGCAGCAATACGATGTGCCATGTCTACCTTCTCAAAGAGACTGATTCTAGTAGTGGAGAGAGGTGATTCCATTAGGGATTTTATTTCATCTAGCCCAATAGCTCGTCAATTATTATCTTTATTTGAGAGACCAAACTTTTCCTTCCTCAAAATGGTTCTTTTGAGATTAGTTGTTGAGAGAAAGGGTAGAGTATTCCTGCTCAAGACTTTCCGTTCTAGAGCTTCTCCACAATTCCCTTGGGTCTCTTCACTCTTGCAAGGTTTCAAGTACACTGACAATATTCCACAAAATGTACTCATGCACGTGTTGAATGGATTGGAAGAATTAGCCTCTTGTGTAGACATGATTATGAGTCTCAGACAACAAGGAGATTACAACAGTAAGACTGAGTCTATTATCAAACTCAAGGCCTCCCTAGAAGCAATCATCAATACTGGACAACAAATAGATATTCATTCGTTGAAGAAGTTGTGCTATCTTGCTGTAGTTGATAAGTGCTACTTGTCCTATTGTTCTGAAAATTCTAACAAGGACAAATTCACCAAGATTTTAACCTCCGAGGATGAAGTCAATACTCAGTCATGTCCAATCGATATTACCAAACTCAAGAATTTCCTTCTCAAACATGTCTTGAGGGATGATAAGGAAGTACACATGACCATCAAGTTTGCCTCCAATGCATTCAATGAGGATAGTTTCTTCTTCCTTAATGAGAATACTACTTTGGAAAATCTGACACTCGTCCACGTTATTCACCACATTTGTTCTGTTGCCTTATCTAATTATGTAACAGATCAATTTTGGTGGCTCTTATTGTTCGACCCATCTTCATTGAAAGACAAATACTTACCAAGTGTTACCGATGATGCCAGAACACAAGTCATCAATACAATTGATAATGGCACTGTCTCCTGGTACAAGTGTGCAAATAACCATGTTTATGTAGTCGATTCTTGTGGATATCCAACTGAATTTGCAATGTGTCCAGAGTGTGGATTACCTATTGGTGGATTTGACCATGTTCCTCACTTCTCCAACGACAAGATTAAACAGGATGAGGATATTGCACCTACGGGCTATGCTGTTTATGAGCATTTTAAGGAAAGAGACTTGGCTGCAACAGTAAGAGAAATTTCTCCAGTATCGTTCAGAATTATCAGACTTATTATTCATTCCCTCTTACTGGTTGGTAATTCAATCTTCCCAGAAAGAGAAGAGGAATACAGACAAGTTTTCCACAAGACCATGTCAAGTGTTGACAATCTCAATGAATTCTTACTCGGGCATATCAAGAACGATTGGAGTATTCTGTGTGAATTGTTGGGAGGACAAAATGAAGAGAAAGCCAGTGTTCTCTTGTTTAATATTTTGGAATTCTTTAGTTACTCTTCCAAGCAGTTGGAGACAAAGAAACGAACCAATCCAAAACTTCCATACACAAGTCGTGACATTTCTACAAAGGCAGGAAGATCTGGATGGGAAACTCACTTCAATGGATGTGTAACAATGATAACAGAAAATGCTGCAAAGAAATATCAACTCTACTACAAACAACTTGATTCCATCCAAAAGAAGGGCAATGATGTAATAACCAATATTCTACTCTTTTCCTCAGCTGGTGCACCTCAAGAATTGAAACAACCTATTCTCCCACTTTCTGATCCAATTAGTCAAATTTGGAATATCAAGCCACCAATTACCTATGATCAATTCAAATCATACTTTATTGCAGATAAGGCAGAAAGAAAGTATCCAATTTTGAGCCTCTTTATTAGAAATGAACATTTACTCTATCCAACAAGATATATTCCTCATGTTGTGAAATGGCAAAAATTGGTAACCAATACCTTCTCGAGAAGAATCGATCGTCACTATGCTAGAACAAGAACTGTTAGAGATGTCTTTTCAGAATTCATGTCATCACTTTCCTTGTCACCAATTCACTTCCAACTTGGAGCTGAGAAGGCATCTATTGAAAAGATCTTTGATGGTTGGGCTAAATCATTCAATCACAGTTGGAAATATATTGAAAGATACCAATGTTTACCTCTGCCTGCATGGTGTAAGAATGTTAGTATGAGTAAGGATACACCTCTTTCCTTCTCTATTCCAGATGAGCAAGATGAAGGAATTTGTGCATTGGCTCTCATTCAATTCCTAGTCGATAAGCACAATGATATTATTGATAGAGCTGGCAAGTTATTGAACAAGACGTCCACTGAATCTTCTCCAATTGAAATTTCTAGCCGTTTCATTAGCAAACATCATCTTGTGAGTTTTAATATTGAAGAAGAGGTGATGCCTGTCATTACTGATTCAGAACTCGACCAAGATACCAACAAGCAAAATTCTTACAAGTTTGACTATCAAAGAGTGGAACAATTTATTGTTAACAAGTACCTTTCTGGAAAACCGAAAATCAAATTGGAATTGGAGAATTTCACCTTCCTTAACGAAACTAGATATTCAAGTGGATTTGGCCAAGTAGGAGGACCAGTTTCTGAGCTCAAGTCCAAGATTAAACAAGTTGAATTACCAACAGATATGAAACAAGCTATAGTTTCAGAGTTAAGAGGTGGAGAGACTTCACTCGATTTGTTCCAATCTTGCATTAGACAAATTGAAGAGTGTATTTCATTCTTACAAGCAATCTCTGGTTCCAACAATTTGGAGGAAGTTGAAAAGATGTCAATTATTGACTACCTTCAAAATATTCTTCTAGTAGATCCAAAAGTAACAAAGCAAACACTTGCCAAGAGTTATACTATCATTGTCCATGTCAAGTTATGCCATTTGGTATCCTTGTGGTCCCTCTTAGAGAATGAACTCTCACCAGGTGCTTCTATTGAATCTTCCTCCATTGCCAACAAGTACAAGAAGGTTCTACCTGCTGAGCTAGTTCAAAAACTCGATGAATTCAAGAATATCCTCTCTCCAGACGATTGTTCAATGCTAGTTTCATCCATGAAAGAATTACTTCTCTCCTACTTTACAAGTGAAACTCTCGATTCTGAAATTCCTCTCAAACAAATGCTTGAAATCACTCCTGCCATAGGAGCCAAATCACAAGAAGGAAACAAATTAGGCGATTATGAATGGTTACTACAATTATCAGATGAATTCAAAACATGCCATCTATTTGAAGTTTATCGACATTTAAGTATGCAAATTAGTAGTAATAAATAAATCCAATCATTTTTATCTGTATATAAAATCTATTTAATTATTAACAAAAAAGCAATTGGCTAACGAAAATAAACCCATTCTCCAAAAAAGGTCCTCTCAACAATTCCCGTATTGATTTTTTACCTTTCCAAAATGAGACAATTCATTAAATTCTTTAAAAAAAATATCTTTGAGCATTTGCTGATATTTTCAATACCCAAAATTTTCATTAATAGTAGCTGAAAAGAAATGAATCATCTTGAAGAACCAATACTAACATGGCTCCAACAAACAATAGCCGAAAATTCATCATCCGTGCTGAATGAAACAGCATCATGTTTAGAATTTGATCCCGAAGGAATACAATACATCAAGTGGATTTACATTGTTTTTGGAGAGTGTGTACATAGTGCTCGTGAACAGGCTTCATTCTACATTGGAATGTTATCGTTATTTTGTTGGATTTTAGCACTTTTACCACAAATAATAGCCAATTTTAAAAACAAGGATGCCAGTTCGCTTTCTATTGGATTTTTGATACCATCAACGATAGGAGATACTTGTAATATGATTGCTTGTATATTGTCTGGACAATTAATGACACAGATATTTGTGGCTACTTATTTTGTCATGGTTGATGTTGTAATTATTGGACAATACATCTTTTACTCACTGTTGCATATGGGATTTTGGAAGAAGTGGTTTTCAAAGAAGAAGAAGGATGAAAATCTTGTGAATACTATTGAATTGAATGATACCCATGCTGCTGCTGATGAGGAACATATCATATTTTCCGATGATGAACAACATCATGAGGATTCACATGCCTCTCATCAAGTTTCCCTATTACCCAATAGTCAAAGCAAGTCCAAGCTGAAAGTTGCAACCATTACCATTCTGGCAAGTGTTATATTTGTTATTTCATTCCTTGTTCTTTCCAATAGAAATGAGCTCAACAATCAAATTGTTCATCAAAATACTGGTAGAAAATTACAATCACTCAAACCAGAACACATGATGATTGTTAAGGGTCAAGAAGGTGTTCCAAAACATAATGATTTTGTCTTTCCTCCAAACACTACCATTTCCATGGTTGGTTTCATTATTGGTTGCATTTGTTCAGTCATGTACATGTTCTCTAGGTGGCCTCAAATTTACAAAAACTTTAAGAGACAATCCACAGAAGGTCTCTCAAAGGTCTTTTTCATTTTGGCAATCTTTGGTAATTTATTCTACCTTATTTCAATTTGGCTTTTTTCTAGTGATGGTGAATATTTATTAACTAGATTACCTTGGTTAGCCGAAACTCATTTGAATGTTTGCTTGGATACTTTTATTTTCTGTCAAATTATTTACTATTCACACAGAAAGCAATATAAGGATAAGGTGGAAAAGTTACAAAATGCTGCAACTGTAGTTGATTCGAATAACAATCGTGATTCTACAGAACTCCATGTCGGACTGAATGAGAAGGAAACTATTTCGACCATTGCTCCATCATCTACAGAAAATAATCATTAAATTAATGTGCTTTCCAAATGTAATGTTTACTTCTGTTTGTGTATTTTTAGTCTTGTTTGAGCGCACTGTTTACAATTCGTCCAATAAATGTATTTCCTACATGAAGACTGTCTTTTCCTTTTCAAGAGACAAAACGAAGAGGCAAGCTCTTATTCGAAACAAAAAAAACAACATCACACTAATAATATGAACTCGATAGTAAGCTCACTCTTTGCCTTTTGGATTGCTGGTGGAGACAAAAATAACTTAAATGAATCCATGACAGACAGTACAAAACAACAGCAGCAGCAACAGCAACTGCCTCAACTAAAAACACAATCCATAGAAAATACTATTGGAAACCTTTCTAATAATCAATCATCAACTTCACCAAGAAATAATCTACAACTTGTTTCCTCCATTGAAGATGTGATAACTACATTTGATCATCATTCAACACACCAACAAGTTTCTTCAAGTAGTGAAATGGTTCCACAGTGGAGGACCTACAAGGTTGACCATTCTTCCATAAATAGTATGCAACCAAACAGGGATATTACTAGTTTTGTATTAAAAAAAAGAAAACAATTTTCCAAGAGGAATTTTTCCTTGCTAAATAGTAAAGAATTTGGAAGCCTCAATCCTCATCATGTAAATACTTATATTGTGGACGAATCGTCGACAATGGTCCGATGTATGCAATCGATTTTATTGGAAACACAACTAATTGGGAATGCAAACTATTCCAGCAATTTGTTCACACTGAAGAATCAAGACAATGACTCCTCAAATTTCCATCTCTACAGTTCCCTACCAATCTCTGCAATGAATCATGCCTGTTATTATGAAGTGACACTATTAGAAACTGAAAACAATTCGAATCCTACCATTTGTTTAGGATTTGGTAAAGCTGACAATGACTTGCAAAATCATATTGGATGGTTCTGTGAGAGTGTTGCATTCCATACGGACGACCAAAGATTACGAAACTCACAACGAAACTCTTCGTATAGAGTTGGAGGTCCACAAATTAAGAAGGGAGATACGATTGGAGTTTATTGGGATTTGAATTCAACAAAAAGTGGAATGGTATACTTTACAAAGAATGGACAATTTATAGATTACAAGACGAATTGTAGAGTTTCGAATTCTAATGAATTTATGATTGCAATGAGTGGACTAGTTAATGGAAACTCAACTCTGACATTCAAATTGAATGTAGGAAATGAAAGGTTTCAATGTAAACATTTCAATGATTTGTATCATTTGAGCGAGAGTCAAACTAAACTTTTGACAATGATTAATTCAGAGAGGTTGTCTGATATTTTCCTTTCAACACTCTGATAAAACAAGATAGATCTTATAAAATCAATATTCTAAACTATTTTTCAATATGATAGCATTTTCCAGGTAGAACTAAAGTTTATGATAAACCACCTACTAATCAAAATATTAATCATAAAAATGGGTTTATTCCAATCGATTTACAAGCGAGGACAACATCATGATGCAACTCTCAACAAGATTCTAATACTAGGATCGTCCCATTCTGCTAAATCAACATTTTTACGATCTGTTCAAAGAATTACAACCAGAAACTTCAGAAGAGGAAGTAAGATCAGTTGTTGAACTAATATTTGATAAGATTACCACTCCTTTTATTTCTCCTTGTTTAATTCCTATTATAAATAGGATGGCAACAACTCTGTATAACATATATCTGAGGGAATTATTGACCGATATTCAAATCATCACCACAACTGAATAACCTGACCTAAAAGTTCAGAATTGAGTTAGAAATGTCTTTCTTGAACGATGGTATTGAAAGAAAATGGTGTTCATTAATCTACACAAGCGCAACATCATCCCAACTTTATCTATCCAAGAATAGAAATAAAAAGAGAGAGCAAGAATTAACTGTGGTTCTTGGTAGAGAACTCTTTTACTAAGGGCGCAAACCACAGCTGTGCACATCACAAGTACACAAGTACACTCCAACTCCAAACAACCCTTATTTAAACTAGAAAAAAATCCAACAACACCACTGCACCCAACCATAATGCAAGCAACACCAACAATGGATAAGGAAACAGCTCTCGCAGCGATACAAAAGTCCAACTATGCTGTCTTTTCCAACATTTCTGATGAATTGAAGGAAGATGCCGATATTGTTAGAATGGCCCTCAATGTGATGGGAAGTTACATCTTTAATAAGATTCCTTCCGTTGTGTTTGAGAGGGATCGTGATTTGGCCTTACTTGCACTCTCCAAGCATTGTCCGGAAGAAAAATTGATCACCTTACGAAAGAATGATAAGGAATTTGTTTTGGCTGTTTGTAAGAAGAGAATTTCCATGCTTCGTTTGGTAGCAAAGGAACTTTGGGAAGATAAGGAATTTATAGAAGGAATAATTCCACTTCGTCCAAGTCTTGAACATTTTCCACTTGAATTGAGGGATGATAAGGAAATTGTAAAGAGAATTCTCTCTTCTGATGGATCACAATTTCAATTTATTTCAGAAAGATTGAAAATGGATGATGAATTATTAATGTTAGCAGCTGCTTCAGATATCTATTTATTTGCCCACACAGCTCCAAGAATTTTATCGAAGGAATTATGTTTAGAGATCATTCATACTCAAAAGAGTAGTGGCTACTCTTTTCCAGAATATTTGAAAATGGATAGAGATATTGTGAAAGCTCATTTGACTTACTATTCTGGATATAATGTGTTTAATCTTGTCGATAAGAGTTTCACAGCTGATGAAGAAATTGTAACCCAAGTTTTGTGTAGAGACTGTGAAAAGTATCAATTTATCGATGATTCCTTAAAGAATAATGTGGACTTTATTGGTAAGATGTTGGAGCTTGTGCCATCTTTGTTCAGGTTATTACCTGTCGAACAAAGAAAGGAAAAAGAAATTGCATTGGCAGCAATGAAGGACGGTAATAACTTGTCATTGTTAAGTGAAGAGTTGAGAGATGATAAGCAAGTAGTAATGAAAGCTGTGTCCCATACTGGTAAATCAATTAGATATGCTTCAAAGTTATTGAGACACGACGAACAAGTTATTGAGGCAGCTCTATTGAATGATCAAGAAGCATTCGTGGTTCTCTCAAAATTGGGCGCAGAAAGTAAATTGGTTGGTACTTATAGATTAGCATTGGATGTTGGTGAGCATTCAAAATACAATCATGATACAGAATTGTACGATTTGGTTTTGAGAGAAAATAATTCTTTCAAATATTTGAAATGTGATATAAGTGAAGATTATGATGCTGGTTATCCAAGAGTTTCATACAAGAAGAGCTCTGGAAATTGGAGAATTGATAAATATCAAGAAGTAGAAGCATTGTTTTTGGACGATCTTCCATTCATGTCCTTAACATTATTGAATGAGTGCACTAAAATCAGTGAATGTGAAGAATTAACTGAAGAAGATTATGGAACTTACTTTTCTAAAAAGGTTCAAAGAGACAGCTTTAAATTTTCTGGTGGTGTTTGGTCTGAAAGATTGTAAATAATACCTTTCTGATTATGTAACAATAACGATATTCTTAATAAATTACAATTGACAACAATATTCCTCTTTATAACGAATGAGTATGATTCAAATCTCATCAAATTCAAACTCTAGTCCTTGAAACCTGCAATAGATTAATAAGAATTTCAAACAGTCATTAAGCTCCAATTTAAAAACTTTGGAAGCCATTTTCTAATGCACCACGCAAGAAATCTTGTATATGACACATTGGCAAGGCGCATATCAACCCCACTCACCACAATTACTCATCACCATGTGCATGTTGATATGTTAATGTTGGCATGTGAACCTTGGGATTCCCTTATGCTCACTTGTTACATGTAGCTATTTCATGTTGCTCAGAGTTTTTAGAGTATTGGAAATTTATTAAACCTTTTCAAATCTACTGTCAGACATTGTAACTCCAAAAATACCACAACATTGAATGCATGACATGATACAGACAGAACACAAATTGAAAATGAAAAATGCAACATATTGAGTAATCACATAGGGACTTGCAAGTTGATACATTGTCCCTCTCAAATCCTTACATGAATCCTTATAGAGATAGACAGTCATGGCAATCAAAACTCCAATAGCAGCAACTCCAATAACAGAGAAGCAACACTGTGAGAGGGAATAGCATGGTTTTGCTTTGTTTGGAGTAGAAGATTCACTCAAGTGGAATAAGCATTGGTCAGTACTGGCAGCAAGGAAATGACAAACTGCACCAACAGCAGAAATAATCAATAGAATTGAATAGGTGAGCATCAAATCAGACACAAGAGAGGCTGAGCACTTTTCATCATTCTTCTCAGATTTAATTTCACTTTGGACAACAACTGATGTTATTAAAATTTAAGTATATTTTAATAATATGAAAACTTACATCCCCAAATTCCCATTCCGAGATTGAACAAGAATGTGGCAGCTGAAACAATTCCGATAGAGCTATGAACCTTGGTGGTGAATTGAAATGTGAAAAATTCACAAACCTACCTGAGAATAATTAAGGAAGCTTTAGCTTTTGTACTGGTCATATTTTTTCTTTCAAATTAATGCACTACAGTTACTAAGACAATGTTGTGTGTACTTTTAACGCCCTTGTTAAACAAGCAATACTGTAGAAGTGGTGGTTGTGTGGCACTATTTGGGTGGTCGTAACCTTGTTCCATCTGTGAACATTACTGTGCGTTTAACTTGATACTAATATAGGCATTCCAAAATAAGGTGTTGGAGTATATAGAACTCGCTAAAGTCCAGTGTTGTTGCGTTTCTGATCTTTTTTCGAAAAAAACCAATCAACACTAAATCAAAAAGCGAAGGAATACCTATTGAATTACACTTATTTGAACACTAAATAATAATCCATTAGTTGAATATTCTAGGTCATAACTTGATAATAAACCGTTGTCAAAATCCCATTCTTCATAAATCTCTCCAATTGCAATATGAAAGCCAATGTTTTTAAAAATATAATTGAATTAAAGAATGTTCTGATGGAATTCCAATCCGCACTGATTAATTAAATTCAATGTTTCAAGTTTCACAAATCTCACTACTTACATGGAAAACCATAATGACCAGTTCCTCTATGACTATACAACCGTATCATACCTCTTCCATAAAGGCCTTGATCTGGGAATGGCACTCTGAAGAATCTCTTTTCTCTTCCCAGTAATTTAAGCAATTTTTGAGCAAACTTTACAATTGTCCATCTTCTCTTCCAACCCACTCTGATCTGACCTCCATGAAGATGTCCAGAAAATACAATATCACAAGAATCAGCCAAAGGAATGCAAGATAACATGGCTGGGTTGTGAATGAGGAATATTCTCTTTACATCGGCTGCCTTTCTTGGATACTTTTTGAATAAAGCATCTGTCATGTTGGCTGCCTGATCGTGATTGTAAGAGAAGAGAGAACCAACCACTTGAACCTGAACTGTCTTGTTCAATAGTTTTGACCAACGAGGAATGGTGACAAGCATTTCCTCATCTTCCAGTAAAGGAATGTTATTCTCTCTGTATGCTTCCTTAACCTTTTCATAAACCTCATAATCGTGACTAATTTTGTTTTTTTAATTCATTCATCAAGAATAAAATGTACATACTTTCCCAAACATGCCACAACTCTATTTGAAATTTCCTTTAGAGGTGTAAGAGCTTCCTTCAATCCATTCATATCTTCTGCACAGTCAAATCTATGAAAAACAATTAATTATTCCAATAAAGAATAAATACTCACGTTTCCATATCTCCAGTAATCAGTACAAGATCAATTCTTGGATCCTTGGCAATTTTTTCACATAAGGTAAAGAGTTTTTGTTTGGACATGAATGGTCCCAAATGTACATCTGAATTGTTTGAGTTCAGTTTTACATTGAAAAATCAACCTACCAGTCAATTGGAAAACTCTTAAAATTTTGCTTTCATCTTGATGTATCTCAATTTTTGATTCCAACTCCTTAACTTGATCGCCACAATCCTCTCTATTGGCTGTCAAATCCAAATGCACAACTTCCTTACAAAAAGTAGGACTCTTCAAAGAAATATAAAACGAATGAATTGAAACAATCAATACTATTAAATTCAATCCCAAAATATCCATCCTTGCCCAAGAAAGAACATAATCTTGCAATCCTGCGCTCCATGTACTTGTTGTTATAATAAGAATTGGACTTGCTACAACTGTTCCAATAGCAGAATATCCCAAATACCAAGCAGAAGGCAAACTAATCAAGTACAAATACCACTTTGGTTTCAACTCTTGCCAACGAATTAACACACAATTATGCACAATACAAGTCAAATTGAAATAACAATGTACAATAAACGGAAATATTGGAAAATTCCCCACAAAATTACAATAAACATTCGAAAATATGATCTGAATAATAAACACTGCATAGAAAAACCTAGACAACTCTTCCTTCTTTACATATTTATAATAGAGGTGAGGGATTAAAATTCCCAACACTGATTCCGATAAGAAAATCAATGAGGGAATGATCCGATTCAACAAGACGAGATTTGCCAGCAAGTGGAACATTTTTTTTCAATTTTGAAAAATGAACTTGCTATTTTGGCGCCAATTTTATCAAGTCAAAAAAATGTGCATTTGTAATTTAATCCTTGCGCGCACAAATGTTAATCGTTTACAGCAAATTATTCCTCAATTCTGGTTCTTTCAACCAAACAGAAACTCACATAGTTGTACATAGTTGTTTTCGAAATGGGAATCAATGTTAATACTCATCATCACATTTAGTTTCCTCAATCCTATCTACTTCTCCTTGATGCCATCTATTATTATTGTGATCAATTAGGAATTTCAGAGAGTTATCATCCTCAATAAATAGAGTAGCACTGCCACTCAATAAATGATATCTAGGAACCAACTCTAACCACTGAGAAAAAATACAGAGTAGATCTGGTTTGTATTCCTTAAAGGTGTGGTATGTTTTTGGAATATCTGGTGGCACCATTTGATGAAAAGGCATTTCATCAAAATGAAGATAAGAATCGTCTACATAGCACATAAACTCAAAGATGGAACCATTCGTTTTGGATTTGCACTCAAACCTTGGAGGTTCATCCATAGAATCATGACCATAGAAGAAGCTTTGAACAAGGAAAAAGGTAACTTCAAATTCATGACCCTTATATAGCAAATCAAATGTTGATTCCACACATCTTCTGGGATTAGCTGTCAAATCGAATGAACAGAAACTTCCTGTAACGTTCGAGACTAGTATTTCTGGAATAGTTTCTCTACTAGTTAGTTTCTTCTCCATGACAGATGTAAATGCCTTTGTGGCATTTCTCCAAGCCATTTTAATAACCTCAGGCTCGTTCAATAATTTCAAGTTGAATCGTTCATATAAATAGTTCATTCTTTCGTCTGAAATCTCAACATTCTTTTCAAATTCTACATCTTTGATTGGTATATCACCTCCTTCAACACTTCTATATTCAGTTCTTGGACCCCACAAGATATTGAACAGTAGGTCTTTTTCTGATATTCCAGTAATTTCCAGTAATTCACATAGCGAAGTGAAAAACTCTCTATTCATTTCATAAGATGTAATAAACATGTCATCACTAGGATTCATTTTGAATACTGTATTCCTCTTAATTGAAGGATCAATATTCAATTTAGTTTTCCAATCATAATTTCCAAAAACATCAACATATGTAAAACAATCCTCAGCAGTTGAGTAAAGAATTGTCATTTTCATATAAACGTCCGCGTCTAAATGAACAAGCAACACCACAAAATCCTCATATTCCTCTATTGAATCATATGCCAAGACTTGAATATTTGGAAAACTCTTCTTCTTGTATAATTTCTGTACACATTTATCCATTTCCACACCAGTTTCTTGCAACAAATTAATTGTGTATTGTCTTGCTCCCAACCACTGCTTTACCAAAACCAACAATCTTGTCATGGTTTCTCTATCATCATCAAGTTCAAATTGACTTTGCAAATAATCAGTAATCGAATGAATCAAATTGTGTCTGAATTCTCCTTTCAAACTATCATACCACAGATGGCAGACTAATTTTATGGAAAGTAAGGTTTCATCCATGACCGGAATGAATGAAAATATGACACTCAACACATCAGGGCAAAAAACATTTTTGTATTTTCCAATTTTTTCATCGTGATTGTATTTTGCTTGCTTGGAAGTTGTGGGTGAGGAAGTGACTTCTTCTGTTAGAGATCTTTTCATTTTTTTTAATAAATTTATTATTCTTAAAATGGAAATATAATGATATATTATTTGAAAAATAATGGTTAACTTGTTAAAATTGTCTTTCAATTTGTAAGGATAATGGATTCAGTTTCGTATTTGCATTTATGGTTTCTCACAAAAGTGTTGTAAACCAAGTTCAAACTTCCAAATATTGCAAAGATTTTTAAAATAAAAAAAATGAAAATTCAATACATGAGTGATCTTCACATTGAGCACTTTCGAAACCTGGATGATTTTGAGAGTCAGTACAAGAGCAAATTCGGAAACTCCATTCTAGAAAAATCTTCATCACGAGAAGTTTTAGTTTTGGCGGGAGATATTGGAAATCCAATGAAGGATAGTTATCGGGATTTTCTAAAGAAGTGTTCGGAAAAGTATAGAATTGTAATTGTAGTGGCTGGTAATCATGAGTGTTATAATAATGAATATTGGACAGTGATGAAGCAAATGGAGAGTGTGAGTGCAGAGTTTGAGAATGTGCATTTTCTGGAACAGAGATCGGTTGAGGTGGAAATTGATGGAGTTAAGGTTGTGTTTATTGGATGTTTGTTGTGGAGTCATGTACCATTGGGGGCTAGAGTGGTCGTTCAAGAGGTGAGTTTTTACAGAGATTATGAAATTGTTGAATGAAAATATTCGAAAGTCCATGAATGATTATGAAATGATAAGTATTATGGAAAATGAAAAGAAGAGAAAGTTAGTTGTGGATGATACTGCCAATATTTATGAACAATCAGTGAAATGGCTTACTGAAGAATTGGAAAAGCATCAAGGAAAAAATGTTGTCATTGTCACTCATCATGCTCCATTATTGAAAGGGGTTAGTTCACCAACTTATGAAAAAGATGATTTGGATGAATATACCAAGTTGTGTAACCATGCATTCTCCTCAGATTTGAGTCAATTATGTAAAGATCCTGTAAAGTATTGGATTTTTGGACATACCCACTATAGTTCAAATCAAAATTTTAATGGAATTCCAATATCGAGTAATCAATTGGGTTATATTTCAGCTGCTTTTGAAGGTACTGATCCAGATAACATGTACAAAGAAGATACTGTCTTTGAATTGTAACAACATTAAATTTCACCCATCAAAATTGAAACCTATTTCACATTTTAATGAGTAGTAATTGTTTAATAATTAAATAAATAATAATAAATTTATTCCTTTAATAATTGTTCAATCAAGAAGGCCAATTGTTGTGGTTCAACATTCTTTCCGAATCTTGCAACAACTTCTCCCTTTCTATTAATCAAAAACTTGGTAAACATTTCATTGATTGAAATATCTTCACCCTTCAATTCTTCTGGATGTTTAACAATCTTCTTTTCTAATTCTTCAGCTTGATACTTCAAATAGGCATAAACTTGGTGTTCCTTCATTGTGTTCAAGTGAACAGGTCTCATTACTGTGAAAACATCCTTTCCGATAATTTTTGAAGCTTTTTTGTCATTATCCAATAAAACATCATCAAGAGTATATTCTGGAGCAACATGTTCATGGGTAACTTCAGCTTCCCTTGTTGGGAAGGCAATAATAGAAAATTCCTTATTTTCAAACTTGTGAATTAATTCTCTGAGTTCCATCAATTGTTTAAATTCTTCTGGATGTGTAATTTGATGCTTGACCTTCATTCTGATCAATTCATCTTCATCAACATTGACAATTAAACAAACTTTTCCTTCAAATGATTTAAATTCTGTTACTTTTCCTTTGATATCTTGAGCCTTTAATTCATAGAATGAATTTGCAAGTTTAGAGGCAGCTACACTAGCAAATCTTTTAATGTATTGTTGTTGTTGTATTAAAGATGATGATGATTGATGACTAATCAATAAATTTAATCCTCTTCTAATCATTTTAAATGTATTGTTGTTGTTATCTGTTTTCAATAGTAGATAAGAAATATTGTATAAATGTTAAAAAACAAGTCCTACGAATTATCAGAGACGTACTTTACAAAAAATTGCAAGTCTGTGTCTTGTCTTTTTTTTTCTGAATATATTAAAAAATTATTATTATTATTTGGATGTTGAACGGGAACTTTTTTAGCCATTACTTAATTTCTAAATTGGTGCCTTGATGACTTTGCCGCCAATATTTGTTTTCAAATTTACAAAAAAAATGGAGAATTGATAACACATAGCGAAGGAAGAAATGATCATTGCAAGAAGTTGGAGATTAGATGGATAAGGAAGCTAGATGAATTAGCGAGTGACTATTTGATGTGAAATTTAATATTCATCGTCTGGATGATGAAAAAAGCTTATAATCTACTTCATGATTCCTATTGAATACAGCTTTGTAATAGTAGGAAAACAAAATTAGTCGAAAGTAACTTGACATCATACCTTAACAATGTTAATACCGAGCACTTAACTACAGGAAGTACTCATCGGAATACGAATCCTATCGAAACTGTAAATCAATGATTGCTGCATGCCCAACCACATCAAGAATCTTTTTCACAACAAAAAAATGTCACTCACACTTATCCTCACCACTTGCGTGGCCACATTCCTCTTCTTTTACGTGGCTGCCAAGAATAAGTTCTTTGAAAAATTGTTTGCTTCACAATTTGTGTTTGATCCGAAGGAATTGGACAAGATTGTGAAAAGTGCTGTCAAAAAGTACCCAGATAATTTCAAAGTTGACCAAGTTGGAGAAATGAAGATAAATCACTCTGATGAAACAACAGTTTGTACATTGAAATATGATGGTTGCAAAGAAAGAAAATGGACACGAGAAACTCCTGATATGGATGGAAAGTTTAATGAGCCTGCTGAGAATCCAAATGCAATTTTCGAGTTGAGATGTGAGGAAATTTTGAGACAATTACATGAAAAGTATCCAAAATATTGTGCAGACATGAAGAGTATGGACTTTTTTGATTCGAAAAAGATGAAGGAACAATGGATGTTTAATATGTGTGGAGTAAGTTTTAAATTGATTTAGGATAATTTATTGTAATTTTATTATCAAATTTAATCTATTTATTGTGAATAATATTAACAGGGAGCTCTTGGACAAATTGCAATTTTCCACTTTTCCTTTACTGAATATATTTTGGTATGTTAACCAAACCAAAATTTTAATAATTTTTTATTCGAAACAGCTTTATGGATCACCTGTTGGAGCTGGAGGATTTTCAGGAAGATACATGATGGATGTTTATGATTATATAATTTCAGGACATCACGAAACTTATACACCAGGTAATATTAGAGGATTGCATTATACACCAGGTGATATGACATTCTTGCCAAGATTTGAAGCTTGTACATACAGATCTCAACCTCATACTTACATGATGGAATATGGACGAGGTTTCCCTGGTGTTATTGGTGGAGCCATGTATCCTTTCGTTTCTGCACTTTTTACAACATTGGATTTTTATTCATTCTATCATCAAATTAAGGTTGTGGCAGGTCACATGTATAAGAATTGGATTATCAATAGAAAGTTTTAATTAAATTATTTATTCAGAATACTAAACCTTTATCTAATCATGATTAGGCTAATGTTACCTTAATATTAAAGATTAAAGGAATATTGTTGGCTACGGCCATATCACGATGAATGCACCTCATCCCGTCCGATTTGAGAAGTTAAGCATCTTCGAGCCACATCAGTACTGAGGTTGGAGACAACTTGGGAACCTGTGGTGCTGTAGTCTTTTTAATAATGGACAGACAAGATTTATTACTAAGCATCCCAATTTTATACACCCTTCATTCTCTTCCATGCAAACTTTTAAAAAACTTTTAATCACTAGTAGAAGCAATGGCCACAACAAATCTCTCCTTAATGAAATCGTATGAAGTTAGTGAATAGCATCCCCACCACTCTGCACCAGAAAGCCAATATGCTGACCATGAACCATATCCTTCTAACAAACAATCATCCCAACAATAATGTTCACAACTTCCATCATGATCATTGTAAAATTCAGTGATTAGTATTCATATTGAATATCCCTTAATATCTTAATAAAATAACTGTTAATTAATTTGAAAGCTTCCTTATTTGGTGAATATGTTGAAGTGTTTTCAAAATCACTGAATGAGTTTCTAATTATTTGAAACAATGTTTTTTTTCATTCTATTTAACATATATGTTTATTAGTTCATTTCGTCTCTAAGTCTTTACGATACAAGAACTTTAATAAATATTACAATTTGATGTCTTCACTAAATCTTTCATTTATTCACATCTTATTTTACAAATATTTTTAATTTTATTATTGAACAAGATAAGTTTACAATTAGTTTCTGCTTGGAGGAGGATTGGAAAGGAGATATTCAATTGCTGCATTTACATTACCATTAGCCACAAGTAAAGCTTCAATGTTTGATTGTTCATCGAAAAAGCCCATTTCTTGAAGTTGAGTCAGTTGAGTAGCAAAACGTTCTCTAGGTGGTTGTTGGTTTGTTTGTTGTTGAGGTGCCATAAATGGATTACCAAACATGGCAAATGGATTTTGACCTCCTGTATTTCCTCCCAAATTCATTCCTTGCATCATTTGTTGCAAATTTTCAAATGGATTAGGTGTACCAGTTGGCGTTGTACCAGTATTAGTGGTTGTATTTGGAGGTTGATTTTGATTTAATAACCCTTGCAATTGCATGACTTGTTGAATAAATTGTGGATTACCCAACATGGTTCTCAGCATTGGATTTTGTTGTGACATTTGTTGAAGCATTGGATTAGAACCAATCAATTGATCCAATGTGTTAGGATCTGAGAGCATTTGTTGCATCATTTGTTGCATGAATGGATTATTCATCATTTGTTGGGCTTGTTGTGGGTTTATATTTGGCATTCCACCCATTCCTCCCATACCTCCCATTCCTCCCATATTTCCAAACATTGAGAATGGATTAGTATTTTGATTAGTACCAGTGGTAGTGTTATTATTACTAGTTGTATTTGTGTTGGTAGTAGTAGTTCCAGTTGTTGGTGGTGGGTTATTTCCCCACATGTTGAATGGTTGTCCACTTGGAACATTATTTGTTGGTTGATTTGGAGTAGTGTTTGGTTGATTTGGTTGTCTCAACATTTCACTAGTGGCTTCATGAAGAGGTTCTTGAACATCACTGTACATTCTTCTGAGAGCATCAAATCCACCAGGAAGATTTTCAATATTGCTGAGTGCCAAATCAGTATTTCTCATCATTTCTCTCATGAGTTCAGGATTTCTTGACATTTCCATAGCTCTTCTGATCATTTCAGGATCTTGGAGCATTCTTCCAACTTCAGGATTATTTCTCATAATTTCTTGAATTTGTGGATTAGTGCCCATAATTTCACGAATAAAATCAGGATTATTCATTAAGCTTTGAACCATAGGATTATTCATCATTTGTTGCATTGTATTTGGATCCATATTTGGCATTCCACCACTTCCCATATTTCCGAACATATTACCCATACCTCCCATACCTCCAAACATATTAAATGGATTTTGTTGTTGTTGTTGGTTTGTAGTATTATTTGATGGAGTGGAGGTTGGTGTAGAGGTAGTTGTATTTGTGGTTGGTGTTGTGGTTGTAGGAGTTGGTGTTGTAGTTGTGGTGGTTGTAGGAGTGGTGGTGGCTGTTGTACTAGTAGTAGTAGTTGATGGTGTGGCTGTTGCTGGTTTTGGTGTTCCTCTCACCAAGTGAACAGTTAGACCATCTTCAACTCCATAACTCTTCAGGGTAGCTTGATCCTTCAACACCTTACCTCTATAAATCAAACGTTGGTCACTGGCAGGAATTTGTGATTGGTCAGCAACAACTTGTTTGAATTCAGCAACAGTTTGGTTAAGATCAACATCATTAACGGCAAAAGTATCACCATTAGAGCATCTAATATTTACTTTCATTGTAATTTATAATCAACTATAATCCAATAATACAATCCGATAATCAATATCAAGTGTTGTCGAATTAAAAAACGTACAAATAGTCTCGTAATATTACTATAAATTGTTTCCAAAAACACGAATTATCCAACTTGAACGTTTGAGAGAAAATTTGTCAATCACACAATCCAACAAAAGAGTGGTGGTGAATAGATTTTTTTTGTTTTTTAATTGATAATATCGATAGTAAACGTTTATTCTTGATCTATTTTAAGATTTCTTGTTCCTTACACTGCTCGGAATGTTGGGTATTAAAAATTTGAGTGAGGATAATAATGATGACAAGGCAGCAAAGAATCTCTTTGTCAAGCAGTAAGAAGTAGAAACAGGCCTGAGAGAAAATTGGATAATAATCTAATCTATTCAATTGTATTTTGAGATTTGGATTATAGAGTGCAACCCATTTGATGAGGCAACTAATTTCTAGGTCGTATTCACCTTCAAGTTTCCATGAACCTTACTTGGAGGGAAAACACAGTAAGCTCAGTCGGGGTTTATAATCATCACATTTGCCCAACCTGCATAAAATGAATTATTACCACAACTTGAGCCTCAATATAATATTTTGAAAAAACCGACAATCCATCTACAGTCCAGATTTAAAAAATCTCAGTTAAAGTTTTTCCTCATTGCAAAGCTCACCTTCGGAAAGCACAATCATCTTCTCATATTTATTTACACCATTATCTTTCAACCACAGTTGCAATAATATTAGGTGAGTCATCTTTGTTCAGTTTTAAACTAGAAACAACTCGCAATATGTTCCGAATCTTTGTTACATGCCTTTCGATTACAATCTTTTTATTATTGGAAGGCAAAAACAACAACGCTTAATTTCATCATAGTAAAAAAACAGCGACACAGACAAGTCTTTATCGTCTTTTCTGTAAACGGATTATCATCACGCATCATACAATATTATTATATATTTTTAATAGGTGATTCATACTCCATACATCAAGATGATGAGAAGAAACATTTTATTGGTAGTTGTTGCATGTTTAATTGCTTCCTTGATGATCTCATTCATGTTCGGATCAACTGAAGCTCTCTATCAAAGACACTATCATGGTTATTCATTGACTTCAGTTAGTTCCTTACAAGATACTGCAGTGTTGGAGAGTAAAACTTCCAATGGCATTCGTATTTGTTCTTTCAATATTCAAGTATTGGGAACTAAAAAGATGCAAAAGCAAAATGTTGCCTCTGCTCTCACCAAAATTCTATCTCAATACGACTTGATTCTCGTTCAAGAAGTGAGAGATTCCTCTGATCAAGCATTCCACATTTTGGCTAGATTGTTGGGTGAAGGTGATAAACGTTATAGTTATGTTTTGAGCGAAAGATAGGAACCAACTCAAAAGGAACAATATGGTGTCATTTTCAATAGTAATCTTATCAAGATGGGCAAGACTGTGCAATATAAGGACGTAACAATTGGTTTGAACGTGCTCCTTTCACTTTTGTTTATCAATTGGTCACATCAGATGCCAAGTTGAAGAATGTCCAATTTGCAATTATGGGCTGTCACATCAAACCATCTGATGCTGTTAACGAACTCAATCACATGCAAGAAGTTTATGAACAACTCAAGAATGAAAAGTTCTATGAAAACACAATCATGATGGGAGACTTTAATGCTGGATGTGGATATGTTTCTGGTAAACAACTTGCTGCTCTCAAATTTAGAAATGGAAAGTATACTTGGTTGATTACTGATGATATGGATACCACTGTTGCTTCTTCTTCTTGTCCATACGATAGATTTATTGTTTCAAAGGGTATGGCTGATAAGAAGATTGCCGATGGTGCTGCATTTGAAATCAACTCTGTTAGTGTTTATAGATTCGATACTGCTCTTTCTCTCACTGGAGCTCAAGCTGCTGAAGTTAGTGATCACTATCCAATTGAATTGAAGCTTCAAACTCGTGCCAAGTTGGGCTCAACCTCTGCCAGAACTTTGGCTGATTTGGTTGCTGCTGATTTTGAAAATAATTTCAAATAAATTAGGCCAGTTTGATAAATTCAATTCAATTTAATAACATTTTATTGTCCATTTGGTTTAATTCCAAATTTCATTAATTTTCTGATGGAATGTCATCACTCCAAATTTTTATTTTAAATGTCAAATTCACAATTACTCATCAGTGTTGAATACAATAATTTAAAATCTAATTTATTGCTTATTGTTAAAGGCAACATAGGATGTTTGATGTTCTTCAGATGTTTCCACATTCTTTGATACACCTGATCCGTCAAAAAGTTGTGGAACAGCTCTCTTAACATTCTTGACAGCAGCCACAAGTGAAATAATTGCAACAATAGCTGTCAAGAGCATGAAAGCAAAAGAAAAAGCAGGATCCAAATAGAGGAGAGCAAGTTTTGTTTGTGCTGTCATGGTCTTTGGGAATATTAAAACTTTTGAATAGAGAACTGTCAAGGAAAATTCAACAGCACCTTGAGCAGCTAAAATCCAAGCAATGGTTGGAATGACAAATAGACATCCACCAGTGTACATGAAAGTTGCTGTTCTCTCATCATTCTTAATCTTTCCAACTTGGAATCCGATCAAGACACCTAATATTCCCAACCCAAGAATGAACAAATCTCCCGCCACTAAGAACAAACTATGAGTACCATAAACACTCAATGAATTCATATACCAAGGAATAATTGTGGCCAAATGATACAAGGCCATGAAGAGTCCGAGAATGATTTGGAAAATACTAGTAATTTTAGTTAAGAGTAACATGATGTTGCTTTTCTAATAATCCAATTGATGTAAAATGTAATATATTAAAATAGGTATTGTGATTAAGAAGATAATTCAATAAGGCTCACAATCTTCGCAATGAACAATTCTGCCGTTTTTTTTCCTATTTTTTTGATAGGGAAATTCAAATCTCACAATAAGGAATTGGTGTGTTGGAAAATACAGATACAATTCAATAGAAATGGCTGTATTGGGTGATCTATTTGAAATGGTGTAGATTTCTTTCGTTCCCTTAATACATTAAGATTAATTTCACATACATCATATTCGAAAATCATCTTATGTGAGGAAATTATCCTTGCTTCTAAATAGGAAAATGAATGCTTCTTCCTTGTTCAACCTCCAACACAATTAAAAGATCACAATTTTCCTTGGAAGATGATCATCATCAACAAATTTTAATTTATTTTTATTAAAAAAGTCGCCAGATATCTTCATCATCATATCTTCATTATTAAGGGAAAGGAAAAAATGGGGTTAATGCGTGGACTCTTACTCACCTCCAATGTTTGTCTCATCCTGATGAGTTTAATTTATTTGACTGCTCATATTGCAATGATGGTCGCATGGTTTATTAGATATAGCGATTCTAGTTATCAAAATGTTAGATCGTATGCAATTTCCGATTTATTTCTCATCTTCCCTGATTGCTTACTGATGGTGGTCGGAATGATTGGAATTCTTGTATTTGCCTCACCTAAATGTATCAATGAGAAGAGACAAAAACAATTGCAATATTTCCATTGTTTGGCTTCAGTATTCGGAGTTTTGGCTGTTGTCTTCTCTCACTTGATTGGATGGGCTCATCAATATTCCTTAACTGTTATTTATGTACAATTGTTATCTTTAATGGCTGATAAGAGTATGATGTCTTTTTTGAATCCTTCATTGAGTTTGGTATTTTGGGTGTTTTTGGTGATTAATTATATTGTTGGAGCTGTTACTTCGGTTAAATGTTTGAAGGAAAAGTGTCCTGATTTGCTTTAATTGGATAAATTGAGTTGTAATTAATTGTTAATTTATTGATTTTCAATTGCACTACAAACTACACACCCCAGAAAGATACTAAAGCAAGAAATAAGCTAAAACAAAAAATTAGTGTGAAACAAAAAACATGTGCGACGAGAAAAGCAAGTCAAAAAGAATCGTTTCCTAATCCTTGCTTTGGGTGCGAATAGATTGTAGTGTTGAACGAATCATTTCAGAGTTGTTCACATTCTCATTCGTTTGTTAGATTCCACCACTGACAATAATATGAATGTGCTAGTTGTCATTGGAAAATATATTAGGGTCTTGGTTCGGGAACTCTGAATAATAACAAAAGAACTGTTGAACAAATTTCTCTTATTGTTTAAGAACTATCTGAACATGGTAGCAACTCACTTCCAAGTTCCTTGTACCTATTTAAGTGCGGAACTAGGCAAAATTTATTCGAAACAACAATACAAAAAAAATGT